CACCGTAACTATTGGGTTCTAGGAACCTTTTTTTGTTAAAAATAGCATTTTTTGGCCCTAGAAGCTATCGCCTTCAATTAAAAAATCTAAAAAGATTTGAGGTTATGTATCTTAATGAAAAGAAAAAAAGGAAAACATTTTTCAAATTTTTTGAGGCTCCGTATCGTCCTAAAAAATTATTTTCGTCAAAAAAAGGGGTTTTTGGCTTCAAAAGGTGCGTTCACATCTCTGAAAAAATTTGAAAAAATTTGAAAAAATTTGAGGTTACTTTTTAAATGAAATAAAAAAGTGTAAAAATTTTCGAAAAGGTTATTGCATTCTAACGCCATATATGAATTTTCAAAATTTTCAATGATTTTTTCTGAAGGCCTGAAGCACTCAAAAAATCTGAAAAAATTCAAGGTTGTTTAGTTTATTAGAAAGTATTTTTGTGAATTTTTTTTCAGATTTTTTGATTGCTTCAGGCCTTCAGAAAAATATAAATAGAAAATAGACGTTTATAGGAGAGGAGGGGAGGGAGGGGGCCCAACATTTTGGCACTTATTTATCATGTACTGTAACATACCAAAATTAAAAAAGAAAATTTAAAAAAGTATTATTTTGACCCATATATATAATAAATACAAGGTAAATGCACTAGATATACCTGGTATACACCTTGTAAAAACTTATTTTATATTTCTGGCTTTCTTAAAAATTCTTACAAAACTCTGACTAAACCAAGTGAGCGTTAGCGAGCAAGGTAAGTCACTAGTATATATTAAATAAATTTGATTCAACAGAAGTTTGACCTTGCAAATTAGAAGTTTCAAGGTCTTTTACTTGTCTTGAAACTCTGAAGTTTTTTATACTTTACACGAAGCTATTTGAAAAAAAATAGGTCGTTCCAGGTACTTTATAAGACTTATTTACTATCTTTTGATTGATCAATTTATTGCTTCACAAAAGGCTAAATGATCTTAAACAGCAGAATTGTCTTTTCGGTCTGATTCTCGACATTTTCAACTTGGATATGTTACCGGCAAAACCCGCTTTTAGGCAAAAGTGACTTTTGCCTAGGCAAAAACAGAAATACCTAAAATTTTAGGCAAAAACCGCAGAAATATATGAACTTCCTAAATCTTAGGCATTGCCCGCAATGCCTACAATTTTTTAGGCAAAACCCGCAATGCCTAAAAAATTTTAGGCATTACTGCGAGCTTTTAAGTAAAAAATTAATGTAAATTCAAAAAATGCGCATTTATTTGAATACAAAAGTTTTGTTTTTAATGCATTCAGAACTACAAATTTCGTCAAATGGTCATGGTATACCATTATCAACTTAAACCCATGGACACTTAATGATTGAAAGTCAATGAAGTCCATCTGGCATCTACTATTCATTTCTGAATGGAAAATTGGTTTGGATACCAACCCCCTTCTCTTTATTTTTTTCTGGTGACCGACTTCACACATTTTTAAGTATAACTCAATCAATTCTCTTGTAAAGTTGGAATACTTGATCGATGTTTCTTTCAAAAGCCTATCGCGCCTACCATGTCCGGTCGCAATATGCACGGCTTGATTGATATCAAAGACATCTTCAAGTGGTTTTTACTTTATTTTAAGTTAAGTAACTAGTGAGAGTATAAGCTGTATCCATATTGGGTTATAAACACAACTAAAAAATAAGTTCGACTTAGATGCTGACTAATCGTATACTAACGTGTTAATGTTTACAGTAATGCCTAAAATTTTTTAGGCATTGCGGGCTTTGCCTAAAAAATTTAGGAATTTCCTATACTTTTTTAGGCATTGCGGTTTTTGCCTAAAATTTTAGGCATTTTTGTTTTTGCCTAGGCAAAAGTCACTTTTGCCTAAAAGCGGGTTTTGCCGATAACAGATATAAATTTATCCCTTTCAAATAATTTCTACTTAAGATTACTTACTTGACGTCTTAAGCGATATTCTACTTTTCAAGAACCTAGAGTTTGCGTTGTATTAGCCCTTTATTGCAAAACTTGAGAATTTGCGCAACCCTGAACCCAACCCCAAAATTGCAAACTTGCGAATACATTTGTAATCTTGTGAAAACCATAAATAGAGTCTTTTTACCCAGAAAATTCATACTTAGGGGTTTTGGGTGTGTTTTTAGAAAACGATATTCATATTAACGAGTATTTAGTAGTTTTTCCAAAAAAAAGGATCGAAATTTTTAATCCTGTTTCAATTAAATTTAAATTTTGAGTAAATTATATAAAAGTAATATGAAAAAGATGAAAAGGATAATCCCTTTAGAAAGAAACTACTTTTTTATTTTACGTATTTTTTAATTTTCATCAAATGTACAAGTAGAGAGCCACTTGAGGATTGAATCATTTCGTTTGAGCTTGCGAAACTTGCGAAACTAGAAATTTTTGAGAGCGTTTTTTCAGTTTTCAACGGTACTTTTGCAATAAATTATTATAATTATCATATATTTTGCAATTGAAAATGAAAATAAGGTAATTTTTCGGCTCCCTTATTTTTCAACAATGAATTTCCACCTTAACCTACCCTTCGAAACCCTTAAATGATGCTTAAAAAACGTTACAAAATGGCGTAATTAGATCAAGGAGCATCATTAATGTTTAATTTGACAACCATAGATTTTAAGTCAACAACTTATAGAATAAGAAAGCCTCAAAGTCGTCAAAAGAATACAAGTTAACGATCAAACGCAAATGAACAGAAGTATTTTATCTCAAGCAGGGTTGGCACAGGTATGAGCGGTCATACCGCCGATGCCAAATATATATGAGTAGTTTTTTCATATTTGTACAACTTTTGTGCGGGGAGTTCTCGAATCTGCCCCAAAATTTAGTTAGTTATTTGGGTATGTGAAAATAGCCTTCAGATAAATTTTTAGCCCTGTAGGGGCCTTAGGGCCAAATTTTGGGCCCCTTGAAGGTCCAAATATAGCCGGTTTTACCTATTTTTGCGTATTGTTCAAATATTTGTAACTCAGGCACCGAAGCATATTTTTTAACCCGGAGGGTCGCATTTTTTAGGTTAAGGCATGTACTTTTCATAAAAAAAGTATGTAGAGCTCGACAACCCCACTCCCGGTTATAGGGTGGTAATGGAGGAGGATAAAAAATCGCAAAATTGTCGTTTTTTTTAGCTTTTTTTGAATTAATGTAGAAGGCGATTGGATTGACGTACTTACTTTTGCAAGATTTCTTTTGATAGGTATTTTTCTATTATATTACCTTTGAATCGCCGTGCGCAGGTTTAAGATTGGTTCGAGAACGACGGAGATACAGCTGTTTAAAGATATCAACATGAAAAAGAGCGTTTTTTCAAGTTTTCAATAGGCTGTAACTTTTTTCTAGTAACATGAATCTCTTTGAAATTTTGTGTGAGTGTAGTTGATTATATGTAGTTTGAAGCCATGTAGGTTAGGATCTTGGTATTTACCTCTATAAAAAAAATCAAAAACCTCATATCCAACGTATTTTTCGACGAGGAATCCAATAGTAACCTTGAATTTGACCTTGAACATAACCTCTAAGCTATAGCGAACCAAAATTGATTTTTCGCACGGTGACCCCCTTTTCTTATTTCAGATTTGAAAAGAGCGGAAAATTTTACGTTCAAATACATATTTTGTTTTTTTTTTCAAGGTAATTTCAAGGGCGCCACAGTAGGCCCTTAGAGGGCTAAAAATTTACCTGAAGGCTTTTTTCACATACCCAAATAACATACTAAATTTTGGGGCAGATCTGAGAACCCCCCGTACAAAAGTTGGACATATATGAAAAACTGCTCATATACATCTACACAAAGCATGAAATATATGACATATGTTTTCATTTGATCAAGAAATTTGTACGAGACAGACATACGTGACGCTGCGTAGACGTTACAAAAACATGAGCGCCCAAGACTCGGCAGCGGCCAGCGTGGACTGCGCTAAAGAACCCTGAATGTTTAGAGTCTATATTCGCGCGCTCGTGCGTCCGTACGTGCGTATGATTTTCACAGAATCACTTCTCATACCCAATATGCCTAAAGAAGTTTTACTTAAAGAACTGTGAAAAAATCACTCGCATTCTTTGATAGATTTTAAAGCCTTTTTATTCTTTAACACGTCATTAACTTTGAAGTCGCTGCTCTTTTAGTAAAAATTTAACGATCTATCATATTACTATTACTGCCTGGTTGCAAGTTCATCATTTGTAAAGTTTTTTTTGAAACTTTGTTACATAATTGCATTGCTTTTGAAATTATGTCAGCCTTCTGAAGGTCGGAAAAGGTAGAAAATAAACTTTTAATGAATTAAAGTCCTAAAACTAGGTTGTTTTATTTTTATTGTTTATGTAGAACAATGCGAAACCCCTCGAAAATATGAGATAAAAATTGCGATTTTTGGCGTAAAACGTTTTATATAATTTAGATTTACTTATGCGAATTCAGAACATTTCAATTTTAACACTAGACAATATTTCAAAAATAGATAAATACTGTGAATTATTCCGTCAAATTTTAAAATCAGTTTCAATAGCTGGTTTATTTATTATTATAGCAAGCCATGTTCACATTTCAGAATGATAAATATTAGGAAATATAAAGGCTCAGAATGTTTGAGAATCGGAATATTGAAAACGGAACATGAAAAATTCGGAATCCACAGAAAAAGAGTGAAAAATTTAGACTAAAATTTGGAACATTTTGGGGAATCCGAATTTTAATTTTTCCGAAATTTTTTCATTCTGAAATTTTTTTATTCCGAAATTTTGTATTGCCGAATTTTTCATGTTCCGTTTTCAATATTCCGATTTTCGAACATTCCAAATTTTACACATTTATAACATTTATAATTATTATTCTGAAATGTAAACATGGCATAAATATAAAAGTGAAATATTGTTTGATTCTTAATGACTTCGTAGCTTGATATTTTTATCTATTTATCATGCGATTAAAAATAAAATTTTATTAAAAACTGTTACATTATAATCAATTTTATTTTAAACTAGAATATCACGTTTCTGGGCAAGCTTATAATACGCAACCTGCCGGACAATTAGGTACATCTGGTGTATCAGTTAGTGTAATCAATGATCGGAATCATCCGATAAATGCCATACCTTCGTTAATATCACCATCAAATTTGACTGGCATTGCAGCTAATAATCCTGCTCAAACAACAGCTTGTTCAAATATTCAGTCTCATCAACTACAGGGATCTGCATCAACTACAACAGCAATTCATAATTCATCATCATCAGAAATGAATAAGCAAACCCATTTACAAGGTCAACCATCATCTATGCAACAAATTTATCCTGGAAATCCAAACAGACCATCTCAGGTACTTCAATAATTATTTTTATTTTAGAATAATTTCTTTTGAACGTACGAATTTTCATTTATGAATTAAAATTTACAAGATGACATTTTTATCATAACCTTTATATTGAAATTATTTTTAAACAATAATAAATATACATTTCAATTATTTATATGATTGTCTTAACTACTTGAAAAATTAAACACATTAAATAAACTTATCATTGTATTGCAATAACCCGTGACACCGTTATTTTAATTAACTCATAGCCACAAAAAGTTGGAGTATCAGGATACCGAAAAAAAGACACTCATTCCTCGCATTTTTCTGTCTTTATACATCGTCGTCCAATGCAGAAAAGAATAGTTTTTAACTTGAAGACTTCTCAGTTTTCTTTCTGCTTCTGAGTTTAGAATAACACCTTTCTGCATTGTAACATTGATATTAAAAGTTTTTGGATCATAAGGAAATATTCCGGCTAAAGATAACACACTTATAAAATAACAAATTCGTTACTATTTCTAGAATTATTATGCCAGTGGGCACAGAAATCAATCATCAAGGAATGTGAACCAGAGAAATATTCAAACATCAAATCAAAATCAGGTAGTAAATATGTCTGGGGTGAATTCCGGTAATCAACCAACGGCTTTGTACCAGCATTCTCCTATTGCTATACAAGCGCCTACAATGTACGTTCCGCAAGGACAAGTTCCAAACTTACATTCTGGAAATCCGCAACAAAATGTTTATACGATGGCAAATCAAATAACTATGCAGGTATGAATTTATAAGCATCTTCGATTATGAAAAATTTTGATGAAGATTATTGCATTCTTTAATCTCTGGGTTGTTACCAGTTTTAAGGAGGCTAATGTATAAAATATACCTTTGTTGCTGAACTTCATTCCCCTTTTTCATTTTTGGTAATCGAAGGAGTTTCCTATTTGTTTATTTGCTTAAGAGGTTATATAGCTTTGTGAGGCAGGAATTTTTTTTTTTTTCAATTAAAAAACTAAAAGTTCAATCGATTTGAAATTTTGGTTCAATAAAATTTAACCGCTCATGAAGTTTCCAAAAAACTTCAGCTAAAATATTGAAAATTATCGATTTTCCTCGGCTACTCTCTTATTGTCGGTATTTCATATATTTTTCAAAACTCTTGGCTAGTGATTGGACGAAAGAAAAAAAAACAAATGAAATTTGATAATTTTGCACAAGTTTAAATGACTTTTTTTCATATTATTTGAGCGACTTTTAAATTATGATCATTTTTCTCTATTATTCATTGTGTTTAATGTATGGGCTATTCCACAACAGGTGTTGCAGGCCCAAAAAATGAAGTTAAAACTAACCATTTACTCTTCAAAAACACAATGAAAAATGAAAATCCTGATCACCACATCCCCCTAGGTCCAACCCTCATGGATCTACAGGAGCTCAAAGTTGGATTTTCATGTTTTGAGGATATTATGCTTGTTACTCTGCTTTTCTGGGGTGCATATGAAAAAATTTTTAAACCATGTTTTTTCATGTAAAATTTGATGTAGAATTCAAATCTGTACTCAAATAAGTCATTCATAACCTCAAAACCCCTTGAAATAAAAAAAAATGGTTTAAAAATTTTTTCATATGCACCCCAGAAAAGAAGAGTAACAAGCAGAATATCCTCAAAACATGAAAATCCAACTTTGAGCCCGTGTAGATCCATGAGGGTTGGACCTAGGGGGATGCGGCGATCAGGATTTTCATTTTTCATTGTGTTTTTGAAGAGTAAATGGTTAGTTTCAACTTCATTTTTTGGGCCTGCAACACCTGTTGTGGAATAGCCCATATATAACAATAAGAGTTGACTGTTAGCAAATATCCTCGTTCAATCACGAGTCAGTTCCTGAAGAAGATCTATACGAAATTTCATCTCCATCGGTCAACTCGTTCTCGTGCTTACTGCACGAAAAAACAAAGTGTCGAGAAAAATGTGTTAAGCGACTTGGATAATCCTAATGATTATTACGGTATGAATATTAGTATATGAGAGCTATTAAGAATGAGTCATAACCTCTTATAATAGTTTATTAAGACTTATTTTTAGTTATCCTAATCTTTGAATGGAAAAGCAAGCGATTATCTCAAATTATTTATGAGCTCACACATTGTTAACTTTTTGCGGCCTAGTAATAAATATACTGACTATTAAAAATGTACATCATTACATTGCGTTAATAGTATCACTAGGGGATTTCGAAAATCGGAAATTAAAAATTTTACTTGAAAATCTTAAACAGCTACTATAAGAAAAACAATTTTTCATGCCACCCCAGCTGAAACTATCCTTTTTCGTCCCTGAGGTTAAAACGAAAATAGCAGATAACGCAACGGGGGTGGGAGGTTGTCGATCTGCACGAGTGTCAAGTTTGCAGCCCGAGCGTAGCGAAGGTTGCATTGACACAAGTGCAGGATGGACACTGTCCGTGGACTAATTATGTCCTTATGACATGAATTCGGACGGTATGGGACTTGCATAAGCATACGACGTTCCGTAATTCAGTGGAAAAAATTAGTCCACGGACGGTGGATAACCGCCCCAGTTGCGTACACTAATTTATAGCATTGCGTGGCATAAGTTCACATTTATGGCACGCTTTTCTGTGGCATAAGTAGCACATTCTGGCACCACTGCGTTCACATCACACTCACATACGCTCGTGCGCTATAGTCCAGTCAAATTAGTTTTGAACGTGAAAAAATTCGCAACCGGCGTTTCTCACCGGGATTCGTTAGGGTTCGATCGTAGTAATGAAGTAATAACAAATGCCACAGTTGAGTCGATTGGAATTTCAAAAATTGGACCCTTTGAAATCAGGAAAATCGGTTTTTCGGCTACAGATTGAAAACCGTACATTTCATGAAAAAAAGTTTCAAACAAAGGTTTTAGGTCCTTGCAAGACCTATATATAACATTGGAAATCAGTTCATTTGTTTATTAAAAACGCCTCAATTGTCAATAACAATAAAAGGGACTTACAGACATCGTAAGAATACCTAGGTGGGCTCAAATCAAAGATAATTACTTCTAATTTTGTAAACTATGATAAAAATATGTTATTTACAAAATAAGAAGTAATTATCTTTGATTTGAGCCCACCTAGGTATTCTTACGATGTCTGTAAGTCCCTTTTATTGTTAATGACAATTGAGGCGTTTTTAATAAACAAATGAACTGATTTCCAATGTTATATATATCAAATTGAAGGTCTTGCAAGGACCTAAAACCTTTGTTTGAAACTTTTTTTCATGAAATGTACGGTTTTCAATCTGTAGCCGAAAAACCGATTTTCCTGATTTCAAAGGGCCCAATTGTTGAAATTCCAATCGACTCGACTGTGGCATTTGTTATTACTTCATTACTACGATCGAACCCTAACGAATCCCGGTGAGAAACGCCGGTTGTGAACTTTTTCACTTTTAACATAGAGTCAGATCTAATTGGACTGGACTACTAACCTCATTTCGCGCTACCAGAAAATGCGACACATGACTCGGAAAAAGAGGCATAAATGTGAACTTGGCACAGTGCTATAAAATGTTATAAGCTCGGGCCCTACACTACACCGTGCCACAATATTCTACTGTGAAAAGGTGAAAAAACAATTTTGTGAAATGTAACCGTGATCGTTTTTTTGCTTATATTCATAATCCCAATATAATTTATTTTCTTTGAAGAAGGAACTCATAATAAGCTTCTAATGATATCAAATATGTGTCATCAACAATTTTGAGTACAACTTAATTATTTTTGGTTCTGACTCTAAGTGAGGTCAGTTTATGCATATCAGTTTCACGTGACTGAAATGTGAAAAATAACATCTTTTATATATATAGTTTTTTTCGCTGAAGCATCATTAATTAAAAAAATTATTTGAAGATATCACAAAGAATTATATCGAATATTTATTTATTTAATTACTATCATTAACAATATTTTACGTATTTAATTTTAATATTAACATTTCCTCAGTTCACTGGACCCCCTGCAAGACATCAAACACAAAATCAATTTTCTTATGGGTCTTATCAACCGAACACATTAGTGACAACACCCCATTTTCTTGGATATGCTGCAAGTGCTCAACATCCTAGCTGTAAGTATCTTTTTTGTATGTCGATCGTGTAAATAAAGTATTAGTGTTTACATTAGAAAAAAGTTTTATCATAAAAATGTGATGCGATGTATTGGTTAATATTAAATTTATATCGGTGTAATATGTACCGCGAAAGCCGCGTGTAGGCACTTCATCGTAGAATGATAAGCTAGGATCGTCGCCCAGGGCACGAAAAAACTACTTAATCAAATGAAATATACAGGGTGCGGCCAGCGTTGGTTTCACTGGGCTCTACGCTCACAGTCTATGCCGAGTAAGCGCCACGGTGGCGAGAAATTGAAGCGCGCAGTCGAGCAGTCACTACCATAAGCGCGAAGTTATTTTTGAACTTATTAGATCAATATTAATAACTGAATGATGACTTAAATAGTAGGTATTGTTATTAATAATTGTTATAATATTTATCAATTTTTAAATGGTACATTGATTAACATAGATGCAGAGCCCGTGTTTGGCTTTGTTAATGTTTTCTTGCCGATGCCCCATCATTTTATACCGTATTAATCTAGTGTACATTTTGATCTAATATATATTAACAAATAAAAACGATGCGCATATATTTACGTAACGCGTGCAAACATCGCTCGACTATTTCTTCGTTAAAAGTATCACATAAGAGATTGTTCGTATAATAATGTAAGATACACCATATCATTAATAAAAAAAAATCAAATAAAAGCAACACATTAACAAAAAATTTATGAATAGCATTATGTTTATGTTTAGAAGATAAAAAAGCTGAAAAAAAATTTGAAAATTCCTTCGAGCGCATAGATCGCTGACCGCTTAACTGCGGCTCGAATGTTTCGGTTTCTCGCCACTGGCGGCGCTTACTCGGCATAGACTGTGAGCGTAGAGCCCACTGAAACCAACGCAGGGTGCGGCAAAAGTATGGATACACCTGGAAATTTCGCGGAATAAGCGTAGAAAAAAAATCGAAAACCTCATATCCGTATTTTTTGACGAGGAATCCAATGGTGACCTTGAATTTGACCTTGAACATAACCTTCAAGCTCCAGTGACCCAAAAATCGATTTTTCAAATGGAAACCCCCATTTTTATCGCAGATTTAATAAGAGCGCAAAATTTTACGTTGAAACATGTATTTTGTTTTTTTTTCAAGATAATTTTAAGGGTGTTACAGACGCAAATAAAATCCCAATTAAACCTAAAATGAAGTACGAGTAAGGGCTTTTTTATTATTGTACCTCCTCCTAAATGACCTTTAAAAAAAAACAAAATACATTGTCGAAGGTTAAATTTTTCGCTCTTTTCAAATCTGTTATAAAAAATGGGGGTCACCGTGCGAATAATCGATTTTTAGCCCACCATAGCGTATAGGTTATGTTCGAAGTCAAATTGAAGGTCCCCATTGAAAAGAGCGGAAAATTTTACGTAAAAATATGTATTTTATTATTTTTTAGGTCATTCTGGAGGCAGTAAAATAAGCCCTTACTTGAACTTAATTTTAGGTTAAATTGGGGTTTTATTTGCGTCTATAACGCCCTTAAAATGACCTTGAAAAAAACAAAATACATGTATCAACGTAAAATTTTGTGCTCTTATCAAATCAGCAATAAAAAATGGTGTTTTCCATTAGATAATTCGATTTTTGGGTCGCTGGACTTTATTCACCTTTTTCCTATGCATTAGTCGCACTTTCTGGTACCGTAAAGTGAGGTTAGCGCACGAGCGTAGCGAGTATGATGCGAACGCTGCGGTGCAAAATATAAGAAATAAGTTGTCTCGTAGAAAACTCTTTCAAAAGCTTAGCTGATTAATTGACCTTACTGAACTTGAACCAAAATAGAGCGAGCCTTATTCACAAGTAGCTTTCTTTTAAATATTAAGTATTTTATAGCATTGTCATCAGTTAAAGTTAAAATAACTTAATATAAAATAAAATTTTAATTGCAGTATTTTATCATCAAACACCTCCTGCCCAACTTAATTTTGGCAGAACAAACACTAATACAGTTAATACTAGTTCGCAACAGTTAAGCGGAGGTGTTTCTGGAAATCAAGGAGCTCCACTTCTGTCTACAGGGAACTCTTTACCACCATCCGTTTCACAGCAATCATTTCATCCATTGAATGTATCACTACCCCAGTCAGGTAAATAAAATATATTAGGTTCAAAATAATACTTTTTAAAATTTTCGTCTGCACGTATGTCACTGATCTTGACGCGCTTGTGGTATGTTATGGTACATGATAAAAAAGTGCCAAAACCAAAATTTTGGACCCTCTCCCCCCTCCTACCCCCTAATATAAACGTCCATTTTCGATCTATATTTATTCTGAAGCTCTGAAGCTATTTAAAAATCTTTAAAAAATTTATAAAAATACTCTACAACAATCCAAACAACCTTGAATTTTTCCAGATTTTTCGAGTGCTTCAGGCCTTCAAAAAAAAATTATTGAAAATTTCAAAAGTCTAGATACAGTGATAGGATGCAATAAACTTTTCGAAAATTTTTTCACTCTTTTATTTCATTAAAAAAAATAACCTCAAATTTTTTCAGATTTTGACTGTTTCAAATTTTCGATTGAAGCCATCTACTCAATCTAAAGCATCACAAAGATTAATGCGAAATTCTGAAGAAGTTTCTGAAGACATTAGAAAATGATACAACTATTTTGATGCTCTAGATTGAGCTAGAAGGCATCAATCGAAAACTTGAAACGGTGAAAATTTATTAAAATTTGACAAGAAATTAAAAAAAAATATTTTCAAATTTTTTTACCGTAACCATCGGGTTCTCGGAACGTTGTTTTTGTTAAAAATAGCAGTTCTCGGCCCTAGAAGCTATCGCCTTCAATTAAAAAACATGTGTCAGAAATTCGATCTAGTATATAGAAATATCATTAAATATACCCTACGATTACTCTATAAAAAAGCCGAAATGGAGCCCATCACAAAGCTTCCTCTATGAGGAAGCAAAATCTGAAAAAGTTTGAGGTTATGTATCTTAATGAAAAGGAAAAAAGAAAAACATTTTTCAGATTTTTTGAGGCTCCGCATCGTCCTAAAAAAAGTATTTTCGTCAAAAAACGGGATTTTTGGCTTCAAAAGGTGCGTTCACATCTCTGAAAAAATTTGAAAAAATTTAAGGTTACTTTCTGAATGAAATAAATAAGTGAAAAAATTTTTGAAAAGGTTATTATATCCTATCGCTGTATATGGACTTCTAGGTTGTTTGGATTGTTGAAAATCATTTTTATAAATTTTTTCAGATTTATTAATTGCTTCAGGGCTTCAGAAAAAATATAGATCGAAAATGGACGTTTATATGGGGGGTTGGGGGTAGGAGGGGGGAGGGGGTCCAAAATTTTAGTTTTGACACTTTTTTATCATGTACTGAAACATACCAAAAGCGCGTCAAGATCGCTGACATACGTGCGAACGAAAATGTAAAAAAGTATTATTTCAACCAATCATTATAATTCTCAATATAATTTATAATTGAACTAAATGGTCAAACTATTGAAAAAGTACCTTATAAATATACAAAACGATTTAAAGTTATATTTAACGAATTACTCTTGAGATACTTCAAAAAGTCCATGCTGCTTTATAATAATTATATTGAAAAAAAACAGGGAGAAACATTTGTATTCTTTAAGCGGTGAGGTAATCTATAAAAATGTACTCACAAGTACTATTCTGAAAATAGTAATTTACGATACAAGTGCCATAAGTAACACTTTTTGGCACGGCATAGTTTAGGGCCCGAGCGCAGCGCGGGTCCTAATAGCTGGGCTGAAAAGTGTCCCCATGGCACGAGTATCGTACAACATTTTATAGTACTGTGCTAGTTCACATTTATGCCCCTTTTCCGAGCCTTGGAGTCGCACTTTCTGGTAACGCGAAGTGAGGTTAGCGCACGAGCGTATGTGAGTGTGATGCCAGAATGTACGACTTATGCCACAGAAAAGCGTGCCATAAATGTGAACTTATGCCACGCAGTGCTATAAATTATTATTTGTGCTATATAGCTGATGCGTTGGTGTCGCCTTAAAGTATTATCGCTATCGCTATTACTTTGGAGAATTCCCTAAAGCAATTTGAAAAATGAAAACTATTATTTTATACATTTGTTAATTGACGCGCAGTCGTATTTATATTAATAAGAACATTATTTAATTTTGTAGATGGATATCCTTCATACAGCAGTGGAATGAGTAACGTATCTGGTAGGACAAAAAAGACTAGAAGCAATGCTATCATTGACATAGTCAATCCTAATACGGGTCAAAATATCAGCGCTGAAATTTATGAGGATGACACTTCGTCACGTGATACTGAAACCAGTGAAAAGGATGCTTCGAAAAAAACTGTAAGATAACTTATTTATATACCCATTATCAATTATTATAGTTTTTAATTGGGTAACTTCTGTACATGAGTACATAATTCAATAAATGTCAGTAGAGTTCATCATGTATGGATAAGCCTAAAAATCACTTTAGCATTATCTTTCCTTTTTCATTGTACTTTTTTAAACTCTAAAGGATTGATTTCTCACTCTAATACTGATTTTTTAGCATTTTTTCATACACTTTTCGTTTTTCAAAAACACACCTCAATTTTCATAATTTTCGGAGTGAATCTTTTGCGCAACCGCACCCGGGTTGCACTCCTTCGGAATATTAATGGCCACGAACAATTTTGGGCGAGATGATAAGACTCGTAGGTCACTTGATAAGCAATCTTAAGACCAATACTACAAAAATTAATCTGGAATAAAAAAATAAGTATGCTTGAATGTTTTTACAAAGTGATCTATGAATCCACTTTAGGTTGCGTTTCTGATCAATGATGTTCCGAATAAGTATACACCACCCGGGTGCTACAGCTGACGGAGAAAATTGTTTTTCAAAGAGAAATCAATATTTTAGTGTATTTAAAAAAAAATTAACACCATACACCATATCCTCTCTTAAATAACATATGTCCTGTTCGGGATCCAGACAAAATCTCCGGCGATAAAATCTCCGCGCAACAAAATCTCCACCGCATTTTTTTAATTTTTTATGTGTTTTAGGTATCTATAAATATTATTTTATTACTTTACTGGGTTATTTTAGGTTTTGTTGTGATATTTTGTCACCGGAGATTTTGTCGCGGAGATAATTTCGGTAACCCGTCCTGTTTATGTCATTGTAATGAATTGATCATTTGTGTTGGGTAGATGGCGTGCGATGCATTTAGCGCAAGTTCTTAAATTCTGAGTACGCTAAGTTTATACATTAAGACGTGCGAAAGTCTGGACCTTAGTCCGTGCTCGCCCTACAGCCCTATTATTTCTTCACGGAGGCTCCTGGTAGCCTATCGGAAAAATTTAGCATACATCCTTTTTTTAGTGAATTCAACAATATTCTGGATTCGAAACCGTAGCTGTGGGTTGCTAAATAACGCGCCTTTTAGAATTTTCAAGAAATTTGGAAAAATCGGTAAAGCCTCTTGCAAATTTTACACTTTCAACTATTTTATTTTTATAATGCGAATTGCCCTTTTCAAATGTCAAATTGTGTATGTTGCTAGCTTCGACTGGAATTGCTTTGGTTGATTTTACAATAACAGAAAAGGTATTTGCAGAATATCACTCTTTTTTAGACCGATTTTCGGAAATCGGCTCTGTACTCTGTAAAACCCTCCGTATTGCTGCTGTGAACAACTGTACCAAATTTCATCCCATTTCATTTAACAATTTTTCCGGAAAACGGGATCGAAAATTTTAAACCTGAATACCTAAATTAAAAATTTCGATCCCGTTTTCCGGAAAAACTGTTGTATGAAATGGGATGAAATTTGTTACAATTGCTCACAGCGTTCCACAGAGCTATTTTTCGAAAATCACTTAAGTAAAAAAGTTATTTAAATTTACATTTTTAATGCTCGGTGGGTCAAAATCGGGGGCTTCGCCTCCACACCTTAACTTTTCGTTGCCTCATGGACGCCTTGGACTATCTGTGAGTGTCGCTGTCCGACGTATCTGCTTTCTGGCAAGCAAATCGTGGCTACGTCCTCTTCAAGTCGTGACTCTCACTTATCACTCTTGGCACACACTCAGGCACCATGTCTTCTGCTGTATACGGCTTTTTCACGACACTCCCGTCTCCACACACACTTCCGCATTTCGTCCGAAGTCTCAATTTCAATCTCTATTGTACTCCACCATGTCCTAGCTAACCTAGCAACTTTCTCTAACGTCTCGTATCACTCTCGCATATTCACACGCTCGAGTTCGTCTGATTCGCGTCATTTAACGTTCTGTGACTTTGACAATATTTTGTTTTTATCATCCAAGTTAACGATATTCACTGTACGTATTATTACATATTCCATACCAGTTTTCCGGGCGCATTTCCATTGAATGCTAGTGAAATGACTTACAGTCATGGGACATTTTTCGTTTACTATCAAGAGGTGCGGTAGCACCTAGCCGGCAAAATACAAAAAAAAATTTTTAAAAAATAATTTCGAAAAAATTATTTCAAAAAAATTTTTTTGTTGAATTTCCATTACTCAACGTGGAAACAATAACATAACATGGAAAAAAGATTAAAAAATATATATTCTGAAAAAGCATCTTCTTGACCCTATTAGCTAAAAATATGCAACTCACTAAAAATAAGTTCTTCGTGGCAATATTTAATGTAATGTGCACATTATCAAACTCTTTTTATTAACAAAAAATTTAATATGGCACCAAACATCTCAGATTTCTTGCACGCAACTTCCGTTGGGATATTCGCATTTACTCAAACCCCTTAAAAAAATTGTGTAATTTTATTTGTGTTCAGCAAACTCGCAAACGCCTGAATAAGAAATTGTGTTTGCGCATATACAACAAATTTTATCTTCGAAATGCCCTTCTGAAATCATTTTTTCTCAAACAAACAAACAGTTATTCATATCTTCTATCATTCAAATTAAAAAGTTTGTATGTTATGACAAAGTTATTACACACTCACTGACAGTTCAAATATTCACTTCATTAATTTTCTCATTCTAACACATATCATCGCTTACTCAATTGACTGATTAATACCGAACATTTTACTTTCTAATTTTTTTTTGTTGGGTTTAAAAGAAAATACAATAGGTTTAAAAATACAGTGAGAACATTATTGTTTGAATAGAAATGTATGTTCTTATCTATTATAACTATTAATTGAATTTCTATTTCTTTCAGAGTTGTGGAGCTGAATTTGTTGTAGCTGAATTTGCTGCTCAGGTGGCTAAACTGGCATCTGACTCAGCGTCAGATGTACCAAAGAAAGATTCAAAATCTGACAACGTTGATGAAATTTCAAGTAGTTCTGAAAATACTCCTGGGTTTGATGGAAAAGATCAATCAAATTTGCCTCAAGAAGGTAATTATTATAAAATACTATGAAAATATTTTTAAAACGATTTGAGGATGTCTAACTGTCTTGAAGTCGCAACTTAACCACTATTTTTAAGCCCTTATATTATAATAGTACTTTGCGCACATAAGAAAATGTTCATGCTCAAAGATCAGACTTAGTTAAACTTTATATTTTTGGGGTCGCTGAGTCCGAATCCGATGAAGGTTTGTCTAGTTTAACTTATTTTCAAGGTTCTTTGAAGGTTAAATTAAGGAAAAGAGGTGTAAAAATCTGAAAAGATTCGTACATGAGTTTTTGAATCCAAATCCAAAGTCATATGACTTTTTAGTTACTTCTGAAGTCACCTTAAAGGTCATTTGAAGGTCAAACTTAGAGAATTCAATATATAAATTCGAAAAATTACATTTAGTTTTGAGGGTCGCTGAATCTGAATCAAAGGTCATTTGGTTTATACCCGGTCTTAAAAAGGTCATTTGAAAGTCACATCATGGAAATAGTGAAAACTCTAAAAAGAACTCATGTACAGTATTTGAGGATGCTGAATTAAAATCTGAAGTCAGATGACCACTATTAACTTCCATTCAAGGTTATTTGAAGGTTATGCTCGGATATTTTGATATAAAAATCCGAATAAATTACACATACCATTCACTTTCGAAATGACCAAAAATATAGAGGGTGCAGCAAAAGTATGGATACACCTGGAAATTTCGGGGAATTAGCGGAGGACATAAATCAAAAACCTCATATCCGACGTATTTTTTGACGAGGAATGCAATGGTGACCTTGAATTTGACCTTAAACATAACCTTCAAGCTCTAGCTACCAAAAATCTATTTTTCAAATGGAAACCCCCATTTTTTATTACAGATTTGAAAAGAGCGGAAAATGTTACGTTGAAACATGTATTTTGTTTTTTATTAAGGTCATTTTAAGGGCGTTACAGACGCACCTAAAACCCTAATTTAACCTAAAATTAAGTTCGAGTGAGGGCTTTTTTTCTAACTGTACTGACTCCAAAATTACCTTAAAAAAAAAAATACATATTCGAACGTGAAATTTTTCTTTTCAATCTGTTGTAAAAAATGGGGGTCACTGTGTGAATAATCGATTTTTGGTTCACCGTAGGGTATAGGTTATGTTAAAGGTCAAATTCAAGGTCACCATTAATAAGAGCGGAAAATTTTCCGTAAAAATATGTATTTTATTATTTTTTTCAAGTCATCTTGGAGGTGGTACAATTAGAAAAAAAGACCTTACTTAAACTTGATTTTAGGTTAAATTAGGGTTTTATTTGAGTCTGTAACGCCCTTAAAATGACCTTGAAAAAAAAAACAAAATACATGTATAAACGTAAAATTTTGTGCTCTTATCAAATCTGCAATAAATAATGGGGGTTTCCATTATAAAAATTGATTTTTGAGTCGCTGGAGCTTGCAGGTTATGTTTAAGGTCAAATTCAAGGTCACCATTGCATTCCTCGTCAAAAAATACGTCGGATATGAGGTTTTTGATTTATGTCCTCCGCTAATTCCCCGAAATTTCCAGGTGTATCCATACTTTTGCCGCACCCTGTATATAAGGTACATTCAAACCTAAAATTTGTTGCTCTTTTTAAATCGACAATAAAAATTTTGAGCTACTTGTGAAAAATTTATTTTTGTTTAACTATAGTTCTGTGGTTGTATTGAAGATCAAATATAAGGTGTTTTTTTAAGGTGGTGCCGAAGCCCCAATTTTTACCGACCGAACATTGAAAAATTTGTAATCGCATAACTTTTTTTTTAACCCGAATTTTTAAACCCGGCTCAGTGGTGACCTCCGTATTGATGCTGTAAATAATTGTGCCAAATTTCATCCCATTTCATTAAATAGTTTGTCCAGAAAACGGGATCAAAATTTTTGAGCCTGAAACCCCAAATTGAAAATTTCTATCCCGTTTTCAGGAAAAACTGTTAAATGAAATAAGATGAAATTTGGTAAAGTTGTTCACAGCATCAATACGGAGTGTTCCACAGAGGCGTTTTTCGAAAATCAGTTTAGTAAAAAAGTTATTTACAACTCATCACGACAATTCTTCCGGGACAACTCATCTCGAAGACAATTCATCCTATGGCATTTCATCCTGACGAAAAATCATCCCGAAAAAAAATCTCACACACACATATACACTTGAAAATAATATAAATCAGGTAAATAATCTACTCGGGAATGAGCTGAGATCACACTATATCACGTATAGTCACTCAATCAAACTCCGAAAGCAAAGGAAACGAGAGAAAAATTGAATAAAATTTTTAGTGAGAATGATTAGTCGCCCAGGATGAATTGTTGCGGATGAGTTGTCGTGGATGAGCTGTTGCAGGATGAGTAGTCCGGATCCCAAATCGGGGCTTCGGCAACACCTTAAATAAAAGCTTACGAGCTATTACGGTAGAAGATCGTGAAGAGAGTTGATAGATGTTGTTCAGCTGGCTGCTGGCGCTGGTTTTTCATTGCTCACAACCTTGCTCCTTTTTAAACACGTATTTAGAATTGTTCGTTTCCGAGATTACAAATTGCAATGATCTTAATTGCTAATATATGGGCCAACTGTCCCCTCAAAAAATAAAATAAATATTAAGTATGTACTTTTGAAGAGTTCATTGAAAAATAAAAATCCCGAAAATTTTAGCTTTATAGGTCCATCCATCATAGATGTGCAGGGGTTCAAAGTTGGAATTTCATTTTTCAAATTTTATTCTGCTTCTTAAGGCTTCTCTATACACACTGTAGTCGGTAACTAATTCGTGTATTTTGTACTCATTTTTTTCATTTTCTATTCAACCATTAGTCTTGAAGTTTTGTGGGGGTGATCAGGAAACCAATACAAATATGCCTATGAAGCAATTTTTTCATATAAATATTGTAAGAATTTTTTTTTTCAATTATCTGAAAAAATAGCTTCATAGGCACATTTGTATTAGTTTCAAGATCACTCCCACAAAATTTCAAGACCATAGGTTGTATACTAAATGAAAAAAAATGGGTACAAAATACGCGAATATAGTTACCGACCGAGTGTGTATAGAGGACCCTTAAGGTTAAATCGACGCTGTTAAGGAAGAGTAGCACGTTTCTATACATTTTTAAATGTAAACGTGCTAGTCTTCCTTAACAGCGTCGAAATATGAAAAAAATTGTTGAAACATGATTTTATATGTAAAATTTGATGAGGAATTCAAATTTTTTATCCAAAATCATGTTCACAAGCTGTTACTCCATTAAAAGGAGAAAAAAGCATTAAAAAAAATTCACATGTTCGTATCCATCGATTAGGCCAATATGTTCATCAATACATCAAAATACAACTTCTGATAAATTTTGATCATCGGCGGACAAACACACTTCATTATTAAGCATGATATGAGTCAAGAAACGTGGGTTTTCTCTAATTTTTTTTGATTCTTTACTCATATTATGCTCATGTGTCATATCTCTAAAAAATATTAATTAACATATTACTTGCATCGTGAAATGTGATTGATAAATAATGCGCTTAGACTAGCCTGAGATATTCAGGAAAGAGAAATCTTAGAGATGATGGAAATTTAATTGAAAGTACACGTAAATGATGCATTTATTTTCGGGTATATAAAACATAAGAATATAAAGTGGAACTAAACCAAGGTGGACTTAAACACTACAGTAATATAAATTGACACTCAAAATCTAGTCATAAAATTTTGAGCATCTTTACTAGCGTAATCAGTGTGAGATAGTGAGTTAAGATAGATGGTGGTTACAATTTTTCAAATTATTTACAAAGTCAACGTTTTTATGACAGAAAAAACAACTGTTATTTGTTGAGAAATAAAGTAACTTTTTTCTACATTTTAGGATATATTTCGTTCATTATAGTAGATATTTTATTTATTTCAGAAGTTTTACTAATGGAATTAAACATTTTTTGTACCGTTTATTTATTTGTTTCTTTTCCAGCTATAAATGTGGAAAAAGAAGATGCTTCACTCATTGCAAATCCCATTTCAGTTGATGATGAGGGATCTACTATTAAAATAACTGAAAATCCTGAAAGCTCAAATACCACTGATCAAGAGACAGAAGTTGTACCATCAACAAGTACATCCGATTCTTGTACTATTCATGAAGTAAGTACATATATTACTATCTAATTTGGTAAAGAGACCATTTTGATATTGTTTGTAACTTGATATTTTTATGCACGAAAGCTACTTGAATCCCTCCTGAAATTAGAAAATAATCAGGCGCATCGCGGTTGAACGTTCCGTTTCATATTTTTGTGAACAAAATATACCTCCGAATACTTTTCGTAATCAATTGCGATAAATAACATACACTCCAAATATCTATGTATCACAGCATTTAGAACTTCTGCAATAAATTTAATCTTCGTCAAAAATGGCTTATAGCGGGTCACTTCTCTAATTTTTAACATTTATTTCTTAGGAATCTGCAATCAATGATAACATTGATCCAATTGAGTCAATCGACAAAAAGAGTCAAAACCCAGTAACCTGTGATGATATGATTCCAAATGAAGCAGAAAATGAAATGTGTGGCGTTGAAGGTAAGACAAGTATTTTAATGTAATATTATTGTTTTCTAATTTGACTTTGTAGGAATAAAATATCTATTATTTAATTAGTTTTTACTCTTATCGAAGGAATTTGAGTGAAATTCAATTATATAAATATTACCATCATTGTTTGCTCAAATTGGTATTTTAACCAAAGTAAAGATAATTTTAGGTCAACTTTTCTTTTACTTTTTGTAAAAAAAACGCATTATTTTTGTAACAAGATAAATATTTTTATTATAACTAGTTTAACAAATAGGGGTGTGCAAGTACTCGCCATGTTTTTGAGTTTCAGCTAAATGAATGATGCATTAACAGAACTATGAATTTCCCCGTGAAATGTGCATACTCGATAGAGTCGACTTTTTTTCAAATACTCGCACACCCCTACTGACAAATGATAAGTCTTAGATTAGTCTTTCTTTTGGATTCTCCAACGACTTTTTTTCTAAAATAAACTCTTTGAATATGTGTAAAAAAATTGGGGTCACCGTGTACAAAACCAATTTCTGGGACGCTGTAGCTTTGAAGTTGTCCTCAAAGTCAAATTAAATTCAAGGTCGCCATTAGTTTCTCCGTCAATAAATACGTCAGATATGAGATTTTTGATTTTTTTTATCCTTACTCCGTGATATTTTCGGGGCCTCTTTATTTATTACCCGCCCTGTTTATTAAATTTGCTCGCATTGACTTTTCTTATATCTGTAAATCCCAATAATATTGGTTGCCCGAGCATCAAATAAGGTTGACGAATCAAATTGAAGATGAAGACCTCTTATTTAAAAATAACATCAAATGAGTATATTTACCTCTCGCTCCTTCGAATGATAATGATGAAGGTTGAGTATTAAAGCCATTTTGAATGTAAAAACTCTATTTTTTGATGAATAAAAAAACATCGATTTAGCTCGTTGCCAAAAAAATGATCCACAAAATTCTTTTGAAAATTTAAAAACCTATCTCTCAAAAAATTTTGGGGACGTTTCGAGTTTAAAGGAAAGTATATGGAAACTTTTATAATGTTGAAAATCGCGATTTTCACGAAAACAGCTAAGCTAGATTAGCTCATCTCTGTACGTCTGATTTTAGAAATGTTACCTTCCATGAGAATGGCTCTTAGCAATGCACTTGAATAGCTAAGGATTTGAATTTTTTTTTAAGTTGAAATGTTGAAATTTCAACGAAAAAAAAGGCGACGGACAGGCCATTTTTTCAAAGTTTCAATTGGGACAACAAAAGGCCCTTAGGCATTATGAGACCCAAAAATTTGGTTGAGAATTTTTTTATACGTTCTCAAAAATACTTAAATTAGAAGAAAATCCATGAATCCGATTTTTAAATTTGGGCGAAAAGTATTAGAATTGCTCATATATATAACAATGTAGTGAAATGAAATGAAAAAGAGAGGATTTAAAATTAGAAAAAAAGGCAGAGAAGAGTAGTAATCAGGTCGTAACTTTTAAAATATTCAAAAAATCCTCACGTTTTTAGTTTTCATTTAAAGTTTAACACTTAATTTTCCATGATAACTGTAAAAACATTTTTCGAAATACCTCGATTAATTTACCGGCCATTGAAAATTTATAATAATTCTATGCATTTGCACATTTTATTATAATTACAATTTTCTCTTATTTTTAATTTTTTCTATTGATGTTTTAAATTATTTTTCTCCGTTTATTGTTTTTTGTTAAATTGTTTCTTCCGAAAATTATATTAATGGAAAATTGATAGTATTTTAACCTTCATATGATGTGATAAATTGAATTAAATATTATTTATTTTTACGCTTTATAACTTATAAAAATTAAATCACTTGTGCATAAGGTGAGTGGTAATTTTATCCAATGGAATACCGGAATTTCCGTTGTCATATCATCCATAAAAACTAGTATAAAAGGTATCTTAAATCATTGACCGGCTCTCTAAAGGTTAACGCTCACTTACTACGTATTGTATCTTTCTAATTCCACCTTTGAGTTACACTAGACCCAATCTAATTCTGCCTGGTCCGCAGAGTAGTGGAACGTGTATAAGCATAGGAATTCCGGCGTTCCAGCAGACAGAATTAAAGTAGGTCTAGTGTACACTAGCAGACTTAGATACTCAGAGCTCGAAAATTTGCGATTGATTAGTCGCTTCCTTCGCAATTTTAAACAACAGCGCGTGACTACAGTTTCACGACGTGCATTGCACAGTGAAGGAAGCGACTAATCGATCGCAAATTTTGGTGTATATATATTAAAATATTTTGAATAGTTTCAAAGTTTGCCGCTAGGAGTTCTAGCGTTGCATCATTCCTTTTCATTCTGAAAGTTGTGTAAGCACCTTTAAAATGTTCCTATGAGACTTAGTTCTCGTTTTATATTCTCACATGTAGCGCGCTGCAGTTGGAAGTACATTTTTCAAACTTTCTTCGTATCATATACCTCTTAGGTCTTGTTCGCATTCTATCGCTCGGCTAAATAATGTATCTGGTACTTTAAAATAATAATTCGGACATTGCATGCACGTGCTCGCCGATTTTAGACAATGTTCTAATACGAAAAGCATTTTTAAATAGCTTGTTATTCATTTTTATACAAAATCTGCGACTTCTTTCTTTTGGGAATGCAAATATTTTCAAGTTAAATATTATTTTTTGATAATCTTTTTGCAGTTATTTTTTTCATTGAGTTTATTTGATATCGTTTTGTTATGAAAAAATTAAGTTTTATATATCAATATTATACTTGATTTCAATTTTTTTGAATTGTTGAACAAGTTTTATTAAGGTTTACGTTACATAACTTTTTTATTGATGTATTACTGAAATATTGAAGTATTTATAATGATTATGAAATTGTTATATAAGTAGAAGCATATTGATAAAAGTGAATATTTTTGATAAATTTTGTTGATGTTTTTAAATTAAAATTCAAGAAAGACATGTGTAAGAATTGAAAAAAACTGACACATATGGTAAGAATTATTGTCTTATTTTTAGTTAAATGATAATTAATATAATTTATTCTCAATAAGAATAGTGACATTTCAGTATTTTTCTTTAAAACAAAGTATTCTAAAAAGATGAATGTTTGAAAAAATTGCCTTTTGAAACTGTTATAACCATATCCTATTACTATAAAATGATACTTAAGAGATCATTCCAATGGCACTGTCAAATATGATAACCATTATAATTACAATTCTATTATAATTATTCCTCTCTACATTGTTACTTTTTTTTTCTATAACTGCAGTTTTAATTGACTTTAGATGAGATTTAATATATTTTTTAAGAAATATGTCTCAAGTTGTATATAGCTCTATTGCAGGTTAGACTTTTCACCATGAACACTACTAAAGCATTCACATAAATGTGGATATTATATTTTAAAATTATTTTATTTTGGACAAAGTTAGTGCACTGCAAAATGCACATTATATTGATAATATTTTTTTAATGAACATCAATAAGAATAAATTAATATAAGTAGTGGTTCACAAAACTATTATCAATCTTCCAATATTACTGTTTTTTTATTGAGAAATAGATTATTATACTAAGCTTCAGAGTTTTAATTTTATACTTTATTTATTAAGTAAAAACCCTTATAAAAATTTCCAATAGGATCCCGCGAAATTCCTATTGGAATCCTATAGGACTCCTGTAGGAATTTCGCGAGATCCTATAGGAAATTTTTATAAGGGAAGCAATTCAGGGAATGTTAAAATAAATTTCTTAGTTAATATGCTTCAAATGAACTGGTTAATTATAAATGTTCATTTTTTTATGTTGAATTACTCCATTACACTAATAATATTTGTTAATTCTTATGATTACCAATTATTGTTTTTAATTCTCTAAATACACTTCATTCGTAAAATATAAAAAAGTAAATGAGACAACATTATTATATATATTACTTTATATATTGGAGGAAAAGTTTAGTGTTCCACATAGTCCAGGTTGATTCATTTGTGTTTTTTCAGAAATAGAACTAATTGATAGCAGCTTACTTGATTAACTTAACATGATTTACATATACTTCATCTTAACGTCTATCTTACCAACTTACTTCATCTAACGTATATAGTTGTCTGAATTTCAAAAATCAAATTTATCATAATTGTCTAAAATCAAATTTGAAAAAAAAATTTTCTCATTTTAATGTAGTTTTATGATCTCACTGCCTTAAATTGTTATGAACTTTTTTGTATAACAACTTTCATATTTCATTTATTGTATAATTTTTATAAAACTTACATAAATCTTCTTAGTCAATCAATTGAAAGTAGGTGAACATATTTTAAATAAATCTATGCCAAAATAATTTTATTGAACATTAAAATGTTCATGAAGATAGTAAATTTAGATTGCTAATTTTCTGTATTTATTTTATACATTATTAATTATGAGTTTATTTATATTTGAGGGAAAAATTGTATCAATAACCTTGGCACATGATCATTCACAATTTATCTTAAAACATATCTAATTCATACTTCGAATAAGGAATATTTCTTACAATTTGATTTTGATCAATTAATTTAAATGTAAATTGTTTTCAGGTATAATCATGCAAAAGCAGAAAAATAGAAATAAAACTAAAAATCGTGAGGTAAATCGTAGAAGTATGGAAAAAGAAAAATCAGATATGGACATACCATCAAATACAAATAATTCAAACATAAACATTCAGCCAAAAGAAGAAACCAATCCAGATAATGTCATTGATAAAAATAATGTTTTGAAAGAAGAGCAGCTCGAAGATCAAAACAGTTGCAAACTTAATGATCCAGAGTCTTCAGATAAAAGTACGATAATTGATAACGTTGCTATTGAAGAAAGCCATACTAATACCATGAGTCATGATAATGAAGAAAAAGAAAATAAAAAAGATGATGTACCTTCATCATTGTTAATAGAAGACGTAGTAGATCATGTTCACCAGAAGAGCGAACAATTTTTGGAAGAAAAACTATCCTCTATGCGTATTTCACAAAAAAATGATGAAAACATAGATGTAAGTGAAAAAAATGATACTGACAATACAGAAGTACCTAGTGATGAAAATGCTGATGCTAAAAAGTCTGAGGGTCAAGGTATTCCAACTTTGAAATACTCATACCATGAAGATCAATGGAGCCCGATTAACACTCAGGGTAAAAAGGTATATGGAAGAGAATTTTTGATGAAGCTCCAACAAGATCCTTGTTGTCATGTCAAGCCAACAAACTTACCAGATTTAGATGTTGTTTTAAAAGAGAATTCCAAAAATAGAATTATGTCTGATCAACGTTATAAAGAAAGTAATATAGGACGCCATGAATCACTATTTCCAGGATTTGTAAAATCTTCTCTTAGCTCTAAAATGGTAAGATAATATAAACTTTTTAATGTTAAAGAGCATTTCTACACACTTGCTTTGAGATAAAGATTGACATTCTCAATTTCAATGAAAAGACTTGAAAGTTGCAAAATTTCCTAAAACACCACCATATTATTTTCATTCCTATTTGTGAAATATTCTTTTAGATCATAAATTTTTGTTTTGAGGAAAAAATACTAATAATTTTTATGATCTGAACAAAAATAATTTTTTTTTTGTCAATTCATATTACTTATTGTTTTCTTGAAAATTTCCTGAATACTTGTTTGGAAGTTCTAAAAATCCAGTAAAAACAAGACAACCATGGTTTTACAATTGAAAATAGTCGGGCAACTATGAGAATATATATGGTCTTTGAACAATTTTTTCTTTTCATTAGTTTCAAGAAAATAAGAAATTCATGGACAAAAATCAATTTTTCAACTCTGTAAAGTGTGAAAACCTAAAACAAACTATTCAAGAAGTTTTAATATAACTTTCTAAATCCAATCAATTGTTTCAAATGCTATTTTCTGCAAATACATTAATAATGTTTCATTAGATATTCAGACTGAAATGAATCTGAAATGTAAAATTTGGGCAATTTTAAAATTTTATAAATGCTATTTACGATTACTTTTTGTATCCAGAATAAGTTTTAATTTATAAGTTGTTTGCTTTCTTATGAAATTGATAATTATTAAAGTAAAAAGTAACCTCTTATAATATTTTTTAATTTTTTAGCTTCCACTTAATAAAAAAAATCATCTTGGTAAACCCAAAGCAGCTAAACCAAGTTTGATTCATGTTTCACTTTCTCTCAGAGAAGATGTGAAATTACGAGAGACTGAGAATGCTTGGAAGCCAACAAGATTGGTATCAACATCCAATTCTGATGAGCAAAATAAAACTGATGCTCTTTATAAAAGAGTTAGAAGTGTATTGAATAAGCTTACTCCTCAGAAATTTGACACATTAATTAATCAAGTTAGAGATTTGCACATCGACACTCAAGAACGACTTCAAGGTGTGATCAATTTAGTTTTTGAGAAGGTAAGTTAAAGATAAATAATCTTATTCTTTTATTCATAAAAGATAATATTTGATCCATGAGATGTCTTATATCACACAAATTACTCCATAAAGGCTACATTGTAATTGACGTACAAACAAACTTTAAGTTAATAATCACTCAAGTGGGTGTACTCTTCCAGGAATCTTTTAAAATTGAAAGCATAATTTCACGTTTTTTGATACTTTTTGTAAAATTTACATTTTTCTAAAACTTGCTTTGATGCAAAAATACCTGAAAAAAGGCTCATAAAGCTTAAAATCGCCAAACGCAGCTAAAGTTTTTTGTACGTTTTTCGTCACGCTTTAACATTTCCTGTTCGTTAGATTTGAAAGCCAGATACGATACAAAAATCAAGCAGGTAGAAGCTGACATTCTGAAGAAGTTTTGAAGAACCCAATTAGAGTTGGAGTTTCGTGTATTTTTCAATGAAAATTTATTGTTAAAATCTTTCTATACTGAGCTACGAATTATTTCAATATTTGCGATATTTATGAATTTCAGAAAAATTCTAACCTTGAGCTGCTGAAAAAGCGTGTTAAAAAAATTTTATTTCGTATATTCGACTATGTTGAGAAGCAGACATAATTTTGACGCGCGCTAGCCCAACTTTAATTCTATTGAACCTAAGCTGTCTATCGAAACATTAATAGAGGGGTTCAGTAAAAGTTCTTGTGCATGTTAATACCAAAATTATTTTGTCACTTGCAAGTTTTGTTAAAAAATCGTATTTTGCCATCTATTGGCGATTTATCAACCTAAATAAGATTTTTCATAGAGGCAATTTTTTTTGGGCCAAGCACATGGTAATATTCGGTGTTGTGATAATAATGTTTCTTGAAAATATCATGTAAAGTATTATAATCAGAAATAGTACATCACTTACTATTGAACATAGTAATTTTTATTACATATTATATTAAAATTTCCTGTAGATATTATAAGTGTAGTTGTCAAACACGAGTACCGTTTAATTCATCAATAAAAAAATGTAAAAAAAGCGTAGTGGGAGCAGTCTGTGGACATAAAATACATTGCAAAAAAATCAATAGTACATGAGTAGACATTAGACTGACAGTAAAAAATAAAAAATTTTCTTTTGGCCCACGTCTGACGGAAAAGTGATAATTATCCTAATTTACGATATAGCTAATTTAATGATAAATTTATTGAAAAATGTTATCTCTTTTTTAAGTAGATGCACGAGTTTGTAAATGTAATCTCAGAACTGCTTCTATCTTGAAATACTTTCTATTTTTTAGTCTAGAAACTTCTATAAATCAATTCAGCATTAAAAAATTACAAAAAAATCAGTTTTGCACCACGAAAATTGGAACAAATGTTGACGACTTCAACATGCAAAAGCCCCTATAAAAATTTTGATATAATTTTTTAATAGTCATCTGGCTGACTTTTATGGTATAATACTGAAGCAATCTAAGTCGGGAAGAGCTAATATACACGTTAAACTGGTGCACTTAGTAGAAATATTGAAAATCATAAAATGGTCTGACTTATTCGTAAAATTCAAATCTTTACTTACAAAAAGTCGTGATTTAAATTCATGTAACGTGGGACCCACTGTCGATAGATTTTTAAAGTCCATAAACGTGGTCCTAAAATACGCAAAATCTCTTTTACATAAAGTAAATGTCAAATTGTGACAGGAAAAATTCATCTTGACAAAAAAAATTTTTTCAAGACTTTTTTGCATAATTCTTATAAATAAACTTGAAACTATGCCACGCTAATATGTTATAATGTCAAAAAATATTTTTCAGGCTATCGATGAACCGAATTTCTCGGTGGCTTACGCACTTATGTGCAAGGAACTATCCAATATCAATGTTAGTGGCAGTAATTCAGAAGATTCCAGCTCAACTAATTTTAGAAAATTAATTTTAACTCGCTGCCAATCGGAGTTCGAAAAAAATACTGTTGAAGAAAATGCACGATCTGAAAAATTAAAAATGATTGAAGATTGTACAGACCCAGAGAAGAAAAAAGAACTGCAATTAAGTCTTGAAGAAGAAGAACGTCGTATGAGAATTAAATCTGTGGGTAACATACGTTTCATAGGTGAATTGTTCAAACAAAACATGTTGACGTGTAAAATTATGATTCAATGCATAAGGCATTTGTTGAAACAAGCTGATGAAGAAAATCTTGAATGTTTATGTAAATTACTGACAACTATAGGAAAAGCTCTTGAAATGAAAAATACTGATCTATCTGAATATTTTAAGCAAATGCAACAAATTGCTCATAGTAAAGGTAAAGTCAGTTCGAGAATAAGGTTCATGTTGCAAGATGTTATTGATTTACGAAATAATAAGTGGGTTCCAAGAAGAAATGATAGTAATCCTAAAACCATGGATCAAATCCAAAAAGAAGCCGATTCCGAAAGAATGGATATGCAATTGAATAGTATGCCCTCAAATACTCCTAGAAAAGAAGAGAGACCAGCTGAACGAAAACGAAATCGTAAGTACAAAACTATCTTTTACTTTTTTCACTAACTGTTAAAAAAATCGATGAAAAAAAAAAAAAATAATGATAAATTGTACATCTTTTCGAAATGCCGAATACACAATTGACTTGTTTAGTAAAGGTGACGCTAAAAAAATGTTTACCACTTCAGTACGATAGTATTATTTGTATCTAGGTGACGGCTCGGCTGATAATCATGTACTCTGAAACCTTTTTTAGACTATATTGACTTTTCCCAGTCAATAACACAGGCTTATATTGAAGTGGAACCATTATATAATCATATTGCTTTATAAATATTTAAATGCATTTTTGTCAATGATTTTTCACAGGCGGAGGTGTTAGCGTGGAAGATGGATGGAGTCAACCTGTAGGAAGGACGAGACCACAGATTTATTCAATTGAATCTGCAAAATTGAAAAATAAACTGGTATGCTACATTTTTAATTTCGTTACATCCATACATTAAATTGAGGGGGACCCACGCTTAGTGTCCATAAAAAAATGTTTGTCTATCAGTTTGAATTGCTCATACTTTGTAGTATTTCACTTTATTTTTGTATATTTTTCATTGTTTAATAATTTTTTATTCATTTAATCGTTATTCAAGATTGAAGGAGTCTCAAAATTGTATGAAACCTAAAAATATTCTGTGATTTTATTAATTTTCTCAATCGAAGGTGTGACAACATCTGTTTTTTCGGCGTTTGGACAAAAAAAATTAAATTATTTTTAAAGTAAAATTTTGTCTCAAAAATCTGTCTGCTACTTACGAATATTGAGCGGTAGTTGTAACCGAGTCCCATAAGAACGTGGGTTGAGGTGGGAAAACGTTGAACTACATTTTCTCTTTATTTAGTGTAGCAACTCCATAGTTTTTATTTTGTTAATAATTATAACTACAAAACAAATCCTCGAGGTTGTTACATATACTTTGTAGTGCAGGCTAATTTTAAAGAATCACTAAGACAGATTTTTAGAATGATGGTTTAAAAATTATATTACTAAACTTCATCATTTGTTTTAGGTGAAAAAATTTTTTCACATTTTTTTAGGTAAAATATATAAGTAATTTTATTTATTTTTTAGCCGTCGGTAGATGATATGCAACTTGGAAACAGGTCTCATTATCAATGGGGCCAAACCCCAAAAATATCTACCCCAAATAAATTTAGCTATTTGGAAAATGTAGAAACGGATCGACGAATGGCCAACATACCACTAGCTGGGTAAGATTTATATTACATTTAATACTCTAAAATTAATCATGGGGCATAAGTTTACATTTATTACACGCTTTTTGGCAGCATAAGTCACATTTTACGGAAGCGCGGCGTTCGCACCGCACTCGTTGCCCTTGTGTGCTAACCTTACTGCGCGGTGCCAGAAAGTGTGGCTTGAGTTGTAGAAAAGCGAGCCATAAAAGTGAACTTATGCCCCGCAGTGCTATAAAAGAAGCAATAGAACCATTTTCGTTCGAAACCATTTATCTTGAATTGTTGTAAGAGAAATTGAAATAAAAAGAGCATGTAATCGAGAAGCGCGTGACGCGCTCCGAATGGCCAGTATGTTAGACGAGTAGCGTCACTTCACGCTCCTCATATACACGAGAACTGTGATTCGAGGACCCGCGAAAATAACCCAATATTCTTATGTCCTAACTATTATTGTCTTAACTGTCCTAAGTATTATAACCTAACGTTATTATCCGAAATCTATAAAAGATACGATATTGAATAATATTTTGATATTGAAGCTCGCTATACTCAAAATGGTTCTATTACAATCGTAAAGTCAGCCTAGTGTAGAAGTAACTCCATCAATATCGGTCAATGTAACTATTATTATTATTTTTCCTTTACATCTTAACATAAAGACAACCACAACCACATAAGTTCCGATCGAGATATTAACAAATCGTCGATGCTTACGAAGACTATCTCTTTTTTAAATGCAGACAAATTCCTATAGCGAAAAAATTATCTTTTTTTCAAAATGTCGCGATAAAATCACTAATTCGTAATTCAAACTTTTCCAAAAACTTGTGATGATTAGATCTAAAAAAGTGGGGTTATTCTTATATCAAAAAACTATTATGGTGCAGTTTTACAAAGGGGATTTTCTTCGTAAGCACCACCGAAATACTCCCTATGTCTGAAGTTCATGTTATTTCTGGGCTCATCACGTATTTTAATCTGTGTAAAAAGTTATGCTATTGTATAGAGTGCAACACATTTTATGAATTCTTTTTTGCTTGAATTCACTTTTGAAAGATGAAATGCTTATGAAGCTGGTTTATTTAATCAATCTTATCAATCAAATTTATTATCTAAAATTATCTTCCCTTATTTAAATTTCAGTTACGATAAATTTCTTTTATAAATTTTCTCAAATCCAATATGATTAAATATAATTTTTATTTGATAAATTTTTGTTCTTTAGGTCTAGATCAACAGGTTCGAGAGATTACAATCGAATAGAATACAAATCCAGTTACGGTGAGTTTTAATCTTCTAGTTATATTTTTTGAAAAATAAAAAGAACCTTTCAATTCCACGAAGGAAAAAAAATATTTTTCTATTCTTTAACATTCAAAAGTCGCACTTTCTGGCACCGCGTAGTGAGGTTAGCTCAGGAGCGCGGTGAGTGTCAGATTGTGTAACTTACAATTTGGTTAATTGTAAACTTAGCACAGTACTATACATACAGTCTAAAACTATAATACCGTGAATTACTGGCGGGTAAATCGTTCAGTAAATAACCGAATTGTTATTTTCCAATGTTTGAATATCTAGGAAAATTGAATGAGCGATGCATCGTGTAGCTAATTAAATGTTCTATCGATTAAAAATATTTAAAAATCATTCTAACATCGTTAATATTATTAAAAATGACAATTTCATGAGTCACCACGAAAACGCTAGTGAATGACCAATATACTTTTCTATACGGTTTTATCGAAATTAAACGTTGTCTTTTGTTTTAATAATTGAATCTAATCATCAATCGTTGTTACTGGTTTAGTACTGGTCAAATGGTTCTGTTTAAATTGATTTTATGCAAAAATCAGTAAAAATAGATTATTGGCAAATCTAACATGTTTACGATTGTATTCTTAAAGAATCGGTCATTTACTAGTCGTATGTAAATCGACGCCTCGTCCAGTTAATGACCGCCAAAAAAGTTCAACGTTTATTTATTTGTAGATAATACAATTAATATGGGTCAAAAGTTGATTAAAACTGTACGTATAACGTAACTTAATGTTGGGAAAATATTATTAATTAAATTTTCATACCAGTGGCCCGAAAGTGACTACTTCCCGGCCGCTGCGCAAAACAGGAAGAGCGCTAAGCCGCGAAAACAGAAAGCCTCAGGGCACGTGTTTAATGGCCTCGATCGCCAATTATACTTACCCTGAGACTTCTGTTTTTCGTGGCCTAAGGCAGTAATATACTATATCATTCGTATTTTCAATTTATAAGTAATTATTCATCGAGTGGTCATTCACTGGACGATTTACCCTAATAACCAGACTAAAAAGGACTGAGCTCAAATACTATTGTAAAACCGATTTACTCTGATGCACAAAAAGTTTTCATGGTTTTCATCAATAAAAATGATTTTTCTTGCAGATTCCCGAAGTACGCGGAATAGTAGTTATCAACTCAGTTCAGGGTCAAAAGAAAGTAGCTCTGCTGAAACTACTCGTAGTCAAAGTCTTACGACAAAACCACCGATAACATCATCGCAATCATTGAATGCGCCTATATCTGTTTCTTCTTCGGTACCAGCAGAAAGTAATAAACAAATACCCTTTGAGAAGAGTTTTGAAAGGTACTTTGAAGAGTACATTGCAAGTGAAGAAACCGTAGAGGTAAATTTTTTAATAATATTTCAAATGTTACGTGTAAGTTAAGTGTTGTAAAGTTCTAATATTTTACTAATTAATAATTTTACTTTTTTAAGAAATTGATTTTTATCATCACTTTTAGACTCTTATGCTGTAAACACTAATTTATAGCACTCTAACCTAAAAATCACAGTTTTGCCTCGAGTTTTAAGCTCTTGTACCATAAAATATTGTATGCAACTTGTAAAGATAAGCTATTTCTGCCAAACGAAGGGTTACTGCACGAGCCTTCGACTGCAAAGAGAGCATATCTACACCCGTTGCTTAAAGAATTTTAGTAAATATACCCCAATTTGTAAGAATATATTTAAAAAGAATGAAGAGTGTCTGAAATTCGTGTACAAAATAAGTCCTGAAATCATTGTGTTCGTTTATCGTACAGATATAAATATATACACTCTAACGCGATACCCATCCTTTGAAACAACGCATTAATTGTAAATTATTCTTTAAATCCTATCAGGAAGCTGCCAGAGAATTCAAAGGTGCTTTTCCGGTTTCTTCACATGCTGAATTCGTGCAAGAATTAATTAATTCGGTTCTTGAAAAGTCTGACTTGTATCGAAACAAAGTTTCGAAATTATTCGCACAGCTTTTATCTCAAAAACTAATAGACAAAGACAATTTTAAATCAGGGTGAGTACAGTAATTATAATAATCAATCTTATCTAATCCTTATCTATGTTTCTTAGTTTTAATAATATATTTTTCTGTATCACTTATTTTAAAGTACAATCGCTTTCATATTTCGTTTTTTAATAGCTACAGTTTTAGTATACTATTTCAATAATTAAATTTGAATTTATTCTAGATTAAATGAAATAGTTAGTACTTCTGGTGATCTTATCATCGATATTCCTAAACTTTGGACGTACATTGCAATGCTGTTAGGTAAGATACATTACAAAACCATTTCCTTATACTTATATCTATATTGTTTGATATCTTTAAATTAAATATTTAAACTTATTTTCAAAGCTTTATAAATGATATTAAATAGTACTTTACGATATAAGTGCCATAAGTAACACTTTTTGGCACGACGTAGTTAATAGCTGGGGCGAAAAGTGTCCCCATGGCACGAGTATCGTACATAATTTTAAAGCACTGTGCTAAGTTCACATTTATGCCCCCTTTCCCGAGTCATAAGTCGCACTTTCTGGTAACGTGAAGTGTGGTTAGCGCACGAGCGTATGTGAGTGTGATGCGAACGCAGCGATGCCAAAATGTGCGACTTATGCCACAGAAAAGCGTGCCATAAATGTGAACTTATGCCACACAGTGTTATAAAGACTGAACTAAACTAAATTTCGTTCTAAATCATATTGCCGCTCTAGCGCAATAAGTTTAAATTTAAGAGGCGATAAAGAACCAAATCCTATAATAACAACATTAGACCAAAGTACACTATAATGCAATTGAATCTGCAACAACCTCCAATCGTAAACACAACGAAGTCGGACTGCCTATCTGTATAACATAGGTGTCAATAATAGCAAAAGTATACGGACTAGCATAGGCCGAGGCCCCGAATTCGCTGTGTTTACCTTTGGAGGATGTTGCAGATTCAATAGTCTTATAGTGTTCGTTTTAGTTTTTTAAGTTTAAAACGATACCTTCTTACGCTGGAGAGATGTTTATACTTTATTGTTCAATTTTAAATGATTTTTCACAAGTTTGCATGTTGTTTAACGGGTCCTCTATACACACTCGGTCGGTAACTATATTCACGTATTTTGTACCCATTTTTTTCATTTAGTATACAACCTATGGTCTTGAAATTTTGTGGGAGTGATCATGAAACTAATACAAATGTGCCTATGAAGCTATTTTTTCAGATAATTGAAAAAAAAAATTGTTACAATATTTATATGAAAAAATAGCTTCATAGGCACATTTGTATTAGTTTCCTGATCACCCCCACAAAATTTCGAGACTAATGGTTGAATAGAAAATGAAGAAAATGAATACAAAATACACGAATTAGTTACCGACTACAGTGTGTATAGAGAAGCCTTAAGTAACGTTATATTAGTAAATTATAGTTGATTCAAATTATAATTACAACTTTTTTTTTTAATTTATCGCTAGAAAATGTTTCTTCAAATTTTTTAACGTTTGTATGAATTGGTGAAATAATCACGGTTCAAAGTCTTAAATTGTATCGAAATTTTATGGAATAGGGTATATAGAGTTCCCGAATAATTTGCTCCATTGAATTGGTAAATTTTTGTTTTAAAGCATATCAAACTCTCATTATCCACGTATTGAAGTTATGTTTGGAGCACATTTATTTGGAGTTTGACTCTACGTTATACCCAAAATTTAATCTTGATGATTTTATTTTTTCTTACAGTTCAATCCATTGCAAATGGATCTTTATGCTTCAATGATTTAAAATCGTTTGTAGAAGCTATACCTAGCAAATTACGTTCCGATGGATGTGCATCGACCTTTTTTGCTGAACTTATGAAACAGCTTTTGGATATTAAAGACTCATCATGGATCATTAACAATTGGACTGAAAGTTCATTAAAAAAGGAAGATTTTGATATCAATTCAGAGAGAATGGACTTATTATTGAAAAAATATGTAAGTAGAAAATTATCTCTAGTGTAATAGAGTTGAAACTTAAGCATGAAAATTGCTTCAAAATTTGCTTAGTTGGTCCATCTTATATTTTCCATTTAATTGATACTATTTATGATTTTGCCTTCATATTTAAATACATAATTTCTTTAGAATGCATTATTTGGCATATACACTGTATCTATTGCGAAAATTAAATCATAATATATCTAGAAAATAGATGTCCAATTTAAATAGAATCTTACGATACCAGTAGTCCTTCGGAACATACCTAAAGGTATCCTCATGACCCTCTCATCATACGAAATGTTATAACACTGTGCTAGTGTTACATGGGTGCCCCATTTCCCGAAATTTAAATCAAATTTTCTGAGGCTGTGAGTTTAAGTTAGCGTACGAGTTAAACAAATGCAATGGCCATGAAATGATGTGAGACCAGAATATGTGACTCGTGACACAAAAAATCGTGCCATGTAGTGCTATGAAATCTTGTACAATGACAATTTAGCCTGAAAGTGAACGAATGTTGAAAATAACGGAAATTTTTGAAGAAAAATGATTTTACGCACCCAAAGCAAAACTTTATTACTTGTTTTTTTACTAACAAATTCAGACTGACTCTTGTGACTGCGAATGAATTGAATCATACTTAACTCGAAACATGTTTTTTATGTTAATTCATTAACTTTGTCGTTGTTGATTTTTCTCATTATTATGGGGATAAAATCGATTTTAAAAAAATTCTGTTGTTTAATTCAAATCATATAATTTTATCGATAGAACTCAAAAAAATTCAAATGGACGTTCGCAACCAACCCAATCTACATTATTTTATTTCGTTTGATCATTAATAATTTGTAAATTATTAAACAACTTCAATTTTTCGTTTCAGCCTGGAGATATATCGACGATTTTTCAACGCTGCTTCCTATGAGTGGCCTATTGCAATGCATGATATAAATGAATTTTTTTTTTGTGAAGTATAGAATACTTAAATAAACACACCCTCTAAAATGAAAAATAAATATAACTAAAAGAAAAGATGTTAAAATCATGCTTAAGAAATCTATTAATCCTTCAAATATAAATTTTATAAAATATTTAATTATATCAATAATAATATAAGTCATGGTAAAATTGAAAATTGTCAAGTATGTTTTCTGAAATTTCTGAAAAAATATTTTGCAAAAAACCTCATCGAAGGCGCTCATATATTTCAGAAAGTTTCTCAGTATAAAAATCCATAAATATTTTGGACAAATTTATTTTTAAATCTCAAGTACTGCACCAAAACTGTAAATTTTCAGACAAATTTTCCGAGTTTTTCAATAAGTATATCTAATAACATTCGAAAATCTACGTAAATGTTCAGAAAATTATATAATGTGGAAATCTTGTGAAACATATTTGGAAATTTTTATTTTTATTTTGGTCTCGGTGTAATTCATCTATATTTTGAATATAACTTTAATGGATGGATAATCATAATTATCATAGTATTACTTTACTATTGGGAACTAATGCTTCTTGACTATGGATGACGTATTCGTGTACGTATAGGTGAACTTCACATATCGTCGCCCCAGCGCAGGAAGGTATCTATTTCAAATCTGTAGCAAGAAGGATACTTACTCGCGCGCAGAGGCAAAAAGGTATCTAACTCGAGCGCAGCGGCAAAAAGGTATCTAACTCGAGCGTAGATGCAAAAAAGTAGCTTATTCAAACGAAGTGGCAAGAAAGTTTCGACGCGCTGAATTTAGGTTGGTAATGCATCCGTATGATGAAATTTTTTTTCAACATTCAACATTAAACTTTTCATTCAAAGTTATGTACAGCCGATAACTTCTACTTTCCTCTCAGAACATACAAAGTTCTCCATAAGTGGCAAATCGAGTCGAAATCGCGGCGAGATTGATTTGTTTGCTCGCATTACAAATGGATGAAAATCATTACACTAGCTTAATTGTTTTCTCTCTTTTTTGCTCTAGTACAAAACAAAATTTTATCATTTACGGCTGCGTTGCCAACCTAAATTCAGTGCGTCAAAACTTTCTTGCCACTTCGTTTGAATAAGCTACTTTTTTGCTTCTACGCTCGAGTTAGAGAGAGTTAGATAGAGATTAGATAGATAGTTCAGATTTGAAATAGATACCTTCCTGCGCTGGGGCAACAATTTCATCTTCCTTAAGTATAGCGACTACATGTATCGCCTTCACCTTTAGCATTACTTCCCAATACTGCCTTTTTCTATAAAATCCTAGTAGGTTAATCTATTTGATGCAAACTAAAATTACTTGATTTTGACTTGACCCCTCATCACTAAATATTTTCTTCCGGTTAAATGTACACACGTGGAAATAAAACTGCGGTAAAATTATGGGAAAATAATTATGGCAAAATTATGAATTTAGCTCGTTTCCCTTAGTTTTCCCATAATTTTAAAATTACTTTCAAAAAAAAGTTATGAGAAAACTATAGGAAATGAGCTAAATTTTTAATTTTACCATAATTTTTTTCCATAATTTTAATACGTTACGATTTATTGTTCGAGTTTCGTTAACCTTTAATAAATGTCCATATGAAAATACCAATTTTTATGTTAGTTTTTCTTCAAAGTTGATTCGGAAACTTTGGCTAAAATTTTGAAGGGCACCTGAGGAAAGTCATCTTGAATAACCACCCAAAATTTAACAACTGTACCACCATATTCGATTTATCACCCAACCACCTCAAGCCTACAACTAAATGTTCTTTTCAAATCATTCTTTTTTTAACAAAAGTTCACAAATTAAAAGTTTAATATATTTTTTAAAACCTGCTATGAGTGATATTATTGATCATACTAGATTAGTAAATTACTAATTTTCATTACAACGTGCGAAATAGTACATAACGTCACTTGTGCGCGTGGGGCTTCTCGCCCACTTCGCGAGAATTAATTTTTTATCACGAGTTGCGGGAAGTTTTTATTTCCCGCACGCTCAGTCGTGCGGAAAGTATGTATTTCCGAGAAGTATTGTTATTACAGTACTGTTTGGGAAATCACATACTTCACGCACGCTGTGATAAAAAGTCAATTTTAAGATCGCCCGCCGTGCGCGAAAGTAGCATTTTCCGCACGGAGTGCTGAAATAGTATATTTTGTAACTAGTGCGCGAAGCAGTTGACTCATCCAGGAGTTGTTTTCACCCGAGCGTAGCGAGGGTGCAAAGACTCCTGGATGAGTCAACTTCCTCGCGGACTAGTTGCAAACGATATTTTTTAACTCTGCTTGCGAGAAACTAGGGTTTTCTGACGCTTTAAGGTTAGAAAACCCGTGTTTCGCGCACACAGTGTTAAAAAAAGACGTTTCCGAACGAATAACTTTCGTCAAAATTTATTATACTATGCGTTGTTCATAACTTATCAATAGAAATCTAAGAGTCAATTGAAAACAAAGAGAAAATAGCTTAACTGTTGATTTCATATAACTCCTCATCCGCTCGGCAGAGTAGATGAGACAACGACCCGACATAAATAGTGCTTCGTGATGTAAGTACCATACGTTCTAATGGCCGTGTCAGAAAGTGTCGCTTACAGCACGATCATCATACTCAATTTTGAAGCCCTGTGCTCAGTTCACTTTGAAGCCCGCTTTTCCGAGTCATAAGTCGCAGTTTCTGGTTCTGTGGAGCGAGGTTAGAGCACAAGCGTAGCGAGTGTTATGCAAAAAAAGGCGGTGCCAGAATGTGCGACTTATGCCACACAGTGCTATAAAGAGAGTTTAAAATCGAAAAAAAAAGGATTTTAAATATAATTTGGAAAACATTTTTTCGCCGTTCTAGTCAATTTTGTTAAATTCAAAAATTGTAACATTTTCTTGTTAAATAAATTACATTTAATTGTAATTTAACTCGGAAACTAATAAGTTGCGAAGAAAATTTTATAGAACGAAAATGTCTTAGAAATTATCAAAGAGCATTTTCAATTTTTTTTTAGAATTTTTTATGATACATGTGGTCTACAAAGTGTGTTCGAAACGTTTGTACAGCCAATACTTATCAACTTTTTTTATGTACACTAGTGTCCGTTTGATTCGGTACCCCCTTGCCGGCTACTGTAGGTGTAAATCTGCATTGTATTTGAATGCAGAATTTGCATTCGAACGAACTTTATCTTCCAATTTTTTGACCTTTCAACGAAAGATTTTTTTCGGAAATGCTCATATACTTTTACTAGCTCTAAAATCATTTTACTCATTAAATTTTATTCATTAAAGTTATTCAATCCGTATTCTACATACTTAATTTGTACTAAAAACTTTTGGTTATACTTAAGGAGGTTCGGGGGTCTCAGAGGGAAACAAAGTGGGACGCGCGGGCCTTGTCAACTGTGTTAAAAAATCAAAACTGCCAACTTCAAAATAACACGAAATTATAGGTTTTTTCAATGAGCTGGCACACAATTATAGCTATTATTAATAATTAAATCATTTTGATGAGTTTTTTTCAATGTTTTAGTAAAACAATATCATAAGCATACTAATATTAAATCCAGAATAATCTGAAATCCCATAAACTTTTTTTTTAAAAGAAACATGTATGAGAAAGTATATCCGTCTTATTCTTATATTTTTGTGTTAAGATTTGTACCTAAACAATTCTATTGGTAATCTCAAATCGTAAATGACAATCAATTTCTTGGCTATGATATTATTGAAATCAAATAAATTCCGTCAAGTATTGAACAAACTAAAAATTTTTTCTTTCAAACTAATAGCCTACTGAAATGTTTACAATAGAATAATTCAAAACCGTGGTAATACTTTTTTCAAAAGTTTAAATAGGGGCAAGTATGACAGTCTTATCCTTTTGATTTGAATCTAAATGTAAAATCCTTTCGTTTTTCAAATTGTTAAAACTCTTAATCTCAATCCACCATTTATTAATTACTTAGCTATGATAGTAATGAAATCAAATACATTAAGACAAGTACTCACGCAGATGTAATATTTTTATTTCTTAAGCGATAACGAGAATGCAAAGTTTGTGATAAAATAATTCAATAAAATAATTAATTAATATAATTGTTAAAATTTATAGTAACTATTATTCAATTTACAATTACATACAGTGATAAGTGAAATGATAATCCCATGCGATCATTCAAAGTTAACAGTGGTATATAAAAACCTTACTCATGACTCTACTTGCCCAGCCTACATATTGACGATAATATTCGTGCCAAAATATCGTGACTTCTCGGAGAAAGTCATCGTCGAGTCCGGATTCGAACCTAGCGCGTCAAACGAGCCGCCCGGGGTTATTTCTGTACAATAACATCGCAAGTTCCCGGTTAAGTGAGACCACGTGAGACCGCGTTTTGCGTGAGACCGTTTTTTCCACAGAGATTTTTTATTTTATCGCTCGTAATTAGTTAATACTGCGTTTTTCGGAGACTATGATTACACTATTTTGTGTCACTTTTTACGAAGAATCGATTTACCAAATTAGAATTACCGTATCTTTTAAAGATTTCAAATGATAATGTTAGATTGTTTTCGCGGGTCCCAAAATCGTGATTCTCGTGTATATGAGGAGCGTGGAGTGACACTGCTCTCGTCCGCCATACTCGTCATTCGAAGCGCGACACGCGCTCCTTGATTCTATTTGTCATTAGAGTCGAATGAGCACATATTTTTGTTGCTCTAGCTCATTTGTTGGTTGGGGTACGCGCAAATGACCCACGAATTTTTACACAATTAATTTCTCGATAACTAAACCATCGATGAACTTTTTTTTTGCAGTCAAATCATTCCTTATTAAATTTCCTATATGTATGTATTTTTTTCCATTTAGTTTTTGTTATATACATTATGTTTATGCTCATTGAAAGTGGAAAATTCATGATTTCTCGTAAGAAACCATGGTAAAAGGTCAAACACTTTTTTTTATCATTTTAATAAAATTTTACGGTGGAAAGTTGTATTTTGATATTAACATTCATAATATAAAGTTTCAAAGCAAATAAATGTTTTTTAAAAACTTGGCTGCACTTTAAATGAGACCCCCGAACCTCCTTAAAGAGAACAAGACGAAGCTTGAAAAAATAACAAATTCGAAAAGCAGTATGTTTTAATTTGTACTAGTACTTTCAAGTAGTAGTAGTAGTAGTGGTAGTAGTAGTGGTAGTAGTAGTCAAGTACTTGAGTGTTTCCCTTAGTTCAAAATTACAGAACTGATGTTAGCGCAAGAATGCATTGAGTATGATAAAGATTGTATGGCACCAGAATAGTAAGCGATACTTTGTGACTCGATGGGTTTCCTACGGCACGAATATTTTACCCAAATTATAAAATTGTGGTAAATTTACATTATACCACGTAATTCGAGACATGAGTGATACCATCGTACCGCGGAGTGGGGTTAGATACGACCAAAAAATTCGTAATCACTCGGAGAAGGGGGCTTAAATGTGAAGCTGGCAACATTAACTGTCATTGTCACAATCGATGTGAATTTGAGATACAAAATTGAAAATTCCAAAAATCAATTGTTTTTTATTTTATATTTGATAATAATTATTATGAGATTTATTATATTTTCATATTTTTAATGCACGACACTAAAAGTTATACTCTATTTTTTCAGAATCTTGGTTTTTTAATTCTTCCTATGCAAAATGACAATCCGCTTATGAATGCAGAAAAAATTCATCAAAAGTTACTTGATTTAATGAAAAATCCAAATTTTGATGAAATATGTGATTGGATTAAGGTAAGGAATATATGCATATTCGATTTGAATATTAATAATAAATTACTGCATAAGACCATTTTTTAGTTTATGATACACAAAAAAATACCAATCAAATAACAATTAAGATAATACATTGAACATTAAATATTAGTGAATCTAAAATGGTATGAAAAAGTTGTTATTAATTTAAATATAAATTTCAGGTCGAACTAAATACCAACTCGAAACATCCAAAATTTATTAGACTGCTCATGACAGCTATTTTAGAATCAGTAACGTGTAAGTAAACATTATAAATTACTTATTACTTTTTACTTATTACTTTATGTTTCTTTAATCTTGACGTTTCCTTGACGTTTCCTTGACGTTTTCTTGAGAATTTATTGACCATTAAATGACCAATAAGGTGAGTTGGCTAATAAATGGGCAAAATAATGTTTGATTTCTATCAGGGAATATTACCGAAATTAAATTTTGACCATACCTCACTAAATCCAGTTAAACAATCAAAATTTTACACTAAATGTCAAAGTATTTTTTGTATAAATAATGATATCTAATTTGATCCATCGAAACGTTTTATTTGTTGAACTCGTGGTTATTCAAGTGATCGAATCGATTTGATAATGTTAAAATTTAAAAAGTGTTCGTAAATATTAAATATCCAGTTTTTTTGAGATAAAAAAATGTTCACTTTTATTATAAAGTTATTGGTTCGATTATTATTTAATGATTCTATAACGTTTCTGTAACATTGTTTAATCTGTTTCGGTACAAACCGACAAAATTTTTCTCATTTTTTCCGGTTAGAGCGGTCGATGGGTCAGTGGTTAGCATGCTGGTCATGGAAACATCACCGCTCAAGGGGTCGTAGGTTCGATTCCTGGCGAGTACATTTTCGAACTTTTCCGAAAGGGTATTAATCGGGAAAAGTACCTACAGGCTTCGCCGTCTCGGGGCGGGGTTTTCCCTAAAGGTGTACCTCCAGTGCAAATCCACTGTTACACCGCGTACACTGGTACAAGGTTTTTCCTTGCCCCTGGTCCGGAAACCTAGGCGAATGTAGGTTGGCCTGACTTTAAGATCTTCTGAAAGGGACGGCCTAGTTCCGTATCCACAATAAAAAAAAATTTTTCCGGTGTTATAACCTAAAAATTATTTTGTAAGCTTAATAATTATTTTTGAAAGAATTTACTAACATGTTTTGATATAATTATTTATTTACGTTTTATAGATAAGGAAGGTCTTGAATGGAATTTAAAGATTGAAACCTTTGACATCTTACAAAAACTTATCCACCGGTATGTGGATGCAGATGAGTCTTTAGAACTCCAGTGTCTGTTTGCTGTTCAATCTTTCGTACACAAATTACAACATCCTTCAGGTAAATCACATTTAAATATTTGAAATAATTAACATACATTGAATAGATTATGAGTCAATTGGCTTAAATTACATAACTAACCTTTTCTAAAATTTGGCTATCAGTTGACCAATAGACCTCTCCATTGGTGGTAGGTCTCTATTAGCTGATAATCGAATTTTAGAAAAATTTCTATTTTCTTCTAAATATTGGCCAATTCGACCGTGACAAACAAACTAATTTTTAGACTTTTTTGCTATTTTTCATTTCAACATATGGTTTTTTAAAGTAGAGCTTAAAACCTTTCATTTGGCTTGTCGGGGACCTCAATCGGCCGCGCGATGATAGTTTTATAATAAATTGAACAAAACAAAAAGCTGGGTCACGTGCTGTTTTGGAATAAAGGCTAGGTAAATTTCAAAAGCCCTTGTTTATACGAAAATGTTATGCCCCCACTCGATATTTTACGTGGCTTCAATTTTTTGACTCAGCGGTGGGCCAGTTGACGTATGATGGCTCAGCTGTAAAATTTGTAGATTGCGTGCGTTAGGAGCATACAAATTGAAAGCCTCGTGTGTAATTGTCGGCCAAGGTGAAATCGAGGCTAATGAATATATGTTCTGAGCCTTTTATTTTCGCTTTATATATGTGGCATTTCACGTCAACTCTCCCAGTGCCGCGCGGCGCTGCAAAATTAAGTCAAATCAATAAATTTGTAAATCGCTGTAAAAGTACTAAAATGCACCTAGAGAAAAAAACGATGTGATATTGCCTTTTCGATAGTGAGGTTAGATTTTCTAAAATTTTCCACTTTACCCGGGAAAATCAATGGGAAACCTTAAAAGTCGATTATCTCAAAAACTTCATTTTTAAGAATTTCTTAAATAATCTAGATCGAAAGATCAGAAAATTTTCCATCGATAAAGACATTTTCCAGAGAGGCGTTTTTTGGATTTAGCGAGATATAGCGAGAGAAAGAAGAAAAAACGTGGTTTTTTAATGGTGTTTGCATACCCGGCTGGCGCAGCACGCGCTAAAACCAAGTTTTTTCTCCTTTTTCGCTATATCTCACTAAAATCAAAAAACGCCTCGATGGAAAATGTCTATATCGATGGAAAATTTCTGATCCTTCTATCTAGATTATACAAAAAAATCTTAAAAATGAAGTTTTTGAGATAATCGACTTTAAAGTTTTCCCATCGATTTTCTCGGGTAAAGCTGGAAATTTCGGAAAATCTGACCTTACCATCGGAAAGCTGAGGTAATTTCCCATTGAAAACCTGTGTTCGTTTTTTTCTCTAGGTGCATTTTAGTACTTTTACAGCGATTTTCAAATTTAGTGATTGACTTAATTCTGCCGCGCCGCGCGGAACTGGGAGAGTTGACGTGAAATGCCACATATATGCATGCTTTTGAATTTCCCAATAAAAATTAACTTTTTTTGCCGTAGGGCTTAAATAGATTATTTTCGACTGGAGTAAACTGAAAATTAATTTTTCTTCTAAATTCATCCCGCAGCCCCAAAACATACAAATTATATCTCAAAAGAAGGGGGATAATTGTAACCTCAGTAAGCTGATATAATGCGATACTTGGGCCTGAAAGGCCGAACACTCTTTACCTCGACTATTATTAATTATTGATTGAAATGAATATTAGCAACAAAAAACCATTGTACAGAGCCCATGAGATTCACATGGGAAGCAGTGGCGCCCTCACTCATACACCTGGTTTATTCTTGCACACTTCGGTTACCCCTACTCTTAAAGTGCGAGCGTTCATATCAATCATAACAGAATTATGAATACCACCCTCAATCAAAGTTAAATTTATGAGCTATTCCAAATCAAGCGTGATGTGTCAAAATAATGACTTTGAGATTGTGTATGTATTGTTAAAAAGTAAATTGAAAAATGAAAATCCTGAAAATTTCAGCCTTACTGATCCATCTCTCATGAATTTACAGGGGCTCAAAGTTGAATTTTCATTTTCGAATGTTATTTTGCTTTTCTCGCATGAATATGAAGAAAATTCTTAAATTATGTTTTGTTATCTCAAATTGGCCAAAATTGCAAGATGTTATGCTCAATATAAAATTATTCAACTTTATGTCATTTAATTTGTTTAATCTTTTCATTTATTTTCAAATATATGTTCTTTTAGGTCTTATGAACAAGCTCTTTACTTATCTACTTGAAGGCAATATCCTCTCTAATGAAGCTTTTCTAAATTGGGAAGAAAATGAAGAACCTGCAGAAAGGGACGGTAAAGTAATAGCTCTGATGTCCTTAAAATCATTTTTTGCTATCTTGAAAGAGAGTGGTGATTTAAGTGAAGAGGAACCGTAATTTCAGAATCATCTTTATAACTTATTTACTGTTTGTGATAAGTTATTTATTGTTTAGTGTATGTTTACATTGACGACGTGATTTTGAAATAAAACTACGCGAAATTTCTGCGTAGTATTCTTGTTATAACTATTTCAATTTATTTTTATGAATATAAATGAATATTAAACTTTATTCGAAAGTGAAGTGCGTGTGTGTAAAATAGCTATGCAAGAAGACTTTAAAATACTAAAATAAAAAAATTTATATAATATAAAATTCTTTGAAACTATATATAGCCAGTGTATTTGAGATACGCAGGAATTGATATAAAAGTATCATACATATTATTAAAATGACAAAAAATTTATCGAGAGTTTTCTTTATATTTCCTAAGTATAATACCTAACAACTCAATTATTAATTTGATCAGTATTTCATAAATAATTATAGCTATGGTAAGTTGATTCGAAGATCTTTATTAGAAATATTAAGCTTTACAAAATCAATTTAAGGAAAATTCCTATTTCTTTATTCAATAATAATAATAATTTATTTTATTATAACAATTGAGTGAATCATACAGTTATTGATTTTATTTTTTTTTGCTTACAATTTTTCTGAAAGTCTTTTGAATACCTTATCGAATTTCTTGTAATCCTACAATTTAAATCAGTTTCGTCTTCGCAATTGAAAAACTTCTTCTAGAAGCTCATGGGTTGCCGCACGTTTCCCTTTTTATTTAAGGAGATGCCCCATGGTATTTTAACAACTATGAATTTTAATTATTGCCAAATCATATAAAGCCTAGAGAAAAAAATAATTCAAAGGGGTTCGTTTTACATGGATTACCTTTTGGACGCTGATTAAACAAATAATTTCGTATTTTTTAAAGCGATATTTCAAACAAATAAACATTTTGAATGAGCAACCCTTACAAAAATTTCCTATAGTATCCCGCAAAATTCCTACAGGGGTCCTATAGGATTCCAGTAGGAATTTTGCGGGATCCTATAGAAAATTTTTATAAGGGAAAACTTTCGAAGGAATAAAAAAATTAAATTGGAAATATAATACCACACATTTTGTATTTTTATGCGCCTTTCACTATAATATGATAGGTAAACTCATCGTATAGGAAACAGAACATGTCACTCTTCTTTGCAAAACCGTAGATTTAGCATTTTAGAAATTATAAAGATTCCCCGTTATAACTGTTTGAACAAAGGGGATACAGGACCCAACCAAAAAATCAAAATTTCAATACAGTTTTCTGAAACTTCTACTGAATATTTCTTCTAAAGGCTCTATTTAAGAACTTCAAAATGAAGGTCGCCATAGAGCCTTCTAGAGAAATATTCGGTAGAAGTGGATTGAAATTTTGATGTTTTGGTTGACTTCTATATCTCTTTCAATGAGCACTTGGAATCTCTCATACCTTTTTAAAGGTTATTGCAACATGTTTGTCAAATTTTCACAAATTTAGGGAATTAATTCAATTTTTCTTCGGCATGATTGACCTTTTTTGCATCAAACATACAATTGTTTTTCGAGCGCATGGTAAACCCAAGGGAAAAAATCCGAATGACATTGTAATAATGCGGGAATAGATTCATTTCCCACGTCCATAATTTTGATGTAGTGGTTTCATAAGAACTAAGAAAACTGGAGTTTTCATACTTGAGTTTTTTCGAGCTCGCTGTCCATAGGCACTACCTCGACTCTTATTGTGCAAGCCTTCAAATAAACCAAGATGTATTCACAAGAGATAATAATTAAAAATTGAAGCATTAATATTAAAACTTGAATATTTAACAATAGTTTTCGAAATAATCAAATATAAGAAAATTCGGAATAATTATTTGAATTATTTACAATGCGTGCTTGAATAACGTTAAAAAGTTTGAATAAAGTCGAGAAAAAAAATTAATAGATTCAATTGAAAATTTATTTTGAGACAGAAGAATTCGTTTTACAAATTAATCTAAAGTAATATAAAAACATCAATTAGAATTGAAATTTTCAATTCAAGTACACGAGCTAATTGAGTTAAAAAAAAATCAATCTATAAACCAATGATTTCAGTATAGTACTTCCTGATTCAATAGTTTTAGTGATATTTGTTGTTTTATTGAGATCGTTTTCTCTTCCACTACGATTGACCATTCGCTGACCGGATTTCGTTGTATGACCTTTTTGTTCAAAAGCCACGAAATGGTCTATTTCATTTCATTAGTATAAATACTTCTAGGGGTTTTGATTTGAGTTAATATTAGTTATCTATGAGATATTGCCCTTGCTAGTAAACTGCTGTAAGTACTTGCCTAAGTAGTTACACTGCCTATTCACTAATTCAACTTCATACATCAGAGGTATTAAATATCAATTATGATAATAGTACCTGCTAGTACCCTACTAGCAGGCCAGTGCATAATGTTGAATGAGTAAGAATTACAGAACAAATAATAACAAAGGAACTATAACTCGAACTAGTCAAAATGAATGCTGAACTAATGATTATGAAAACTGCGAACAAATTTTTTTTCGTTTATTTTTATAAGATACAATTTTTTATAGCACTACGGGGCATAAATTCACATTTCAATGTCATAGGTCGCACCTTCTGGCACCGAGGCGTTCGTATCACACTTGCTACGCTCGTGCATTAACCTTACCTCACCTCACCCTCGCTAAACTTGGGCCCTAAACTATGTCGTGCTAAAAAGTGTTACTTATGGCATTTGTACCGTAAATTACTATTTTAAACTTTTTTTATCTCCTTTTTATTGTCGCAATCTATTAAAAATGTGATATTCGGTGATATTTTTAACATACACTGTTCATATTGGTACGCGAAAATTTGAAGGTCTGCGAGCAATCCAATGATTAGCTCACAAAAAGTTTATAGATTATTCGATTGTCAAAAAAACACGTTATATGGACATATACTTCACGAAGCAGTCATGACAATTATTTTTAATTTTTAATTTTTATGTTACGAGTGTCTTTCCTGTTGTTCAAGACCTTAGCAAGTTGATTTAGATGTTTTTCGAGCCTCGATTTGTATCTCGTGTGAAAACATCGGGATTTATTTTGAACTCACGATCGATATGTACGCTATAGGTATGTACGAACGGAGTTGAACCAAATTGCGTAGTGTTTTTTATTGTAATTTCTCAATTATTTTGACATTTGAAGTAGAAGCGACACTCCAGTACTGGATACCCAGTAGCACATTTTCATTTAAATTATCACACAAACTTGTTACCCTTCATGGGGAGCGTCGGTATAGGTTTTACGATCTTAAGATTCAATTGGAGCTTGTTGTCCAAAAAAAATTGGGATATTTGGTCGGTATAGAACATGTAGAAGCATGCAACGTTCCGTGTTCCACTGGGAAAAATATATCTGGGGTCAGTGCACATTTTTCGAAGTTATAATCCAAGTTGTTTGATGCGTGATCGCAAAATGAGTCCACGATTTATTCACTTATCTCACCACTCTGAAAGTTTGCCAAGATGAGCTTAGAGCGTATACAAGACTTCGTAATGTCAACTGCTAGTAGTAAGACTGTGTCCTGAGCAAGTAGGAAAATCGGCGGTGAAAAGCAGATGGAGCGTATGCGCAAGGACGCTACCTTTAGGAACATCAACTTCGTATGGACGTATATCAGATGCAGCATTATCAATACTGCTCAGGTCTAACAGGTCACTCAAGCTTTTGCGTAAGTGTCTAATTCAGCCTGTAAATCAAGTGCTTCTACACCATCAAACACATGGATCTAAAATATTTTTTGGCTCTGATGCCTGAAAGTCATATTATACATAACGTATTACACATTACAATCCAAGCTATATATACAGTATACGTAGATGAAATTAACATGAGTAAGATTCAAAACATTTTTAATAAGGCTGCGCACAAGGTCCATGGATTTTCCCCGAAATTTTAGTATGTATAAGGTATGGTAGATATATAGTACATGGAAAAATAGTCCTGATGCTGGACTCCGATTCTAGACTCTGCTATTAGGACCCTCGCTGCGCTTGGGCCCTAAACTATGCCGTGCCAAAAAGTGTTACTTATGCCACTAGTATCGTAAAGTACTATTATTCTTCTGAAATTTTTTAAATTAAAAATAAATACCAAAAGAGAAAATCATGTCTCTACTAATATAATTTAATAATTTTAAAAATTTCTGAATATTCGTTGACAAACCATTCTAATTGAAAAGAGTGGGAGAATTTTTCAATGATTACACAGCCACGAAAAAAAAATTTCAAATCCACCGACCGGACCTAGTGGACTTTAAGTTTTTGGGGTCGCTGAATCCGAATCTATGGTCGGTTTTTTAAGGTTGGCTCATTTTAGAGGTCATTTGAAGGTCAAATAATGGAGAAGTGTTAAAAATTCTGAAAAAATTCATACATGGGTTTTCGAGGATGTTGAATCCAAATCCGAGGTCGGATGACCTTCGAGAAGTCACCTTCAAGGTCATTTGAAGGTCAAACTACAAGAATTTAGTAAAAATATCCGAAAAAATCACACTTATGTTTTGAGGATCGCTCAATCTGAATCAGAGGTCATTTCGACTATATCCGGCCACGAAAAGGTCATTTGAAGGTCATTTTAAGGTCAGATCACGAAAAAAGCTTGAAAAGTCTGAAAATCTGTTTTCTGGGGACTAATATGTATGGCTATACAGAGAATACAGTTTATAAAACATATTACATTCTATTTCCTAAAAATGTCATGATGAATGCTACAAATATTGAGAATCTATTTTTTCTCATAAATCCGATTAAAAATTGTAATAAGAAATATTAAATGGACCATGGTACATGGGTTAGCTTCAAAAATTTTCAAGGTAATCACAGAAGCGATCATAGAAAAATTTTAATATCAATGATGATAAAACATTTCGACAAAATGGAATGTAATATTTCTTATAAACTGTATTCCCTGCATACCTATACGCAGATTAGCTCCCAGAAGACTGTGGAGTTTATGGCAAGGAGAATGGTTCCATCAAGATATAAAACATATGGAGCATCGATATCAAGGTAGAGGGGATGTTGTGATGATGGCTGATTACTGCTGGATGTAGAAGAGAAAGAGCCAACATAGCGGAACTAAACGCAAACAGCAGCCTATACGCCGATCGTTTGAAGAAAAAAAGGTGCATTACAAAAGAAAAAAGTAAAAAATTATGCAAAAAACCTTGATCTTGATAACAAAATATCTAAATTCCTCAGCTCCAAAAACCTGTATACAATCTTTTTCTGTTATTTTATCGCGTTCACTTGGTAATCCTTGACATGACCTTTCAATGACAATCAATTGACCTTAAAATGGCTAGGTATAGTCGATATGAACAATGATTGAGATTCAGCAACCCTCAAAATAAGAGTGTGATTTTTTCGGATTTTTATATTGAATTCTTTAAGTTTGACATTCAAATGACCGTGAAGTTAAGGTCGTAGGGATCATCTGACTTTAGATTTGAATTCAGCATCCTTAAAAACCTATGAATGAGTATTTTCAGATTTTTTAAAGCTTTTTTCGTGATCTGACCTTAAAATGACCTTCAAATGACCTGTACGTGGCCGGATACAGTCGAAATGACCTCTGATTCAGATTGAGCGACCCTCCAAACATAAGTGTGATTTTTTCCGATATTTTTACTGAATTCTTGTAGTTTGACCTTCAAATGACCTTGAAGGTGACCTCCAGAAGGTCATCCGACCTCGGATTTGGATTCAGCATCCTCAAAAACCAATGTATGAATTTTTTCAGATTTTTTACCACTTTCCCATTATTTGACCATCAAATGACCCCTAAAATGAGCCAGCCTTGACAAACCGACCCTAGAACGAAAAGTCCACTAGGTCCGGTCGGTGGATTTGAAAATTTTTTTTTGTGTGGCTGTGTTATTTTTCTTTAAAATTATTTAAAATGATTTTCTACATTTTATATGTTTTCGAATTACATTTCATTGCATTTTCTGATTGATGTTTGGCAGTTTTATTCATAATTCTGATAATTGAACAATTTTTTTACCAGAGTTAATACTAAAAATTAATAATCTTATTTTAAAAGTTAGAAATCATTCTGAGAGTTAGCGACTATTCTGGTTTAATCTAGTTCTACGATAAAAGTTTTTATGCTGTTGTTTAAAAGTGACCGCAATGAAAAAAACTCAAAGAAAAGATGTAAAAATATTGTGAACGGGACCAAAAAGTAAAATAGTTGTTATAAGCGTTGTAAATATTTCTGCACTATTTTACTTTTCAGTATAGTTCATTTCATAGCGTTTTTTTCGTACATTCTTGAAATAGTGAAATAATAATTAAATCTCAAAATCCTTAAAATAATATGTAAGAAAATTTAAAAATATCTAAAAAAATGTTACTTTATTTTGTACTTCATAACACACATGGGAATGTAGTAAACTGTTTATAAATTCTCTGTTTGAGATAGTTAGTAGTTTCACAGTTTTACATTTTATTACAGCCCATGATATTTTTTCTTCTCTTCTTTTCGAAAGAGAACACGCACAGAGTACATAATTGATATATTTTCGATAGTATTCATTTCAAGCTCATATTTTAACTTAATTAAGCAAATATTCAATACCTCCCAATCAAATTAGTTCCTGCAAAAAATTATGTCTTGCATAAATCTTTTTAATAGTCTTTTTAATAGTATATTTTGCATCTAGGGAGTGAAAAACTGTCTCAGAGCACGTGTAATTTATCATCCGAGGCGAAGCCGAGGTTGATAATCACGCGCTTTGAGACTTTCTTTTTTCGCTACATAGGTGCACATACAATTTTTTGCGAATCCCCCAGCCTAAAGTAACATTTTGGTTTTGCTCAGCGGGAGTAAAATGTTACTTTAGGTTGGGGTAGCACAAATAAAAGTTTATTAAATTTCATAGCTTTTTGTACTACTACTTTCAAAACAAAAAATTTGAAACTATTATAAAAAATTCTAAGCTATTAATAAAAGTTAAAAAAAATTTATAAAAACTTTCTAGAATTCAATGAAAGTCTACAAAATTTACTTGCTTTTTGGAAGTTCGTTAATAGAAGATAGTAGTGTAATTTACATATGATTTACTGTTTAATTTTCTGGGTGTAGCGTTCAAGATACGCTTATTCTTACTCGTAGCTGTTCACTTTAAAGCAATATAATAAATATTTTTTAGTTATGCCTTATTTTATGAAGGATATAATAAGTAAAATGTTGGTCTTGAATAAAAATCGTTTTTTAAAGTTCAATTCAAAAAGAGTGCAATTTAAAATTTTCTATCTACTAATTATCGACAAAAATTTTATGAAACCCCTTTCGATCTATAAAAAATAAAGGAACATAAAGACGTTCCCAGAAAAATTGATTTAATCATTTTGATTACTATAATTTAAACCTTTATTCATTTTTATGAATTTTTATAACATTTTACAAACTGTTATAGGCTTCTGTGAACGTTTATAAATTTTTATCAACTTTTAAAAGTTTTTTATTTAAAAAAAGTATAAGCTTTCATAAACTTTTTTTCATTAGGCAACAATTACACTTTTTATAAAAAAAAGTTTATAAAAGTTATTAGAAAAAAAAATTCTCGTGAGGGCATTATTATATATTATACATACGGAGTTTTCTCAGAACCGAAGATAAGACGGATCCAGAAAAGAGTTGCATCTCGAAAAAGTGATTATAAATGAAAAATGGACGGAAATTTTGCTATTATCATAGCGATTGGTGAAATATATAATCATTTTATAAGTCATTTATGACTTTATGATTATATTTTTATATATTTTATGAAAATGACGTTTAAGACTTAAACAAAAAGATCGAGAATATATCGCAAAATTTCTATTAACCCTTGGTTGAATAAAAAATTATAGATAACTCGCAGAGGATAAAGTATTTTAAATATTTCATAAAACGACAGTTTTCTTGTTGTAGTCTTCAAGGCCTGCAAAATTGAAGTAATGTTTCTATTATATTCGTTAAGGGTTTAATAGTTATTTTTATTAGTCGTTTTCCAGTATGAAGTCAGGATTACATACATTGCATATACATAAATAATATTTTAAAGTAAATAATTTATTTATGACAAAATTCATTTATTAATTCTTCGTAAAGTTTGAATAGTTATATCTTAAATACAGTAAATATTACAAATATAAATACTATAAACTCATTCTCGGCGAAATAGCAAAACAATAATTTTAAGGCTAAACTTTCTTTTCTAAACATTTTAATTATAAGAAAAAAAAACAAAAAATAAAAACACCTACAATAATAAAAAAATATTTTATTTATTGAGAGAATCGATCATTGAATTGTATAGTTTTAATCGATATAAAAAATATCGACTGATGAATAAATAAAATAATAAATGCTTCAAACTGAACAATTTAATGTAAGCGATTAAATTAATTGTTAATGAAATACGTTTAGTGTAGTAAATGTACCTCGTAATTTTAGATACAATGATATTCATTAAAAGAAATCGGTTCAAATCGAATACTTGAATTGATAAATTGTACGCAAAAAATATATATTTATTGATTTACACCTCAAGCAGCGTAATTTTACTACAGCATGTAAAATTGAATGAAGGAGTATAAAAAATCGATAACTCGATGAATGACCGTAGACGTCAACATCGTATACGTCATTGGAGAACGTATAAAAAAGCATTTGCATTGACTAAGTAATCTGCAGTCATTGTTTCCAATTATTTTTAGTGTAATTCTAGTATAATTCCTATAAACTAAATTTCATCCATTAAAAATTAGCAATCGAAGCATTTAAAAATGAATAATATGAAAAGGTAGTCTAAACGAGAAGTTACGTAGTAGATAAGAGTAGACTGCTGCATGCAAATTTCATGTATACGTACACGGTTGTGCGTGGATTGATACGAAGAGCGGGATTGGCTAGCAGCTGCTCGGCGTTTCCAAATATGGGACAGTCTCTACGGTCCATTCATAAAACTACAGGGTGCGCCGTTGAAGAGTTCAGTCTGTATGTAACTATCAAGGTTTCAATATTCGTAGTAGCGAAGTATTAACATTTAAAATTGTTCTCAGTTTATTTAACGGAAAAGTGCTTTCAAGTTTTCACATTTCACTCATAAACATACTTACAAACACTTACATTTATCAGTATATATTTGTAAATAATAATTCTGTGCGAATACATTTTGAGTATATGTATGTAAATCATACTTATGCATATATATATATATATACCTACATATGAAAAAACTATATATATAACATATGTAGGTATATGGATAAATACAAACACTCTTACATACACAGATTTAAACAATAAATTAATTAATTTTACTTCAGTTATGTGTTAATCTAATTCTACAACTTTCGAATAAGTCGAAATGTTGTACTACGCGGGCAGTTGAATTGAAACTTCGTCACACTCGTACTTCTAACGTGGTGCAGAGTGGTAAAAACCACTGTAACAGTTTATAAGATAATGACCATGGATAGTAGCATAGAAATAATTGGTTGTCCCAGCCACTCAGCTTTAACAACGCCGTTTTTACTTTCTTCGCCACCTGTTGGGCATCATCATGCAACTTTTAATTTACAAACTGTTCAACTAAGCTTTGATACATGTTTAACTTACAATACCACAACTATATGTAACCCAGATGCACATGGTTGCATTGCCACTGTTAATTTAATGACTGAACCATCATCATTGGTTGCGACAAATGGCTCGGATACGGTAACGGCACCAACCTGTTTACAAACGCGTACACTCACATCGTTGAATACAAATTCATTTTCTGTTGCAACTTCAAAATCATCTCTTAGTCAATGTTCTTCTTTGCGTAAAGTTCATTGCCAGCCATATGAGCAAAAGCTTGACAAAAAATTTGAATCTAATAATTCTTACAATCAATCACTGGAAAATACGAAAAAGCGTCACTTGAAATCGTCTGACAATAATAATCAATCACAATGCTCATTAGGAAATATAGTAAGCAATCGAATTCCTGACGAAAAAGATAAATTAGACGACCTCAATACACCTATCACCACTAATAGTGATTTACCTTCATTTTTTGGACCAGCTGCATTAGTTGAACCACCTCCAATATCAGGTAATTCATAAATTCTATGTTGTTTTTAAAATTAAATCATTCATTAAAATTGATGAAGCTATTATAAAAAAATTTTTAAACCCATACTCAATTGTATTCTGCATTTTCAAAAGATTGTCGACTTTTAATTTTTTTTTGGAAAACTTAAGTATCTTTGCTTTTAATCAATTACCTGTATAATTTACGCATATCGATATTTGCAGGCCTTCTTAAAAAAATTCACAAAAAATTATTTAACCATTTTGATTTGTATTTTAGCCTCCGATTTTATAAATAATAGAAAATATTTATTAAATGCGTTTAAATTTTAATTATTATCTTTACTCATCATAGTTAAAAACAATTTATCTTGAATATTTTTCGGTTAAAATCACAGAAATATGATAAAATGAAGTAGTACAGTGTACACAAAAGTAATCTTCTTCGGATATGTATAGATATATAATGACATATGCATACACTCTCAAACTACCCATGACTTTCGGTTCATTTGAACAGGGTGGTACGATTTTGTACGAAGATTTTTTCATGGAATTAAAAAACTTTAAAAATTAAAAATCAACAATACGCCGAAGTCAGGGAAAAAATTAAATATTTTTAAAAACGTTTTCTAAAATTTGTATCTTATATTTTTTTTATATGCTACGCGGATATATTTGTATACGAACTGTCTATATAGGGAAAAATTCGTACGCGAAATCCTAGAGATTTTTCAGTTTTGTGTTCGAACTTACTTTACCTAACTTACTTTAACTTACTTAACCTAACTAACCGAACTTTACCATACTTTTCTAGAGATCTCTAGGGTCATTTGGAGTTGAAAAAGAAAAATTTTGTGTACAAATTTCCCCTGAATAGCCAAACCCATTTGTATTTTATTGTTATTCAAACATGTATGAAGCGATTCTAACAAGTTTGCAAATACAGTCAATTATAAATGATAAAGTACTTTTTAGATTGCTTTTAATTAGGAAAAATTTTTATAATGTTATATCTAAACAATCAGATTTATTTAAAAAATAAAATAGTTTGCAAATGTACATTTCAATTGAAAAATTTTTCGAATATTTCTTTCTCGGTTAACTTTATTATTAAATAAGTACGGAAAAAGATATTTTTAAATTTCGAGTCGAAAACAGCCCGAGTACATGTTATTACATTACATTTTCTACTTCGAGCCTTTTTTGACCCTGAGCTTATAAGATACCTTTTTGTGCTCGAGCGACACCGTGATCAGTTTTTTTAATAATTATTGCCATGAATAACCCCTCGGCACAGAAAAATGTTCAAACAGAACCAACTTAGTTTGTTATCATTAAAACAATTGTATTTTACATATTAAATTTATGAAAAATTTATCTAAGAAGTATGTAAAAATTACCGAGAGAATCTGTTGACTTCTCAAAAACATCAAAATTTCATTACTTATCGTAGATGGTACATTTAGTATATTTTTAAAGAATATTTTTAATACATATATTGTCTGAACATCCGAATCGGCGAATCGAAACAATTAAATCGAATGCACTCCACTTGGAGAGAAAAATCGGGGGATATTTCTGTAGCGAGCGCTATACTACGGAAGTATTCCAAACTATTGGCGTACAATTTTTCCGATATTTCTCTCTGAGCACCCATTAGAAATTTATGAGAAATTTCTTTTTATTGATAAATAATTTATTTTAAAATTTCTCGAACAGACTATTTTGATCTTTCCTCTTTTTTTAAAATCTTTTTTAAAATAAAATAAACTCTTGTACGTAAAATATTGTTTCGAAGAATTGTATCCGCAAAAAACTTGCATGATACAGATATCTCATTTCTCACTTCGTGGTACCAGAAAGCGCGACTTATAACTCGGAAAAGGGAGCATAAATGTGAACTTAGCCCAGTGCTATAAAATGTAGTACAATCCTCGTGCCATCGAGAGCCCTTTCCTACACGTGTCGTAAAGTGTTACTCATAGCCCTTGCATCGTAAACTACTATTATGAATCGGTTGACTTAAGAAGGCCATTATTACACGGCGTGGCTAGAGCCCGTGCGTAGAGAGGATGCTAGTGTCGTGCAAAGAATGGGCTACTTGAGTCACAAGCATCGTATGCTTTTTTACAGGACTGTGCTAAGTTCACGTTTAGGTCCCCCAATTACACAATTTTTTATCTTTTTCGAATACAAGAGAGTCGAAAATCACTTGCATGTCAAAATAATATCTTGAAAGTTGAAGACAATTTGATGTTATACCGAGACTGTTTTCCGACTGTTGAAAATTTTACATTTTTTGCAGTACACGATTGTTAAAATTAGGATGACCTTCTAGTATCCAGTTATTTTCTTATAAAATTATGACAGTTAATTACATTTACTTTTTTAATAATAAAAACTTGAAGATTACTCACAGCTGCTTGAATTCACAAAAAAAATTATAGAAAAACATGCATAACTATTCAAGGGCTTATACATACCTTAAACTTGACATTTTTTTATTGAATTTTTGAATAGGATTTTTCCTCCTCTTTTTATTGCATTTTTCGAAATTCCAAAATTTTGATTTTGCACTGAGATACAGCTGTTTGCGTAAGCCTTTTTCCTATACTACACGTGCTAAATCTTTTCTTCTTTCGCGCTTTCTGGAAAGTCGTGTTTTTGGTCACGTGTCGTAATATTCAGAGGGTATCAATGGAGCTCTCTGCACCAGGGTCGGGTACACTTCTTCAGAACATGAATGGTTACGGCCACTACCACGGATAAGACGATCGAACTCGCAGATTGCTCTGTATGAACAGTTAAGCCCACATTTTTTTCATCTTTCGTTTTTGCCGAAATTGAAGTCATAAAATTACTATTTGAGAGTGACCTAGGAGTTCGATCATCTCACCCGTGGTAGTGGCCGTAACCATTCATGTTCTGAAGAAGTGTACGCGACCCTGGTGCTGAAGCTCAATCGATACCCTCTGAATATTACGACACGTGACCAAAAACACGACTTTCCAGAAAACGCAAAAGAAGAAAAAATTTAACGGGTGTAGTATAAGAAAAAGGCTTACGCAAACAGCTGTATCTCAGTGCAAAATCAAAATTTTGGAATTTCGAAAAATGCAATGGAAAGAGGAGGAAAAATCCTATTCAAAAATTCAATAAAAATAATTTCAAGTTTAAGGTGTATATAAGCCCTTAAAATGTAATCGGTAATTGACCTTCAAAAACCAGTTTTTGTCAATATCGGACCACTTTTGAGTACTAGTATTTTATTAAAAAAATAGTTTATGAAATAAAAAAATGTAGTCATTGAAAAATAATCAACTTGACTAAACCATTTATATAATTTTAAAACATTTTCTAACGCTCATGACTTGAATAAAAGTGTTTTCTGATTTTGAGAGAAAGTGAGTTGATTTTTTTCGTAAAATTAATGGACATAATTAATTTTTTCAGGAAGTCTAACTAATTCTGAGCTCTCACTGGAAGAGGAACCAATCGATGGAGAAGTTTCTCGTCACTCATGTGAAAAGCATGATTCGAAATCCCAAAATTGCATTTGCCATGACTCAAATCAGCCACCATCCCGATTGACAAATTGTAGCCATTCTTCCAATATATCTTTGGTTGATGACATTGATATAAAATCGAATGCATCATCAAGTGGAGTTATTTTATATTCTGTTCCAAATTCTTCCATCGCTGAACCGTCTATTTCTAATAACGTTTCTATTTCTACAATGCCAACATTAAAATACAGTGCTGTTTTTGCTACGTCATATACACAGGCTATTGACAATGACTGTAGTAACAATCGATCTACACACAATTTGAGCTCTCCTGCAACGTGGAGTACATCAGGAAATGAAAATAATTCTACTCATGTTACATTTCCACATTCTAATATTAACTCCGAATATCATAATGAAAATTCTGACTTATTAGTAATAGAATCAAAACCACCTATCTCAGATTATCGCAACAATGGAGATTCAGAAACTACAAACTGGTTGAATGCTCGAGATGAATCTTATGGAAATAATATGATAACTCAACAATTGATTGAGAATCTTCAAGAAACAGTTTTGAAACAAGAACCATCTAACAATACAATTTTTTGTCAACAATCATGTATGGAAACGCCAGAATTAGAAATGCAACTGGCTGAATACAATCCAAGTACTTCTAAGGGCCACGAAATTCTATCACAAGTTTATCAACATAGCTCGACCCCATTGAAATTAATGCCTGTCAAACCAAGAAAGTACCCCAATCGACCAAGTAAAACACCCGTACATGAACGCCCTTATGCTTGCCCAGTTAATAATTGTGACCGACGATTTTCAAGAAGTGATGAGCTTACAAGACATATTCGTATTCACACGGGTCAAAAACCATTCCAGTGTCGAATTTGTATGCGTTCATTTTCAAGGAGCGATCATCTAACAACCCATGTACGAACCCATACTGGAGAGAAGCCATTTTGTTGTGATCTTTGTGGAAGGAAGTTTGCTCGGAGCGATGAAAAAAAAAGACATACTAAAGTTCATTTGAAACAAAAACATAAACGCGAAATGAATCATTCCTCTATGCATGACCACTTAATTGTGAATCATTAGAAAATAACTGTTAACTCGAAAATATGTAAAATTAATAAAATTTATTTTTGGTAAGATTAGTATGTTTCCAAATTAGTGCAATAATAAATAAGTTCTTATATTTTATCGATGTACATATACATATATAATTCTTTAATTACAAAAATATATGATGTCAACTTAATTATTTTTATAATATGGCAAATATTTTACTTAGATAAAAAATAAATGATTCTATAACTTGTTATAAAATGAATAATGAAAAATAAATATTTTTCCTTAATATACTATTATGTACTTCGTAAGAATTATGATTCATCCCTAACCCACACAAAATAAATTTTTTTCCGTTTACAGAAACAAATGTAACCTTGTAAAAACCAATACTACGATTATTGGTTGCTTTAAATTATAATTTATTTCATTTTATCTTAGAAAAAAACTTGCTAAATATATATTAAAGTAATCGTAACCCTCAAGAAACATTTATAAAACTTATGGTGACACACATATATGAGTTAATTTTTCCTGATTGACTAGTTTTTCAATTTATATTATACTGATGTTTAGTTTTCCATATGAGCAGTTTTTTATATATTTACCACTTTTTTGGAGGATTCACAGATCAGCCTTCAAGTTTAGTATGTTATTTTGGTAAAATATAGCCTTCAGTTAAAATTTCATACCTGTAAGGGACATTAGGGCCGAAAATTACGTCCCTCAGAGGTCTAAAATTAGTCGTTTACATAATTTTGCGTATTCTACACAAAGTCGTAGCTCAGGCACCGGAACATATTGTCTAACCCAGATGGTCGCAATCTTCAGGTCGAGACATGTACTTTTCATGAAAAAACTACCTAGAGCTGGATAGATTAAGTATTAAAAAAAATCAAAAATCCCACATTTGACGTATTTTTCGACGAGGAATCCAATGTTGACCATGAATTTGACCTTTGAAATAAACTTTAAGCTACAGCGAACCCAAATCGATTTTTCACTCGGTGACCCCCATTTTTTATTTCAGATTTGAAAAAAATTTCACATTCGAATATGTAATTTTTTTTTTTTCAAGGTCATTTAAACGGCGCTACAGTTCGAAAATAAACTCTTTAGCTTAGCTTAATATTAGGTTAAATAAGGGATTTATTTTCGATGCGCAGTGCACATCGTTACTTGGTAGAACATAAGGAACACGCATTTGATTTTTGACGATGGTCGACGATATGCGAATATAATTATTTACAAGCTTATGAATAATGAATTAGTAATCACATGAATTATCTTGTGCCAAAATTTCACTGCGACAGTGAGTGATTTGTATTTTCTCTCCAGTCCCCTAAAGGCAATCCCCTAAGGTATCAATACGCACGACCTTTCCATCCGCCGGTTAAGAGGTTTACTTTAATGTTGGTTGCCAGCAACTCTCGAGAAAGACCCCATAATCGCAGCTTTACTCACACTGTCGCCGAGGCAACTTCATTTAGAGTGTCTTCCATTTATAAGAAGAGTCTGACATTCAAGGTGGGTACCATTTATAGTAGCCATCTGTTATTCATGCTTACGTGTGAATTGATGTCACACTATAGTTTGAGATACAAAGAGGTAGCACTCAATGACCCGGCTTAATTTTGGAACCAAGTATAACAAGAATGAAATTGGTAGTCATACTCGAAGAGAAATATAAGTGAATATTTCTATCATGAAATAACCTGGAAGAATCCTAAAGCTCCAGTTGTAATGACTCCGTATGTGCGCAAGCATTTGTTCGTCAGTTCGCTTCCTAAATTGCTTCTTAAGTATTATTGCACTTATTAAATACACCCACTGTAACTGCGGAGCACTGCAGCAAATGAAAAGTTCAGATGTTTGAAAATGTATGCTGACAAATATTAAAAAAATTTTAAAAGTAAAACTATTGATAAATGATACAATTGTCAAATATATATGGGCTAAAATTTGAGACTTCTACAAAATTTTTACGCTGACCATCGCTAGAAATTTTCATTGCTACTGTTAATTTTTTTTTCTTAGTGCAATTTATCCAAAAAAATCCCTAATTTTACAGCTTATCAATTGATTTTATCATTTTACCGAAATTCATTGATTTTACAACAATTTTAAAGCTATCAGAGGTTAACGTTTGCTGTCTAATGATCAGATTTTTTGAAAACTTATCTATGACTAAAAAACAATTATATTGACAGTAATGCAAAAAAAAATTAATGTTTCTGATCAAACGTTGTTTGTGTTAAACTGAAAATTTTACCGAATACTATAGTTGCTAAACGTCGTTTTGCAATAGCGTAAGCACTGCATACCATACCCGGATCCTCCCGACAGATGCAATTATCGCGTCACCGAAGAATTTCGTTATAATCTGATCGCGCGAGTATCCTAGAGACTACTGGAATTTCGCACGTTAATTGCCAATCAACTACATACATACATGTAAAGGTTTCGGCACACAGAACTATTAGTTTATCGAGTTTGTGCTATGTACATGTAATGCGCTATAAGTGTTCTTTTTCCGGCATCGAAATGATATCATAAGATTAAAATTTTGCATTCGGTTATTAAAAATGAAGTAACTTGGTTACGGTGTGCAAATTATGTGCAAAAGTTTATATCGCTGATTATCTTTTTGGGTACAAGGAAAACATTTTATAATTTTTAATTCGATAACAAGTTTTTTCGATGAACAACATTTTTCCGATTTGATGATTCATCTGAACTAATCTAGATTAAATCTATAACAATATTCATTACAGGATCTATATTATTAAATATCTTGCTTATTCATTATTTCGACTTGGCTGTATCTTCAATGTTTCCATATTATTTTAAAGATTTATTTATATTATTGTGTATCAGTGCTATTCACAATGATTAAAAAACAAAAACAAAATGAATAGAGATAAGAAAACATCATATTTGTTTCATTTTTTTATGGTAAATGTAACTTTCTGAAATCCGTGTAATATACAAATGCAAAGAAGATGAATTGTGTATCTTAAAATTTGCAAGCTCGCTACATTACCAATCTCTTTACGATCAGATTCGACCCCTTTGTACTTACATCACAGTTGCATTTATATGTTAACTATAGTTAAGTTCGAAGTATCATACCATAATACATAGTCTATTCTGCCTTAGCCAACTGAGCTTGCGAATGAACGAAAGAGAGGATATATTATACCAGGTAGGTAGCTGGAAAGCTCGCTTTCTTGGTGCTGCCGTCTATGCAAAGTTCTGTGTACACTGTGCGACTGTGCACAATGCCGACTGTAGAAGTGGCAGTGGTGACGGTGGTGAATGCACGAAGAAGAGTGGCGCAAGCGCCCGGCCGCCTTCATCCGTCTGAAGCTGCAAGCACGCGTTTTCGTTCGCACGTATCAGTCGGTGCGAGGTAGTGCGAGCCATCGGGCCACTTTTGGTATTGGCGCGTGAATGTAGATTGCGGTAACTTCGAATCCTGCGAATCTTCGAGTGACAGTGTCCTGGTGATTTTACGACAGTGTAAATAATAACAGACAGCTCAATGAAACTCATTAAATCTAAATAGGTGCAACATTTTACATATTTGCTTAGGCGTTGGATAGATTGAACCTTGGGTGGGCCACAGGTGTCTGCACGTACTGTATCCACCGGTATGTGTAGTTTGCTTGCTGATGTTATTTCATTTATGAATATTGCGTATATTTATGAGCCGTAGCATGGCATTATTCAATTATACGTAAATCGTAATAACTCGTAAAGCAGCCAAAAAGACAGACATCTATCATTGTCTTGTTTTGACGATTTATTTTTCACATAATTTCATTCGTTGAATTATAATTGCATTTGTCGATTCTCGCAAGTATCACCGTAATATGCGTCATTCATAGAGTCAATTTGGTATCAATATAAAATTTACTCTGTTACTTCATTTAAAATACATTGAATTTTTGAATATTTACGATTTACAAAGTTTACAGTTTGTTACAGAATATTTTACTTTAAGTTTTAAAGAATTAAATCAGTCAAGTCTTAGACATTATAAAGCATGATAAGTTCAAATTTGTAATTATAAAAAAATACTAATGGTCTTTCAATAAGAGATATACGCTGAATAATGAAATTAAGTTGAAATTATTTTAAAAATGTTGATACAAATTATTATACTAGTTTTATTATGTCTTTTAAACGGTCAATTGATAAAATGTTAATAATTAAAATAAATCAAAGAACGTAATGAAATAGGAATGCGAAAAAAATTTGGGGATTCCACAAACTTCTACATTGAAAAAATTGTACCTTGTGTTGGGTTTGGTGACTTTTATTATTAAATTATTTTCGGTAAAAATAAATAAAAGCAACTGAGTTTATGAAAAAGTCATTTATTCGCAACGAGGCATTACTCATCTATTTAAGTACTTCAAAATTGTGATGAATTATTCATAGATAACTGAAAATAGATAACTGATAATAAAGAGAACATTTTTTCTACTGTGAAATTTTGTTTGAATATTATTTTTTCCGGAATTTAACAGCTATTTCTAAGAAAAGTCTATAATACGAAAGAAAAAATAGAGGAGAAGCTCGCGTTTAATATATCAATAAAGCTTGATACATAATGTTCTATGGAAAATGAGCATCAAGTTTAAATAAACTATTTCTACCGACTATTAGAAAGATCAAGAAGTTTAGCAAGGTAACGATAAACGAAATTTTACTGTAACATTCATACATAACAGAGTAAATAATCAAGTCAACTGATTACGCTTTACGCAGTGGATAAATTCGTTTTTACTCTGCAAATAGCACATCCCAACTCGCAAGCTCGGGTCGAATCGTAAAAAAAAGGCGTAGACAAAAACGAGAACGTGATGGTCACAGGATGTTGGCGCGCAAGCGAATAACTTCTCTTTGGTGTATAATGCTTTCCCTTTGATCTTTTCTCCGTTGTTTGGGGTACTTGGACTGCGTGTACGTTTGTGCACGTGTGTGTGTGAGTGTTGAACGCGTTGTGTTGATTCTCGTGAGAAATTTAGCAGGGTGTACCGGGACCGAGAAAGAAAGATTTTTTTCGCGTGAGTCTTGTTAAACAAGCCTGCAAATACCATCCGGAATTTGTGGTGAGTAATGGGATGTTTTTCAGGCTTATTTTACGCTGCCCTAAGTAAATACAGAGGAATAGAGTTAACAGCGAAAAAAACTTTTCTATTTTGACTGCTTTAAGTGCAATTTTTTCTTTCCCTTTCGACAAAAAATAATGTTCTGGATTCAAATAAATTTTCAAAGTTTCTAACGATAAGTAATGAAAATAGAGACAAAAAAGTAGAAATAATTTAATTGACTTTACTTGTACGTCAAAAATATCATATCTTACGATAATTCCGATCAAATTTATGGTAGAGGTATAGCAGAAATAAAGTTATTATGAAATCTTTTGAATTTATTATCTTGAGATCGATCTTACCATTATGACAAAAAATGCGAAAATTAGAAAAAATGGTTTCATTTACAAATAAAAATTTATCCAAATTAGTTGCATTAAAAAATTATTGTAAAATATGTAAATTATTGAGGGTTAACGGTATTATTTTTGGATTAGAAATTAAATCAGATTTATACTTCAATATAGCAACTACAGTAAAATATATCGATAATCGCAGATTATTTAAATACTATATATTATAAGTAAGATAAAAATATCATAAGAACATCGATAGAGCTCTTAACTTATATATCAAGAATCGTTTAATAAATGATAATGGATTAACGAAGTACTGTAATAAAAGCTTTAACTGTAACCATAGTAATTTACAGAATACCCACCACCAATTGAAAGAAATTTTGGGGAAACCAGACTTTTTTGAGGTTTACTTGAAATTCAAAGTATTATACTGCAAACTCTATCACGATTTTTGTAGCTTTTTGGCAAGTTTAAAGTAAGTGCTTATGCCGTGCATTGAAAGTGCATAGAGATATTCGCAGTTTGTAGCTGAACATTAACGAAAAATGCAGACATAAAAGAGCTTTTTTGAGCTCAAAGTAATTTGAAAAATGTCAGAAAAAATTTTTCGAAAATTTTAGAAAAGGGACATTTTTTTATAAGAGCTGCTAAAGAGGGCACCCCAATGTTAAAATCAAATGAAAGTAAATATAACAGACTGGTTCAAACAAATCAAGAATATAAACATAACTATGAGGAATTATGTGATTTAGTTAACGAAGTCATTCAAATAACATATGAAGCAGTCATTAACCTTACCACCATTTTTCTTGTGTATAACTGGCTAAATACATAGTCAAAACCTTTCTTCTCCATCCGATTAAGAAAATAAGTAAACTTTTCACAATTACTACGTTGACAAAAAACATCGGTGAATAATTTTCCACGGCGATGCGTTCGAATCACATTCTCGTACACAGAAAAATAAATACTTAGAATCTTTCTCCTGATTGCTCTCCATCGCAATTTCTTCCAAAACTTATACACGAAGAAAAATGAATGGAGGAATGATAACGTCGCTGGTATAAGCTTGAGGAGGGAATCACGAGCGATTCGCTCGAAATTAGCTGCTACTAGGGTGAAGCTTTTCCACGAACGATCGAATGAAAACTGTGGCGAGATTTTTCGCATGACGGTGAAAATTGCCCCTCGTGTACGTAAGCACACGCTGTATTTTCTGTGCGGGCTGGATTGCGCTACTTGTCGTGGAGGGTGCACATCGCAGTAGCGGTATAAAAGTAGAAAAAGTCTAATTTAGCAATTTATTTCGTGATCGTAAAAGTCATGCTGCAATTGCTACTCAACCTCCGTGACGGGGCGATTAAAAACTCGAAACTTTTTATTAATTATCGATCTCAATTTTTTACAAAACTGTAATGTATGTTTTTAATAATTGAAATGATTTTAAAATCGCAAAAAAGTTAAATTTTAAAGGCACTTACGCTTCGTTTCTGAGATGATGCTTTCACCCGAGAATAAGCTCTTTTCTTTTTCTATAAGAGCTTTAATAGAGCTAAAAGTTAAAAATAAAAATGATTGTTTCTTATTCACATGTAAGGTTCTAGTTAGATATAGATATTTTCCAACAAAATACTTTTTTTCTCAAAGTTGGCTTCAAAATTATTGAATAATAAAACATGATTAAGCAACTCGATTAATTCAAGCCATTAATCACTTAGATAGGTTATTGCACTTTGCGCGTGTAGTTGTAAAAACAGACAATTCCTAGACACTGTTCTTTTCTTCTTTAAACTTTGCTCACGAGTAGCTATTTTGCATTTCATAAAAGAAAGTAAGTTTTCGAAATTTATCCGAGAAAAAAAGATGATTCATTAAACTGTAAGTAAGAAACTTACTTTTCTGAAAAGATATATTTAAAAAAAAAGCTGTGAATGGGAATTGTGACTTTTATCAATAAATAAAAAGATAATTTTGCTCAACGAATCTTAATTACAGCAACTTAGTTTTTTATAAATGCTTCTCTTATAGTTTATTCTTAACATCATAAATACTTATCCTTACAGCGAGTGAAATATCGTTCTATTGTTTTGTTCACAGATACCTTGAATGAGAGGAATTTTGCAACAGCAGTGGACAATAAAAATTTTTGAATATGTGATGTTATTATTTAACAGAAAGTCAATTTTAAGTTAATGAGTTGTTTATCCGATAATGAACATTGTAAAAACAAATTATTCTTCCATCAATGAACAGAGTAACTATTTATATAACTACCTATAAATTAAGCATTGATTTATAAAAAAATTTGAATAAGTCATAATTCTAATAATTAAACGCGTTAAGATAAAATTAAAAGTTAACTCAATATGATTTGAAGAAGCCTGCCTCTATCACTTGATTTTCACTACAAACTGTTATTTCTTTTACGATAAATGAAATGAAACTATTCATTGGTACATTTTTGGAATAACATATTAATATTTTTTTTGTTTGTCACCCCCAGCAAGCATCGATGCGCGCTAAGTGCATTAGTGACGCGGAAACGCGTCGAGTCACGGAATGGTGGGGAATAGCGAGATAAAAGTAAGGGTAAATAGTACTGAAAATCATTGAGAGCGGAGCGAAGTGACAATGACGATCGAAAGCAAAGGAAATATGGTGTCGACAAGTGCTTCGACGAGACTCTTCTATGCGCTCCTTTTCGTTCAATTTATCGGCCAGCTCGGCAGCTTTCTTTATCTCTACGTGAACGTGGCGAAGCTCGAACACCAAGTGCTGCAAGTGCAGACTGCGGGATGTTCGACGATCTCGGCTACCGGTGTTGCCGCGACTGCCACCGCCAGCGCCACTACAGGAGGTAGTCATGGTCAAACTGCGGTCAGACGCAAGAGGAGTAGCTCGATGCCACTTACCGAGGACAATGCTGTCTCCGATGTCTACAGGGTGAGTCTTTTTTAGCATACAAATTGACGAATTTTTTGTACAGAAAATTTTTCATTTACCTATTTAACCGCAATTTTAGACTAGAACTTTTTACTCGTGCTTGGAAAAAAGTAGATTGAAAAAAATTCAAAGTAAGCTTTTGCATCTGGTTCGAGGGTTATAATTGTAAGAGAAAAATAAAAAAACCAAATCAAGCTTTACACCTTAACCGGGCATATCGAAGTTTTTGAATAGTCGCGCGACCGACAGTACAGTTGGTCAGAGCTCCGGCGAGGCTAAATCCTAAGTGAAGGCGAATGGTGGGTATTAAGTCGTAAAGGATATCCGGAAAGTAAGAGGGGCTGCTGCTACTAGAAGAGGGCTTTCATTAAAGTAAGCGCATTGTACGAGCGTGTGAGTGGGTCTGCATGTGTTCAGTTCAAGTCCACGTGCATAGATACGCGTGCAAGGACCAGATTAATTGGAAGGACCATATAACCTATAATTATACTCTTGGTTCTGATTAAACCATCTAGACCCCTCTCCCTCTCTCTTTCTCTGGTAATCCCGAAGCTTCCGCGTATTTCGACTATACATAAAGAGCCACGTGCGTACGAATAAATTCTCTACATCTACCGGCGCGATGAAGATGTGAAAAAAGGAAGTTCGCTTTAATATACATTTAATGAAGAAAGGAAATTAAATAATTAAATTCAGATCTGCAGTATATGTATACTTACCGGCTTTGGGTGTAAATCACTCGGCTGAGTGGCGCACGACGCGGCACACGAATATTATACCCGTCAGATTTATCGCAGGAAATTAAAGAGCCCGCGTGGCTTGGGATTATGACCAAACTGAACTATCTATATCTATGCTCGTGCGTATTTGTGTAGGTCTGCGTGTGTGTGTGAGTGTGTGTGCATGGCGCGCGGGCTGCATATATGCAATGCGTTTTCTGCGGTTCTCATAGAAAACAGCACTGGCGCGGAGATTCGCAGCTTTGGGCGCAAACTTTACCCGTATATTATACATCGCACGCAAAAGCTCAGCCGAATAGCAGACGTCCTGGAAAATGAATTTCTCGGTCTTGTGCGTGGTATAATAACTATATCCGCAAGATTAATTCGCTCACCCGATGCATCAGCGCCAAATTTAGGTTGCGTAAACGCCGCACCTTTTTATTGCCCTTTAAAAGCTTATCGCGTGGCGGGGGGGCTGGAGGAAAAAGTCACCGCCGCACGCGTTATCCCCGCAGACGGGGCTCGAGACTTCTCTGTATATTCGCTTATTAGAGTCGTGCGCGGATTAATGCGCCCGCATTTTTTCAATTTTACGCCCGTTGCACGATTTATATGAATATTATTATTTGCGATTGCGAGCTCAGCGCGTAGATCCCACTCGAGATTTTTTCCTCGAATTTTTTTTATACGCCCGGTAAACTGCTTTATTCCTTCATCGCATTGCGGAACTCAGTATTTTTTGCATTTTCATTGGCATTTTTTAAGTTGTGTTGTCGCCAAAACACGAGACTTTTTTTTATAAAGCAAGGGACACTTTTTGAACTGAGTATTCCTCGATAATATGAATATTGCATATTAATAGCATAAATTTGAAAAATTTTTAAATATATTTACAGTAGAGTAAAAAAGGGTGCGCGAACTGTTCTAAATTCGACACTATTTTTCCAACTCATATGAACAATGAATTTTAAATTCAACGAGCAAAAAGGACATTAAAATAATTGCCCAAGGTAGAGCAGCAAAAGCTGCCTGTACAAGCGAGACTAAACGAAATGGCGGTTTTCACATCGAATTTTTCATGTTTTAACCGTATTTTTAAACGGCGCACGCATGGCAAACTGTAGAAATAAAATATTCTTCTACTTTCCCTCACTTTTTTTCATCTACGTGTCAAGCAAACCTAAATTGTACTCGGTATACTATGAAGGCATGTGTGCTCGCTCTTCTTTGCCAAAATAAATGCACGGAACGGTACGTTCAGCTGTTCAACAGTTGCGAGCGATAACGTTTAACTCGCGCAGAAACGAATTTAGCCGTCTGTGAAAACTTTTGTAAAACTCTCTATTGTCTTTGTTATGATTGTGCGAATCTACAACTTGATGCTTTTTTATTTTGAGAAACGATACTTTGTATATATATTTGATCGAATAAATAGCGACCGTTGACAAATATTTTTAAAACCGAAATATAAATCCTTCAACGTTGTCTGTATTGATCAAGAGAGCGGAAAACGTATGCCATTGTTCGATAATCATCAAGACCATAGAAGTGAAACACAAACGACATTATAGGTAGCATAAGTACAATTAGTGGGTAAGAAGTGCTTTTCTTGCATGCAATATACAACATTCAGCGTAGCAAGCGTCATTCAGAAATTAAAAAGCACTAAAATAACGTTGTGCATCGTGGCTCATGAATAATCAATTGAATTTTTGTGGATAATTCGCAAACAGCATTTAGGTATTTTATGTCTATAAAATATTCCAGAATATTTGTTTATTTTTAAATGATTTTGGAGCCTTGGGTACTAAATGTTTTTTTTTAAATTTATTCAATGGTACACATAGGTTATATGATGATTATCAAGTAATGAAATTCCAAACGTTCAGCAAAATAATTCATATTGTACCCATAAAGCAGGGTAGTTTAACTAGTCTAGAGCTTTACTGTTTGGTATTTGCGCTTATGTATATTTAAGCATTAGTTAGGTAAGTATTGATGATTTGAAAACTAATTGCTGAGTTAAGGAGGTTCGGGAGTCTCAGCGAAATGCAGCCAAATTTTTAAAACACGTTCAATTGCTTTGAAACTTTATAATATGAATGTTTATATCAAAATACAACTTTTCACCGCAAAATTTTGTTAAAATGATGAAAAAATTTTTTGACCATTTAACATGGTTTCTTACGAGAAATCATGAATTTTCGCTTTCAATGAGCATAAACATAATGTAAAAAAACAAAAACTAAATAGAAAAAAATACGTACATGTAGGAAATTTAATAAGGAATAATTTGACTGCAAAAAGAAGTTCATCGACCGTTTAGTTATCGAGAAATAAATTGTTATGTGTAAAAATTCGTGGGTCATTTGCGCGTACCCTAACCAACAAATGAGCTAGAACAACAAAAATATGTGCTCATTCGACTCTAATGACAAATAGAGTATTGTTTTAAGCCTAAAACATCGAAAAAAACTCATCAAAATGATTGAATTATTAATAATAGCTATAATTGTGTGCCAGCTCATTGAAAAAACCTACAATTTCGTGTTATTTCGAAGTTGGCAGCGCTGAAAATTTAACATTGGAAGTATAGGAGCCCCTCGCGTCCCGCTTCGTCCCCCTCAAACACTCCCGAACCTCCTTAAATTCAAATTGAAGTTAATCTTCCACGGTGGTAACCGGAAGCGAGCAGGAAATGTGAAAATAGTGCTCAAGAATTTAAAATCAATCATTTTTCGTTATGCAATAAAAAAGTATTTCTTTCGCAATATGAGTCTTCCTAATATAAATTTGAAAATGTATAATATATCAGAAACTATTCAGTGAAAGCTTAGGGGGAGTGAAAAAAAGGTCACGAATATGCACATTATTAAAAATATGTTTGTTTTTCAGAATCGCAACGACAAGAACATTGAGTCAAAGGATTCGAAAAGTATGGCCAACGCAAAAGGAGACGAATGGGTATGGGTTACCGCAGACACCCGTATTCCAGTAAGTATAAACCGTTGAAAATATTAATATTGAAATCAATGCAATTTGAATTAAATTTAAAAATTTCGGGAATCTTATTACATTATATCTTCAAATTTATTTTTTTTTGATATTTTTGTACAAAAATCTATTGAATCATAAGGAAGATGTTCAGGGTTTGAACACAGTGAAGTAGGAGGTTTTAAATTCATCTTGACATCGAACGATTTTCTCTTAATCTGCATTTTTTAGCAGTTCTTGTTTTTGAAAATGTTTACACGTTTCGTGACTTCGAAAGAGGTTAATTTTAGCTACAACGTTGAGATTGCGCATATTTTTCGGAGTATGAATAGTTACAATCAAAACCTCAGGCAAAATATAGAATTCATAGGTCGCTAGTTTGAGGACAATTGATCGACACATCGTCAAATTAATGCCGAGGAAACTAGATACTTAGATTAATTTTCTTCTTTTCTCAGAACATTGGCCGCCATTCGGCAGGTATAAGACCTTATGAGTTATGAGCCTAGGCCAATCATTGCAGTATGAAGTTTTTAAGAGCTGCCACTGAACTCTAGTCATCTTTTGATAAAAGAGGATCGTATCATCCAGATACATGAAGATATATCAACTGGTGGTTGTTTAAAAGCATCCACTATACTAATTGTTATTGATAGTTTCCATGGAATACCGTCTTTTATTGGTCCCTGTCTGAGTCTGAATAAAAAAAAGTACTTCAAAATCGACACATATTCTGTAATTTAGATATTTTACCTCTTTTCTGAAAATATTAATGAACTGTCCATTCAACACTCGGCTTCAAAAGTCGGCTTTACCAGCGTCACGGGGTTTTCTCTTGAAGGAAACAAAAAGTGACCGCGTAAACACTCGTATACTTGACACACGTACGCACGTACTCAAGCCATGCGCTTATATACGTGCGAAGAGAGATTCAACGAACTATACACGCAACAAACTTTCGGCCAAATTGCATCATTCAATTATCACCTAGGGTTCTAGCCGTAGTTTTGTTGAACCGATATACCTCTGCCACGTGTATAATTTGTTTTACACCGGTATGCTCTCCCTCTCAGGCTTTCTCTTTAGTAGACGCGAATATCTACTAAATGTGATCTCGTTGCGAACTTTGCTATTCCCCAAACTCTCGTGGAAAGAGTTGGCAGCAATCACAATGCGAGCTATTAATACATCGCGCCCGGGCTGCAAAACATTCGCAATGGGAAATGGTATTTGATGGTTTTACCTTGGCCCGGCGGCGGCACACGAGCTCGCGCGCTATATCTCGGCTGCGGATTTCTCTCAACGCCGTGAGCGCGCGCGCGGGGCGCAGCAGCTCTATTCGTAGCTTCCACGTTGGTCCCTCGAGGCTGGGCAATTTTTTTTGCTCTCAATCATTACCCCGCTCGAGAGTTGCAGCCTGCAGGAGGGCTGATCTATCGTGAGGGGCTATCAAACGATTGACTCTGTATTTTTCACTTCGCAATGCGACACGTTTTCCAGCGAAAGAGGCACACAGCCTAGGGTGAGATAGAGACAAACCCTGTAGAGCTTGTTCTACTCCATCAACTTTATTAATGACAGCAGCAGCAGCAGCAGCCGTGGGAGAGCCCGGCGCATTGGCGAAGGTAGAAAAAAAGTAGCGAAAGCGTGAGCATTGATGCGCGAGCTCTTTCTTCGCTACCGGATAGGACATTTTTTTACTTTTATTTTTTATGACGCTCGCGCTGCCGTGGCTGCTTCCACTGTAGCTTTATACAAACTGCATATGGCCGATTTTCACTTAAATTGAATGGCTTATAAAAAAATTTTTCTTCTATGCTGAAATTTATTTAAAGTTTTGGGCCCTTCCACCACTCCTTTTTAAAAGCAATTCGGAAAAATAGACACTTACTAATAATAAAGTAACTTTTAGGCTATTTTCTTTCTTTAAGATAACTATTGAATTTCGGATTTTCTTGTGTTTTTGCTTATTTCTATTATGCAATGTGTCTCACGTATAGTTTTAAAAAATATGAGTCTTGAACCATTTTCCAAAGACGCATGACGTGTGGAGCCGCGATTACAGAATTGACAGACAATGAAATGGAAAGGTTTGAACAGCAGCGCGGTGAGGTATGCATAAAGCGTCTGCCTAATGATACGTGATCTGTTCGATAGAGGCTTTTCATCTCTTTTTTCTTCTCACAATTGAGGGAATGCCAGGCCTGGCTCGTCGAGAAATCGATTTCGTTCATTTGTGTATCCAAGAGTACGAGCAAATAATACGCTTTTCTCCTCCTGTAACTAGCTATTCGAGACTCTTTAATGGTCGAATAATCGAATCTAGTGTGCTGTGGTTCGCTTCTTTTTCTTGGTTTTGCGGCATTTTTTGCCTCGTTTCATCTCGTTTCTTTAACTTTGTCCACACTCTCTGTAATTATTCAACCATAAACTTTTGATCATCCATCGAAGGCATAATTATAAGGTTAATCAAGTACACTGGGAGCTGCAATTTACTTTTGCAAATTGAGATTTATCATTAAATCGTACCTAACAATTGTTTCGAATTGGTTTCTATTCTACCAGTGTATATATGACATAAGCAAAGTTCTCGGATCAAAATTCGCGTACGATCATATACATATAACTATGTATATGCGAAGAAGAATAAAACTGTGACTGTGTAAGCTTTAAATTCCAGCCACAAACTATGCCAATGCGACGCGTCTCGAGGAATTTGTTCGCCACATGAGTTGTATTATACATATATTCACATCTTTGAAACGCTGCAATTAAAAGTTTTCCTCGTGAGCAAAAATTTATAACACCCTACATCGAAAGTCACATAAATCTAAAACTTCATCGAGCGACAAAAGATTTGAGCAATGGGGATTTTTTATACGCCAAGAAGTGCCTGAAAAATGTAACGATTACAGGCGACATTTTCTTATAACTAGAAAATTTTCTTGAAAAAATTACCTGTTCAAATTTTCATGAAATCATATTTTGCCCTTGAATTATTCCAAATTACACGGGAATAATATATTAAATTTTTTGTAAACTAGTTTTTTTTTATTCACAAGATTGAGAGTTGAGGTAAAATTACCCTCGCAAAACACGATGAGACATTTTTGGCCTTTTTTCAAAAAATATCAGATTCGCTTGCAAGAAAAATCAAATTATCAAAATTGTTACAATCTCACGAATTTTTACCATAATATTTAATAATGAATCAAAATAGGCTCAATACATCAGCTGTTTTATAACAGATATATAAACAAAATTCTTATTAGTAGTTTACAGTAAATACAGTGAGATTTTCGATAACGTACGCCATTTTTTTTTTAAATTTTGATAGAAAGATGAAAGTGTGGCAAGAAATAAGTGAAAAATGAATAGTTAATAAAGAAATATAAAAAAAACATTAAACATTCAACATTTTCCGAAAAAACGTCGGTTCCAAAAAAATGATAGTTAAATTTCATACGATTTTAATAATTCTCACTGCTGCACTTCTCTCTGTGTACTTATGAAAGAGCAAGAGACTATTTGCTTTTCAATACCACTGACTCGAATAAAATTTTTTTAAAGTGTAGCAAGTATTATGCTCGTTATATGACATTACAAGTGAAAATATAATTGACGATCTTGTTTTTAGAAGAATTAAGCCTCGTTTTTTGTTATTTATAATACATTTTCAGAAAACTGTAGTATAAACTTGGTGGCCCCTTGAAATGTTGTTCTTAAAACGATGAATTCTCTAACATGCAAAGTTGTTCAGTCACTTTTGACTGCTATTAGGTATTTACATCAACAGTCAACGAATATTGCAGCGAAGGCCTCGGGTATTTGCTGAAGAGCTTTTTCTTACTCTTGGCTTTGGAAAATTCACTCGTGATTATCTCAGCTTTGCTTGAGTCAATAGTTAATGAGGAAACGTCCTCCTTATCAGCTCGGAATGTTCGGCAAACACATCGAGAAAGTGGAGAAAGGTTGGTGTCGCTAACGAGGACAACAACCCTCCTCTTGTTGTTTTCGCTAAGGAGGTTGAGTTTCTGTACCGCAGGAAATTATCGTTTGCATGTAAAATAACCCACAGAAGTCATTAGTATATATTTGTCGGGATTTCGACAAATAAGAATTCATCTTAATGCTTACTAAACACAGTGAATTGTATTCCATCTAATCAGGAAACTTTTAACTGGTATAGTTTACCGAAACCAATGTATTGACTGAGTGTAATAGGCATTAATCTTTACTAGCTCTGCGTAAAAAGATATAACTTTTTTGTGCTTACTCATTTCAAAGTAGCCAAAGTAATGGCAATTGTTTACAACGTATGTGAAGATTATTCAAACAATTATTTTTATACTTTAAAAATCTTTATGTCCGTGCTAATTTTGTTCGAACAATTTTAAGAGTATTTAAAATTTGATTTCAAAAACACCTAAAGTTAAAAAAATTAATTTTATCAATTGTACTTTCAAGCCTACTTAACTTTGCTTCTACTTCTTTTCTGATTTCATAGTTAGCGTTAATTAGTTTTTATTATAAACACCAATAGTTGGTTGAATGGGACATATTATTTATTCGAATTCATACATGAGCCGCATAATTATGAATTTCTCGTTAAAAAATATCGTCATGCTGCGCGTGACTCGCATTTAAATCATTCGTCTGTTTACCCGACAAGCAGCTTACAATGACAGTAGCGCAGCGCAGGGGTAAGAGTACGAAGCGACAGTGCGTTGGATAATCTGCTTTGGGCTTATTAGCGCGGATCACTTAGCCGCAAATCGAGTTACAGTGTGAGACGATGCGCAGCGCGCACTAGCCCCAGCATGTGTGAGTGTGTGCGCGCGTGTATATCTTCGCCGTACTTAGCTGGTCGTATTTAGTTCTAACTCGCCGCGCACGTAGCTTTAACTCTAATTAAACAACCAGATAAGGCAAGACTCGCGTTCTTCTTTGCGCCTCGACGTCGAAAAAAATTTTGTAAGCCAGCTCTATAAGCCTCTGCTGAGAAAAAGCTACTCGCGTTGCATTATGATATTATGTGAAAAACAAAATCTTGGCCCGAAAAAACGACAAGACTTTATTTTTCTGTATTAAGTTAGAGATCCGAGCTATTATCTCCTCCATTCGTGGCTTGGGCTGCAACTGAGCGCAACAACGCGGCGCCACAAATCATGGATAAAACCACGACACGCCAACGAAAGCGTGTTATCTGCCCACTGCCCCCCAAAAAAAAAGAAAGAAAGGAAGGGTTCGAGCGAGGATAGTGGATTTCGTTTATTTATTGGTCATAAGAGGCTTGATCGGTGTTATTTATGGCCTATCGATACCGTTGGCCGTACGCGTCGCCCGGCTGTCAGCGCAACTTTTGAGGACGGAAAGTTTCGCCGGCTCTGTATAAAGCCTGTCGCGCGCAGTAAACATGTAAATGTTATTGTTGACTTTTAATTACATTTTCCGGCATTGAAAATAAAAATTTTAAAAAGTATGGCAGATTCTATGTGTATTGACGTAGTTAGCGTTCAGCGCTTTATGTGAAAATTGTTTACTGCAGCTGCTCGTTAATTTGTTCAAAGGTAAAAATGAAAAATCCCAATTTAATATCTGGTGCGATGCATTTTTACGAGCAAATGACAAAATTGTTTTTTTTCGCCCTTCCTCTCGAAAAATTCGAGATGCGAATACAATCAGCTTTATGATATTCGTAGAAAATGTGGCACGAATGAAAATTCTGCGACGTAATATGTTCAGGAAAATTTTTCCCAACAAAAAAATCATTGCATTCAAGTAAAATATTTTTGCCTTTAGAATTTCTGGCTTTCCGGGACACGATGGGATATTTTCTTGGGAAAAAAAGAGAAATTTTCCTTTTTTTTTCAAACTAGTCTGACATTACAGGAAAGTAAACAATGATGAATATTCATTTTTCTTCGTTTTGCAGACCGACGCCATAGAAACGTACTGCCGGAAATCCCGAGAATTTTGCCCGCCCGGCGATCGAGGCTTGCCCGGACCGCTTGGGCCAGCCGGCATCAAGGGCGACCAAGGCTTGCCGGGTATACCAGGCTCACCAGGACCGGCGGGCCCGAGGGGTCTGCCCGGCCCCATGGGACTACGAGGCGACCCCGGACTCGACGGCGTCGACGGTAATAGTCTGGAAAATAGCTCGACGGATAATTAACATTCCGCACAAAACAAACGCGTTCGCAGCTATAAAATCATCGTGAGACCCGCGCAAAGTGTTTGTACTCAATGGGATTTGGACTTGTAAAGGGTAGTTGGTAGTCGATCCGTGTGTGTGTGCGCAAGCACATCGAGAGCTCGGGTTGCTTGTGTTCTCTCAACTGTATCGGCTTGAAATAATACAGACGCTTGGCCGGCCCTTGTCCCCTTGCTTGCTTAATGGATTCAAAGGCGAGAGAGCCGAGCTTACGTATACCCGAGAATTGCATATATTGCCCGGGAGCGAGGAAGGGAGGGTCTATTACGCGTATTCATTCTCTTGGCGCGCACCAAGATTACTTATTGCCTTGTATATATCACACGTGCGTGTTTGTAACATTCGTGCAGGTATTCCGGGCGAGCCTGGACTCGACGGACTTCCTGGGAGAAGCGGCAAAGACGGCAGAGACGGCCAAGATGGTAATCCCGGTCTGAACGGAACACCCGGAGCACCAGGATACAACGGAACCGACGGTACGTATGTGTTCGCACATTTTACACCCCCCGTACAGAAACAAAAACAATTACCACTCGAGCTTTCTACTCTCATACATTACGATTGTTTTGTTCGGTACTTTAGATTTTCTCTTGCATCATTTATTTATGAATATTAATTTACATTTACTATGGATTATGAGTCTATTATTAAACTCTTTTATGGCTATTGAATATAATCTTTCTCAATGAAGCTCCGTTAAAAGACCGTAATATTTTTTGTAAACGAGCTTCGATATGAAACGAGTCTTTTTAGATAAAAAACGACCACGAAAATGGTCAACTATTCACTCGCAAAATCTATGCGCCATTAAATAGTTTGAAAATATTTTTCAACTTTAAAAATGTATGGCTTTTTCATTCATCAGCGCGGGCGAGGACGGCATTAAACGAACGAAAAACTTTTTGTGTGCGAATCGATAATCCGCAAAGCGTAGAAGTGGAAGCTTTTGCCAACTATCGATAACCGCGTCCACGTCGGATGGAACGCGCTAATCAATGCCCGCGCGCGCGAGAATTATAAGCTCTGTACTACGCGTTCGTTATGAAATTCTAAATTCATGAACTCTCGAATTATTCGATAACAGTCGAAAGTATGAATTATGAATTCCATCTCGAATTATGCATGATAATTTTATATATGGCACGTGTGCACTCGAATGACATTATATCCGTGGCTGCGCTGCACTCGTCGATCGGGTTGCTGTTCTCGAGCCCATTCGTACATTATCAACGTCGAGGCAAGTTGAGAGACAGTAAAGGTTGCAATATCCAGCGCAACGCTATTAGCCGGCAGAAAGTCACGAAATTTGCTTTAAATTGCTTCGAACGCGCGCAAGAATATATATCGCACGGAGCCCAGGCGCGACAAGTTTGTAGGTGACAGTCACCTGCGGAACGCGCGGCTATATGCACACGCTACACGTATTATGTGCTGAGGTTGTGTCGCGTATACACGTGTAAATCAGAGCCATGGATACGCATTATGTATATACGAGGAGACATTTAGCCCAGAAATACGTCGAGCCTCGCGCGCACAACTCACGGGTAGAGAGGAAGAGAGAGAGAGAGAGAGGAAGAGGGTGGGAGTGGGAGTGGGAGTGGGAAAGTAAAGTTTCGTAGACGAGGACCGCGAGGAACACAACAAAACCAATTCCGTCTTAGCTGACAGAGTCATTGCACGGGGGGCTCTCATACGTACGTACGCACGCTCACGTACGCTCCGAGAGAGGAAGAGAGAGAGAGAGAATGGGAGAAGGAGAAAACGGGATAAAGATATTGCAAACAAATGACAAGACTGCGCACGGGTTCCACTGTATACGCGCTTCGTAGAAACAAATCTCGTCGGATCGAATTTACATAAACTTACATATACGCGCCTAGGGAGCACAGCTGAGCCCGGGGTCGACTCGGCTGCACTCCCGGCGTATAGGCAGTAAAAAGCAACGCCTGAGCGTATTATATACGCGCGTGTGTCTCTCGCGCTTGAATATTCACGTCCTGGCATTTATTTGCAAGCTCCACTCTACTCTAGCTGTGCTCCGCTGCAGCCTGGTCAACGCTCGCACCTGTATACTTTTATCTCGGCGCGCTCTGCGGCCGCGCGCACGAGAGTCTAAATGAAAGCAAGCCTTTTCATATCGATGTGTACATCACCTGAGCTCCTCCTAAAAAAAAAAGAGAGAAGAAGAAAAAAGATAGAAGACTTTTCAGGTCAGCGTCGTTAAGGTATATACAGTGTGCGCCGCTGCAGGGAGAGCAAGAGCAAGTGCAAGCGCCACGAAACTGTGTCGCGACGAGGTGTCACGTACCTCTGTGCATGTGTAGCCGAGGCATCGCGCGCAGTGTTTGCTTTGAAGGTTGCTCAAATGACCCGCTCTCTCTCTCGCTGCTCTCGCGCAAGCTCTCTCATATTCTTTCCTTTTCACGTCGTCATCTTCATCGTCGTCGTCGTGGTCGTCGTTACTTATTATGAATCCTCGCTTTTGTGGGCACGATGTGGTCTTTCCGCACAGCTACCTTTCTCGCGCGCCTCTTTTCAGAAGCCTGTAATATGCTCAACTGACGCGAATGTGAACATATTTTTAAACCGCACTCGTTTTTTTTATCAATCTTCGTAGATTATCAAAGAAAGGAATAATTATGTGGTGCTATAATTAGAAGAAAATAATTAAAGTAAATAATTGAAAGAAAAATTAAAAAATTTTTCTGTACTTGTTACATGGCGTGCTTTCGTCGAGTGTCCGCAATTTCCATCGCGATCGATTGATGCAGATGTAAAGGAACGAGAATTCACATCACACTTATCGTCGATCAGATGCCAGAGGGCGACGCCGTTATAATACGGTTTTACGAGGGCCGTAAAACAAATTCAGCTGCAGCTGAAGACTTTTATAACGAACTTAATAATGATTTTCATCGCGCTGCCCTCGAACACGCCGACTGGCATCTTTAAAATATATATAGATCGTTCCAAGTATTTATAATGTAAGTATCATCGTCTCGATGACCCGCTAATTAAATTTCAGCGCGTCCAAAATTGAATAAGTTTTCCACGGTAAGCAGCGCCCGAGGAGGAGGCGGCACTCAAGGCAATGTCCTATGGATAGAGTCGTATTTAAGCATTATCTATAAGCGCGCCTCGGTCTATATATATTCGCGCCGAGTGCATATCCATACCTATCGACGGAAAGAGCAGTCGAGCCTCCAAAAGTACTCGATAATCACATGGGAGAAAATTCATAAAGAAGGAGAGAGAAAATTTTTTTCATCCGCCGCCACGTAACTCTGAGCTTCGCGAGAGGTCTCGAGAGGCAGGGGGGGGGGGAGCTGAGAAAAAGTTGGCGAAGCATCAACAGCAGCAGCAGAAGCGGCGACGACAGCGAGAGCGCATCTTAGGCAAAGCCAGTTGACGAAGGAAAAATGCGAGAAGTGCGCGACGAATGGCTATAAGCAGGCGCTGTGCGCCCGCTATATACTCGTCAACGGGATTGACTAAAAGCCTAAAGCTTCGCGTGTAGTAAGATATACACCGTTGGAATGGAGCTATTCCGTCTATAGATATACTGCATGCCTTTATGTACCTGTATAAATTTGTACAGGAGTATACGTTTCATCTCGCCTTGGCACTATAGCTTCCTTGGAGCCTTGCGCCGTGCCGATGAAATTCTTCACGTCCCCTGTAATGAAATACGAGCTGAAAAAAAAAGTGTCGCGTTGTTTCTGCAGCTCGTTTCATGCTCTCACTCGTTGTTTTGCTATATATTATTAAATCTGAAGCGTAAACACGAGTTTAAAAGCGCCCCCTCGTACGTAGTGCGTATAGGTATATAAACGCGGCGGCGATACGCGAGGCTGCTCAAAATGTGCGTGAACAATGATGGAAATTACTAGAGAGCTGCACGAGAGCGAGAGACGTTGTTGAAGTCTCTCGGCTGACATTTACGCAGCAAAAGCGAGAAAGAGAGAGAGAGAGAGAAATGGAATAGCAGCGGGCGAGCTTGGCACACGTACGAGCCACGTATCTCTCCCTCTCCCTCTCCCTCCCCGGCATGCATAATGAACAAAGCCGAAGAGGCTTCTTACGCATTTTAACTGCCACACGTTTGCTTACTCGCTCTCTCGCTCGCGATTTGCGGTTTTTTCTCTCTCTCTCTCTCTCGCGCAACTTTTGTCAAGATACTTTTTTTCTCGTTGCCGTTGTTTTCCGAGTCGACTGCGGTAATGGCTCGACTCGCCTGTTTGTACGGCTCGTTATCTGGACCTGTAAACGATTATATTCTTTTTTGCTTCCGGTGGAAGAAGACGACGGCGAAGGGGGAAAAAAATACTATATTTATCCGTAGCGTTGCCAGTGTTTAAAGAAAATCGATGTCGAAGGAGATTGCCTTTTCAGATGATGTGTTTGCTAAAAATATATAATCATCACGCATGGCTACGTTCTTTTTTTGCAGTATAAAGGAAGAAAAAGATAGAGATAGAGAGGAAAAAGGTTAAGCTATAGAAAGGGTGGAGGGTGGAGATATTGCGCGAAGCTTACTGGCTCAAGTTGAAATTATGCTCTACCTGTATATATATAGACGGCAGCTAGTGTCTATGTACGCTCGCGAGCAAAGTAACGAGGAGAGATTTTTTCTTCTTCCTCTTTTTCGAAATAAAACAAACACACTTTCGAGCTACACACTGGGCAACTTGTGTATACATCGCCATGCTTATACCTCTAAGCGATATGTATTGTTGTCCACGATGAAATTGCCTGGCGGCGCTGCTCCAAGAGAACGAGAGGAAAGAGAGCTTCAATCTCCGTTACTTTTCCCCCCCTTTTTTTTATTTTTTCAATATACTCAGACGACTACGGAGGTGGCGCAGCGCACATCCACGTACATGTACACGCAGCGGCGGTGCGGCGTCATTTTTATTCACCGAGCTCCTCTTTCGCACGCGTGCATGTCTGCGCCAGAAAGAGAGCTGTGCCGCGCATTCGAGGTCCTATGCATGACAATGAGCAATACTGATCGATAAAAAAGGGCCCCCGCGTGCAAATCTTCATGTATAGTGATCGGATATTTCCCACGCCAGACTGCGCAAGCTCTGTACTGTAGTCGCAGCTCCGAACCTCCTATGTTCTTCCTTTATGCAATCGCTCATATTGTCGGATAAGGCTTTCCTCGCGCCCCGTCACGCTGCCTCCTTCGCCGTAATTTTATATACATACGATATATCGGGGAGGGAAAAAAAAAATATATAAGCGAGTCGATATTACTCCTCCCCATTGAATTTTGATGGGCATCGATTGCACGCGCCAACTATAATGTATACTGCAGCCGGGGGAAGGTGACTCCAGTCGTACATAACGCGGCGATAAACACGGCCTTATAAATATATTCGCTGCGGCGGCGGAGAGTATTGGAATTCATTACCGATGTATTGTCGAAGGCGCAGATGTCGAAATCGATTTCACCGTGTTGTCGTTTAATGAACGTCGAAGTTTATGCTCGAGCTATATTTTTCGTGCTTTTTTCATATTTCTTTAACTCGTGCTGCATATTTTACTTATGGTAATAATGTGAATATAAAGTCAAAAGCGCTGGTTTGGCCTTGCCGCACTGTGTGTGTATGTGTGTGTGTGTACGCGACCCTTTATACAACACGCTGAAAGCCTTTGCGCATAAGGAAACTCAAAGTTGAATATATAAGCGCGTACGTACGTCTACCGGGCGCATCTCGTTTATATGTAGACTACCTCTCTCCGACTGGAGTATACGTATATCAATATCGGTCGTATCAAAAAGATCCTTTTTAATCTCATATTTTGTCTGGCTTGTACTTAAATTCTGAAGATTTTTGTATTTGCGCGCACCGCAATCATTGGAAATGGACAACGAGAAGCCTTTGCGAGCGGCCGAAATAAATACAGTCCTGGCTCAACTTTTCGACGGCTGTACACGGACACGCGGTGGACGAGAATATTTTTCATCAGTGTCGAAAATGTTCTTTCTTCTTAACGACGACCCTGAAAGGTTTTCTCTCTCTCTCTCTCTGTACAATTCCACGTACGACTAGCTCTTTCTCTCTTTTCGTACACACGAGGGAGAGAGGCACTGCACGATAAATCTCGTACATTCATTCTAGATAATATCAAATATTGCGCGCGGACTTCTTTTTGTCTCTTCAAACCCATGGCACACAAGCGTAACGCGATATTATTTTTTCGAGAGGTGGAAACAATTTTTTCCCTGGCTAGAAAGAGAAAACATTTTTCCCTTATTTTTTTTTGCTTTCATTTCCGAACCACGACAAGTTACAAGGAATATTATTCAAAAATCTGAAAATGAAACGGTATATCAAACGTCATTCTCTTTTGCTCTCGCTCAAGCCGATCGAATATTATAAAAACTGGCTGCATTTATACAGAGGTGCGCGCGTGCAGTCTTGAGCCATTACCGCTCCACACACACACACAATGCTGCGGTTATATACACGCGCGCGACGACGACGAAGCTCATTGACCTGAAAAGTGTACTTGTGTGTAAGCTGTACCCGCGCGGAGTCAACAGCTGCGAGCTCGTGTGCGCGCCCTTGTGTAAATAGATATAGTTTTAGCCATTTTTCCGAATAGATCACATTGGAACGATAGAGAGACGCGTAAGCCGTATATCGGCGCCTGTCGAGGTGCATCGTCGTGCGCTCTCGAACAAGCCGTTTTCTTTCGTTTAAGTATCACGAGGACGTGACTTTGGATTTTTATTCTTCTTCTTCTTCTCCATTTCCATATGTTGGCTGTTCATACATTGGCTTAAACTACTCGTTTTCTGCTGTTACCGCCTCCTCTTGCTCTTGCTCTCTCTCTCTCTCTCTCTCTCTTATTCTCAATGTGGAACACCAAATGGTGCGCGTAAGCAAGTCGTAGGGTAGTCGCAGGCAGTCAAGCACTTCTTTTCATATAGTGCTCTATAGCAGCTCCGTGTCGAGTGGTCGTGCGTCGTCGTCGTCGTCGTCGGTGGTAGGTAGCGGTGGCAGCGGCGTCGCCTCGAACCCAAAGTACACAGAGCTACTTCTCGACCTGAAATCGAATTTCCGCTCAGTTATAGAGCCGCCTGGATTTTCAGCATCGGAGGCAGTAACCCATTATATATGTACATAGATTTACGCCAGTTTTGTTATTGATTCTTATTGGACAGCTGCAGCTTACAAGCATTTCCACGTTCACTCCAATACGCCTCCCACTCTCTCACTTGCGAGTCGAGCTATATTATAGGCGCACTGCGAGCGAATAACGCGTACTATTATCGTAACGGCACGATGTCGAAGAAACACTTCAACGAGACTTTTTCTCCGATCTGACTTTTCTCAAAACTGTGCGTGACGTCTCTTTGATCGGAGATTCGATGCTGATGTAAGATTTTCCGTCTTTCTCGAACGCGCGCGCGCCTTTAATAAACTGCAAAAGTCACTTTTCAATGCAAATGAGAAACGCGATACAGCAGTGTTGTTCGTTGTATACGAATATCTCAAGGAATGAATCGCACAAACACAATACAGTGAATAGACTATGAGTTAATAATAAAAAGAAAGGTCGTATAGGTACGCGATCAAAGATCGAAAAGCAGCTGAAAGCTGAGCTTTAGTTAGCCGCACGTCTGTCAAATATAAAGCCTGAAATTAGTCTACATCGCGAAGTTGTTTACACTCCGATGCAATATACACTGATAAGTTGGCCCTGCAAAGCCCTCGTATAATAGCAGTTGGTAGCACAGAGGGTAGCTAGGTAGGTAGGTGGGGTAGGTGGGTGTAGATGCAGCGCGAGGTATACTGAGCTTTTATATACGAAGGTGCGCGCGCGCTCGCGCAAAAGACTCGTCTTTCTGCACTCTCTCACTGCTGAGCTTTTGCTTTGAAGGCCTCGTGTGTAGGGCATAATATAATTTACTTTACGTTAAACCTTTCCGGCGCTCTGCATATGCAGCGCGCGCCAAGCACCCACACACATTCGCACACACACCTACATCGCGAACAAGTATAATACGGCGCGCGAGCGTAATCGTTTGTGCGCGCGCGAGAAAGCAATAAGAGCTAAAATACCTGTATACCGTACATGTGCGCGCGAGCAGACGGACGTACGTACACAGCCACGCAAACACACGCATTTGGCAGTAACACGGTCGCCTGTACAAATTTTAACGTCGAGATGCAAACTTTCCGTACGTTGCAATTTATTGTTGTTGTTTCAGTTTGCGAGATGCCGGCATCAGTCTTTCTCGGGGCAAAGCGCGTTATAAGCGTTGCGGTGTTCTCTAGCCATTGTGTGTGCCGACGAGCTTGCGTATATATATATGCGCTACATGTAGTAGTAGTAGTGCAGGCGCGTATCAAGCGGCCGCCCCGACGAGCACGTATAACTTTCCCATGCCTCGGAGCTCGAGAGATTATTTATTTTCATACATGTCAATTATTGCTCGTTTTGCCTATTCCCAAAAATACACCACGCACGCGTGCGCTCGTCCGCGGCGCTTCAACTCGACGTGCTGCTGCTCCGCGATCGAGCTCGTAAAAGAGATACGCGGACGAGCTTCAGAATTAATGTTTGCACTCGGAAAACGAAATCGTGCGCTACATATACGGACTGTACACGCGCGGCTATATAAAGGAATGTAAAAAAAAAAGCAGCTCGCTACTCAAACGCGCGAAACGGTGCGGGAAAGGTGCTTCAGTTTTAATGGATCGAGCAAATACGCCGCGGCGCGCTTCGAGCAGCGTGTTAATGCCGTCGAATTGATTTCGATATTGGGCGCGCGCAATATTCAATTACAAAAGAAAACGAATCGCTCGCGCGTCGGTGTGCATTGCTCGGCTCGAGGAATCAAAGCGGCGCCCAGAGCTCTCGGGGCTAGCTCTGTACACTGCACTCGTAATTTTGCAGGCTATCGCGCGCGCCAGGCGCAAGCTCGAGCGTACCCAGCTATCCAGCGTAGCTACACACGTACAGAGTAGCGCGGTAATATGCCAGGCGGTCGCCGCTGCGGCTCATACCGCACGCTGCAAGCTCCACTCGATCGAAATAATGCAATCAGCGTCGTCGTGTGGACAACGACCGCGAGGCCGCACACACACACGTACCCTTTCCACCTGCGCAGCAGAGCAGCTAGCTCTAGACCAAAGGCACGTGCACCTATTCGGTTACCGAGTACGTGTGTGTGTATAGTATACGCCGCTACCGATGCATGTGCAGGTGCAGCCGCAACGACGACGCCTAGCCTATCAACGATCCTGTGTACACGTATACGCGCGCTCGCGACGCCGTGATATTATGCTCGAGCCATCATGCGAATATCGGCACCGGGAGCCTTCTCGTTTCCATCGTCGAACCTAAGTAGGTTATAAATTTTTACGATCTCACTTACGCCCGAGACTCGCACTTCGGATATGTTCTTGGCTTTCAAGAAACTACATTAGAGATACGTGTAAGCAGCGCTGAATTATTGCTAGGACGCTGTAAATGTAAATACAGGCCAGTCGAAACCTGCAGTATACTTATGGCTCCCTTGAATCGATTCTTATTTCAGTGCGAGGCTCGATGGTCTGACTAAAACCACTCTCATCCACTGAATCTGAATAAATTACATTTTCAATCCTATTTACGTTTATGTTGTATACGAATATCATGCGATTACATCCAAGCTAATTTATTACAGGTTCGGATGGCAAGCCAGGACCTCAAGGACCTCCAGGACAGCCGGGGCTGCAAGGTAATGTCCTTAAACTTTCGCTCCTCTCTCGTTTTTTGTTTTATCTCGCGCCTCAACGAGCAAATATTATTATGCTCGCGCCTCAAGAAAGTTGCTAATTAATAGAAGGGCAAAAAGATGAGAGGACCAGTCGAGCAGTACCTGCCGTAATTATGCGTGGCGCTCGACTAGTCGTACGTCATCGTATTGCCTTTTATGCTATGTGTTTTCTTTATTTTGCATGTCGAGGCCGAGCGCCAAGTACTTATTAAGAGCAACTTTGCAGACCGTTTACGAGATATACCGTAATCCAGCTCGCAACAGAGAGAGAGAGAGAGAGAGAGGGGCAAAGGAGAGATGAAGGACCAAGTTTCGCTAGCGCAGCATCAGCGTCGGAAATTAATGCTCCCCGAGCGCCAAACTCGAGTAGCGAAATTCTTCCGCTTGCCTCTCTCTATCTCTCTTTCGCTTAAGTATAATATGTAGATATATGTATAGTCTCAGTCTCACTGTGCACCTATAACAGAATTTTAATTTATGAATAAGTTTGGTGCTCACTTGACTCTTTCCAGCATAAAATTTCTGACGAAAAAGTGTAATCATCTTACCTTATATACACCAGCCTTATTTCTCGGATCGACAAACGAGCGCGACAAACCATCGGTTTCGGCTAAAATCCATTTAAATTTTCTATTTTATTTTCCTCTCGTTTCGTCCTGTAAAAGTTTTGCAAAAAATTAGCCACCTGCTCTGTCTGAAAGTCCCGTGGGCCTTGTACGCGGGAGCGAGAAAGCGCGAGGAAGATCCGAGCGTAAATGAATAAAAACCGCAAAACCACCCGGTCGACGATATTACTCGCACTGATTGCGAACGCGCATAAGTCACGCAGGCCGAATCATGCTGATGCTGCGGTGAGAGCTTTAATTTAGCTGGCGGGTGTGTCGGCGGTGGCCCTCTCTCTCTCTCTCTCTCTCTCTCAATTCTGGAAAGCCACATGCATTTACTGTACTCACCGGCAGCTAGCTCACGTACTACGGCACTGACCTGTATGTTGCAGGTAGGACCGGTCCGCGAGGACCCCCCGGCCAAGACGGCAAGCCCGGAGCGCCGAGCATCGTCGCCTACACGCCTTTCAAAGCCAATCTCAGCCTCGAAGCTCACAGTCTTCTTATACCGCCATCGATCGTCGGTGAGTTGCCACCTTCGATAAACAGCTCCGGCGCTCTCTTTTCTCTCGTGCAGTTCTCGACTGAAAATCTACCCGTCGCGCGCGTGTGTGCCAGAGTATATCACCTCTCTCGGCTAGAGAGAATAAATGATGCGAAACTGGGAAATAGGAGCCCCTCTAAACAGGTGGTCTGTAACTTTTAAATTTCCAACAAACTGCCTGAGATCTTAACGCAGACTCGGCTATAAATTATGGAATGAAAACCATAAAAACAGCATAAAACTCGCCAAGTAACGTGCAGACTAAGCACTACCAAAGTTCTTGGAGCTTATTTTCCTTTTTGACATTAACCAGCTGTAAAATCATCATGCGACATTAAGTTTTCGGTATACTACCTAAAATATTTTTTTGCGATTTATGATCACGCAGAAAAACAAAAGCATTACAAGCTCTCGTATCGTCGATAATGAAACTAGTAAAAGGTATATTGAAAGCGCGAAAAGATCGCCCGAATCGTTTCCATACATTTCGCGCTTTGCGCCGCCGATGAATACGCATTGAATCGACGACGCGCTAAGTTATAAATTGGATAAACGCGTATATAATATGAGAGAATAAAAATAGACTGCCTTATCAAAGGTTGCTTGCGCGCGTGTATTCATCGGAAGATTGATGCGCAATTTCTTGAATAAATCATCGGCGCAAGTTCCATTGTAAACAATTAATCAAGCGCATTCGCGCGGGCTTTTCTTCGAATCTGCACGCGAGATAACTTTCTGGGGACTGCGACTGCACATCGCGCGCATCATCGCTGTTCACTCGACGCGAGTCTGTAAATATATGTGTGCGCGCTGGGCGCAGGGAGCGATAGAAAAGCCGAACATGCGCTCGTATATGTACCTATCGGAGAGTCGCGCGATCGCATCAAAGCCGATTGAAATATAATTAAGCGAGTAGCTTGTGCTAGCCATGTAGCAGCTGAGGCCGTTGGCATGCTAGCCTAGTAGCTCCGCTGCATGAATATTGATTTCTGTGCCGGATATTAATGAGCTCTTTCATCGGGGGCCGATATGTGCATCGGGAGCGAGGAGTCGAGATGTATACGTGTGTGAGTGTGTGTGTGTGTGTGTGTGTGTGCAGGGCCTCTCGCAGTCGCTGCATTCATCTGATTATCGGTGTCGCGTTCGCTCGCAGGTACTTCGCCGATTCATTACGTCGTAGCTGAGGAAGGTGTGAATTTGCGCCTGGAATGTCATGCCGCTGGAGCCCCGACCCCCGTCATTCAGTGGCACAGGCCGGACGGCTCGCCGATACACACGGGCAGCTGGTCGGGTGAGTATTTTACACTGCATTCTCAAGCTTCGATATCTTCTTTTACTTCTACATCTATTTTATAAATAAAGCAAAAAAAGTTATCTGCGGCGCTGCTGAAAAACACTACGTGCAGGCTTGGAGAAAACGCAATTTTAAACAAAGGCGGTCTTTAAAGCTGACCCATAAACTAATTAAGGGCGAGAGACTATTGTAGCTTTGTTATCGCCTTTTTTTTATCGACCTCGTATAAAAATCGCTGCCCACAACGCAGACCAAATGACATTTTCTCCTTGCCCATTTTCTAGCGAAAAAAATATTCCAGAAGCTTTTAGTGCAAAAGCTCGCGGTGAAAATTGCACCATCAACATCATTGGATATTAATATGTTCAAATTATCGGTGAAAAATCCTAGCTTCGGCGCTTGTGGTCGGCCATCGTTGCAGAAAAAAAAGTGTAAACTTCAAAAAATAAAAACAGTTGCTCGACGTTGCGTTGATTTCAATGGATGATCGATTCGAAGCAATAAAAAACGAGGGAAAAAAACACGTCATCGACATTCGAATGGTTACATTTTTTCGTTTGTCAAAATGAACAAAGGAAAATGTTTGATACAGCCCTCGTAACAAAACGATCCAATTTAGCAAATCGCGCGACGACGTACACTTTCGCACTTTTTTCTCTCATTTTTATTACGCTGACGTGGTCGTTGAGTCGTATTCAAGAGTTACTAGCTTAGCTCTATATGTATATACGGCGTACAGTGCAAAACAAGGGCCCGAATAATAGCTACGAGTGTATACGAGTGTAGAGGTGCGTGGATAGGTTACGTGTATACCCGAAAGCTCCGATACGTGCGTGCATGCGACCTCGTTAAAGTGTGCCTTTTCTCGTTCTCTTCTTATTTTCGAGCGCGAGAGAAAAAACTCGTGTCGGCTAATGAGAACAGCCCTTTTTTTATATGTGCGTGCGATATATATACTCAGCTTGTACATAAACAACAGCGTGTACTGCCGCTGTACACATATATTTTTCTGAGAGTGCAAGACTCTGGAACGATTCAATGACGACTACTGCGGCGCGCAGCGTTAGAAAAACGACCGAGCCGTATCGCGACGGCTGCTAATGAACTTTTTGCTCCGTAGCTTATGGAGCTCTGTTTGTGCGGTGCAGGTAGCACAGCTCCACCTCCGCGTATATATTTATATGCAGATTTAAAAGCGAATGGCCCGTGACATTGTCATTTTAGTATTTTTTTTCCTGTTGTTGTTTTTTTTTTTTTTTTTTGTTACTACACACCTCTCTCGGGGTCCTGGATACGGTTGGATCATTTAAAAATCCATTTTGGAATGGAATATTTATATGATATTATATAGTTGACCGGTACAAAGTACACGCGAGCGCCAACTTAAAATTATTCAAACTGCGGCCGCGTGTATAATTCACTGTGTTCATTTCGTATACTCTGCAGAAACACGAATTGCTTTACGAATGTAGAAGCTATTATAAATGTTTGTTCTCTCGTGGTGCGCGCCTGATTCATATTTATGTATATACGTTTGAAGACTACCGTGGCGTGATACTCAGCATGATGAGCCAGAAAGTGACAAATAAATACATACAGGCTGCATTAGAAAATTAAATATGGAAATTCCTCGAATATTAGACGGCTTTTGTAAGAAAATTGGCACGACGTGTCATAATACGCACGATGTTGGAGTATTAACGCTTAAAATGATATGGAAAAAACGCGGGTTTTCATGTAAAAATGTCTTCGCTAGTCTCGGCAAACATTGAAAAGCTCCTGATTGAAATGTGATATTTCAAATGGTTAAATAAAATTCTACGTGAAATGAAATTACAAGCAAACATACAAGTGATCAATTAATACCATTGATATTTTCACCGGGAAAAAATATCGCAGCGAAATTCACACGGCAAACTGTGGCAAACACATGGCAAACTTCGAATCGCAGCGCAGTTACATGAAATGACTATATGGCTTGCAGGGATGATAGAATTACTCGAAATATACAGTCGAGCTTCATCGGTGTACACGATACACAGATGCTCCAGCACGTGAATAACAACTCCCCGAACCAATGGTTGACGCATAAGATATTTGGCTCATGCATGTGTAGTAGTATGTGTGCGTGCAACACGATGCTCATACAGGGCAAACATGTTGACCGAATACGGCTTGCACGAGGCTATATGCAACAGCATCGGCAGCCTGAATTTATAATGTTAATCAAATCCGCGTTTATAATACATCGATCGATCCGCGCCCAGCAATAGTCCGCTGTCCGGCTTGTATCGCGCGCGCGTCCACATGCGCCACATGGCCGCAGAGCAATGATTTCATATGCGCGTGCGGCGCTGGCCACACTGCATGAAGGACACTTCATTAATCGACGCTAACCAGCTCGAGCTTGTGTGTGGCCTGCGTATATACGGCATATTAGTAGAGCGACTTGTTTCGCGCATCATATTGGTGCGCAGCTTGTGCAAACTAGCCGCGCGCGCGCTGGATTTTATCTCGATATGCCTGTAACAGCACGCGCGTGTTTTACCTATACGACAACGCTGGATTAATCTAATTTGCCCGATGTAAATACGTTCACATTGGAACGTATGCATATGCATATAGCTGCGCGCAGCCGAGCTTACTGGAGCGCATTCGAAACACGAAGACTCTCGAGCGAGCGCCGCTCCGACATCCTCCGATGTGCCTAATGCACGCGCACGTGTTAATGTAAAGTCTATTCAACTGACTCGAAGCGTCGATCATTGGAGCGCGAGAAAGTGTACGTGTTATGCACGCGGTGCAGTGCGGTATCATCGGCTATGACGTGTAAGAGCTGAAATAAGCAGAGACGCCTGTGGCTCCTGCAGCTAAATGTGTTTACATGATGATGTGCGCCCATTACTTCGAACGAATCCTATTCATATGTGATGCTTGAATTTCTCAGCGGTCCTATATTCCAAATGGAACAAGGAAAATAGTATATTATAGAACAAGAAAATGCACGCTAAAATTAGGGCTTTATTTGTATCTGTAGGGCTTTTAAAACGACCTTGAAAAAGCTTCTATTTTCGGTGGAACACGGTATGTATAATCCTATATTAAACGTGTTCACGTAAATAAACGTATAAATATAATTCGACATTCACCGCGCACATCTAAACGAACGCTGCCACTATTGCTTCCATAAAGTTCCAGCGGACGAGCTGCGACTTATCGTGTTTCCCCTCGTCCGTTTGATTATTCTCGAACGTCGAGTTAGTTCGTTGCAAAGTCGACTTTATATAATATCCATGCCATGTGTCATTTATTGTCAACTTCCATTATAATACCCCAGACTGCAGCCTGGCGCTCTTAGTCGATACAGACAGCCTCGATTAGCCCAGGTTGCTCTATTTTGATGCTCACGATTGCAAGCCTTTATATAGACACGTGCATATATAGCAAGAATGTCGTTCTAACGGAGAATATAAGCCAATTTTGTGATTGTTGTTTGTTTTACAGCTTCGGCCATTTATGGTAATTCTTTGAACCTATCGTCAGTCCACCGAGAGGACATGGGAAATTACACTTGCACCGCCGACAATGGAGTTCCGCCAAGTTCGATCAAACGATATAAGCTTAATGTAAAATGTAAGTTTACACTATCATAATCCGAGTCATTAGTTTTCAATTTTAATTTCAATCTTGATCTGAGTGAAAAACATTTACAATAATATTGAAATTCGTACTTAGTAAGTGACTTCAAAGAGATATTGATATTTTGCTCAAAGCAATTTAATATACGTGTTTTCAATCATGAAATCGATGATCATTGCTTATTCGAGTGGAAATAAATTGAATTCGATTTTGAAAATTAATTTATTCACGGAAACGTATGAAATAATATTATAGAGAACTCGTGCGGCAATCAAATTGACCAGAACCGAAATTCCATATCTAGATTCGAGTTTATTTATTTGATTGGCTTACTTGAAGTCATTATCGCGAAAATAAATATTAATCGTGGCTCTGAAAAAATGGGTATGATGATCAGATAAGCTGGAAAATGAAATTAAAATCCCATCTATATTGAATCTGGATATCGTACGTGCACTTTCACGTTTATAGTTATAATTGTGTTTAATTTAACGAAAGATGTGCCAATATATGACATATCTCCCTTTATTATATAGGTATAAACTGAACACGAATTGTGGAAACAAAGGAAATGAAAAATTTTAATAACATCAGTTGCATCGTGCTCGAACCATCACGTTTATCACGTCATTTTGTTTTATTATTTTTTATGACTGGTTACAATTTTTGAATGATTTTAAAATAATTTAATTCGAGTAAAAAAAAACTACAAAGCCCATCTCACTTGAAATGCGTCAGACAATTTTGTAATGAAGCTTGTAGCATCAATTTTTTTACTAGTTTTTTTTTTTTTTTTTTAATTTCTCATCCATAGCCTCTCCTTATTGCATCCGTCCTCTATGCAGCTTAAAACTAGCTTCACATGTTTCATGTGAAATTCATTTTAAAGCTCGAGTACGAATTTTTCATAATAATCATGCTGTTTTCATTTGAATTTTTTTTTTAATAATCTTACTACGCTCATTCATTTTAAAAAGCAGAGTAGATTTTTTTAAATATTAAGATCATGACGCTCGTTTTTTCGCGATAAAACCAAAATGTACATCGTTTTTTTTTCACAATAAATTTACTTTAAATTATCTTGAAACGGGTGTTAGCAAGCTTTTCGAAATCACTATGATTTTGAGAATTTTCAAGTAATTAGCGAATTTTGTATGCATCATACAGATGAAGTATTCGCATAGAAATTGAAATTAACTGCGTATACAAGTCAATTTACACGCACGCTCGGCGCGTTTTCTGCGTTCGCCCTTTGAATGCGCACAGAGAGTTCTATGGGTATCTCATCGTTAATTATTAGCTATATATTCTGTATCAGCAATGGTATATACAACATACGAGCATGTGTTCGATAACGATGCAACGAAACAGAAGCGTAAACTCGTTTCACGAGGCATGCGGCAATGCACAGAGTCGTCGTCATCGTCGTCGCGCCTGATGGTTAGCTGCGCGTATATACTCTTTGACAGTTACCACACTACTCTTTGTGTGTATACGTACTTCATATATATATACTAGACTGACAATATTTTTTTTTTTTTTTTTAATCAACGGGACGCCCCCTCAAAAGTTTCAAACCTCCAAAAAAATGACCTCTACCAAGTTTCAGCTCATATGGTGAAAAAAACCCGTACCACAAGACGGGTGTGGATTTACATTAAATTAACTAAAAATCGAGAAAAGTGCATTTGTTTCTTCAAAAAACGGCTCAGCAAGATCACCTATTGAAAAAATGTGAATGCATTGTTTGATAGGTTTTCGTCTCGCCTTTCCAACGCCATATTCAGATTTTAAAACGGTCTTAATTTCCTCTAGATACAGCTGTTTTTGTGGGATGCGTTTTTGTAGCTGAAAATTCAGTAATTCGGCTTCGGGTCCTCGAAAAATCACGTTTCTCCTCACACTTTACAACATTCTGAGAAATCCATAGAAGCTACTGACTGCCGTATTTTTGAAGAAACAAATGCACTTTTCTCGATTCACACAAAAACCACGTTTTTCGGCACGAAATCGCTCATAACATCTGAAATAATGCACCAATCTCAATTTTTCCGCCAGATTCTGAAAGGTGATAAAATTTTGCATCGAAATACGTATCGCTCATAGTTGTCAAATTTTTTGGGGTTGGCTCAGACATTCGTACAATACGAAAAAACGACTTTTTTAGTTAATTATTTTAATCCATTAAGTCCAAAGAGGACGTTTTTTCAACCCTTTATTCGTCCCCTGTATTTTTGGTAAAAAATGGGGTCATAAAAATATGCGAGTAACTAATTCTAATGTAAAATTTAATGCCCATTCAGAATCTGATCTCAGATTTTCAAAAAAATGATCAGGTCAAAAGTTAAACTTGATTTTATAAAAAAAAAACGTGATTTTGAAGAAAAAAAATTTTTATTTTTCGAATTTCCAAATGGAAACCATTTGAAATCTCAAGAGTTTCGTGCAATTATCACGTCCTCGATATCTAAACTGAAAGTTAGCGGGGTACCGATTAAAAAAATTAATGTTTAAACACAAAAAATGGCGGTCGAAACTCGCAAAATTGAATGAAAATTTATAGAATTTTTACTCAAAAACGAAGGACTTGAGAAAAAAAAGTATTTTTTAACTTTATTTTTTTCAATCTAAACCCCATTAACCTTTAGTTTAGGTATCGAGGACGCGATATTTGCACGAAACCCCTAAGATTTCTAATGGTTTTCATTTGGAAATTCGAAAAATAAAAAAATTTTTTTTTTAAAATCATGTTTTTTGGGTAAAATCAAGTGTAACTTTTGACCTGATCACTTTTTCAAAAATCTGAGATCAGATTCTGAAAGGGCATTAAATTTTACATTAGAATTAGTTACTCGCATATTTTTTTGACCCCATTTACACCAAAAATAAAGTGGCCGAATATAGTGTTGAAAAAACATCCTCTTGGGACTTAATGGGTTAAACAACATTTACGATACCTATACCCCCTTGTCCCACACGATGGAAAGACATAATTTTTGCGATTATTGTTCTACCTCGATCAATTACGTTTAAGTAAGTATGATCTCGCATGGCAAATGCGAATTCATAAATGCACATACATGCTTTCGTATTAGTATTTGTTCTTGCATGAGCCTGTTGGAGGGCTCACAGGAAACCATGGATTAGCAAAAATTAAATTTTGCTAATATCCAGTCAATTTTTCGTATTTACTACGGGGTAAAAACAATACTCTCCTACATCTCAATCGCAACGTAATCAAGGCGCATACGTGCAGTCAGGTAAAATTTCGTGCTTCATTTACTCACCGCAGCCCCTTCGCATCTAAAGCGCTTCGCAATCAACTCCACATCAATACTATATTTGAGGTGCACCGTTTGTAGCTACCATGTATAAGATATAAAGGTGCAACCTCTACTCAACCAAAATGACCCATGATATATCAGTTATAATTTAAGCACATCTCAAATCCCAATAACGTTCAATGGACGATCACAACAAGTTGACTCAGAGACTATCATATTATTATGAGTTTTAAAAACTCGTATGGCACTACCACGAAAATTTCAAGGACCAGTCATAACTTGTTTACGCAATAACATGATCAGACGGTCACTTTTTCGAGAAAGAATTTGTCGATTTACTTTAATTAGAAATTAATTTTTTTTAGCTTCTCGTTAAAACGTGTTTAGCTGTATAATACACCTGACCGTCAAACGTATCGTACAGAGCTTTATACGGACCGCTGAATGATTAATTATTGCATTTGATGGCTGCACGCAAATGGAAGCTTGGGGCAGGAAAAACTTTGAAAATACCGCCCTGAGTTGTGCAATACAACTAAATGCTCGAGCGAGAGCAGCTCGATCAGCTCGACTTTTTGCATGTAGGCGCCTGGGCTTATTAATACGCACGTACGAGTGAGAGAGAGAGAGAGAGAAAGCAAAGATAAATTGCAAAGTATAAAGCTTAAGAGGCTTAATTATGCATAACAATCGGCGGCGCGGCCGAGTCCGCGTGCAACGCAGCCAGAGCTACAAGCTCGATTGAGCCCGGCCATAATAATATAATAATTTATGGGAATTTTCTCTCTCTCTCTCTCTCTCTCTCCCTCTCTCGATACAGCAGCGATGACATGTTATTTGCGTTATATTATATTGAGCAGGCCATATAGGGATATAAATTAGCGCGTCTCGTTTCAAATTATGTACGCATTGTTGGCTAGAGGGCATATAGCCGATGCTCCGCTACGATGCAAAAGGCCGCAAACTCAGCTGCTGCGCTCTAAACGCACGGGCAATATAATGAAAAGCGAATTATGCCAATTGGACTTGGTAGGCGCGAGACACTCTAATTTAACAACTATAGTAGGTAGAAGCTCCGATATAAAACGAATAGTTCACGTAAATGCGTGTGACAAAACTTTGGTGCAAGAGAAGAAACGTGCCTTAAATTCGATGTTTTTTTTATTGAATTTTTAAGTACTTTTCAAAACTCCGAAATTCTGCTTTTTTACTGAGATATAATTGATATAAAGATATAGAGATATAGTATGCTGTTTCCGTGAACATTTTTCCTATACTGTGGGTGTTAAATTTTTTCTTCTTTTGCGTTTTCTGGCGAGTCGTGTTTTTAATCACTTCTTGTACGATTCAGAGCAAGCCCTTTGAAGTGCAGCTCCAGGGTCACGTACACTTCTTCAGAAAATCAATGCTTATCAACACACCACGTAGAGTACTGCTCGTATATTTAAGGGGACGGATCAGTGTTGTAAATTAAAAAACAAAAAATTTAAGTTTGATATTTCATTTTCATGTTTTTTTATTCATAGGATAATACAGGATTTAATACAGGTATGTCCCCGTAAGCACACATTTTTTTCATTCTACGTTATTTATCGCGATTTAAATCGTAAAAGTACTGTTTGAGATTGATTTATGAGTTTGATCATTCCAATAGTATATTACGTGCCTAGGGAGCGAGAAACTGGAAAGCCTCAGAGCATGTGCAATTATCGGCCAAGGCGAAGCCGAGGTTGATAAACACGAGCTCTGAGGCTTTCTTTTTCGCTTCATAGGTGCGTGTACTATTTTTCATGAATCCCCCAGCAGAAATTAACTTTTTCGTTTTGGCCGCAGGGACGAAAAAGGTTGGTTTCGGCTGGGGTAGAATGAAAAAGTACTTGTGTTTGTATTCCTTCATTATTAAATAAATTGGGATTGGCACCCCTTCTCAGCAGCGATTCCAATATCTTCTTGCGACTGTGTTCCAGCACCAAGTGCAATGGTGTGTTACCCATCCATCACTGATCCATTTCATCACTGATCCATTTCATCACTGATCTCGAAAAATGTCTCAATGAAGTTATCACTGTCTTCTGTCCAGCAAATAATGTGCAGAGGAGTAAATCCATCCTTGTTGACCATGTTCGGATCGGCCCCAATTTTTAACAGCAATTTGACCACCTTCTTATGATGCTAGTGCACAGCTAATAGGAGCGGAAAAATTGATTTTGGTGCGAGGCAATGAGGATCCTGTCCACAATCAAGAAATTGTTCAACGACGTCGTCAAAGCCATACTCACAGGCCACATGGAAATGGGTTAGGCCCGATTCATCGGTGTAATTCGCGTCAAATCTGTTATATATTTTAAAAAGTTCACGGATCCTATTTATATTGGGTAAAAGACTCCTGTAAGCACGATGCACCGCTGTAGTGCGATGCAACAATGGCTTGCCATTTCTATCAAAGTCGGGTTTGTCCTTGTAGCCGGTACGAGCAACGAACTTGATGATTGATTCTCCTTCATCTAATCCACCACGACCAATGTGCACTATTGAATCCAAGAGAATAAAGTCAATGTCTTTTTTAAGAAAAATGTCTTGGAGATTTGGAAGTTGGCCTTCCCAATCGTTGATTATGGAATAAAGTTCATCTAGATCATAATATAGCTCTTTTGTGAACCAACCGATCCAATTAATATTTTCACGTAAACTCTTCAAACTTTCTAATTTTTTTTTTGGTTAAAATCATCCACGTGTTTGAAATCATAGATATCGACTTCGTTGCTTGCATCTTCGCCATGGTAACTTTCGTCGGATTCGTTATTGTATGACATTTTTTTACGCACTGACACACGACACACAATTTATAACAATTTTTTACGCAAAAATCACTTGCTACGTTAGAAATGATCTATCTCCGTTTGAGCTGCAGCGTCGTAACGAGTAATGACTGTATATACACTACGATCCATATACCCAGAGTAAAGAACACGTAATGTAAGAGATGCAATAACAGACGAGTGTTGGGCGAGTTATGTGCAGCAACGATTAGAAAGCGTAAGTTGAGCGTTATAGTGGGGACCATTTTATGTGTATAATGTGAAAGATGTTGGGATTTTATTAATGAATTGATCCTTGTGTTGCTCTGTAAATTGAGTTATTTTTATTAAACATAAATTATCTAAACTTATATGTTACTATTTACAAATTATACCTGTAAATTGAGAAAAGACAATTATCTCAATTATTCACCTTAATCCCAACTCTCACACTTTCAGATCTATACTGATTTCCTCGTTTAACTCAATATACTAAACTGTCAAAATACCTGCACACTCACACACACACACACACATACTTACATAAACACACTAAGGGAATCTTCCCTTATATGTGTATAACCCAAGCGACAATAATAACAATACCAGGCTATATTGATACAGGCTCCACCCTACTTCGCTGTATGCTCGCAGACCGTTTGACGACAATGGCATTTAGCTCCCTTTTTTGACCGGTGTATTTAAATAATCCTTCGAATTACATATGGTAAAGTAAAGTTATATGCAGAATACACGAAATCCACAGGCTTAGAAGGGCTAATTCAACTGGCAGCGGCCTGCGTAAGCCGCGGGACAGACAAATGTGCCTTTTTTTGTATAATTGTCCTTATATACAGTGTATACTTGGCGGCCCTCTGCAGATAAGGGCCAAAAGCTATGCGTTACCTACATACACTCACCTTGTATGTATGTAGAGAGAGAGAGAAGCCAACTTTATCTTGTAAATCATTTGCGGCTAAAGTTGGCCTCGCGCGCGACGCCACTTGCCGCGCTATGTAACTCCCCGTATATATACAGTCGGTGCGGTATATGGACCCTCTGCGCGCGTTGGCCGTGATTTTAATTTACGGCCTGCAATCCACTTCGTGCGAAGGCGCGTTGCGCAGCGCGTGAAAACTGATAAAAGATAGCAGCGGACAAAATTCCGAAATTTTCAACACCTCCGCCGGCTCGCGCTCTATCTCTCGAGTGCACGCCTAATCGGCATCTTATACTTTTTTGTCGTACGATAGCGATTCCGCACCGAGGAAGTGAAACCCAATCGATCGAATGATCAGAGACTGATTTGCACGCGTACTCGAATTCTGATCAATCAGAGCATTATAAAACGCGAATTATAAAAATATTCAGTTTCGTATTTCAGAACAACAAGCGCGCCGCGTGTGCTGCACTACGCAGTAAAGCTCAAACGATCCGTCAAAGCTCGGCAAAATTAATAATTTAATTTAATTCAATTACCCGCGCCATATCTCTATAGCTGACTGCGATGTTGCATCTACATCTATATCCTTTATATTACAAGCAATAAGCGCCATGCGAATTTAATATTTAATAATCATGATAATTAAACATATTTTATCGAGCGATGCACTCGCCGCAAGCCCCGGCGACGAAAATCAAATGGAGTCTCCGCAGGTATTATAACACTCGATGCTTTACGCGCACAATTTCACCAACTCCAAGGATAGGACTTGATAATCACAGCCCCCACCGGCAGTACGTCGGGTCGCGTACGATAGTGGCGTTATTTCCTCTGCTCGCTGCTGCGCTGCAAATCTGCAGACGCCTGCCCCTGCGGAACTTTTGATCGCGACATAGCCGCGGTAGTCTGTTGTTGTGTTGTGACGTGTCAGAGAGCGCTAAGCAGCTGTTCTCTGTGTACATACATGTGCAGTGTGCACGCTAGCAACACAACGCTCCACACACTGACAGGAATAAAACACTCTCGAGCTGCTGCTGCTGCGCGCATATATAATATAGCTCCGAATCCCATAGGGCTGCAAAACTAGTTCGAAATTCCAATCACGTTGTAGCCTTTAGATATATATATAAAGTGAGTGAGCAACGCGACGATGCGACTGTTCGCTGAGCCGGCTGCCAGAGCTCGTCTCAAATATTGCGCTCTGTTTTTCCTCGTCCTGCTGCTGAACGCCGGCTGCTGCCTCGGAGCGACTGCTAACCTCGAGACTGTCAGCGACGATGAGCTTCTCAATCTCATTAAGACGGAAAAGTTCGTCGTCACCCTCTTCAGTGAGTTCATATTTCCTCTCAAGCTCATATGTCCTTTATCATTTCTTATATTTTTCCCTTTCATAAATTTCACTTTCCGTTGACAGCCAAACAAAACTGTGAGCAGTGTGAACAGTTTGAGAACCATCTGTTGGGGATTAGAGAGGATTTGGTAGACTCTATGTCAGCATGGGTTGTCAAAGTTGTCAACAGTCAAATGCTCAGACTCTATGCACCTGGAAAGGAACCTGCGGTAGTCTTTTTCAGACAGGGCATTCCTCTTTTATATGATGGTCAGTTCAGACTTTATTAGACAGCTGTTATTTTGTGCTTGCAAATTTTTGATTTTCATATTATTTTTTCTGCTCAGGCCCTATCAATGAAGATGAGATGTTTCAAACTTTCTCTGAAAATAAAGAACCAGTGGTCAAAGAGCTAACTGATGATACTTTTGAGCATTTAACTCAAGCAAGCACAGGAGCCACTACAGGTGACTGGTTTGTCATGTTGTAAGTTTCATTTATTTTAATTTGTTAACTCTCATTTTTATGAAATCAAGCCATTAATTAAATTATATTATTTTAGTTACAGTACAGATTGCATTGATTGCCAAAGATTAGGTGCTCGATGGGAAGCAGTTGGAGCTAAATTGAAGAGAAGAATGAATGTAGCTCGCATTAACAAATATACTTCTGGTGCTGTAACTACTCGACGATTTGGAGTTCTCGAAGTGCCACAATTTATTTTGTTAGTAAATTATTTTAACATTTTTTATAAAATTTATACCAACAAAATAATACTAAATTACTATATTTATTATTTAGATTTAGACAAGGTAAAATGTACCGTTATCAAATTCCAAAATATGATGTCAAATCATTTGTGTCATTTGCCAATGATTGGTACAAAAATGCTCAAGCTGAAAAAGTTCCAGTTCCTCAAAGCCCATTGTAAGTATAATCATGATACTGTAGGATATATTTTTTTTCAAAAAACAACAAAGATGTCTAAAGTAATGATTTTTATTAGTAAAATTTAATTTAATATATAATTCACAATGCATTATTATTTTTGTTTCAGTGATGATCTAGTTCAATTATCAGTCAATTTTCTCAAAGAAAATCCCTGGGTAGTTAAACTTGGTAGTATGGTTGTAGGTGTAATGGTAGTAGTGTCAGGAATAGTGAAGCTTAGAAAAAAGACTGAGATTCAACAAAAAATGGATTAAGAAGTTATTTTTTTTTTTGCTAGTGTTGTACATATGTGTAAACTAAAAAGTAGAGCAAACGTACACTTCCATGAAATTGACATTTGTTTTATATATTTTATACATAATGAATAAAGTTGGTTATCTAGAATCTAGAATAACTAAAAGACTTTGTTTGCTTATTTTAATATTGTATATTTAAGGCTGATTCTGTAATAGGTGAAAAAGTTTTCCCCTTTTAAGTGAACAAATACAGTGCATACTATGGTCTTAAAACACCAAGAAATGCTGACAAAAGCTTTGAGTAATGATAAGTTTATACAGAGTTTACAAAATATACTTACAGCAATGGCAAATTATCACAAGTCAAGACACATTTTTAATGTGCATTACAGTCATACTCCACTTGTTAACATATTATTAGAATTATTGCTTTGACTTTTAAAAATTGTTCAAAAATTCATTTGTACAGAAGTTAATGCATGAAATTTATCTCTTCCAGGCTTAAATTCATAAGATTCATAAAATAAGTGCAGTTCTAGTCTAGAAATTTTACGACTACGCTAATTTTATGCAAAGTCAATTGAAAAAACCTAAATTTAACAGATCAATTAAGAAATCTTATACACAATCTGCACATTTGTGCTAAATATTATCTACAGATAAATTTATTCTTAAAACTGTTGAAGAATCAGCAAGAGCAGCCTTAATATTTTGTTCAAACTTCTCTTGAATGGAAGAGAATTCCATCATATTACTAGGCTTAGATTCTATCCAAAAGCCATCAAATTCATAAAACAAGTAACAATAAAATTGATGAAAGGCACGAATCGTTGGTAGAGTTTTGGATGCATTATAGATATGAGTTTTAGCAGATCCATCTTTTAATAATCTTAAAGCCATACTAGTTAAATTAATGCCAACAATGGCAAATGCATATCCATATTTAGGATGCATAGAATGAGATAATACATGAGTAGCGGCACTAGGATACTCTTGGGCAAAATAAACCAGATTTTCCAAACCTAATATTCCCATACCTCGAAAGTCAGTCTTTGGATCATCTCCTTGGAATCCAATATCTTGCCATTGTTTGGTTATTCTACCATCAAGTTCTTCACCAGGCATGAGAAGATCCCACAATTTTAAAAGCAAACCTTCATGCTTTGCATTATCAGAATCATATGGAGTTTGTCTCAATTCTTCGCAATGAACACAAAGTTGCCTATAACCCCATATCAACTCAACACATTTACCAAAAGACTTTGCAAAATCAGGGTGTGCTGTTGGATTAATATGTTTTGTAATAAGCACTGTCTTGATGCTTTCTTCCAAAATGGCTCGCTCAGATCTCATAGTAATTGCTTGCTGATCAGCGATATCATCCAAATAAGCTAGCAATGATCTGATTTCAGGATTTCTGGATAATCGTAGAGATACTTCAACGGAATAAGTACGTGGTGCCCCCGATGGTTCTCCATAACATATTCTTTGAAGTTCGCACATGTGAGTTGTGTGGCGAAGTAGCCATTTTATAAATGGTCTGAGGTACCAGTTGACAAGAGACCAAATGTAGCTCAACATGATTTTTATAAAATAGAATTGATTAAAAATTAATTAACTAGGCCTGAAATTAAGAAAATCAAGTTACTATGAGAAAATTTGACAGATTAGTAGTGACGATGAAAAATATTAACTAATATTTACCTGTATTCACCCCTATTCATTCACGTTACAAAATTGAACTGAATGAAAACAAATGCATCGTCCTACAGCATATTGAAATTAGCATTTAGATGCCTTGAAGTTTCAATACATCAACAAAGCTCGATCCACGCTTTATAATTACGTTAGGACCAAAAAATAAGTATGAACATGTTGGATCGCTGGAGCTGTAAACAGTTATGAGTAACATTACACTGTACAATATCAAGTATCAAGTATACAAGTTAAAAACTTTAATCTCTAATTCTCGTGTCAGGTAAGTGACACAGGAGTAAAAAGAAAGGTAGGAAAGTCGTTAGGAAAAATTAGACACGTGAAGAATTGTCGACGTTAGTTCGATTGAAAAAAAAGATCGAACGTAACAGTTGAAACTTTGGAATTAGGCGAAATAACGTGGTAAAATGAGTTTAAAAAAGAATCACTCACACCTGCTCGATTCAGTAAAAAACGGTCATGGCTCGCGGCGTAGCAGTATAATCTGCAGAGCGCCCGTAGCAGCCTATATTATTGTATTACATTGACGCGCGGCTGTATGCTGTATGATATAGTAGAAGAGTAGCGTAGCGGCTAGCGGACGCCATATTTCATTCGCATGCGCGGCATTTCGGCGCTGCAGTGCAGAAGAGAGCAGAACTAGAGTCGCGGCCCGCGACCTTCGAGCAATTTCGTCTCTCGTATAAATTGGAGTCCCGCGGCAGCTGCAATTCTGCGAATTATTTACTTCGCTTTCAGCTTTGTGTGCGCAGTACGCGTCTAAAATGTAAGTTCAAAAGTAAACGACTCAAATAGAGCGGCATATTTCAAATAACTAGTTTTTTGCCCTCGTCGATATGGCTGTGAGGTATACGCCCCTATTTTAGATCAGTCAGGTCCTAATTTCGATCAAATTTAAATCAATTTTTTATATAGGATTGAAACTTGACATCTGATTTTGAATAATGTATTTCTGTTGAAGATGTTAGATTCATTCAGTCAATTATTAAAAAAAATTTTCTTACGTACCATTAATTTGTTAATATTAATTATTGATCGAATATAGGGACATGACCGAAAATAGAGGCATATACCTTAATTATATTGCATGAGGATGTATTGGAATGAAACGTACATAGATTCGATGAATATCCTTATTATGACTTTATTGAAACATCCTAATTACACGAAATGGTAAATATATACAACGCAGATTTAATACGAATTACTCTAAACTAATTGATTTGTGCGAAATATTCGCTTGAAATGACGATTTGATCTATGATGTAATATTGTAAGGACGCAATCGTTACAATATATATTATAATAATAATAATAATAATAATATACGCATGCGATAATATGTAAATGTGTGTATATACATACAATGAGTTTGATTAAAATTACTGGTAGCCGGCCAAAAGTCGGTGTAGCCTCAATAATCGATAGATAAATTAAAGTAATACGCGTAACAAATATACAGAGTTTAATCGCTAGAAATGGGGTAAACTGCAGCACTCGATCGACCTCGAACTCGAAGTAGCTGGTGTTGTCTAAGCAGCCCTAGCGGCGACGAAGCTGCTGGCCGCCCTCTGATGCTGCTGCCTCGGCGGTGGTCTCAGCATCGACCTCGTGGCGCTCGACAGCTTCTGCGAGACCAGATGGGCTATGCGGGCCGATCGCTCCCAGACGAACTCGCGCGTCCTGTCGTGGTCGTCGGAGCTCTCGATTCTCATCTGCGCTCATATTACGATCGCCGAACGGAAACACCAAATCATACACAGTCATCATCGGTCATCGGCCATAGTAGCCCACGAGTTATGGCTTGGACTAATCGCTCACCTGCTTGGGCTGCAAGACGCGTATCGAGTGGAGAGTGGCGGCGCCCCCGTGATAGACCCTCAGGCTGAGCCTGCCGGACATCTCGGCGGTGGTGGCGGTGGCGCTGCGCACCTCCTTGCGCTCGTCCCGGCCGAACTCCTTCTCGACCCTGAGAACCAGTGGGCCGAGGTTGAATTTCGTCCTGATGGTCGTGTGATCGCTCGCCAGATTGACCGAGACGTCGCCCGAGCGCTTGAGCGACGACAGACCGTACAGGGTGGCCTTGGCCTTGGACTTGGTGCGCTTGGTACTGGTGCTGCTTGTCTTGATTGGCTTTTTCACCACCTGTTGACATTCGTGTTTGAAATTTTTTTTCAAAGTGGATAATTTGAAACCTTTGCTCGTGATGTACCAACCTTGTTGCTATTGGAGCTGGCTGGACGCTTGGTCGTCGTGGTAGGTTTGACGCTGGGTTTGCTGCCGCTCTTGGTCGGTCGGCGCTTCTTGGTCGGGCTGGTGCCGCGATCGCTCGCCTGAGCCTGAGCCGGCGAGCTCGTCGTGGCCGATTGGCTGCTCTTGGTGCTCGATACCGATCTCGTCGACTGCTGCATGGCCGCGGACTCGCCGATCGACGCTTCCGTGTTGCTAATTTGCGATGCCGCGATCTGTTCCAGCTGCTGAGTGACCTCCTTCGGGCTCGAGGGAGTAGTGCTCGAGACGTCCTCCTGTCGATCGATGCTCCTCGGCTCGACGACGCGACTCTTGTTCTTGGAGTGGCTGCTGCTGCTGCTCTTGCGCCTCTTGCTGCTCGTCTTCTTCTTCTTTTTGCTGGAGGTGGTGCGCTTCTTGGTCGAGCCCTTTACTCCGCTGCTGCTTGGTGTACTGCCGCTGCTGCTGCTGCTGGCGAGCTTCACCGTCACGGGGTCGTACTTCTCGCGCAGGATCCGGTTGATGCGCTCGAGGATCGAGTCCACGAAGCCGTTGTACTTGGCCACGTAGATCGACGAGACGTCCCTGTTGTTGGCCATAGTCACGGTGCCTGCAAACCGCATTCATCGAATTCGCATTATATTCGAGTGCATAATCGCTCGATCGACTTCTCTTTTTGTCGATATAAGCTCGAGAGGACAATAACAAAGGGGAGCTTCGAAAGGAGGCTACGACGCGTCCTTGAGCAGAGAACAGCGAGCCACGAGCGCGTAATTTTAATCGGCCACGTACTTAGGACTCGCGATATGCACGCACAGTCGTTGACCTTTTCTCTCTTTCTCCTCTCTTATGGTCGTGGTCAGAAAAAGCACAATGTGTGTGTGTGTGTGTGTGCGTACGCGCAAAAGTTAACGGTACTCGAATATTGACGACATAAGGATCGCGACGATAACCGGTTCCTCTCCGAGACAGAGAGAGAGAGAGAGAGAGAGAGAGAGAATATCCGCGCGCGCCGCACGAAATGTGGGTCAGGCGCACTTTACTCGCCGTGTTTCCTTCTTTCTCTCGAGACGCGCGATGATCGTGCCGCTTACTGCCTGCTAAAACGCGCGCTCGGATACATATATACACAGGCGATATTCACCTATTGACCTACTCTCTCGCTGTGCCGCGAGCAAACGTCCGAGTCGTTAATGCGCGATTTGAGAGAAAAACACTTTCCTCACGCAGATACAACAAGTATATATGAAATTGTACGCGCGTCAGTGCAGAAAAGTGCTAATTATCACGGCTGCAAGAGAGCCAGGCGGAATTCGCGTGTCTTCTTATTTTATATGAAAAAAAATATATATATATTAGCCGTATCGTACTGGCAGTCTTCAAAACGAAGGGGAAACGCGCGCGCGACTTTCTTTCCGCAAAGACTGGATTTACATTCGTCACTCGCGTAAGTACAAAATATTTCGCCTCCGCGTATAAACGAGCGAGAGATGACATTGGCCGTACAGTATCTTTCTCCGGCTTCTCGAGGCTCGCGAGATATCGCGTGTTGTTGTCGTATTTGAAAGTGGCTGATGCGGCTGCGAGCAAGGGATCATCGTCGTTGCCATTATACATCGAAAGAGAGAAAGAGAGAAGAAAGCCGCGAGATGCCGTATATAAGCTCGCGCGTTGACGCCAGAGCCCCGGCCCGGCGTGTCTCGTGCTTCTTTACCGCTGCCACAGAGAGAGAGTGGGTCAGGGTCAAGTTGGCGATATTAGCGGTCATCGCCACCGATGCCTCTTGGTGAAAGCTTCGACGACGACGACGACGACTGACCGGCGGCCTCGTGGCCGCATTACTCGCTGCTTCGTCCGTTTCAAGGACAATAAGCTTGCTTATGCCGCGCGTCGAATCCTCCCAAGTTCAAGCGCGATCTTTACTCTCTACAACTGTACTCGAGCGAGCCTCTCGTGCTCTTGTTGTTGTTGTTGTTATTGTTTTGCATCAATTATATACACTCGCTGATTTTCTTTTTTATTATTATCAGCTCGTCGAGAAAAGTGCGAGTATAACAGCGCGAGCTGCAATTACGACGAGCGAGGGAGCTTGAGGATATGCCGGTTCGGGTGAAGAGTGATTGTTTTTTATTGCAAGGATCGTGCGTTTTTCAAAACATGTGCCAGACGCTCGATTACTTTTTTTTTATGTATAATACGTGTGCTCGCGAGATTTGGTGCTTTATTATTCTCGACCAAGTACTGAAACCCAAAGGTTTTTTTTCAACTATTTGCTATGGTAGTGCGATTATACTTGTATTGCTGTACAGCTTATTTCAACTTTTCTACTTATGCTTGCAGTGCAACAAATTAACAAATGAATGATTGAATAAAAATCAGATGACAGTCGTCCGTATCGTATGTCAAATTTTAAATTCGTAAACAGTCCAATAGTCGTGGTTAAAAAAAAAAAACAGAAAAAATTTCAGAGACGATCCGAGCGCGTTCGCGAACATCAGACAAATTGCGATGAGCATGTGACCGCAAAAAACGCGAAAAATATCATTGAGCGTCCAGCACATTTGATGAACACACACCCGCTACGATTCTTGCAATAAAATGAATTAAAAAAACAAAACAAAACACAGATGATTTTTTTTCTTGTTTTTACGTTGGAAAAACAATGAGTCGTTCTATATTTTTTGTCACTTTTTTTTAGTCAATTTATGGTTTATATAAACAATGATTGATAAAATTAATTGATAAAAAAAAATGAGAAAGAAATTTTCATAATTAAACAAAATAAAATGAAATGAAATGAGATGACGATGATTACGATGTATGTAAAACGATGATGTGATTATTTTATCTCATCTTATTTATAGTCGAACAATAGTCTCTGTACAAAATTATAAATATCATAAAAATTATCATAAAATAATAATAGCATAGTCGATATAATATTAAAGTATAATAATAATAATAAATTTAAAAAAAAAACATTCATTTAAAGAAACTGTTCGCTCTTTCGTCGTGCGTATAAAGCATAAGCGTGTGCGTATATTATTACTTTATATTTTTTGTATATGCATATATAAAAAATGACGACAAGTGCACACACAAAGATTATGTCAATCTCTCGTTCTCAGATCTCCATACAACAATATATAATCGTGCGAGCGATCAGTCGTTAAAAAAAGGCCAAAGCAGTCGTGAATGCAGCCTGAAGCCTGCAAGTGGTGTACGTTATGCGTCGTCGGTTTTTTGGTCAGGTGTCCGTGCGAGTGAAACGTGATCGATGCATGTCCTCGTATACACACGTGAGAATCTACATGTATAAAGTCTCGACTAGGCGAATGTAACGGCAATTCATATAATCGACACCATCATAGCAATTGATATATAAATTATGCACACACATGCAGCACGAGGTGGATGTATATATGGTTGGCTATACGTATGGATTATAGCGGCAATTTAACAACGCGCGAGCTGCAGCACATGAATAATTGAATAATCGCAGGCCAAGCAACAGCAGCAGCAGCAGCACAAACCCCGTGTCCTGATTTTCCGCACACACACATATATATTTCTCTCTCTCTGATCGGCACTAATTATTTATTATATACACGCACGCGCCTTACTGCAACACATATTAGCAATATGTGTGTCTGTCCGTACCTTCCTCGTACGCGCCCAATCGTTTGCGCGCCCGCCCGCACTTTCTCTCCTTTTCGTTTACCTACACTTTTACGTATACACAGATACACACATACACACAGACGTTTTCTTTTTCTTGCCTCCTGTTATTCGCCTTTCTCTCTTGGCAGGTATCCGCGTGTAAGTTTCTTCAACACCGGATCCGTTCGTTTAATGCCTGGTAATTTTGCTTCTTCTTTTTTTTTTGTTTTTTTTTTTATCATCGAGTAAGACGACACTCGTATGGAGCAAAAAAAAATCAGGCCGAGCCGGAGCCAAGAAAAAACGTTGTTTGCGCATTTGCAGAAACGAACGAAGGAGAAAGAGCAAAGAGAACGAGCTTGTCGAGCAAAGTGTCGGGGCGGGCACTGACGAAAAGGATCGTTCGAAACAAACGAAGATGACGATGAGATTATATATCAACAACAACAAAACAACAACGATAAGTGGGCGAATGTGCTTATGCGTGGGAATTCATTGATGCGATGAAATGAATGAATGAAGGAGAAAACGATGAATGAGGATGCGAATTATCGCGTACTTTCGTTGCCAACTCGTTGACGCGCGAAATGGCAACAAAAGTTTTCAACGAGAGGAAAGAACGATGATAACGATTAAGAGAAGCACATGGATGCAACGCATCCACGAAGGGAATCACGATGATAATGGGAGCGATGAACGAAAAATGAAAGGGCAGCAGCGGCAGCAGAGCGCGAGAGTCTCCTATGGATTATTCAAGTGAGCCGGATCTCTCAGCGCCCTTTTAAATCTCGGGCTGCCTCTCTCGATGGCGAATCAATGAAAAAAAAAAAGAAGAAAAACAACGAATGGCACGTGCAAGTGAACCCGTATGCTTTTCCGTACACGCGCAATAAATGGAAGGGGGGGATGATGAGGGGGTTCGTTTGTTTTTTTTTTTTTTTTGCAAGGGAGTCGAAGGGCACCCACCGCGCGAAACGCGGCGTAAATGATATCATACAGGTAAATGAGCGATGCGAGAATAAATGGGGTGATGCGCGAAATACTAATCGCGGACCGGAGATCGGCCTCTGATCGGCAAGAAGCATTCGTCGATGAAATCGCGTGGTGGGTGCCGGGCAACGCGGGCCAACGACTCTCCTATCGAATTCAGTCAACGATGATTGGAGATGACGATGGAAAATGAAAATCATTAAAAAGAAAATAAAAAACAACAACAACAAAAGTACATGTGTCTCGCGATCGGGGGTCAGACCGTTGCGGAGCGAGAGACTATACTAGTTAGTGCTGCTTGGGCTTGGCGCTGTGCTTGCGCGAGCCTTTGCGGTGATGGTGATGCTGACCGTTCGTCGATGCTTTGCGTCCGCGGTGCACGTGGTGGGGTTTCTTGCCGGACTTGAGCTGGCGACTGGCGCGAGCCGAGGCGATGTCGGCGAGACCCTCGATCTCTTCGTCGTCGTCGTCGTCCTCGTCGTCTTCCTCGGTGGCGGCCGAGTCTTCCTCGTCGTCGTCCTCGTCGTCGTCATCATCGTCGTCGTCATCGTCGTCTTCGGCGATGTCGAGATCGACGTCTTCCTCGTCATCGTCGTCGTCGTCGTCGTCGTCCTCGTCGGAGCTGACGGCGTTGCTGACCGGGGCAGCGGCGGCGGCTGCGTTGGCGGCTTGCTGGGCGGCTGCCGCGGTCTGGGCCTCGGCGGCTTCGACCTCGTTGACGGCGTTGGCGGCTTGAGCCTCGGCGGCCTCCTCGTCCTCGTAGGAGCTGGTCTCGTCGGCGAGAGACGAGTCGATGTCGGGCACGTTGGTCACGCCTACCGAGTTGAGCTGTTCCTCGATCAAGTCGGCCTGTACATTGGGTGGAATGACGGGCGAGTTGGCCGAAGCGGCGACGGGTTGGACCACGGAGGCTGCAGCGGGTGCGGGAGCTGGAGCAGATGGCACGGCGTTGGTCTCATCGTCGTCGTCGTCGTCGTCTTCACCTGCGCAGAGAGAGTCAAATCATATTTAAGCGATGTTACATCGAATCCCAACGGAGATCCCGTTAATTATTCGCGAAACTCGTTCTGGTGCGAGCGCATAATTCCGTTCGCGCGAAAGTTAATCAATCGCGACTCGATGCGCTGCGCTCTTTCGACTAACCATAATTGTCGAGCTTCGAAAAATATACCGTTTATTTTTATCATGACGATTCGCTTAATTTATGCGATGAGCAGCGAGCTCCGTTATTACGCGCAAAGACGAAACGGTCGAAAACCCGAAAAGCAGCAGGAGCCAGCAGAGGCGGGATCCTTATTACGCGCATTAGCATAGTAATTGAAAATGGGAGCAGATAAAGTGATTTTCTATACGAGAGCCAAATAAAAAGCAACAATAACAGCAACAGCGTCGGACGGTCGCGCGCGTAAAAGGCAAGACGGGCTACGCCTATACGTATATATGCACAGAGCTTAGTGTCGCGCGAGAAAGTTAAATTGAAACTATTTCGGAGTAAGAAGAAGAAGAGAAGAAAAAAAGACGACACTTCGGAAATCTGATAATGCCGTCTAATGCTTTGCAAAGTTCCTCCGTTGCAGCTGGATAAAAACTATAGCATTGCCTGATTAAGTAGAAAAGTTTGTCGCGTTATTATATAGATCGGTCTCTTTCCCTCTTCCGCTCTCTCTCTCTCTCTCTCTCTTTCTCTCGATCTATCTGTTTGACATTAAAATTCATGTCGGCATCGCGGAAATAACGGAAATAGCCGTTTATACGCGTCCATAAGAGAGTAAGTAGCTTCGAGCAATCAATGAGAGAGAGAGAGAAAGAGATATTTTCCCTCGTTTTCCTCGTCATCTTCGCTGTCATAAAGAGACGCGTGAAATCGCAAAACGAATCTGTGTCAATTGCATCGAAAAAAAGAAGAAGAAGAAAAAACAACAACAAAAAAATGACAACAAGCTACCGCCTCGAGCTAGCCTCGCAGCAAGGGAGGGAGAGAAAGAGACATATACACTGCAATGGTTGGCGCGCGAAAGCACATTCCACGTGTACGATGTATAAACTGCTCCTCCGCTAATATTATGTTAATTCGACGACGAAATTAACGACCTCTCGTGCATGCGTATAGGCCTCTTGGCTCTCGATACCGTTAAGTTTCCGCCGTAACGGAATTTCGAGGCGCATATTATATGTGTGAGTGCTCGGCTCGGCATAGCCGCGAGACTGCAGCGATACGCGCGAGAACGCCCAGCCCCCGTAATAGATGCGCGAAATCTTTTTATCGTTACATTGTTTTCCGAAAACAAAAAATACCGGAGGGTGTCGAAAAACGAGCGCACGAGCCGAGATCGCGCGTTGCGCTGCCAGCGAAACGAGTCGATTTATTTTTTTTCGCGAGGATGCGTAATTCATGTCACGATGGCACTCGAACGCCGCGCGTACGCACACACATGTGCCGAGCGGTGCACTGCATGGAAGAGAGAGAGGAAAGAGCCGTTATCGCGAGCGCACCTCATATGCTCGTACTTATGTGTATAGTTCACAGTTATGTCGTTTCGCTACTTGCTCTCTCGCACGTGAACGAGTTCACCTACGATGCATATAATATACCGTGCACATATGAGTGCAATTTTTCGCATTAAATGATTTTTTTCGTGTGTGCTTGTGTGTTTACTCACCGCCAAGGACCTCGTCGATGAATCTCTCCAAGTAGTCCTCGTCGTCGTCGTCGTCTTCCTCCTCTTCCTCGTCCTCGTCGTCGTCGTCGTCGTCGTCCTCGCCGGTGATGTCGAGGTCGATGTCGTCGTCGTCGTCGTCATCGTCGTCGGACGCGGCGGCGCCGGCTTGACCGGCCGCTGGTGCGGCTTGTCTCGACTGGACGGCCGAGGCTGGGGCCTCGACGATCTGGACTTTGGACGAGGGCACTGGGCTGGCGAGGGCCGACAGAGCCAGCACGCTCAATAACGCTAACACCAAAGCCAGCTTCATGGCTCTGCAAACAACCAGCACGTGACGCACACGATTATTAGTTTTCGGCTTTGATTTAATTATTTTTAAAATTATTAAATTTTTTTTTATAGAAGTTTCGAATTTTTATCCCAATCCGTTGCAAAATTTTGAATAACACTGACTTGCGAGGAGAAAAAATTTTTCGAAAAAGCTCACATAGGCGGTATAAAAAATTTTCGCTTGCGGCTCTATCGAGTGTCTTCGCGCGATCGAAAGAGCGATGCAAACACAATGAAAAAAAACCGGCACTTATCGACGTTGGCTTTAAGCGATTGCGAAAAATCGGTCGAAGGGTGAGCCCCCCCGTTGGTTGTCACAGCTTAAAAATAAAACACACACGGCTTAGAGCGCACTACGAAACTCACCCGAAATTTGGTTTATCTAATTGCTTGGAACGAAAAAAAAACAACAGGCGAAACCCTGCGAACTTGACGTGTGTTTCACCGAAATCTGTCCTTCTTGTTGTACTTAAACGAATGGGTGGCCTCGCGATGCACGCCACTAGCTACTTTATTTAGAAATGATTGGGCCTTTACGTCCACTCGGCTTTATATAGAGAGAGCAGAGGGGAAGGCCCAGAGCGAAGAGAAGAAATGGTCGAGCCAACGGCGAGCCTCTGCCGAGATTCTGTATCGCTGTAGCTTGCAAACAACATCGGGCACACAGGTGCCCCCGAGAGTCGTCGCGAGTGGGGCACGCACCGCAGAGGTGTAAAGCACCGAGCCGATCGAGTGCCCCCTTCCTCGTCTCTTTTGCTCTCTCTCTCTCTCTCTCATTTCTCCGTACCTGTCTTCTTTCTCTCGCATCTCAGCCAAAAGGACGACGATAGAGGCAGCTTTGACGCACGCACACGTGCTTTTGACGATCCTGCGTAGGATGCAGGCCGTAGTAAATGCACTCCCTCGACTCTACGATCGGCACTACGTTCGCTGCGGCTCCTTCCAATGTGCACTATTATATGTTCCGATCGCGCTACATATAGTTATCGCTCCAATCGTCCCTGAAATTTCTTCTCTCTTCGTCACCGACAAGTGATTAACTATGATTTTGAGATAATGTCAAACATTACCAAGTTTTTATTTTCATATACTTTTCTCTTTTTGTATTGAGTCTTTGACGTGATATATAATACAAGTCGTGTATATTTTTACCCTTCATAAAAAAAAATCAGTTTCATTTCTTGAATATTAATTGTTCCTTTTCTAATTTTTATAAATTACCATTTTTAAATAATCATATGGGACATTCTCTTGATATACTTGTTTTTTATTACTTTAACAAATATAGGACATTAGTTAAATTCCAATTGATGTTTTCAAAAAATTTAATTTGATTAATCCAATGAATAATACATCACAGACTTTGTGTCAATCTTGATTGGAGAAATACTTTTTTTCAGCTGGTCACGAAATCTATGCGAGCAACTCTCAACGGTACAATAGAAATCGAATTGCTGAAAGATGAACAAGTCGTGTTTACGGAAATAAGATGTGAGATAATGACATTTTTTCTCATTAAAAGATCAGCCAAATCACCAGGTATTTGATTTCATAGACTGTGTAACGGATTGTAAAAATGTCGTCATTATCAGCCGAGAATTTTCGATCAAAAAAATCGTTCATAACGGGATGTACGTTAAAAAATGTCTCATCTTATTTTGTGAAATAATTTTTTTTTTTTTTAAGACATCGTTCCCGTAGAATTTGAAGCGTACGTCACGGATACATGTACACACAAATACACACGGAAGAGGCAATTTTGACGTCAGCGGCAGCAGCAGCAGCAGGAGCAGGAGCGATCGTCAAATGAAAATATGAGTCCGAGAAAAATACACGAGAAAGTTGTAAAAAGTCGTATTGATATTGAACCAAGCTTCGATGAATTGGATCGAAAAAAAAAGAATATTTGTCACCTTGACCGAATTCCGATATTTACGAGTCGAAGAAGAAGAAAAAAATTATGTTACGAGGGAGACAAGCTTGTACGGGAATCGGTATTACTTCTAATCGAAGAGAATCAAAATGATTTCGCAACGAAACTTTCTTTCTTTAGGTGAGACACGCAGGCGTCGAAGTGACGAAAAGTTGATTCAGTTATTGGCTCGTTTCTCTATGAGTAATACGGCAAAATGCGAGATTATAAAATCCCCGAGAGCATTAGACGTCGATCGAATCGAAAGTCCCTTTTGTGCATGATAAATATTGGCTCGTCTGCGCGGTGGATGATCGCGGCTGCATATCGTTGTGTGTGTGTGTGTATGTATCAACGTCGTAAAACGGGTTCTCCGCTGTGCAGGACACACACACACACACAGTCGCGCAGCTATCAGAAAGTGAAGCATCCGCACGAGGAAATATGGGATTTGGTGTCACCGTCCGTTCGCTCGCTCGCTCGCTTAAGCCTTGCCTTGCCTCGGCGTTTATAATATAAAAGAGAGAAAGAGCCGCGTCGTCGTCGAAGTAGTCCGCGACTCGTTGATCGCCGCCGCCGCGTACAGTCGTCGTCGTCGTCATGATGCTGATCGCGCTCCTCTCCTCTCTCGCTATTTCTCTATACATACCTGACTATATACCTGCTGTATATGATATTAGCATTGGCGCACACACACGAATTCGCAGCGAGGCACGCGTAATGTATTAGTAATCAGGATATGCGCGACGCGAGTTGGCTCTGTGTGGCACTATGGCACATTCTTACGAGTACGAATTCCAATCGGTAACTCGTTCGCCGATCGCTGGACTCTACTCCACATTATACGCGAATGCAAATGCCCTGATATATACATCGCACCTTCGACAAAAATTGCATTGACTTTTTTTTTTTCGTTGTTCGGCGTGGTATTTCACGATCGAAGCTTTTTTTGTGTTTCCTTTGCTCCGGTCGTGCGTACACACTCGCACACAAATTCATTTCGGACGTCATCTCTCTCTTCCTCTCGGACTCGCTCGCAAAGAGAAAGAGATTCTTTACTTATTTTCTTCTTTCGTTTGTTGCTACTATACGGCCAGCGATTCTCTTATACACGAGTGTAGAGATGCTGCACGCGCGCTTATGTACGTACAAACATCAGCTCCCAGTCCGAGTGAGAGATGAGAAAACGCAGCAGCTTCCCTTGGAATTTCGATTTTGACGTGCGCCTCTCGTGCGAGCAAAAAAGCTGGCATTTTCGCTCGACATTCTTTTCTCTGTCTTTTTTTTTTTTTTTTTACACCGAACTCGTTCCGCTTCTTTCTTTGCTACTACGTTGCTACCGATGACTCCGCTCCACGACGACGATTCAAACGTAAACGACCTCGATCGAGCTTAATTCGCCTTCGCGAGGAGGCAGCCCGACGTTTCACTCATCAAGACAACTGTCTAAATCGTTTAAAAAGAGAAGGAACGATTTTATTAGTCAAATTACAAGCTAAGGGACTTGATTGAGCAATTTTTTGAGCATTTCGGCATTCTTGGGGTGGACGCGTGGCTCTGCTCCGGGTGGGACGGGTATCTTCTGGAACGGGGCTATGTTCAGATCGACCATTCGATTGTACTGGGCTATTCTAGCTTCCGGCCTGAACGAGTCCGGCAGTGGATTGACTACTACGGGAAGATAGAAAAAGACTCGTTTACATGGAGGTGTCAACATAAAAAAAAAGATCAATAACAAATCTGATCGATCGTACTGTGGTCCAAGTAATACATGAAGAGCCAGAGGCTGCAGGCAAGGCCGATTAGCACAGATCCTACGGTGGACTTCCAGTGGGTGTCGGGGGCGTAGGCGAACTCGGCGAAGGTCTGACAAAAGCTCGCCCTGTACAGGCACTTTTTCTCCTCGATCGACAGATCTCTCCAGTCGCCGCGTTCTTTTTCTCTCAGTGCCTAAACAGCGATTCCTACAAATGAAATACCATCGTAGCAGGTCGAGCTTGCAGGCCGAACTTACGGCGATATCCGGGTCGGGCTCCTTGTAGCGTATGGCCGGGAAGGGATAGTTCTCGTCGTCGTTGTAAATGGCGAGGCCGTTGCAGCCGTGGCTGACGATCTCGCGATTGCCTATGATGGCCTTGTCCTTGGGTGCACCCCCCGAGACGGTGAGCGGACCCTCGCCGTTGCCGTGGGACGCCGAGCGCCTCGCCTGCAGCTGACCCAAACGCCTCGCTCCGTAAACTCGCGTCAATTGCCTCAACATTCTACCGATATCCGAAAGCTGCGGAAGATTTCACTCTTGCTGCTGCTGATGCTAGTAAACAAAGGTTATAGAGCGAAGTGTCGGCAGAAACAAATGCACGTCGGAGCGCGATTAGGCGTCTGCTTTCGAGCCGCCGCGCCACCTGATGCAGTCCAGGCCATAACAATGCCCGGTGGCGATGACGATGGGAAAAAAGCTGCGAAACGCGCGGGCAGAGAAGAGCGACTTCCGCTTCGAGAGCTGCCTCATAATCGATCCGATTATTCAATTAGCTCGCTCGATTTGCGAATTATCTCTCTCTTGCTCTCGTTGGCCGCGCGAACGAGCGAGCTAATTTGCCTATGGGCGAGAGAGATCGGCCAGTAATATAGCGGAGCAACGACTATGCCATTACTCCCGAGTCGGGTATCCATTTACGCGAATAGTCCGCGCTCACGCGTGTAAACGCGTGTAGGTAAACGCTACTCTGCTCTCCGTGTGCCGCGTGAATGGGATCTTTTTTCCTGATGCCTGGCTCGCGAGTGCTTATGTATGATAAATGTATGCGCGTATCATCTGACCTATATTACGCGGACACTTGGCGCGCTTTATATACCTACACGTACCCGCGCGGGCAAATTTACACTCGTTCGAGTTGTAAATCAACAGGCATCGAACTGTACTTATAGATATAATACACATATGAGATGTGTATACGCACATCGTGTCATATATAGATATACACAATTATTGCGCGCAGCATATATACACACCGATTGGCGATTGAAACCGAAAACTTTCACCGTCGAACGCGCACGCCGAGAGCGCCAACTTTCTCTTCTAAAAATGAAGATTCCTTCTCTCGTCGTCGTCGTCGTCGTCGTCGTCACCTATACTCGTGTATAAGCATGTAGGTACGTGTCGATGCGCGACACATTGTCCTACTCAATGGTCAATTCAATGTCCTAATGGGATGGAATTACCTGCGCGACAAGTGCTCTATGACGTCTGAGGATTTTTTCAAGAGAGATGATTAGACAAAAATACGTCATAACGAAAGCTAATTATCGAGTCGATTGCGTAATTCCTTTACAATTTCCCAAAAGTGCCATCAAAGCACTTTCGTTTTTATTATTTTCGTTCAATTGGAAATTTAAAAAAGTATACCTCTGTGAGCATCTAACGTAAAGATTAAAATTGCACAATTGCTCCGTGTCTTCTTGGACTTCAGATTTTCGTTTCGTTTCTTTTCTTTTTGTTCATCGTTTGTTTTCAAAGCTCAAAAGAAACATTAGACGATTGTTATTGAAGCTTTGTTTTTTTTCCTTTGAAGCGACGTATAGAAGAAGAAAGTACTGGATACAAATCGACAGGTTGCTCAAAGGGCTGAAAAATAAAAAAATACTTTCGACGCTGCTATTGTTAAAAGTTTATATAGGTCGTATAAGAAACTGCCTGAATGCACGAGCGGAAAAGTATTTCAAACGTTGACATTTATCGCCGTCGCATGAAATTTATATCAGCGATAGTCTCATTGTGCAACCTACTGTTAATCCTCATTTACGTATAAGTAAATCATTTCTTCTTTGTACCTCGAACTTTCAATGGCTATTTTATGAATTTCAAAGATTCGAGTAATAAGGTCGTAAATTTTTTTACTTTAAAGGCCTTCAATTTATTGGCCATTGTTTATTATGATAAAAACATCGATGTACCATGTCCTCCAAAAATGATGATACTTGCCGAAAAGGTAAAAGACAATTTTGAAACCTACCGATAACCGGTAAGAAGTATTCCGCTTGCCTCCGGGACGATTTTTTACCAAAGGTAAGTGACAGTTACACCTTCAGTCGATACAAGCGTTTTCTCATCACAAAATGTCGCACGTCGTTTCATTTCGAACGAAAGCTGCGATGAATCTCAAAACTCCTGACTCAACGACACACAGTGGTAGATACTTTTTTTTTAACGACTCATCTCGATAAAGATCACAAGTGGACATTCTGCCCAAGTGGTCAAAAATGAAAAATATAAGCGATAAGAGCTTTTTTTATCCGTTGGGCCTTGATAAAGTGAAGTGGCTCTGTGGATCCTCGAGTACCGATCATCATCTTAAAATGACGAGGCAGCGAATAGCAACAACAACAAGACACGTTCGATCGCGCGATCTATCATCTCATGCAAAATGCGTAAACGACGAGCTCAAGAGCGCTTCGTAAATGATATACGAGTGGGAGGGATTCGCAAGCGCATGTGTAGATGTACGGGACTCGATGCGATTTATCTGTGGTTGTGTGCAAATGAAGTCTCGCGTGCATGGATTCGCCATCACCAGCAGCATCCGTAGTGCAGAGTAGTGTGCAGCGATCGGTCGGCTCGCGAATACACATATATACGAAGAGTTGCGCGTAGAAACGGCTCGAGCGGAGCTCACGTATAAGCGATCATATACTTGAGCGATCGGCAGAGTCGCAACTGCACCCCACCTCGGCCGCGCGCTCGAGCTTCGGCAAAAATGGAAAATACGCATATGTAGCTCGTGTGTGTGTGCGCGCGCGAATGTGTGTACGCGTATATAGCACTCGCGCGACTGATTAAAAAGAAAAAAACTTTCTTTGCTTTCTCATTTTTCTGCCTCGCGCCGTTTCGTGTCTGCGCGAGCGTCTGGGACCGGCCTCCGCACTTGGCGCAGCGTCAGCCACAACAGCAGCAGCGGCGGCGGTGCAAAAACGCACGCATAGGCGCAGCAGCGATCGATATATATTTTCATATATACGCACGAGCCGCGAAAGTCGACGCCGAGCCGATAACGAGCCATGGGACAAAAGACATAATCGTACCACGTACTTGCAGCAGTTGGCTTTTAGGCAGCGATTTTTCTGATCGGTGCGCGTCCACACCTTCGGTGAGTACGACCCTTTTTCCATACTTTTTTACCCGCATATACGAGCGTAATGTAAGGCGTGTTTACATTTGCTCGCGTTATTAACGTACGATTTTTTTATTTCTCTCGAGCCCGCGAGCTTGTTATGCTCGAGTCGATTTCCTTATCAATTACATAATGCCGCAAGTGTGTTTTTTTCGCCCGCCGATGAGCCGAATAATCGCCGCGACGCTCGCTACGTTTAATGTGACTCCGCACAATTTGTTTTTATTTCTTCGGTCTTTTTTTTTTATATACACATTTGCAACGATCATCAACAGTCGAGTCTTTTCTTTATCGTCTCTCTCTTTCAAGGCTGTTTGTTTTTCGACCCGCTCATCTCTCGTTATACGCATACGTTCATTTTTCCAATGTAGGATGCGTGAAAAAAAAAAGTATTAAGTACACGCAGTCGTGTTTGGCTTTATCGTAAGAGCTCCGCGCGCGATAATGCCTGCACCTTATCGTCACGCCGCGACCACGTACCTTTAGTTTAAGATGCGCTTAAAGATAGGCGTAATTATTGCGAATACAATGTATCATCCGCGCAGTTATCTCTATCTCTCGTGAGCGCACGTCGTCCCAGACGTATTTGAGAAGATCAAGAAATCTGCAACTGTTCTGGGTAAATATTGTACACATAGGCCGCGATGCGATCGGCAATCTTATATATTATATACTACACGTACGTGTACGTATATTTGCGCGATGCGTATATATAATATATTTATAAATGGCAGCGAAAGTTTTGCAACGCACACGTACGTAACACATATGATGAGTGTGTGTGTGTGCGCGAATACACACGTACGCGTTTACCTAATTAGCATTAAATTTGAATAGGAAATTATGACATTAACATAATAGCGAGGAACGAGCCTCCAAAGAGCCTCGGACGATACGTTTTTGTTTAACGACACAGGCTACATTATATGTCTCTCGGTTATTTTTTTTCCTTCCTCGGCTTACTTTGGAGCTTATATTTATAGAAGCGCGCAAAAGTCACTTCGAGACACAAAGAAAAAATTTGTAATTATAATAATTTTTAGCGAATAAACATGAGCTGCGCCGAAGCATACGAGTACGATCAGCTGCACTCGGCTCTCCGCGTATTGTGGTGCGCGTCTCGAAAAGCTTAAATAAATCAGGAAAGTCTTATCGCGCGAGTTTTTTTTATTCGTCGCGATTTGTTATTCTTGCTCGACGTTTTCCAAACAAACCGCGGCGTGCACGCGCGCACAAGCGACCTATGATTCAGATGTTGTTGTTGTTTTTTCCGATAATAATATGAGCGAATCACATACGAAAGAGCTTGATCGTTGTACAAGGAGTTGTACAGTACGCAAATAGGATATTTTCGCTGCGGCTTTGCTCCAGAGAGTTGCAACCGTGAAAATCGATAAGACGATCGGTAGTGGGTGCAAGTCGATCGCAGATACTTTCCTGCACGTATTCATAATCCACGGATTAAATTTTACATCATAACAAACGTGAGCTCGTTGTTTTCTTTGCAGCGACTCGCGACTCACCTATATACATCGCGTATAAGACGGTGCGTTTTGTGCAACATAGAAAAATGCCTAGGGAAAAGCGAGTCGAGCCGCAGACCTCGATCGTCGCTCGCTCGTTCGAGTCGTAACGATCAACCTTGAATCTTTGTTGTAAATGCGTTACGCGGCCATTTGACGTATAAGCAGTCATCGATCTGCCGATCGACCATTTATCACTGTCTCTCTCGTTCGCAGCTTTCATCTCCGCATCTACTCGAGCCGAGTAGTAGCAGCCGCTTATCTATCGACACGAGCCAGCTCGTCCAGTCTCGCACACAATGGCCTTGATAATTCGTCCGGCTCGCTTTCTGAGCAACTTCGCCTTCAGAGCCCTGTCCACTCAGACCCAGACGAAGATCCGCCAATCCGAAGACAGACAGAGCCAACAACAGCAGCAGCAGCAGCGAGAGGTCGTGCTCAAGTACCTCGACGGCAAGGACAACGGCATCGTCGTTCTGGGCCTGAATCGGCCCGAGTCGCGCAACGCCTTCGGTCGGCGACTCGTCGACCAGCTCACCGAGGCGATCGAGCACGTGAAGAAGGACGACAAGGTGCGCGTGCTCGTGCTCAGGAGCCTCGTGCCCAAGTGCTTCTGCGCCGGGGCCGATCTGCGCGAGAGGTCCCACATGCAGCCCCAGGAGGTGGCCAGCTTCGTGTCCTCGCTCAGGAGCCTCTTTCACAGGATCGAGGTCATCAAGGCCCCCGTCATATCAGCCATCGACGGTGTGGCGCTCGGCGGCGGACTGGAGATGGCCCTGGCCTGCGACCTGAGAACCGCAGCGGCCGACGCCAAGATGGGCCTCGTCGAGACGAAGCTCGCCATAATCCCCGGCGCTGGAGGCACTCAGCGGCTGCCGAGACTCATCGGGCCGAGCCTCGCCAAGGAGCTCATTTACACGGCCCGTATCTTCGACGGCGCGGAAGCCCACCGATTGGGTCTGATCAATCGGCTCGTTGATCAGAACCGCCAAGGCGACGCGGCTTATCAGGAGGCCTTGACTCTCGCCAGGGAGATACTTCCCAATGGTCCCATTGGCGTTAGGTCAGTTCAATTTTAACTATGTGAATGAATCAATGCAAGGCGTTGTTTTTTTATGTGCGGCTTAAAGTACGTCGAGGCAAATTTTTTCACGCGCACGCAATTACTCGAGATTTAGAATAAACGTTCGCCTCAATAATACTGGTTTTACGGAAATAGCCCTCGGGAACGCAAAAACAAGCACGAAAAGAAATAATGCATAATCGGGGAAATCTTATTTTTACGCGCGTTCGTCAATACGCGACGCGGCCGTAGCGATCGAAGAGGGCATAATCGAGAAATCCGGAATTTATATAACGAACCAACACATTCAAAAGTTGTCCAGCGCATGTGAGCGGTAAAAGCGTGGCCGGTAAAATCTGCGTCGCGCGACATCCGATCGACTGGTTTTTCAAACTCGAGACGCGTACTTTGCGCGCTTTTGTACAGTATACGCGCGTGCACGAAAAATGACCGTATATAAAATATCGATAACAATTATGAATGTATACATTTTTTTTACAGAATGGCAAAGGAAGCGATAAACAGAGGCACAGAGGCGCCCATAGACGAAGCCCTGGAAATCGAGAAGGAGTGCTACTCGAGACTCTTGGACACGGAGGACAGATTGGAGGGCTTGGCCGCCTTCGCCTCGAAACGCGCGCCGGTTTACCGAGGGGTGTGATTCTCGCTATCGCTCCACGCACGATCATTCGTATCTTTGTACATTGTTTATTTATAAATAATCAACTCTGCGCATTATTATTTCTTTTTTCTTAAATAATCTACTCTTCTCGCACGCGTTTAATATTACGTTAGAGTGTACAATTGCTGTTAACGAGGTAACGGGGTCGGACACGAAGATGCTTATTACTATTATTAATTAGTTATAAAAATATCACGATAAGCGAATTATTATAGATACTAAATTAATTTTAAAAACCATTTCATGTAAAATTTTTATATTTTTGTGTTGCTCTGGAGGAACTAGAATTTGTATTTTATAAATGTTCAAGATTTATTTGAGATATAATTAAAATAATTTGTATATGAAAAGCAGTGACCTTTTTTTCTCGCTTGGAATCATCACAATTTACTCTTTACAGCGTAAGTGTTTGTTTTTACCGACGCTTTACATAGCTTTTACACTGATTAAATCAGATAACAGTAATATTAAAAATGCCTTATATTTGTTAAATATAAATTGAATACGCATATTATCATCACGTCGACGTATCATGTTATTGTACAAAGGAATGTCTCATGAACAATATAGTATGCGCACGTGTGTGTAAGAGATAATGTGCATGTGTGTATGCTTTACATAAGTAACAACAATAATATAGTAAAACATGTACAAAATATTTCTAAAATCAACACGAAGAGAATTATTCGCTGTAACTATTTACACGATAAAAAAGTGTGCATCATATGCTACGACATATCAAACTTAGAACTCTAGAGCGTTTCTTTGTTTCTCCTCTCGTCCAGCACGCTCATGAGCACCTTGAGCTGCTGCAGGGTATCTTTGGGCCCCGTGACCCGATGGCCGACCGTCAGATCGCTCTCGTAGATCTCGTAATCGTTGCCGCCCTCCCAAGTCTTGTCGCCGAAAAAGTGAATCTCGTCGTAGCCCTGCACGTGCTTCAAGCAGTAGGTCTTGTCCCAACCAGCGGGGAATACGTCGAACGATATCTGTCCACCTGCGTGAGCGAAAAAAAAAACAGCAAGAACAAATGTACTCGTTGTGCAATTACAGAACTAGAGTATCGCGCTATTGCTCACCTATGCTGTAGGTCAAGGCCAGATCGGGGAATTCCTTCTTGAGCGCTTGGATGACTTTGGCGCGCACGTGATGCTCCTTGTCGTACTGCTCGAACTGGTCGCGCTCCTCCTTGCTGCAGTTGCGGCCGACCGGCGAGATGTTGAACATGCCCGTGCGAAACTCGATGAAAGTTCCCCGCTTGAAGGGCAGCCTTATCTCCGAGAGATATCGCAGCGTGAAATTCACGAATTCCTGCACGGTATCCTCGCCGAGGGTCTTTTGCAGCGTCTGCGAATTTACGATCGTGGATCAGCGCGCGAGATAATAAAAAAATTGGTGCCTGCAGGAGGGAAGTCATTTAATTACCTGAGACGGTAACTGTTTGGCACCTCTGTAGCCGATCAATCCGTTCTCGGCGAACACGTAGTCGTACTTTTCGAAGATCTCGTCGCCGCCCAATTGGCGCTTAATTTTCGCGAGGTCCGAGCCGCCGACCACCGCGACGTCGACATCCTTTCTCAGCGTGTTTTGGATGTAATCGTCGAGCTCGGGATCGATGCACTGTCAAAATCCAAAAGAGAAAGAATAAAAATAAGACTCCGAGTCGTTAATTCGAATTCGGCGCCATTTCGCGCCGATATTAAAAGATAAGAGAAAAATAAAGCGCGCGTACCTGTAACGGTTTTGTGAGCGTACCGTCGACGTCGAAGAGGCAGCAAATTTTCGGCATGATGAATTGTATCTGCAATGTAGTTAAAAAGATCGATCAGTAAGGTGTGCGCCTGTAAGGTTGACAGCCGCGCCGACAGTCACATGCATCCAGTTTAATGACTCGCGCACACGTATACAAACAGACGGCATTGGCAATGTACACAAAAAGCCGGTCAGAGCTCCGAAATTTTTTCCATAAAAATCCATCGTCCAAAATGCATCATAGAGTCGAAAAGAGAGAAAATCGAGAGAAGCCGAGCGATAAATAAGCAACCTCACACATACGCCCGTCGGTCAAGGTTTTAACGTTAACGTACTTCCATACGTCAGAGAGTCTCGCATATAAATATTTTATCGCGAAGTAAAAAAAGGCGAAGCAACAACAACTAATGCAGACTACTGGAGCTGCGCGCAGTGAGATACGGCTTGCACAGAAGTGAAAGGATTGGATACACACATAAACGTTGTCGGAGTTCACTCACTGTTGCTCGGCAGCGGCAGCACGACGACGACAGAGCGAGAAGAAACTTTCTTGTACACGCGCGCAGGAGAAATAAAAAAAAAAAAAATAATGTGTATATGTATCGCTGGAGCAGTAAGTAGCAGCCGCAGCAACGAGCAGAACCAAACGTGGACCGCAGTACTGAACGGAGCGATAATATAATACGATATTATACGCGCATAAACGCGTCGGCGCTGCTACTACTGCTGCTTCGTTGAAGGTTTTACTCTATGAGACTTTGACGCGTGTGTGAGTCGTTTTAATGTGAATTGTTGTCGCTGTAAAGGCGCTCGTGAGCTCTGTTTACGCCTCGACATCTTATCGGGCTTTGCCTATTACATCGATATAAATCGCCCGAACAAATACACGCAGTTTCGATTTTTCATGAACGGGTGAAAAAAAGCTTTTCGAAACGATGGGCGGACGATTTTTCATGCTAGCGTTCCTGGCGCTCGTCGCAGCAGCGGCCGATAAACCGAAAAATGTTCTTCTCATGCTCGGTAAGAATTACTCAAAGATTATTACTTTTTTTTCTCTACTTATGCGCGTAGAGCGCACTCGCAGCCCGATACTTGCGATCCGAGTTAAGCGGGCTTTACGCCCAAGAGCCAAAGAGGATTACGAGCTTTCTTTTTGCCCTAATGGGTTTAACGTTAAAGTGAGAAAGAAAGAAAGAGAGAGAGAGAAACGGAGATTTTGCAATTGCAAAGTACTCTACACGACAAGTGCGTCTCGTAAAACGTTTCACCGACTTGCTGTTTATTACAGGCGACGATGCCGGCTTCGAGATGGGCTCCTACTTGAATAAAATCTGCCAGACGCCGAATCTCGACGCACTGGCCAAGGATGGCTTGATTTTCAACAACGCCTACACTTCGGTCAGCAGCTGCTCCCCGAGGTATGTATTTGAATTTACTTCTATTTCTATCAGCCTGATCGACCACTTACTCGATAACGAACCCGATCGTTGGATTCGCGCATAGCCGAGCGTCCCTTTTGACGGGCCTGCCGAGCCACCAGAACGGAATGTACGGACTGCACCAGGGCGTGCACCACTTCGACTCGTTCGACAAAGTCCAGAGCCTGCCGAAGCTCCTGAGAAAGATGAAGATCCGCACGGGCATAATCGGCAAGAAGCACGTCGGTCCCAACTCGGCCTATCCCTTCGATTTCGCCCACACCGAGGAGACTGAGTCGATCCTCCAAGTCGGACGCAACATCAGCCGCATCAAGGAGCTGGCGCGGGAATTTCTCGCCACGCAGAATCGCAGCCAGTGAGTAATGTTATTAATAATTCGCGATAAAAGACGACGGAACCATTATGGGATTTCTCGTTTTAGGCCCTTCTTCCTCTACGTGGCTTTTCACGATCCTCATCGCTGCGGCCACACTCATCCGGAGTTCGGCAACTTTTGCGAGAAATTCGGCAACGGCCAGCCGGGCATGGGTAAGATACCCGATTGGAACCCCGTCTACTACGACTGGCAGCAGGTCAAGGTGCCGTACTTCGTGCCGGATACCGAGTCGGCCAGGCGTGAAATAGCCGCGCAGTACACCACCATGTCGCGATTGGATCAAGGTTTTCATTGTTTTACCTTATTATACGTTTAAACCTAATTGTACGCAGGCAGCTAGTAGCCTTCTTTCTCCCACCCAATCAGCTTATCGCAATTTTACGCTAACTTTCACCAGGAGTCGGTTTGCTCATGAAAGAGCTGGAAAATGCTGGATTCAAGAACGACACTTTGGTCATTTACACCAGTGACAATGGCATACCGTTCCCCAGTGGAAGAACCAACCTTTACGACCCAGGTTCGGACGATATACAATTAATTTTATTTTCATAGAAATATTACGGGCTAATGATCGATGAATGTGCTTGACAGGTATGGCCGAACCAATGATCATATCGTCACCGGTACACAAAGATCGGAAAAACGAAGCCACGCACAGCATGACGTCACTGCTCGACATCACGCCGACTTTGCTCGACTGGTTCGGCATCAAGGACGCTCGAAAAGTCAAGAAGCACGCTGCCAATCTCACGGGAAAATCGCTCTTGCCCTTGCTCAAAGAAGGTATAATAATGCGTTACGAGAACCGCGACTTGTAATGTTATTTGCGGCTTTTACAAGTCAACTTCCGTTCCTTTGCAGAACCCGCAGATGACAATCAGACGGCAGTGTTCGCTAGTCAAATTCATCATGAAGTTACCATGTATTATCCCATGAGAACCATTAGAACAAAGAGATACAAACTCATACACAATTTGAATTTCAAAATGCCATTCCCCATCGACCAAGATCTTTTCATTTCTGATACGTTCCAGGTAAGACTCATGTATGACTAATTTCAACTGGATTCTATTGCGAGTAAAACTTGTTTTCAGGATATGCTCAATAGAACACGTAGCCAGCAACCACTTGTATGGTATAAAAATTTTTTGAAGAATTATTATTATCGCCCAGAATGGGAATTGTATGATTTAAAATACAATCCAGAGGAACAGAATAATATTGCTCTCAAGAAATCTATGAAAGTATGTACAATTGTCAAACTGACTCTTTTTGAAAAGTTTATCTCATGTTTGACTAAAATTTCTATGATTTACAGTCAACATTCGACGAGCTTAAAAATAGACTCTTTGAGTGGCAAAAGAAGACTAAAGATCCATGGATCTGTTCTCCTGGTGGAGTTTTGGAACCATTCAATGGCGACAAAAATAACCTTCAATGCATGGATTCACTTGCTTTCTAGAAATAGTGGCAAAACCCATTTATTAAAATTTTAATAAAAATCAATTACCTTTAAATATCTAATTAGTCTCTAGTATATTTTGATACTGGTCTTTGCGTGCGCTTGTCTTTTTTATCGTTGTTTTTCAGTAATACTTCATTCAATCGATGTACATATGTAAATGTCTTATTAACTGACTCTTCGACATCAACCATATCAGATGATATCTCATTCATCTAAAAAATAAATTAATTGATATTGAATTTGATGATTAGATTGAAGGCACTGAAAAAGTTTCATTGAAAATTTCATGCTTACAAATTGATGATAGCCATTGTATCTGTTGATTTTTGTTTTGTTGTCATATATCTGTTTAATTTGTACCATAAGTATGAGGCAGAAAATAAACCCAACAATTAAGTAGGGCCCATTGGAGTTATGTAAATTGCGCATAAACATAACAAGTGCACAGCTTATTGTTGTTTTGTAACTGAATGAAAATTAATAAAAGTGTCTGTAAAAAATAAAGCAAAAAAGTATACTTTCAAACGATCGATCACATGTTCCGACATTTGTTTAAGCGACTTGAGCGAGAAAAAACAGTCATTCACAAATAGCACAGTAACTACTACGGGTTCGGATTCGCGACAAAGTGAATAATCGAATCATTTGTCTAATGCTGCGTGTACACACTGAAATAGCTCTGTAGATCAGCTGCGTCGTCTGTCGAGCTGACAGCGCGCGCCGAGCCGCCGCCGTTTTTTGCGGACGCCATTTTTATTGAATCTGCGCACTGTGGCGCCGGAAGGAACCCGCAAAAAATGAATGAAAATTGTCAAGTAGCATTTTCTTAAAAATTACTGTTTATTGCCTTATTTCAATTATTTTTTTTAAGTATATAAAGTAAGAAAGGTATTATCAGGTACAAATAATAGTTAATTAATCTCTATGAGTATTTTCTAAAATTCGAGTCCATGATGATTGCTTTATCGTGAAAAAATTCTTCAGGCTATAATACTTCAATTATCGGTATCTGCGTGACTTATTACCAACGAGCCCATCGGTGCCACCGTAAGTTGGAGATTCGCTCCTCAGTGGCGTCGATTCGACAAACTGAAAACGTAAATATTTATATTGTACTTTCTTATCACGAGTAGAGATGAGCTACAATTTTTTTCATATTTATGCAAAGCAGTGCATAGCAAATGTAACATTTATGACAGGAAACAAGGATAAAAATGGTTTTACAATGAAATTAACAACAAAAAAGCAGAATTATAATTAATTAATCAAATGTGTTTTTATCGAGATTTATTAAAATAATTCAATGTAAATTTTATACATCACTCTTGTAGACTCTCTTTATTGTGCTGATTTTTAGTACCTCATGAACCGGTAATATTTTACGTATCATCATACGTATGATCATTGATTTTTGTATAGACTTTTTTACGATTCTCTGCGTATAAATTAAATGAAAAAATACAATCTCGAGTTTGATACCTATCAATTTTTTTTATTCTAATGTGATTCTTTATGTTTATTATAATATACTTCAAAGCTAAAGTTCCACTTCAAAAACATTTGGTGTGTCAAAGTATAAATTTACAGCAAACAATAGTAATGCCAGTGATAAAATAGCTGTCGCTGATCTAATGATAATATGAATAACAGTGCACTTTGAAATCAATTGTTTTATAAACATATATTTTGATTTCGAATAATATAATCCGTTTATCGCTTAAAATAATGAACCTACATAAATGAACTATTTTTGTAAGCGACAAATGACAGGCCAGAAGCGTGAATAGAACTTAAAAATAAAAGCCTGTGACGATATGTATTTTCGCATTGCTTCTTAAAAATTATATACAATTGAACGAACAAGCTACAGCATAATACTCCTTACAGATGGAAATAATCTCTATTACAATACAAAATACTAAACATTAATATTCGTGGTAATTTTATATACAATTTCGTATATTGCTTCTAGATTCTTAATTATTATGCGCACTTTAAAAAAATCGAATTGAAAAAATGCGCATTGCGCAAATAAAATGTGCTTCTAAATTAAAAGGCTACTGGCAAAAAATGTAGCGATTAATAAAAAGTTCGATGCACAGTAAGTAAAAATACATATGTTCCTAAATTGGAAACTGACCAATGTATGATTCATGCACGAAATAACTCAATTTCGACGCATACACATTCTAGCTCATCTTTACATTATACAAATGTTTCTGTTCCATATAAAATGAATTAATATCATTAGTATTAAAATATTTATGAATATTACGAGTCGAGATTCGCGAGTGGAGATTCGTTTCTGGTCTATAAAACGAATATAGTTTCGTTTAACATTATCGACTTCGTGACTCGCATTAAACGTTCGCGGGCTCCACCACTCACCAATGTGTATAAATATTCGCGAGCAAAAAAGGCGAGTAACAAAGACGCGAACTCGTGTTCGTGCTGATTGTTTAGTCCGTTTATGCAAAATACTTCGTTCTATCAATATTCGGTTGCCGCCGTAATTTTCTATTACGAAATGCAGTTTACGAACAACCGAAGTTACTTTAGGCAATTGTTTGTAATTTATCGTTCGTTTCTCCTAAAATCAGATCAAATCCAGATCAAAGCTCTTTTTAAAACCGATTTATACACATGTTACATATTGCAAGGCACACCACCTTGTAACAAGCGATTTCAAATGTGTAACGTTCTTACAATATTTTCTCATCGTGTAGTACGATCGTCGATAGAAAATCAAATTCAACGAATCCTTTCGCTCGTTTGGAGCTGGTAAGAACGCGAGCAACAGTAAGCTCCGAAATATTACCCATCGCAGATCGGTAATATTGAATTGTCCTCGTGTACACAACCATTTTTCGGTATCCGCTCTGCACAATACACTTTTGTACTCACATGTATAATAGCAAGAAACATCTGTGTATAGTAATTACAAAATAAAAATATCGTTCGCGCTAAATAATATGCCTACTGCAGCACTATTCTTTCTACATATGTCATTCGGTGTGTCGTACAATATCGTCGCGGTACACAATATTAACTTTACAAAAATAACGACGTCTATATTATTTTGCCCCCTCTCCCCGAGTACACAAGTTAAAAGCATTTAATCAGAGGCTCGCGTACACATTTGTTTGTTGCAATCGATGCACGCGCGATATACTCACACAATGCAACGCGCGTGTTTTCGATACGCACTCGTGCCTTTTAATGTATTCATCGTCGCAAGCGGCTCGTTACTAATTTCGGATTGTAAAAATCTCGTGGGGCGAAATTAATAATCGGCGCACGCGATGGCACACATTATAATCAGCAATTCGCGATAGTAGAGACAATAATACTGATAAATCACACTTACATCATAATGTATATATAATAGCTAAAATAATAATATAGTAATGCGTCAACGAACAAAAATGTATGTTGCGTGTGTACGTAAAATAATAGCACAATCTCACTGATCACATGCACACTCGCACCCGACAAGGCGCGGAAAATAACGAAAAGAAAAAAAAGAGACACTCGCTGAAACACATGCTCACAAAATAGCGTACAGAGAGAGAGGAAAAGAACAACCTTTCGTAGCACCGCGATCAACGCAGCACCGATCGGTGGCAACAAAATAGTATGCGTGTGTGCTCAAGCAGCGTACTCATAAAAAACATACTCACGAGGCAGGCAACATGTAATAAAAAAAGGGATATACGAGAGGGGGAGGCAGCGGATGCGCATCGACAAAGCCCAAATAATATCGAGGCATTCGACGTTAAAAAATATAATATATTCAGGTTGAAGATCCCACTGGGCAGATCGACGACGAGGTAATTGTGGTAGAAGTAGCGTCAGCGGCAGCAGCAGTGGTATGCATTAAGCCGAGCGCGAGTTCTGTTGGTCATCAGACTCGATTGTTGATGCCGTTAGTCACCTGATGGGTATCGACATTGTCGCCGGAGTTGTTGTTGGGCATGATGGGCGACTGGGAGGAGGGCGGCGCCGAGCCGGACAGCACCGACGGGTTCACCTGCATCGCCGACGTGGCTTCGTTGTAGTCGCGCAATTTGTCCATGTCGCTGCTTCTCTGAATCATCAGCTGCGAGCGATTGTAAGCCGACTGCAGGCGTCGCTCCTTGAACAGATCGCCGATGCAGAATACCTGGAAGGAGGCCAATTTTCGTTATTTGCGATGCGCCAACTGTACGTATAGGAAAATAAGTAGCGTCGGCGAGACAGACAGACAGTGCTAGAGAGAATATATTACAAGAGAGAAGAAGTGAGAAGTGAGATACCGACCATAATGAGGGCGATGACAGTGCCGATGCCGAGGCCGGCGAGAACATCGCTCCAGTGGTGCTTGTAGTTGGACACCCTCGTCATGGCCGTGTACCAAGCCATCATTATGCAGATGTACTGTAGGAAGTGCCTGAACAGCTTGCTACCAGGCCACGTCAGTCGCAGTTGCAGATACAGCTGTATTGGCAATATAAACAATATTTCTTTTTTTTTCTTTTTTTTTTTGACAAATCGCACGATATATTACATATTTTCTGCATTATCTCACTTTATGATATATCGCTCCGCTACGCGCTCGACAGAATTTTTTTTTCTCTCTCTCTTCAAATATTATGGTCACTTCGAGCAAGGAATAATGTAGTGTCGTTTCTCGACGCAGTAAAATATTTCGCGAAAACGTGATTTTAAGCTCCCTGACGCGCGCGCGCGCGTGCGTATAATGTAAAGCATAATATACTTCAGTCGCGCGCGCGGAGCGAGACAAAAAAAGGAGCTGTCAAACGCTTACAAGTTAGCGCGAAAAGTCGAGAAATTATTCAAAAGCTCGCGAGCGCGCGCAGATTTATATATTGTACACATAAAAATCAAAAGTCGGAAGTTAAACGGCCTTACGCAACTTTTACCATATAGCGGATAACGTAATGCGACAAAATGATCGAGTCGCGCTTTTATACATTTATAATGCACAACATTTTGAGCTGTTATATGTACACGTAACGACTTACCGCCAAGAAGATCATGGTATAGGCCGCGAAGGACGAATGGCCCGACGGGAAGGACAGTCTGCAACATACAAAACAAGTGACGCACGTGTTATGCGGCGCAAGTAAGGCAAAACGCAACAAAACAGCAACAAAAAAATGGAGCTGCGACGTAAAAAAAAAAGAAAAAAAGAAAAAAGAAGAAGCAGCAGCGACGACGACGGCATTGGGCAGATTTTTGCCTGCGTATAAGTAGCGCATAGGACCTCGGTGACGGCGCAAAAAAGGGACACGCATTTACGTACGATTTATGTCGTTGTATATTCGTATACACACACGCGCATCGTCGTGAGAAAGTAGGCTGTAATGGCCCGAGACGAGAGTTCCTTTGCAGGCGCACTCTCAAAAATTTCTTGCATTATAAACTTGCCGATACTGTCCGGGTCTCTCGTGAGCAGCCCAGCAGCAGCAGGTTTTGCGACATTTGGCTTCTTTACCCTTGCAGAAAGTATCACGAACGCTTATGTACGTACTTGATCGATATAATTGCTTCTGCGTTTACGTACGTACTCCTTTTTTTTTTTAACGATTATCGAGCGATAAGCGATATTGGCGCGGAATACGTGCTGAAAGTATAAGCGCAGATATTCCACGTGCTGCGCGCCGCGACGAGTATCGCTGAGTCGGACTCGAGAAGCTACAAACGGAATACAAATCGCTTCTTTCCTCTCTCGCTCTTGGGCCTGCGTATACGAAAGCTCCCGAGTCTTTCGACTCGACGCGCCACGACCGCAAACCAAATCTTTCGAATTAATAATATAATCCAATCGGCGCGAGCTCAAGTGGGCCTTCTGCAGCACACCGAACAGCAGCGCCCGCGTCAAGTGAAGAAATAAAAATAAAAAACAACAACCGCACGAGTAATCGACCAAAATAATAATACGCGCACATTTGACACGCGGTTGGCTTGGGAAGAGACTCTACTGCTCTTCGAATGTACATCCTCTATAGCACAAGCTTTAGCGTCTTCCGTTTTCTCTCTCGCTCGTTTCTGTGACGTCGAGAGTCAAATCGACGCACTCCCCCGTTCGCTTATGGGCTTTGTAAAATCGTTTCTTATTATGTCCCTTGGCCTCTCTCTCTTTCTGTAGAATGTATACATTTATCAAAATTTTACACTCTCGGTCTTGGACGTGAAAGAAGTCACTGTGGATTCTCTATGATAAAGAAAAAAGAAGCGAACGCGCTTGAATCGCGGACTTTGTATATCTTTATTAGCGTGTTCCGGTGAATCTCGATTCGATTTTTCAGGAGAAATAATTTTGAACGCACAAACGCGCCTCTATATCGTGTACACGTGGTCGGCGGGGCCACACTTTTTGAAGAATTATTATTATTCGGTAGCGGTTTGTGCGAAGAGGCCACTCGATATAGCCTGTTTGATATAGATCGAGTCTATTGCATAATGCAACCAACACGCTCGATTATTGTAGGTATGCATGTCGCAGCTGAGGCGCTACAAATTGGCAATCAATCATCTTACAGATTTGCAAGATATGTATATGTTACGTTTATAGATCAGGGCTCGATTTCGCGATAAAATCACAATCGCCTAAGCGAAGTTTTGCAGCGTTCGAGTAGATAGCTTATAATACGCGTTATCTTTTTTTCATTATATAAAAGCGTGTGCCCGACGCTTGATGGAATAATTGTAAATCGAATCATCATCGCTAAAATCGTCTCTATTTAATCTCTCTGCTTGTTTTTCTCGAATAAGACAAAAAATAATGCATACGTAAGTATACTATAATGTCTCGCACACGTTTGAATCTTTCCTCATTGGGTCGCGATGCCGATTTATAGAGACGCTTTAATAACGTTGAAAAACAGTTTTGCGCTATATGGCTATGCGCCGTAATAATATGTGCTCGAGCGAGCGGCACCGATAAGATCCATTACTCCTTGGAGGCGCGCGCGCGTGTCTTCTTTTATACATTATACGCCGAGTAATGCGCGCGGGCGCGAGAAGCGTGACTAAAAACGATCGTTATCGGCTATGTGTGCGGTGTACGATGCGTGGGCCGCGTCATCGGGGATCGTCGTCGTCGTCGTCGCATAAACGATAAACGTAGATGAATTTTCGTCATCTATCATACTTATAGTATAGGTATATAGGAGAGTGGCGGCGGCTTACCTGAGCTCCTTCAAGACTTTGGGCGAGACGCCGTCGGCCTCGCACACGTAGTCCGTGATGTACCTGTGCTGGTTCTCGGGCCAGCTGCAGTTGATTTTGGGATTGCATATAGTGAGAAAATGCGGCCTCAGCCGGCCGATCGTGTACTTGGCTATGTCGGTCGTCATCACCGTCACGGCTGCTCCAAAGCCAAACACCCCGATCTGTGGCGACACACATATATACATATAGACAACAAGAGCATCAAGCGAATATTCAGTCCGGATGTTGGGGCACGTTATACACAGCAGCAGCAGCAGCCTCCGTAAAAAGGCAGCAGCATCAGCAGCACAGACTCTCTTGTAGTACGTACGACGAATAATTGAACGTATTCTTTCTCCCCTTAACTCTGCGTTCATTATCACATGTGTGTCATCGGATATACGCGTATACGTAGTGGTGTACGGCAGACGCGGCTCGACGACTTTTTTTGCTGCCGCTGCGCTGCTTCTTCCTACGTGAAAAAAAAAGAGTTCGATTCGACGTCGAGAGCTCGAGTATGCACTGGACGGAATCGGATCGATCGAGCGTGTGCGCACCGAGTGTGTAACGCAAAGTGCGCCCAGCAAGGATCGTGCGTATATGCATAATTTTTACACGATGTACGCGCTTACACGCTTGGCCGCGCGCACAAGCTGTATGCATTTTTGCATGATGCACTGCTGCTGCTGCTGCCCATTCGAGTTTTGCTGCGACAACGATATATTCGCATCGACACGTATATCATATCCCCGAGTCTGGAAACCGAGAGGCGAACCCAGAGAAAAAAAATCGTCTCGGTAAAACGTATAATTATAACAACCCTTGACTTTCTCTCCTCGAGACGCGATCGTTGACGTCGAGTCTCGGTCGTTTAACAATTAGCTCTTTTTCAAGGAGATATGCGCGTCGATCAGTCATAACTCGACTTCGAGAGATCGGCCGGACAAAAAAGCCCGTGATCGCGTCGTAAAAGTATAAACGTTTTATACACACGACAGTTTTTTACTCACTTTTTCGTAGGCCATGGTCATCCAGTAGGGTATGCTTTTTCCCAAGACGACGAGTGGCTTCTTCTCCGGCAGGCCCTTGGCGTGATGATACTCGAACGCCAGCATCTGCAACGATCGTCACAGCACCACCACGTGTGCATGCGCGCCAGCTTTAAAAATCTTTTCTTTCTCTCTCACACACAAACATGCGCGTTTTTTGTCGTTTATTGTTGTTATTAAGATAATTACATAGCCGCGAGAGCGCCGCGCTCTGCACGTCAATCAAAAAACGAGCTCGAGACGTTTATTTTCTTACGGCACACACAAACACACACGCGCACACGCGAGCGCGTTCGTGTATACAGTCGCGCGTTACAAGCTGCAGCAGTCAAAGTTCGAAGGACGCGCCGTGTGCAGTTCAACAAACTTCTGCGAGTTATAGTCCGACGATTCGTTTGCATTTGTTTTCGGTAATTTAAAACCGAGCTATTATAAAAAGAGAGAAAATTGCATGTCATTTGTGTTTATTACGCGCGCGCGCGCGTTCGCCGTCGCCAGATTGCTTATTCAATTTGAAAATATTCAAGAATTTTATGCACCCGAGTGAGGAAATCGCTATCTCGCTGCGTGAACCGTCACGAAAGTGTGAATTTCTTCGCGGTCTTTCCGATTAATCATTCGATTACCAAATTCGTAAATAACATTGGCCAATTGACAAACGATAAAACAGCCGATAAATAATCGAAATTCGAGACCAGATTAAACGTACTACCAAAAATTACGCTCGAAATATGGCTTATAATAATCTTCCAAAAAGTACGAAACGTCGTCTTTCCAAAAGCGACGCGATAATCCACTTGAAATGATTTAGCTGTTGTACGCGAGATGCGGTTTTATAGTCGTGTATATAATCTAAGACTGGTTCAAAGGTTTTAACGACCACTCAAAAACGTTGAACCTGCTCTCGCTTTAGATGGCACGTTACGATGTAAACCGAGCCGAACGTAATTACCGAAAATCACTCGGCACTCGGGTCTCGAGAGCCATATCTAATACGCGTAATAATAAGTCAGATTTAATACGTAATACGAATACGTGATACTTACGGTACAGATGGGCAGAAATAGGCCGATGACGTAGAGCATGGGACTGGTGACGGTGGAGTCGACCATCGGATGGGCCAACGATTCGTCATTGCAGAAGAAGCCACGCTTGTAGGGAGTGCCGAATAGATAAAACGTCAGCACTATCATGCCCACTGCAAAAGATAACAAACACATTTTCCATTATTACTTTTCTGCTAATCTCTCTCTCTCGATTCCAGGAGAAGAACACAAGAAGAGGAAGAGGAAGAGAGGATAAAATCAAGTCGAAGGAATATTAGCTTTATGCGTCGTCGCTAGCGGCATGCAGGAAAAACGTAATTTCGCACGCGCGCTCGCACGAATTTAAAGCGTTCCAAGACATAACAAGTGCTCTCGCGCGCATATATACAGCTGCATTGCACTGACCGAAGAGAGAAATATTGGGGCATTTAAACGAGGCTCCCTTCTATTTCTGCTGCCTTTGAGCGAGCATAGTTTAGCTGGTCACTGCTGCTGCTTAGCTGCCGTTCGACGTGTTTTCTTCTGCGCGTATATAACACGGAAGGTCAACGTTCGACGACATTGTGTGTGTATACGAGTATCAAGGAGGCCGAAAAATTCGGTTTTTTCCCGAAATCTCCGAGCTATTTTTAATCGTGAGCGAAATTTTCGTTTGTTATTTTAATAACGATCGGGCGAGTAATTTGATTGTATACGCATAGCAAGGAAGCCGCGTCTGACGCGCTGATCGCGCGCGAGCTTAAAAACTGGGCGGGGGGGAACAAAAATGTAGGTGAAACCGCGAGAAAAAGTACAAAGAGACGCTGAAAAATCGCTAAACCAACAGGTGTGTCTCCGAGTGTACTCATGCATTAGCTCCGTCTGTCGTTACGCGTGACAGCTCGAGGCGATGCGCGTGTGTGTGTGCGTGTGTGTGCAAATGTGTCGCGTTCATTTCTCCCAAGCAGTCGATAAGGTAATGAGTAAGGAGCCTCGGCAAACGCGACAATGTACTCTTGTAACGGCTCTCTCTCTCTTTCTTATCTTCCAGGTATATAAATGTGTCCCACTGCGGTACGCACCAGAGAGGCAAAACTTTAAATCATGCTACAAGTATACGAACGTATCGAGATAAGGAAGCCTAAGGTCAACGGCAGCAGCAGCAGCAGCGCAGCGTGTTAAACGTTCATATATATAGGCTCGATGTCACACGCTACCTTAGCGGGTAATAGGAGCAACTCACGCGTCGAGCTTTTCACTACTACTGTACCGAACGGTCGCGACGGACATCTGTCCTATTTTGCTATTGTGCAGGGCAGCAGATCGACATTCGCGACTCCGCACCGTCGAGTCTCGCGAGCAAAATAAGAGCAAGACGAGCCGCGCATCTTTATCGCCGAGACCTTGCGCGCGTATGGCTTTTTTCATCTGTCATTTCTCCCTCGCGATATCATCTCTTTCTCTCTCGCCTGTTTATATTATTATGTATTATATAGCTGCTGTAATCGCGATCGACACATTCCTAATGGAATTTAATGCTTTGCCGCCGCGGCAAATTGAAAGGAAGCACAAACTCTGCGGCCTTATTAAGTAGCTTTTCTAATATTAGAATCTTCCATAATGTTGTCAGTATTAATATCTTGCCGGCTATATAAGCTCGCGAAATCGCAGCTTCCAACTGCCTAAAGCAAAGCCTTTTATCCAGTTGTGATCGATAATCCAAGTGGTTGGCGATTGCTTCGATGATATATGCTTGTCCCTCGAGATCTTCGAGCTGATGCGGCTTTCCATCTCGTAGTCGTTAAAAGTACACAAAAAGTCATCATGACCGGGCTCTCTAGCTTTCGTCGAGCCAGCTCGTAAATACGTGAATTTCAAAAATTTTTAAAACTCTATTAAATTCCATCTTCTAATAGCGGCCATAATCGACGATGCAACACGAAAATCACGTTAATCAGCCGCCGACATCAAAATCAACGAATTCCTCGTGGTAGCGCGGATGCGAGCGTATAAACAGTACTCGATCGGTCCCCGAGGCGTTAAATCCGTGACGCCGATCGCCGACCATAAACCGAATAATAAAATTCGATCGATGCCACCTCAAATCTTTAAATCTCTCTCTAAAAGCGTGAATACATTGTGAAATAAATAAAAACGTTTCATTCATGCTTAAGTGGACATTGTACAGGCGGTTGCCTTCTCGAAAGAGAGAGAGAGAGAGAAAGAGACGTAGAGAATGAATTCCGCTCCAAGCTAAAAGACGTGATTTTTTTTTCTTCTCTCTCTTTTCTTGTAAACGTGCACGAGGCATAAAAAGTACTCTAGGCCCACCGAAAAAAAAAAAAAAAAAAAATTATAAAAAAGAAGCCCCGAAATGGTGCTCGACGAATGTGACTAACGAGGAAAAAGAATCCGCGCGCACGTGCTTTTATGCATGTTTAAATCAAACACCCCTGGGGCACATATTATAAGCTTTTTAACATTGTCCCTTAGAAAACGAAAAAGAAGTACAATACAGAGGCGCGCGAGCTCAGGGTGTGGACGAACGAAGCGCTCGATACAACATCGTCTCGGCAGCTCTCGTCCGTTGTTGAACGGGCGCGTCGCGTATATATATAAAACGCGCTCGTATACCAGACTTATTGCTTTTTTTCTTTCATTTCGCCTTTGTCCAAGATCATTGCGCATAATGGACTTTTACATCGAAAGTTTAGGAAGGGAATTCAAACGAATTTTCGCTCGAATATCATTTCTCGTCCGCGAAAGACGACGACGACGACGGAAGCTCGCAAGATTGGCGCTGTAGATATACGTGAAAATCTTTTAAACTATATAGCAAAAGTATTCGCAATCCGCTGAATCACGAGCTGTAGCCTCGCTACCGGTCGTATAAAAAGGAAATAAAAATTGATTATTTCATCTATTCTTTCTTTGTACGTATGCAGCTGCTGCTGCTGTTCTCTCTCGCGCTTACACGTTAATATTTATAGTCGAGACGGCCGGTCTCTCTCTTTCTCTTGCATTTGTATACAGACAATATGATACTCTTTTCTCTGAGCCGATAGCACTTTGATGTATTTGCATCGCGTCTTGTCTTTGGCGCGCAGATTCGCGCGAAAACATGTTTTTTGCCTCCTCACGCTGCTGCTCGTCGACTCGCAACTCTTTCTTCGTCGAATATACGTATACACAATTAAAATTTATACGAGAGCGCGAGATAAGACGAAAATAACGTTTTTCAAAGTACGCACTCGAGAGAGTGTTGCACAAGTGCAGTTGTACGTGCAGCAGCCTACCCAAAATTGCTCATTTTGCAAGCCGCAGCAGGCCCCCGCGTGCACTCTGTACATGTAATTACATGTATATGCCACTTTAATGCAATATATAATAACGACGAAACGACCTCTGTGCACCAGACTCTTCTTTTTCGATTCGCTCCAACTACGTCGAGAAAGAGAGCGAGAGAGAGAGAGAGAGAGAAAGAAAAAGAAACGAGCTCGGGGAGTTTTTACGATCGAAGAAAAGGGTTTCGGAAAAGTACACAGACGAGCACAAATAAAGTACACAAGAATTATCATGAAAAATCCATTGCTTCTCTGCAGCGGAGCTTAAGAAATTATTATATACAACTTGGCAAGATGTTTATCTCCATCCTTATGGGTTCTTCCATCTCTCTTACTTGTTATGTTAAGGTGTATTATAGCATGACTGCGCGCGTCCCACAACGAGCGACTCGAACTTATCATTCATTATTATACATTTTTGTTTGCTCGGTACACGGACACACATTTAATGGCTTTATTCAAATTCCTCTTCTCGCTCAATGAATTCTCCCGATATCGAGGATAACGCAGCGCAGCAGCAGCAGCGTCACATTTAACGAATGCAGATCGGGGCCGAGTTTAAGCCGGCTAAGCGCTCAATGCGCCGCTCAACAGCTGCAGCGGCTCGGGATTATGGTACGTGTATGTAGTGTATTATACGCGCGTATATATAAGCGGTAGGTCGGCTTTTGTCAACCGCTCGGTCGATGTGCGACACTTTTTTTTTGTCGTCATCGTCATCATCATCTGCACGTGTACACAAAAGAAGAGAAAACGTCGTGGACTAGTGGTCGCGATCCATAATCGTAGTTGGCGTACGTAAATTCCATCTCTGCGATAGCTAATACAGAGGCTTGGACACGCGCGCGACTATATTTCTGTGCGTTACGTCTTATCTCTCTCTCTCTCTCTCTCTCTCTCTCTCTCTCTCTCTCTCTGGCTAAAAGTAAGAAAAGAAAAAATGAGCTAAGCGAAGAGCGGCACACAAAGACCAATTAAGTCCGGCCTTTTTCTGCTGCCTATGCCGATGTTGTCAGTTCATCTATATATATAATAATAATAATGATGCGGTATAGGTATAATATACACCCGGAGACGAAGACAATAGGTCGCCGCTGCTTTCTATTGCACGCATTGGCAATGGTAATGTGGCTTCGCTTCGTTCATAGCGAAAAGCTCCGATTCGCCTTTCGTCGTCGTTCGACTTCAATATCCGATCGGCAAGCGACGTACATATAAGAAGAAGACGACGAAGGTAAGTGTGTTTGCCCGAAGATAGAGCTGAATCATGCCTTACACGCGAAACTCGAACGAGAGAGAGAAAGAACGTGCTGCAGAGAGGGTAGGAAAAGGGCACCCTTACACGACGTATACCGTCTATATACATCGGCTCTATAATGCCAAGGGAGAAACTGACAAATCAGTTGGAGCGAAGGGGAGAGGTAGCCGCTCGATTCTTGCCCCGGCACATACTGTACCTACGGCACGAATATAGTTACTCGCGGAACCGGCGTAAACATTTTGCGCGGATCAATTTCCCAGCTTTACGTCGGATATCCATTGGGAATCCCTACTTTTAAGATGTATACATGTACGAAATAAACGAACTACGTCTATATTTTGAAAATATGCAATTCGCCAATATAAGTATTATATTATAAAGCTGCTCGATGGCCGTACACACGCACACGGCAGACATGCACGCACGAGACACAATGCAAAGAGAGAGAGAGAGAAAAATGGGCAGTCGGCTGGAGGCAACAACAACAACCACCAAAGTCGTCGAGTCGTTCAACGCCCTCGTGTTATATATAAATGTGCAGAGCGCAGAGCAGCCGTGTGTGTGTGCGTGCGTATAATACACCTCGATGCTATATACCTACTACTACTACTACTACCTATAGTCGGCGGTCTCGAATGTAGCGACTTTGTAGCGGCCAAACTGCAGCACACAGCAGAGAGCAAAGAGAAGGCGAGGGAGTGCATAATATGCATTCGCCTTTCGATCGATCATAGTCCGTGTGCACGCAGATATAGGATACACGCGTATATTATATTAGGTGTTTCGCGCGTGTGTCTGCCTCTTTCTCGCGTTACCGAGTTTCAAGATATACGCAGATAAGACGCACTACTATACGGGCAAAGCGCAAAACAAGCAGACTCGAGTAAAGAAAGAGACGAGGTAAACAGACAGTAAATTATAAAAGTATACCGCAGAACGCGGCATCGTCGTGATGCAATGTCGTTCGAAATTTTCGCGCTTTCGAAGCAGCGCACCGATGAGTTGACATCATTTGTCGAGTGCATCATCACTGCCGCCTCTGCCTGCTCGTCGCAGATTTGCACGCATGTGCTGTGCTACTACTGCTTATATACTACAGCAGCTACTGCTCTCCGACTCTCAGTGCTCGTGCTATAATAGCGCTCGACACCGCGCCTTGACATACAAGAATAGTATGTATATAACGCGGTATGCGTTTACGGAGTCGCGCGAGAGAGCAATAATATTGTTTTGAAGGCAACGCGAAATTAAAAAAATAAAAATAAGAGCAGGTGAGACGTTCGTACGCGAGAGAGCGAATGTATACAAACACACGAGCAGCGGCAGCAGGAGGAGGTTCAGGAGGAGGAGGAGTGATTTTATAAACTTGCGTTAGATGTATGTACTCACCGCAGAGCAAACATAAAAAGTCGATGACGATTTTGCGCACGATGAACCTACTGCCGCGGTCCATTGTGCAGCTGGGGATCGCAGCCGTCGAGACTGGAGAGCTTGGCGAAAAATCAACAAAACTATATCGAATCGAATCTCAGCCGTCGATCCTCGGCGGTCCGAGCACACTCGTCCCTCGCGGCCAACGTTAAATTACAGATAGGTAAAAACGTAAAGGGACGCGGACGAGGAAAAAATAATGTCAAGAATAACGAGGAGCAGCTGCAGCAGCAACAACAAAAACAACTAAACGACCAAATATCGACGACAAGTGACGTTCGGGCGCGCGCGCACACACATCGACGACAAACGACCACGACGAGTCGACGCAACGGCTGCTAAACACCGACTGACTTGACAACGCACAGCAGCAGCGTATAATGCAGCAGCAGCACACGGACGGACTATACGGAGCGCGCAGCACCGCAGACGATATTGTACGCCGCCGCTGAGCTCTGCTGCTCTCGTGCCGTGTCGTAAGTAGCAGCAGCAGCTTGAAGCGTGCGGCAGCGGTGGTGGCGGCCACGGATTCTACATTGTATAAGCTAAAAATCATCGCGACGTGCGATTGCGCCTCCCCCTCCCACCCAATATTTACTCGCGTATATCCACGACTAGATAGATGACTTTACGCCGTTACGTTTTCACGTATGTTGCGTCGTATAGTCGTATATGTAACATAATTCGAGCTTCCGCTGTCAATATTATCTCTTATCGTCTATTGCGCCAACACCTTTTTTTTAGCATCGTTTTGTTTGGAAAATCTGCGCCGCTGCGTGCTTTAAATTTTTTTTTCTGACTTGCAATGCTGTGTGCCCTTGGAATTGGCCAAATGATTTGTTTTTTTGAGCCCGATTCGAAATTAGTATCGTTTCATCCACCGTAGTTCCCATAATAATTAGCTACGGATTTAAAGCATACTCGCGCGACGCTATTTTCGAATGTCCAATTAGGAGAATCGCTCGAAAGCCATAAGTCTAGGTAATAATCTGTGCAGGTAGACGACTTTCCTAAAGCCCGTTTGATTTTCGGTTAACGATTTTGACAGCCTGTGATTATTGAATTATATCATTTTAGAAGTAACGTAGAAAACGTCATCTCGTTCGCGTAATCGATCCCGTGTATAATTAGCCGATCAACGTCGTGCCGATTGTTTATTTTTCAAGAGATCCATATATATAATTCTCACATACACAGGCGCGTGTCGAACACACAATATCTATGTACACACGTTCAGAGCTACAAAGACGAGGGGGAAAAAATCCCATCTAGTTTCCTGCCTTATAGAGGCCTATTTACGACGCGAGCTGCGATTTGCGAAGCGCGCGTAGTTTTCCCGCCACCTCCATACTTATATATACATTACAATTGCATTCTCTAACGAACGCCGACGCCGAGCTACGAGTCACAGCTCGGAATATATATTAGGCTAATTTACACATCTTAAAAATAAATTGTCCTTTATTGTACTTCATTCCTTGCGAGAATATTCGGCACCGAAGGTAACAAATGTACCGATAGCTGTGTTATTTATCTTTCTTCTCGCCCATGCGTTGAAGCTGGGAGAGAGAGAGACACCTCTATGGTACGCATCCGAGTATTTCGGTACTATTATTTTTACAATTCGTCACAAATATATCGCTGTCCAAATGACAGCCTTGAAGCGACACGATCTGTTACTTCTTTCCTCGAATTCACACCTCCGTAATCCGTTATACGATCAGAAACCACCACGGCCTGCTGCCATATAACACACAAATTTTTTCATCCGGAATTTCTCCGCGGCCGATTGATTGTCATTTTAATTAGAAACGATTTTTATAATCATCTCTCTTACATACGGTGCCCAGTCGTGAATAACAAACCACAAGTTTTCACCGGCCCAACCTGTCGCAAGCGATTAGCTTTATTCGATACACATCGCGCTCGCACCTGAGAAATCGATACCAACACGCGACAGTTATTTTATTTTTTGTTTTTGCTCGGCGCGTTGACTTAGATAACGTCACGACTCATTAGCTCTATGACCGAGAATTTCTTTTTTTTTTTTTCGTGAGTTATACGCGCTGCTTTCGTGCGAAATGAAAACAAAAAAAAATGAGACACTCGCGTAGCGCGAGTGTCAAACGTAGTTGTACATTGACGCTCGCAAGCACATGTGCATGATTCATCGCTCGCTCGCAGTTATCCTGATCTCTTACTTATTTTCGATAAATTCAAGCGGCAGTGCACGTACACGTGTACTTGTGACACATAGTATCGCTTTGAGCCTCGTAATGCGCAAATTTATAAAACCAATAAATTCGCGAATTTAACGGTACTCCGTTGATCGACGACTCGACGCGCGTGATCACTCTTATCGTGCTACGTACCACTGATACGTTTTTATTCCTCGCTGAAGGAACAATGAAATAAAATTAACGCCGATTTTCCTCAAACTCAGTGCTTGCACTTTATTGTTACAATTTAATTACATTTTACTGCAAATATCTTTAAAACTCTTTAGCGTGCAAAAGGCCTAATCCATGTTTTATTATTATTGCTTTCCGATTGAAAACTTGCACTTGTTGATTATGATGTCATTAACGAATTAGTTACGAGCGTTCTTATTGGTTCATTTTCTCAAACTATGCTTACAAACATCACGGCACTTATGACTAGTTTTCTTTGCATACTCTATTGTTTGTCAATTTGTTACACTTATGAAAGCTTTCATGATTTATTTACTTTTTTTATTTCGTATACTCGTATAAGAACTTTACAAACGTACCAATTGCATGGATGATTAGAAAATAGATAAGAAAAAAAGAATGTTAAATTTTTTTGTTAAGTACATGCTGGAAAAGCTTTGCCTCGAGAGACGTCAATTAAAAAAGATAGGACACAGAGGGAAACGTACAAAAGCGTTTCTCTTCCTCTCTCTCTTTCTCTCTCCACTACCATTGATTGCACTAGCACACAAAACTTTGTCGCGTTGCGGCTATAGTGAAGCATTTAAGCATCTTAATAGCACGCGAGCGGACGATTATATAGGCCTCTTATACAACGACATAATCGGCATTTATATCGTTACGCGCGAATTCGCGCTCATCAATTTTCATTTCTTATACATGTAAAAGTTACAGTGGCACTCGCCGCCCTGTTTCATCAATTCATTTATCATTATAATATATATTCATTACTTTGAACACATGCTTGCATTCTTATGCACATGATTGATTAGTAAGTTATACATTATTGTAATTTACATACTAAATAATAAATATACATATCAACATCGCAACTCGTACTTCAAATACGATAGTTATCATTACATACTTTCTATATATCATTACAATTTTCACTGATGCATTGTTTTTGTGTGTGCAACGTAAGGAAAAAAAAGAATTACATATTTATATCACATCTACCGTTGGTGGTAGTTTCTTATTATGAAAAATTGTAAATTGTTTACTGGTAAAATCGCGTAAATTTACATTTCAACTTGGTTTTCGGAAATTTTTACAAGTAGAGAGCAGAAATGAAAATTTAGTGAATCCACATAAAAATAAAGTCGTAGTGATAAGATAGGTTAATAAGAAGGGTAGGATATAAAATCTTAAAGCGCAAAGTCTTTGTAGCTTCGATTATGATTCAGTGAATAAGGTGAAAAACATAGCCCTGAATCAATTCATATTCTGAGGGTCATCTACGGTGTTCACCAGTGGAGTACGCCGTTACAGTATTGTCGACGCAACCCGCTGCTAATAACACCCGATACGGATGGAAATTTAAGCAGTTAATAGGTCCAACGCGCGAACTCATGAAACCCTCGTGCGACTTGATAGAATTGAGATACTGACCCGACAGGTTGTAAATCCTAGTTACTTGATTTGTCGAGCTGAAAATAATTTGTCATTGTGAGTACATAGGCTTGAAATATTTTAAATAAACCAGAAAATGTATTTATAACACGTACCAGGCGAATACACTCGCTGCATCATGCATGGCAAAGGATGTGATGCCTTCCATAGTTTGAATATGAGACACAGATGAGTTCTTTCGTAAATCGAAGTACCTTACGTCTCCGGCGGTCGAGGCAGTGATCAGTCTCGTGGGTACCGATTGAAAAGCTTTGCGATGTAGCGATGCACCAAGAATCCACGAGCTATGCTCGCAGTAAGTCATAACGCGGGCCTCCAACGGAGCTAAACGGCGATCAAAAATACGTACTGTACCATCGCCACAACCAGCTATCAGCATATTCCCTGAAAATAACCAGTCATTGTATATTCAACCCTTTCGTAAATGAAAAAGGTCTCGAGAAAATATAATAACGAAATTGAATGTATACGCGATTGCGTAGTTATAAACTTACCGATATCATCAGTATCTAGAGACGTAACACAAAAATCGGTGCCTGTTGGTAAATCTTGAAGCTTCAATTCAGTCTCAGCATTCCATAAACGAATGCTCTTCACATCACCACCAGCTACCAAAGTCAACGAACGTTGCTCCCAGGCTGTCACTAATCCCGACGACCCTTAAAATCGGAAATAATAGATTATTATCAAACGTCATAAACAAAGAAAATTTTCAAAATTGGTAAAAATCATACCCATATGAATTTTGCCAATAGGTTGTAAGTCTGAGAGCGCCTGCCAAGCCGTCAGTAATGTTGGCTCACGTCCAAGCATATTGTAATAATTTTTCCAAACGCGGATTGAACCATCGTCTGACCCAACCATCAATAAAGCTACGTCGTGAGAATTCAGAAACTGAAGACTGCTGATACGTGAAGGACGCATAGTTCCACGACTCGCGTGATACGTAAGCTTAGTACCAGACTGCCAATCCCAAATACTGTGTGACAAACAAATCAAATATTTTGATAGTTATTTATAATGTTTTAAGCATCAGCGCATTAACTGCAGTTAAATCAATTATGCAATCAAGCACATTGATCATTTGTGTTACTAGTACGTAGTAAGTAGGCATCAACCTAGAATTTCTCTCGCAGTCCTAAATACATAAAATAAGTCGAGCGCAATTACGTGCGACGCATACCTGCTCCGTATAATAACAATTCGTACACATAAGTAACTAAAGTCGCTTCATTAAAAACTCACCCGAAGTAATCTTTACAGGCCACGGCCAGATGCGAATCGAATGGGTGGAATAACAAAAGTTCCGGTGACTGTGGGCAGCGGGCGACGAACACTTGCGAGTCGATTCGTCCATTAACTGCTCGTATTTGTTCATCCTTCACCTCGTGTCGTTGCCGCTTGTTTCTCAAGTACCTAACAATGGCAAGAAACAATTTTAACATTACCAACATGAGCCGAGAATAGTATGTATTGCAATAATAATACATACCGCCACTCGCGTTCATGATGAGCGCGACTTTCGATGTCTTTGCTAGTATCTACCTCAGACGAAAAGCTTACTGGCTGGGCAAATTGGGAACAACTCCATTCAACGAATTTCGAAGTTACTAGTGGATTTCTCGCACTGAGCGGGACTTCGATTCCTTCCGCTATTGCCTGAATGTTCAATTCATTAAAATATATTCAAATACATTTTTGTTTGAATATAGAAATTTAATGGATTACGTACGGCGTTTGGTCCAGGTTTTCGCTTTTGGTGTTTATTGCTTCGTAGTAAATCCTCTTTGTTACTGAGAAAATTGTTTGTCTTATTAGATGGTGAGGGAGGCAAAGATAGAGACGACGACATTTTGGAATCGTTCAACTCTTTCGGTTTCTTAGTGGTTTCCTTGACTTGTTGACGCACGTGACCGACAACTTTTTGTACTAAATTAGCTACACCTGGAGAAGGATCATATTCCATTGCGCAAAGCCCGTGCCATAACTTCATGTAAACACTTCCATAAGCTAAACTAGGAAGATAACCCATTCCGTGGCCTAAAATAATATTGTAAAGTAATTCAATATTGAATGAAATTTTAATAATAAGTATTAAATGAATAATTATACGATAGAATTAGACAAAAGCACACATATTCAATGTTTTATGAATGATGATTACCCAGAGTTTCACTTGGTTTCCGCACGAATTCCCAATTACCTCCTGACAATGCGAATGCGTGCAATGAATTAGTGAAATACAGACTGTTAGTTACAATGAATATACATAAAATTGTATTAGTAAAGGAGATAAAATGAAGACAAAAATGATACCTAGAGTACTGATGGAGGATACAGAAGATACCCGCTTGATTTTATCCGAATTGAAACCATCGGTTGAGTCGCTTCCAGAATTACCGTGGGCATTCGGCGAAAGCATTTTTAAACGGTCTTTTGAGCTAATGCGTCGCATGCCACTGAAGGGCGATAAAGTTTCAACCACCAATTCTCGTCGTCCCTTCTCTTCGGCTACCGCTAAATTGACAAATAAATTTTCAAAGTGAAGTACCAACCATTGAAGAGCGACTACCAATTCCTAAAAGATTTCAATAAAATTAATTCAATTTATACTGCCAATCTGCTTGCATTATTCGATTTTTCATACCATTCTGACTATAGGGCTCATGTCATTCGTCACTGTGCTAATAAGCATCATTCCAATAGCTTGATCAATATTATTGGCATGTTCACTCCTCTTCGTTACACTACTGACGAAAGTGCCGAGAGCATATACGCTCGCAGCTCGAACTTCGGGAACTGGATCTTGTAGCATTTTGTGCAGTTTTTCATGAGCTGTATCGCGAACGCCGCACCATCGGGCTGTATCGAAATTCTGCCAAAGTCGCGCGAGGCACAGAGCCAGCCATTGTCTCAAAAGGGGATTAGGATCATTTATTTGTTCAAGGCAGATTGATACGAGACTGCCTTGAAGAGCAGCTTCTTGACCTGCAGGATAATTGTTGACAATGCAAGCAAGAACGAAAGCTGCCAGAGTTCGATGTTCACTTTGCAACGTGGTATCTTGAAGTACTGAGAGGAAATATTTATGTCCACCATCGCGCACCAAATCCCCTTGACAAGTCTAAAATATTAATAGTTTTATTCATTAGTTTTAAATAATTGGTATTTTTTAGGATAAAAAAATTTTAATTTACATTGTCGACTGCTAATATTTTAGCCCATATAAATACTAGCAATGGTCTAAGCTCTCGGGCATTACTTTGCAAAAGCTTGAGAACGTAAGGAAATATACCAACGCTCAAGGCTAAGTTAACAGCCCAAGGTCCTAGATCCAAAAATTTGCCCAACAATTCAAGAGCTCTTAACCTATGCACTTGACTTAGCAGTACTTGAAGGACAATCGGTAATTGCTCTGGTGGATTACGACTTTTCGAACCCAATGTCAACCAGACTTGAAACGCTGTTAATTGTTCCTCAAAAAAGGGTGAGTGAACAAATCTGTCTTCTGATTCCAGAATGTTAGGCAACTGTGCGAGGCATAGATCCAATGCCAAATCCCATGCTTGCCACATTGAGTGCTAAAGAGTCATAAATATAATAAATATCAGATAATTGTGAATATGCTTATATGTGGAATACTTACTTGAAAAGTTGGTGGTAATGCTGGACAGGACACTGGTGTGCAATCATAAGAACGCAATATTCTTTCAGCTAATAAATAATTTCTAAAAAGACTAGCAACGAGCAAATCTTGTCTGAAAAGTCTTTGAAATAGATCTAAAAATATAAATAAAATAATTTATATAATATGAAAAAAGTTGTATAATAAATTACAAATAATATTTGTACAACCTCTTGGTAATGTATTCCAGGCGATTGTATCTGTTATTGCAGTAAAAATCCAATTCAATTCACCTAACATTGTTCTTCGGTCAGACAGTTGACCAGGTATTCTAAAAAGAAAACACATCAATTTTAATAATTATATATTAAAAAAAAATAATTTTATCAGTGCCAATTTGCTAGAAAAATACATACTTATCTATTAATTCTAATGAAACTTTTGGCACTAATTTGGACGTGTTTTGCATTACAAACCTAGAATCATTAGACATTTGAAACAGTTATCATATTGAAGAATATTCAAACAAACATTTGCAACTACATACCATCGCAATGCTATTTTAATAGGTGTTGTAAGGCAAGCGGTGAATATATCTGCAGGAAGATCTGGATTCATTGGTAAAATTTGATTAGCGGCACAAGCTGCTAGCTGAATACAATTTTTGTAAGAAGGCGTAACAATAGGAATAGCACCTGCTGATCTGTTCTGCTGCATTGTTTGTTTTTCCATCTTGCAAAAGAAATTTAAAAATTACAATAAATATTCTCCATGTAAGATTCAATATAGTACACTTACTTCAAATTCTTTTTCATGTTGATCAGCGAATTGTTTGAAAGAATCAACAATAATGCCAGCATTGGAACAATCATACACGTATATACTGGGAGCTCCCATCCAAGTTTGTAAATCATAAACTGATAGCGGAATGTACTGAGTATATGTCTGCAGAGAAATGAAAATAAATGAGTTGTGAAAACATTTCAAAAAAAATTATTCTGAACTGAATAATATTAAACTAATGAATACAAAAAATGGTCAACACACTCTATTGAACACCCAAATTTCTCCATTACTAGTAGGTTTGGGTACACCGTGTCCATTATAATGAAAAAGCACCCGCTCTTCTTTGGCATTTCTTCTAAGAGAAGTACACAACTTTTTAACTTCCTCAACTGTAGGATCGAGACTTTGCTTATATCTAGCCCTTGGTTGCCAACGTTCATATTGTTTCTGAAGATTTGTACCAATAGTTTCAAGCGCTTTTTGGGGACTCATGGACAAAGGGTCTATGAATCATTGTCATAAATTAAAATATTATTATATAATAGAGAAAATCTTAATCAATGAATACTTACCAATCCAACATTCTAAACGAGCACATGGCTGTGTTTTTACAATATCAGGTGGGTCTACCCCAACATTAAGGCATAAAACTAATGCTACACTTACTGTCTTCATCTGTAAACAAGAAAATTTTGATTGTAGTAAAATTAACGAGATAATGCAAGAATCTCAATACTAACTCTTTCTTTCATCCTCCAGGAATGAGAGAAATTGTTGACAGTCTCAATAGTGATAGTATGTCTGGTTTTGTTAAATGCCAAGGACATATTCCAATCCTGTGTCTCATTTTCGTCACGTTGTACTACAACAATCTGCCTGGAATTTTGGTTCGATCTTGTTGATAACTGACGTGATTGTTGCGACTGCTGCTGCTGCTGCTGCTGTTGTTGTTGTTGTTTCTTCGGCTGTTGCTCTTGGGATTGTTGCTCCTGAGCAGACGGCACATCATCCTGCTCGTCTTCTTCTTTTTCCTCGTGCAACGACATGATAATCGCGCTTTATGTGCTAATCAATAATTGGAAAATCACCAGCAAGTACGAATGTGCTTATTCGTATAAATATCAGCTACACATGTAAACATACACATGTAACACACACTTTTACACGAGACGATTGCTTAAAACATAATCACGCGCTATGAGAGCGATGTTGCTAATTGTAAGCGCTGAACTTGCTTCATGATTGTACTCAACTGGTTCTCGAGGATTGCACAAAATTACACCTTCCCGAGCACGGCTCCAGACCAGCCGCACGCACGCCGCAAAGCACCGAGCCCAACGACAAAAAGAAAGTCTACAAATCTTCTGTGTCGATGATGTTTATTGGCGAGGGAGCGTGTAAATGCTTTGGAATATTTGCACGCGCTAGCGCGCAACGATAACCACGAGCGCCGACGAGAACGAACGATGATTGACAAAATTATGTGCTCTTGAATGATATTGCATGAGCATACTCATATACAATACATATCACACGCACTGGCACAGTAGGTATATCACGCACACACCGCTGAGTGCCGCGTGCAGCAAGAACTCAGCACTTGCGGACGATAGCCGAGACGAGTGAGAGTCCGATGATTATTTGCAGCTAATGCGCCGCCTGACAAGATCCGTCTATCAATCCAGATCGTTGAGCTTTCAAAACTAATTGGCATTTAATTCATAAAATCTTTTGAATTTTTTATAGCAAATCCTTTGCAAACACTCGCTTCAACAATCACACTTTAATAAAAATTTGTAAGAATTTAACAAATTCGTCGTTCCTATCTGAGTCACTATAATTTCTCTCAGTAGAATGGTTTATTTTGATCAAATTTTTTTCGACTTCCATAAATCGTATTGTACGGAATCCAAAAAAATTTCAAATGTGTGTAATGAGACAAAGCTACCATCATTACTTGTATTACACAAGCGTTATAAGGATATTCCAACGAGGTTATCGAAATGTTCGCATTTCCCGGAATTTTTCGCGATCCATATTCACCGCGTTCAATGTAGTCGTGTTGCTTGTGGACTGTGGTCGGAAAGATGAAACACGGACGGCGGAACAGAGCTAAACTGAAACGCCAAATGAGAGACCGTCATTAAAGTTCAAGTCAGTACTGTCGATCAGTGAATCTTATTATAGTCGTCCAAAATGGTGCTCGAAAGTACTATGATATGGTAAATAATGTGTTTTTTGTACAAATCTGTCATTCGGTTAATGTTATTAATGCGTAAAAAATAAAAGACTTCATGTCCCAACTGCAAATTTAGCAAAAATGTTCAATCAGTGTCTCGGTTACGTTACAAGAAGCTCTTGTATTTTGATTCCATACACAGTGACATAGCAAAGTTGAAGATGAAAACTCTTTGTTTGATAATATGAAATGTTGGAATCAATACAAATGTGTTAACTCATTTCAAGAATTGCCAATACTTTCAATTTACTAACTTAAAGTTTTTTATTATTCTTAAGAAAACTGATCTGAAATTATAACCTCTGGATTTGTTCTTGCTTATTATGTATTGGCTTAAATTATTCAAAAATACGATACTTTTAGAATTGGAAGCACTTATGTTTTGATTGTATTATTGAAAAGCTTTTAATTAATTGTTTTATTTGTTCAGTGTCGACAACAGCGACTACATGAGAAATGGAGATTTTATGCCTACTAGACTTCAAGCTCAACAAGATGCTATTAATTTAGTGTGCCACTCAAAATCTCGTGCAAATCCTGAAAATAATGTTGGCCTGATTACACTTGCAAAGTAAGATTATTTATTAATTTCTTCATAACATTTATATTGAACTGATTCTTATTGTAACCAAAAAATTTTAGTGTGGAAGTCTTGGCCACATTGACTAGTGACGTAGGGCGTATTTTGTCAAAACTTCATCAAGTACAGCCCAATGGAAATCTTTCTCTTATTACTGGAATAAGAATTGCACATGTAAGACAAATATTTGAGTTATCTCTTTAATCCTTACTTGTAGTTATTACACAACATTTTACCATATGATTACAGTTAGCCTTAAAACATCGTCAAGGAAAAAATCATAAAATGAGAATTGTTGCTTTTATTGGTAGTCCAATACAAATAGATGAGAAAGAAGCTGTTAAATTAGCTAAGCGTCTAAAAAAAGAAAAAGTCAATGTTGACATTATCAGCTTTGGAGAAGAAGCAATTAACAATGACGTTTTAACTGCCTTTATTAATGCACTCAATGGAAAAGATGGAACAAGCAGTCATCTTGTCACAATACCTCCTGGACCTCATTTATCTGATGCTCTTATTTCTTCCCCAATCATTCAAGGAGAAGATGGATTGGGTGGAGCTGGTATGAGTGGTGCTGCTTTTGAATTTGGAGTGGATCCCAATGAAGATCCAGAGCTTGCTTTAGTAAGTATCATATATATCAATTCAATTAAGTTTAAAATAATTTAAACAATTTCCTAAAACCCTTTAAATTATATATATTTTCTTTAATTTAAGGCTCTACGCGTATCCATGGAAGAACAAAGGCAAAGACAAGAAGATGAAGCAAGAAAAGCTCAAAATCCTGAGGCTCCAGCATCTGGAACAGAAACAACTGAAGCTAACAGAGAAATTCCCACTGAAGAAGCAATGCTCAAGCGTGCTCTTGCAATGTCTATGGAAGGAACTGAGGAAACTGCTGCTCCTGTTGAAACTGTTGCTCCTACCTCAGCTAGTATTCCAGACTTTTCTAATATGACAGAAGAAGAGCAAATTGCTTTTGCGATGCAAATGTCCATGCAAGAGCAACGTGAGTATTTATAAGCATGACAATAATTCTTTTGACAATTAATTTTTCATACTTGAATTTTTAATTGCATATTTCATTCAAGAATTCGAAGAAGCAACACCTAAAGAAGAGCCAATGGAAGTAGAAGAAGACTATGCAACTGTTATGGCAGATACTGAATTTTTACAATCTGTACTAGAAAATTTGCCTGGTGTAGATCCTCAATCCGAAGCGGTGCGTCAAGCTATGGGGGCGTTGAATAAAGAAAAAGAAAAGGAAAAGGATAAGGACCAAAAAAAATGAACTTTGATTAAGATGTTTATTATGAAAAACATAGAAACCTTATTGCTTGTTTAATTTTAAAAATACATATAATTAAAATAATTTGTACTGAAACTTATGACGTCGATGCTTAAGAGTTTACCAATTTTTAATTATACTTTTTCATTCATAAACAACTGTAATAATCTTTAAACAGTTTCTTGACAGTCAACAAGTAAAATTCAAAATTAAAAAGCTGATGAAATTCATAAAATAAACTATGAAGATTTCTTTAAATATCAATAAATTTTTATTTTGGAAGCTCTAATTTGGTTTTCTAATTTCAATATTTTTGAATTTATGATGTTACCCTACAGACAGAAAATGATTATCTTACTGGTTTCCAAAGGCAAAAAAGAATTATTTTGTGAATAAGTAATCTACATCTTGATTCTATGAAATGTGTTTTTTTTTCTATAAATATGTTTCATGTATCATAAATTTTAATGATCAATTTTTAGAAGAAAAAGTCGAATTATTGGTAAAATTATACTAGAAAATTGTTCAAATAGTTGAGAATCTTGATCTGTTAATCTTTCCAGTTAGAAACTAGCTTGTGTTATTAGAACTATCATTTAATATTGATTTATTCTCCTCACGATCTCATGTATGGTAAGTATTGGTTAAAATAAAAGGGAGTAATACCTTTCACTTTGTAAAAATAATTTTTTATTATAAGAACATACATATTTTTCTATGAGAACCGATCGGTATTTACATATACAAAACTGTATCTACAAAATCAATAAATTGAGTATACAATGCTTGATGCTGCGTCAGAAAAAAAGTGCAGTTAAAACTTTGGTATAATAAAATTTGCGCACCCTATGTTAGCTATAGAAATAATAAGACGCCTATCATAGGCGCGTCAACATTGAGCTCAAGATCGTCGCTAGTGTACAAAAGTCATCGAATTTATCTCGTGATTACTTGGCATTTTGTTGAGCAGCAAGCTGTGCTTTTGGGTCGCCTTTTTCGATGAGATCTTTCCAGGACCTTTTGCCAGGTGGCATCGAATATAGGATACCTCCCACAGCGGCGACAACTGTAAACATCTGTCCAGCCACACGAAGTCTCATGAATTTTTGTTGACGTTGCGAATCACCTTTAACAAAACTGGCCAGGCCGTAGGTCAGAGCACCCACAGTAAAGAGCGTACCTGAGACAATCAACATTAACTGTATTTTATTCGTTATTAATTGTTTCAGTTATTGTCGTATAAATTTCTCGTCAAAACCATAAAATAAATTTTTCTTTCTGATTATATGCAGACGAATATTCGAATCGTGCAAAACGTAAAAAGGTAATTTTTTACTCCCTATAAATCTGTGAAACGACTGCGACCAATAATTGAAAATTTTGAAAAAATATATTTATTAATATTTATATTTAAAAACAAAACTTGATCGTTAAAATACAAATCATGAACTAGAGTTTTCTGAACAAGATAGCAAAAATTTGAACATTTAGCTTTTGAGCTGTTTAAATTGTGAAAGAAGGGTAAAGCAGAACGCCGATTGGTTCAGCTCTTTAAAAATGGCCGCTCGTGCTTAACCATAACAATAGCAGAATAAACGAAATAGCTTTACAAAAACCATACTCCAAATGATTTTTTATAACTGAAACTAATGAAAATGAAAACATATATGAATTTTTCCAGGTGCAAAACTTGTAAAAAATATTTGGAACTTGGAAATTTTACACTTATTACTTAATAACATGCAATGTCTTATGGCAGTGTAAACAAGTTTACTCGAATGTTCATGAGTGAATCGACAACACGTTGTCATCATTTGAGCTTTAGTGACGGAAAAACTCACCAATTGGGACCAGTGGATTTTCTTTTGATTTTCTGATAAATTTGTCAAAACCGCTTTCTCTGTCAATAACCTCGCCCATATCTTCGCGCAATTTGACCCAGTCCAGACCAGTTGGTTTTTCTATGTCCGCCATTATTTAAAAAGTAATTTTTCAGACTAAATACAATCGAATTGAGCAGTAGACAGCTAACTAAAGATGGAACGTCTTAAAAGTCAGCTGGCAAAGACGCAGATGACCGGATAGGGTGCTTCACTACATAGCTATGAGTGTCAAGCAAGACTTCCCTCGATCTTTGCGCAGTATGGGTACGCGCAGATAACCTAGAATTGACGAGTCAAGTTATTGAAACATCTCTCTATACAATACAACATTCATGTTACACAGATGCTTCATGCGCATGATGTGCATCAGTTTAGTTTCAAATTCTTAATTTCTCAAAAATCAAAATTCGTAAGTTTTTCACATGCATAGGCGACAGAGATTGTCAGTCAATTTAAGATCTCTAAAAAAGAGGATAAGATAATAAGGGATGTTGACAATATATTTTGTAGGTCAATAAAGTATGCTATTTGTATTACGGTGATTATTTTTTTATTTATTTTCTCTTTTGGTTACCCTGTTATGTTTACAGGTATAACATAAATGTGTATATAAGATGTGCAATGTATATATTTTCGACGATGCACACATTAATTGTAGACAAATACTAATAAAAAACGAAAACTAACATAATATACCGGTAATACAATTCATCTAGGATGATATATGAAAAGTTCACTAAATGTTGAATGTGAAGTGAATATGAGTAAAAATTGAGAGAACAAATATTTAAGCTCTATCTACCAGATATTGGAATGATACTGCAATGCTATTTATAGATATCAAGGTTCATACGTCGTAATTTGCCGCTTACAACCGAAATACATAATCATTTCAAATATTTGTACTTGAAAGGTTTAACTTTTCAACATCGTAATTTATAAAACACGACCAATATCGACGTTGCAATTAACATTGCACGATTGAGAATGATTCTCAAAATTTTTACAAAAGAAAAGAAACTATTAATCAACATAATCCATTACGCTTTGTCTATATAATCCGATGGTAGTTGCAAATAATAGCCAGGCATCGTCTATTTCAAATGGATTCATGATTTTCCTGGTTCAACAACGTAAAATTGACAAAACAACTAAAAAGCGTACTAGAACGAATTACGTTCCAATAATTTGAATTTATCTAATAAATTGAGTTTAAAATTATCTTATATAATAACAAGCATAATGGATGGGGATTCATCTTCAAATCACAGATTAAGATTAAAAATTATTAAATTTGTGTCCCCATCCGTTCGGCTTTTGCTCAGTTTTGTCGAACTGAGCATTTACACTAGTGGATAATCAACTGTAGTTGTTGTATCCACCTCTGTTATCAAAACGTTTGTGTGAGCCAGAGAAGTTCTCACGGCCTCTGTTTCCACCATATCCCCAACGATCTGAAAGTTGACATAGATTGATGAGTTTTAAATAAAAAAAACTAAGGATCATCATTTCAAAAATAAAATACTTACTGCGTCCTCCAAAACCACCTCCTTTAGCTGCTAGTTCTGTCAATTTAGGATTGACAATTTGATTTGCTTCTTTCAAAACATTTATAAGATCTTTAGCTTGTCTTCCATTTTGTGGTGTAAAGAAGGCGTAACTGGTGCCTGAACTAGAACAACGTCCTGTTCTTCCTATTCGGTGAATGTAGTCTTCAGAGGAGTTGGGGTAATCAAAGTTTATGACGTATCTAACATCATCAACGTCTAAAAGTAAAAATTTAATTAATAATAGTTCGATATATTTCGAGTCCTACCGCAGTGCACCATGTACCATTAGTACAATTTTCATTCATGTTCTATACATTGATTTAATTCATATGCAGCTTATTATTCAAAACTCAAATGTTAATAATATATCAATACAAAAAAAGAAAAAAATAAAAAATAGAATTATATTGGTAATCAAAAAATTGTAAAAAAATGAATAAATTATATAATAATCTAGCAGAAAGAATTCATTACTAGTAAAAAAAAGTTATAGAATTGAATACAGGCAGCTGCATAAAACAAAAATACAAACCATGAATGGTAGAATTATGCACATCCTTTTCCCATACATCCCCACGAGTAGCGATAATAGCTAAATCAAATGATTGTTGTCTCGCGATCGTTGAGACCATTGGCTATGGAGTGTGAGGTGTTAAGCAAAAACCAGCAGCCAACGTTCCAAGATGATAATAACCTGAGCACCACCTCCTACTCGTTTTGTATTTATACGCGCATAATTTTTAAGTTGTGGTACGCAGGCTGTACGCAGAGGCACATTTAGTACACAATTGGCACCATGGAAGGGTGCCTGCGTGTACTTTGTCTATATATTTCAATATATAGCCTTTCAAGTGCACAGAAATTGAGTGAGCCATTTATTTTTCACGTCGGTTCAATAATATCCTCATAATTCATAAATTATCTGTTCACCGCACACTCATCAAAATCTGTGCTTTATGTGCCTCTGAAACAAAAGACAACCAGACTGATCAACATAAGGTGTATGATGCCCTTGTTGGAATTGTTCCTTAGTAATAAATACTACTCCGTATTCAGAATTCTCAAACTTATTTGCACAATCTCTAGTATTATTAAAAGAACAATTAAGAATATACTTCAAGTCTTAATCCAAAACTGTCAATTACTACTACAATATAATTTACTGTTCAATGCTATTGTTATTGACTTTAATGTAGTTTATAAGTTGAAACGTTATCAAGTATTGTATAACAACTTCAACTTGTGAGATTTATATTTTTAACTGGAGCAAAAAAAATTCGAAAAACAAAAAAATAAAATAAAAAAATATATATAAATGTAAAAAGTCTTGTGCCAAGATTGAGAAAATCACCACAAATACGAAAACAGTAATGAAATTACTCAGCTACTTGGATTGGTTTCAGTCGTTAAGTCAGTCACAATCAGAACCGTCGCAGCTCCAAAACGACAAAAACCTACCATAATAGACAGCTTAAAACAATGTTCCAAGATCCAAAGGCTAGGCATCCTTTCATATAACCAGTCTGTGCTACATCGCCACCCATCTCTACTACACCCTATTCTAAATGACTCCGCGGTTGAATAACGCTTTCTCACGATTCGCTTCGTGTGTTCCGAGTAATAAATAACAATTACATACCTAATCCACGGGCAGCAACGTCTGTTGCTACAAGTATGGATCCTTTTCTGTTTCTGAATTCTGTAAAATAAAAATATTAATATAACAATTTGAAATTACTGAAGTAAAGTTTTACACAGGTGATGTTCTGTGGTATTTTTCTCAGGTTAATGCAAGTAATATTTAGTCAATGTTAAATATTCAACCAACCTCTTAAAACATAGTCACGTTCTTGTTGTGATTTGTCACCATGCATACATACAGCAGGCCATCCATAACGGCGAATATTTCTTGTGATATCTTCAACCTTCTTCTTTGTTTCAACAAAGATAATGGTCTTTCCACCCTCATCATTTACTTTTCCAATTTCTTGAAGCAAAGTTCCCAGTCTGTAAGAAAGTCAGATGTTTATCATGCAATTCTAAATTATGTAATATTCAAGAATATATTAAGATATTATCAGTTCTTCTTAGAGGTAATGTGGTTTATAATCACAACTATCATATACATGGATCATCCTTTAGAAAAAAAAATAAATAATATTCTTAGAAATTAAATTTCAACTCACTTTGCTTCTTTTTCATGCTCCTGGCAGACATCAATAATCTGAAGAATATTATGGTTGGCAGCCAACGATAATGATCCAATATTGAGTTGAGTGTATTCAACGAGATATTCTTCAGCAAGCATTCTTACTTCCTTGGGCCAAGTAGCGGACCACATAAGAACTTGTCTGTCTGGCCTAATTTGCTCAATGATTTTTCTAATTTGGGGCTCGAAACCCATATCCAACATGCGATCAGCTTCATCAAGAACGAGGTACGTGCATCTTCTCAGATTGGTAGTGCCTCGCTCAAGGAAGTCAATAAGACGACCAGGAGTAGCAATACAGATTTCAACTCCGCGTTCAAGATCACGGGCCTGGGGTCCTTTTGGTGCACCTCCATAAAGACAAGTATTACGGACATAGGAGAGAGAGCCAAAATCATTGGCTACAGTTTGGATTTGCTGAGCAAGCTCACGAGTTGGGGCAAGGACAAGAGCAATAGGGCCTTCACCACGGCTAAGGGGTGCTTGGCTATTGATATGGACAATAGCTGGAAGAATGTAAGCAAGGGTCTTGCCAGATCCAGTTTGAGCAATGCCTACCATGTTTTTGCCTGACATGGCAATTGGCCAACCTTGAGCTTGAATAGGGGTAGGCTCAGTGTAACCCATTCTGCGGATACCTTCATGGACATAATCAGGGAAGTTTCCTTCCTCAAAGTAGCGGATTGGGTTGGGAACTTTCTCGCCACGCAGGGTGATTTTGTGCTGATCACGATATTCTTGAACCTCTGATGGATGACGGTTGGCAACATTTGGGTGAGGTACATAGAAATCTTTCTTGAATGGGCGCAGGTCTTCGTAGTCCCAGTTGGGCTTGCGAAGATTATTACCAGCGTTGTTGGCGTTGTTGCTTCCCATGCGCATGCCACCGCCGCTGCGTCCTCCGGGTCCACCACTGCGGCCTCCAGGGCCACTTGGGCGGCTTCCCATCGGTCCACCTCGGCTACCACCGGCACCACCTTGATAGCGGGTGCCTTGACGTCCGAAGACGCGTTGGGGTCCACCCCCAGTACCGCGTCCTCCGCGACCGGCGCCATCACCACCACTGCTACCAGCAGCTCGGCTGCTACCTCCACCGTACGCCGCCGCGCTTCCACCAGTGCTGTTGGAGAAAGTCCTGTAAGAAATTCATAACCAATTCATGAGCACGTGCTTTGATGTAGCATGATTCATTATATAGATTTTTACGGATTAGAAAGTTCGACACATACTCGGTTCAAGTATGTGAACGAATGCACATGGCGAAGTAAGATATAACCCAACATTCTGACTAAACGAAAGCTGGGTAATACCGTACTTCGTTTTACGTCTTATAACCGATAGCCCAGAATTCTTATGTAACTTCCGAGCCAAAGGTTGATTTATTGTTAAATTGTGTCGTGAACATTGAGAATGAAGGATCCAGACATTAAAACGTGTGGACACCGAAGGCAAAAGCTCACCGTTTAATATACCTCTTACAAGCATTCATGCTCCATCGATGTACAAAATGGAGTCATGCCAAAATAAGAGGCCTCGAACTTCATGGGCAAGTCCCTTGAAATTATCAGATACGAACACCACGTGTTGTTGATCGAGTAAAAAAATGCACGTTTTCAACGTGACTAACTGTATTAGTTAAAGAATAGAGAAATACGAACGAGAAACCGTTTTCTTGACTCGGCCGTACGACGCTATATTGAGAACGACGAACGAGCGAGAATCAAGATGGCGGTCGTACGAGTACGACCGTTAGAAATATTGCTATCACACACTTCATTCGCGCTTATTCGTAAAACTACGCTTGTGCGATTGTTAATATTAGTTTAGTTGTTAGTTAAAAAGAGTTGTCATATTACTTACATGATTATTCGGTTGTTGAATTGATTTTTCTTGTTCAGCTAACAAAGACCCCTGTTTCCGTCCGAAATCAGCTACTTTTATGATGACGAGCTGATTGTTAATGAATTTTTCAGCGGCGATTTCTGTTGAATAAACAAATGTCGATCGTCTTTAACAAATGTGGATGAACGAGCAAAAACGTTGCTGGAACGTTTTCGAGCGTTATATATGTATCGATTTGTTCGGGCAGCAGCAGCTGCAGGCACAAATCAATAGTGTAGAGAGAGCACTAGAGGAGAGAACTTACCCGTGCCGCGGCTGAGAACGGAAAGATGTAAATTCCTGGGTAATGCCAGAGACTAGCGCTCGCTCGTAGCTCGCAGTTCTCTCTTTCCCCTTCCAGAGGTGACGAGGCGAGAGCTTCGTTAACGCCTACTTTGCTACGACGCGAGTCAAATCGATGCAGCAGGACGACGTGCGCGCGCGTTTCCTTCGAGAACGAGTGGCGGCGTCTGCGCGCTAGCTCGAACTCGCTGGGGCAGTGTCGACTGCGCGCGACTTCAAACCCGCTTAAACTTTACGCTGCAATCCGAAGATACGATTTTCAACGATGCCTTTGAATGTTTAAACAAACGAATCAGCGCATACGTAATAGTGAACATTTCCTCTTGCTATCGGTTTTCTTCGCAACAACAACGCGATCTAGATGTGTCATCGGCATTTTCCGTGTTTCTAAGCCATTTAAATATCAGTCTCGTTCCTCGGGTTGTGATTCTAGTTTTAAGGGGGCTTTCTCTTCTCGTCGATACTCTCGTGCGCGGACCGAGACGCAGCGAGAGCGACGTCATACGGACGCGGATTTGACTAGTCGAGTACAGAGCTGCCCATGGAAACGAACGTCACATCCGGTGCACACAACATCTGGTTGTCGGGCGGTGGAGTTGCGCAGTCCCCACCTTTATGCCTATGCACCTCTCGGGAGCAAATTTAAAAGGCCCGTGTCAATGTGAGGAGCATAATTCACCCACACACTTATGCCCGCTGCTTATATTTGCAATGTAGGTGATACCTTCGTAGCAAGCATTTTTTGGACTTGTACATTCTCTGCGCTCGCGACCTGAATAATGCTCGCCTCTGCACGGTGTCGTGCGTTACATTTCTTTGCGAATGCTCTACGACGGCATATGATGATAATGATGATGAGGATGATACTTACTTGTGCATCAAAGTCGATAGATCTGCGAACTACTTTCATGCGTGGAAGTGGAACGTGTTTTTTTTTTGGGACTTGGGATATGAAATGATCGAGTCGTATTTTTTTAATTGCAATGTATTTATTTTTTATTTCTATTCATAATACTGTATAACATACAAGAAATGCACTTTAGTGAAACCTACAGAAGAAGATTATTTGAATGTCGATCAGTATCTGACACGTTTTGTCTTTCTTTCCTTTTGTTTTTAACTTTATATTAATAAATAATTGTAGCAATCGCTAATCGTTATTTCTCCTTGTGATTCAATATTATTATTCAAAACGTTTCAATTTTGCCCCCTTCATTCGACTATCTTCCTATTCACTATGCTGGAAATCATCATACAAGATTTTCTCCCATTATTCTTTCATATATTCTAATAATTTTGTAATTTTTCGCTATTTCCTCCATTATTTTATTTCCTCCTTATAATTTTGAGAAAACAAAAAAAACATATATAACAATAAAATCAAAACTCTTTCGTTGGCGAGGTTCTCTTCCTTGTCATACGTTATAAAATATAGTATTACTCATCGAAATAATGTAAACTGTCATTCTTCTCAGTGCGACGGAGAGATTAAAAATTAAATAAAGAAATTGTCGACGATGCCGTATGCATCGGTTCATACGAGCAACTATTGAAAATTCGTTTTGCATTGTACACAACGTTAACAGCTTCTCATTCGGTGAGGATTTTACCAATTTTGCCCCATCTTTCGTGGCATCGGTTCGTCCCTGCGAGCTCATCATTTTACATTAATTTTTCTTTCATACGTAATTAGTTTTTAATACAATCAGTCGTTAATGTTGACGACACGTAGACGACAAAAAATTTATTAATATGCTCGTAGCAACAAACACTTTGTATTATTTTTGTTTACATCTGGAAAACTATTTGTAAAATCACCACTCGGTATAGGCGGTACATCTTGCTGTTATTTATTTTTTATAGGTGCACATCGTGTTCGCACGTCTGTGAAAATTTGTCTTTTCGCTTATTTTTACTAAACTAGTTATCAAATATACAAACATATATCATTATGGGCCCATCAAGTCTGCTCGATTTACACGATATTATATTCATCATTCATCGTCATTTTTTTCAATATTAATTCTCCTTTAGTAATATTCGTTTAAAATACATTATTCGTTAATATCACTGTTTCCGTTTGTTTTCAAAAACCCCTTTTCAACAACAAGTTTGATTGAATGATTGAGCAATCGCTCGAGCAAAGAGAACATAATTCAGAAATCATTATCATAAAAGCCTCTCTCTCTTTTTGTTTTTACTTTAGAGAAAAATCGCTCGTGATTTGTTGAGTCCTACGTTTTTTTCAATTTTCAACAAATGAAAAAAAGTCAATTTCGCGTTCACGGGTCGTTATAACTCAAGTCTAACATAAACATAAACGAGCATAAAGGGCGGTAGTTATTATAGGTAAGTAAGAAAATAATCGATACGATACTCAAGTAACGGGACTATTTGCCATATTGTTATCATAGATAAATTTTGACTAGAATCTGGTGACGTTGTCTTTCACCTTTTCCGCGAAAAAATGACAGGCAACTTTCAGATTTCCGCTGATTTTTCAATGACAGCGGAGATTACGCAGTTTCTGGTAGATTTTATTTAAAGCAAAATGTAGACTTATTTTCGACGAACGAGATTTGGATCACAAATTTTATGCACTTAAAATTAAAAATAAAACAAAAATAAAATGTTATATTCTCTAATAAGTGTAATGATGACTTTAAAAAACGATGCAGCAGCGAGGGTGAACGGTCATATTTTGTATTCCATGGATATTATGATATACATTTGTAAACCCTGTGTACCTTAACTATCCTCAATAACGAGGCAATTATTAGTTTTTTTATGTAATGACTTCATTGCGACTTTAAACTTTAACGCGCTCACGTCGAGATAAATTAAAATCCGTAGTTACTCTTTTCTTTTTGGAACTAATTAATAATTCTTTTTTATTTAAAGAGCTCGGCTCGAGAATATAAAAAATATACATATTATAGGCAATATACAAACTCATTACGCTATCGAACTTTGAGGAAAGAAACACAGTTTCTTTATTTTTCATATGCAAATATTATGATGTCCGTCGTGGACGGCTTTAAATTTATCGTCTCGATTATCCAACAATAATCGCGAATTTATTTTTTTTAATCCCATGAAAACACAATTTTTCACGATATTTCTTTACTTTTTTGATTAAACTAATACACAGTTGCATGAGCAAACATGAACTTTCATGCATTTACGCATGAACGATAAATTAGTGAAATAGAGATTCAGTCTTCCATGATTTTTGTTTCCCCCTCGCGTTATCCCGATAACAAATATATATCTATTACAATTTTTTTAAATCTTTGTACATTGAAACTGTACGTTTACGATGTACAGACATTCGTAGGGACTTGAGAAAAATATATTCAAACTAACGGGCTTACGGCTTTTGACCTTGTATATGAATGCAAGGACACCGATTGTCCAATTACAATATTCACCGTAAATACCAAAAATTATCGAGTACGGTCGAAAAAGATAAATAAATAACATTTCCACTGAAGCACTTTTTTTCTTTTCCATTTTAAACAAGAACACGTGTATGGAATCTTGTCGTTGTGACTGAATAACAAATAGTAATTGATGTGCCTTTCACGTGCAGTTATCTCGATACCGCATTAAAGTTAACTAAATTATCACATCGGGTATTACTTTTTTTCTTTAAAAAGGCAATGACCGTCTCGCTTTAAGCTTCAAGGCGTATTAGGCGAGAGGTAAAAAGAATATTTAGCTAGTTACACGCACGCAAGCGCGGTTCCTTCAACGATGCGTATGTAATGGGAATACACTAACGTTGTTGAGAGCAAAATAAAAAGATTATCATTAGATTAATTATGACTCCGTTTCGAACAAAAACTAAAGAGAGAGGAACGTGTTTCATACCTTTTTTTTGGTACAATTATATTTTATAATACGATGAAAACGCTGTGACCTGTTCGTCACAGCTCTCACGTGTGTAAGCGCGTTCCGCAAGCGAACGCAAATATTCATTCATTTATTTATTAATTTTTTGGCTACTTCATCATTCATTAAAATTTGTCTCGTTAATTCCCATATACTATTATCCAAGTTTTTTATTCCATTACAATTACTTTAATTATCGTGTAGAGCGAATTCGATTGGCCTCTTTTGTAATTTTTAAATATCTCATTGTTGATGTTTTTTTATCTTTTTTATTACCTTTGGAACTTAGGTAGTTAGTTGCGTTTCGCGCGCACAGCATCGGCGCTGTATGCTTCACACATTTCTCTTCTATACTTGTATAATTGTTTATCTTAATATTAGCACACGATACATCAATCTTCGAGAGCGAGAGAGATTTTTTCATTTTCCAATTTCTCGCAATTCTTTAATCATTACAATATAATATAAACACATAACTTGCCACAATGACACCATTGCACCTGATTCTTTATTCATCGAATGGGGTGGGTAAAGTTATTGTTCAGTATTCATTTTTCAAATATAAATAAATATTTTAAGCGTCGAAATATGTGTTACTTTTTATTTCACTTCAAGTATGTATTTGTCAATTTGATATATTACTATATAAAACGATGAAAAGAACGACGAGACGCGCGAATAATGTAATTTTACACACATCGTTTTCCTATATAAGCTTATTACGAACGCGATTCACGATAGAAATGCGACAGACTCCGTGCTGGAGTCATCGCTTTGGGTTCTTATTTTTTAATAACGTTATACGTCGATACATATCACAGAACTACGCGCGCATCCCAGCACTGGCGTATATAATTTTTTTCAACTATATCAACAGCTTCACATTTTCTCCGTAATGCAAAAAAATCATTCGCTTGATTTTTTAACAGGTAAATACGCGAGCTGACAATAATTCGAAATCAACATATAATAGGAACTTTCATGAGAAAGAAGAATAATTAATTGGCTATTATTTGCGGGATGCGAGCAAATGTGCGCGGTAGCCTCCAGTTTTTCTTTTACCAAAAAGTATAAACATGACGTACTTATAATGGCTTTGACGATTCACAAGCTCTGTGCGTTTTTTCATTAAAAAAAATACTGAATTCCTCACCAAGTGATGAACGTACAAAATAAAAACAACAAAAAAAGTAACAAACCGGAGGCTCGCTCAAGAAGTATTACGAAGACTATCAAACTTTTCTTCGTTTCTCACTATACACATGATATAGCCCCGAAATCTCATTTTTTCGCTTTGCATTTATTCAAATATATAAATATAATCGTTATCAATCGTGAACTCGTTATGATCATTATTTAGCTCGCAATAAAAATATGCGACACGCGCAACGCATTATATAGTTTTAGTCTACATATAGTTTCTCACACTTTCTTTTCGATTTTTCTTTCATTTGTATTAAATATAATAAAAAAAAAAATAAACGAATAACGGAAGATTAAACATTATCATTCTTATTTAACGGTTAAACGATACAGAGGAAAACCTATTAGATGCAATACGGCGCATTCTCTTGGAGATTATACTTCGTTACCTTGTCTCATTCATGTACGATGTAGTGATTAGGCACAGATAACAAAAACAAACGATTTTTTTAAACTTAAAGACGTGAAGTTAATATAATGAATACTACACACGGGTACGCTTACGAAGGTTCTCTATACAATAATCCAATATTTTTCGCAAAATTTCACATCGCAAAAAACGTAGTAATAATATCGATATTTACTTTTCGGCTCTATACACGAGAATATTATATACGACTTTACTGAACGCATTTTCTTTTCCAACATTTTCAGCTTTATTACTCATCGCAAAAGTAGCGAGTGTACAAAAAATATATATATACTTGGACATTCACGTGATATCCATTTTCGCTTTATTCAGTGTGATTCATCAGTTTGAAAATTTTTTTATGCGATAAAAGACTTTAAAAATCCTTAAGTACAATTTCACACTGTTACTTAATTTTTTGTTGCAGTTGTCAAGTATACATATATAAATATAAATTCAGATTGTGATTGATCTGCAGGAAAATTTGACAGTCATTGATAGCTCGCATCAATGTTTAAATATTTACAAAAATTATATACTTATTTTCAATACATATGTACAGCGATCGCTGCTACTGCGACTAGAAATTTGTTTATCAAGAGAATCACAGCGTTCGATCCTCGTGGATGCGTATATTATATATCTCGCGAAAAATCTACTTTATTTATCTTTAATTTATTCAATGTTTTCTTTTCACTGACATTACAAAACATCAACAAAAAAAATTGAGACAAACGAAATATCATGGTTAACACTTCGTCCATTATTTTAAGTTATTATATCTTCTCTCGAACATCGTTCTTGTTTTTCAACTTTGAAACTACAATAACAATCGATTATTCTGCGATATATAGAAAAATAAAATACCAAAGACTCGGTCAACGCACCGAGCTCCGGTAAATGCACAGCCATATTCGACTACGCGATCGATTAATGCTTATTTTCCAGTCTTTTTCCACGGTTGAACTACTCGCCGAAGTAGTAATTACAGTCTCAGTTACGCAAAATACACAGCACATGCCGTGGCTCGAAAATCGATCATCGCGCATGCAAGTTTTATTATCATTTCAACTAATATTCGTCCAGCGCCTTAATAATAATGGTTTGCTCTTTATCAATGAACGATGTTTTATGGAAGATCAAAATCATTTCTCGTGCTTTCCTTTCTCTTAAGATTTAAATGACATTTTTCGCTGCGTAGCATTTATTCGCCGTTTTGTATTACTACATTGTTATTCGTTTCGCGGAGTATTATAATAAATAAAAAAAATAACATTCGTCGCACACTTAGCGTGCCCTATCTTTTGTTTACTTTTATACATATGAAGCTTAGAAAGATCGAATCCCGCTCGAATACGTTTATTTGACTTTTTTTAAAGTGGCATACCCTAACATAACATTCACCTTCGTAAAGCGTTTTCGTACCCTACATCGCTCGTTTTGCTTGTTTATATTTCTTATCGTCGGAAGAAAAAGTTGCTTCGTTCGCGTACTTTAAACGTGTATGTGAGAAAAAGTACAGCGACGCGTTTCTTATGTATACGTTCGGCATTTTGCAGTATTACAGTAGTACGACCAAGCAAGAACCTAATGTTTTTATACGTGTATAACGTTTATATGTACTCAACTGCTTGAGTTTAGTGATTGGCGTCACATTACTTATTTTTTTCTCTTTAGTTACGATTATTTCGTTTTTTTGTCGAATAAAATAATTGGATTTATATCGTGCGCTATTATTGTAAATCTCTCTCGTTTTGTCGACAATTGTATACTTTGTGTATATAAAGAGCATTACCTATTTTGTCCCTTTATTATACATTCAACAGATATATATTAATATCGTTAAATAATAATTAAATTATAAATCATTAGAAATTCTATAACCCCCATTCCCCTTCTATATGTTTCGTGCATTTCAGAAAAGCATACAGATAGTACACATAGTTTTTTTGTAAGAATTTTCTTTGCTTTGTTGCTGTCTCGTACCAATCGCAAAAAATTGATTATTCCACTATCGATTACCACGAAAATGACCAAGTGTTTTACGAGATTATGCACTTACTTAATTGGTCACAATGAATATTGGTTTTATCGATATTAATATACCATAGTGTATGCAGATATATGAGGTACATTTATCATATAATTATGGATGTACCACCACTAACTAGATCTCTACTTTCAGACTTCACTGGAATGTGCTTAGTAAAATAACCGAATATTTTCGTTCCGATTTAAAATACTATCACGATATTTTATAATTTATTGTGAATCAATGATTTATCGACTTATTATTCTTATATCCTAAAAAAATTTCATGCTAAATATTATCAGCATCTCTTTGGACATAATTTTGAATTCTTTCGTTAATAAACAAATACGTCCAATGTAGGATAATTAAGATCAACGGTCGTGTCAAGGACGCGACGGAGGATACATTTACTAGTGTATTTTTAGCATCATTCCAGAAAAGTACGATAGTAAAGAAAGAATTATTTAAGAACGTTAATATATCGTTTCTTAACACGAGAACAATAATAAATTTGGTGATACAAAGAGAACACAGCGCATTTGTTTATGAACTGTGCTTTTAGACGTCGCAAAACAAAAAATGAAATATTCAATAATAGTAATAACTATAACTAGTTTACGTAGTAATAATATAAACCAAAAATGAATAAATTTATGAAGCTTTGCCTCTTGGACTATACCTTAAAAATTCGAGGTTTCAAATTACCCAAGTTTTTTAGTGCCCATTGCAACAACAAAGTAGTATTACTAGAGTGATATAGAGAGTGCGATAAAGCAAGTAGAAGAAAAATCGCTGTTAAAAGAATCCATTAGTTTGGGCAGAGTAATCACTGTTGTACCGGAGTTGGTGGGTATGGATAACCATACGGCGGTACAGCCTGGAACTGTCCATAACTCATGGCTGACTGATAGGCGCAAGGGTTGGCCGTAGTTGGTGGTCTGTTTGTCTGGAAGAACTTGTTGTTGACAATACTCTGAAGAGTTGAGTCAGTTGCAGCTGCAGCAGCAGCTGAGGGCATCATGAAGGCTTGAGGGATGGAATACATTCCCTGCTGTTGTTGTTGAGCTTGCTGTTGCTGGGTTTGAGTGTGCTGAGGTTGAATCGTAGCTGAGTTCGATTGTTGCCTCGGTTGACCATAATTGGTAGATGGTCGATTGCCATAACGACTGCCTTGTTGGTAGCTGTTGTTACTACCAGCATAGCCTTGATAACGTTGCTGTTGCATTCCATTATTTTGTTGACCATAACCATTCTGCTGAAGCCCATTGGCGTTGGATTGATAGCTATTTTGGTAGCCTCCATTATTCTGACGATGTTGCTGAGGTTGATAACCATTGCCTTGAGGTGACTGATATCCATTTTGATTGCGGTTGTTGTAGTTATTTTGCTGACGCATCATTGGTGGACGCCCATTGTTCATATGCTGTTGCTGACCCATTTTGTTGGGGTTAAAATTATTTTGCCAGCCATTTTGCTGCTGTGATGGGCTTCCGCGACGATTGTTGCGTGGACTACCGTTCATCTGATCTTTGTTATTATGATGTACGGGCATACGGTTGTTGGGACCGTTCCATCGTTGACGACCTTTGTTGAATTGGCCGCGTTGGGTATTTGCCATCTCTGCAAGTTTAGGATTAATTGGCTGACCAGCTTCTTCAAGAACGGACATAAGATCTTTGGCTTGCCGACTATTTCCAGGCGTGAAGAAAGCGTAACTTGTACCGGAACTTTGACAACGTCCAGTACGTCCGATTCTGTGAACGTAGTCTTCGCTACTATTGGGATAATCGAAATTAACGACATACTTCACATCCTCGACATCAAGACCACGAGCAGCTACATCAGTAGCAACGAGGATTTGAGTTTTTCCACTACGGAATTCATTGAGAACATAGTCGCGCTCTGGTTGAGATTTATCACCGTGAATAGCAATCGCGTGCCAGCCGAGACGTTTAATCACTTTGGTGATGTCATCAACTTTTTTCTTAGTTTCAACAAAGATGATAGTTTTGTTGCCTTGATCACATCGCAGATCTCTTAAAAGAGTGGCTAATTTTCCTTCTTTCTCATGTTCTTGGCAAACATCTATGATTTGGCGGATGTTATGATTTGCTGCGAGACTTAAAGAGCCAATATTAATTTGAATGTAATCATTAAGAAAATCTTCAGCTAAAGCTTGCACTTCCTTTGGCCAGGTAGCCGACCACATAAGAACTTGTCTGTCTGGCCTAATCTGCTCAATGATTTTCCTAATTTGGGGTTCAAAACCCATATCCAACATGCGATCAGCTTCATCGAGTACAAGGTAAGTACATCTTCGCAGATTGGTAGTTCCTCGTTCAAGGAAATCAATCAATCGACCAGGAGTAGCAATGCAGATTTCAACACCACGCTCAAGATCACGAGCTTGAGGTCCTTTGGGAGAACCACCAAAAATGCAAGTATTACGAATGCACGACGCTGAACCAAAATCCCGAGCAACACTTTGAATTTGTTGAGCAAGCTCCCGAGTTGGTGCAAGGACAAGAACAATGGGTCCATCTCCTCGGCTTAAACGAGGCTGATTATTAATATGAACAGTAGCTGGAAGCATATACTGTAAAAAAATTACAATTTAATTATCATATTGTAGAAATCAATTATCTAAAATATCAAAAAAAGTACATACAGCTAGAGTCTTTCCAGATCCAGTTTGAGCAATGCCAACCATGTCTCGTCCACTTAGAGCAATTGGCCAGCCTTGAGATTGAATAGCAGTAGGCTCTGCAAATCCTTGTTTCCTGATTTCATTCATGACATAATCAGGAAAGTTACTTTCCTCAAATGTCTGAATTGGGAAAGGGGTGTTGTTGCCTTTAACTGTAATTTCTTTACCAGCATTGAACTGGTTTACTTGATCCATTGTACGGCACAAGATATTTTGGTGAGGCACGTATAAATCCTTGGTAAAAATAGGCAACGCCATGATTTCCCAATTTGGTTTTTTCAACAAATCACCAGGAGTTTTCTTTTGATTTTTCTTATTTTTATTGATAAAATCAATTTGTTGCTGCTGTTGTTGATGTTGCTGATGTTGTTGAGTTTGATGTTGGGTGTTCCAGTACATACCTCCACCTCCTTTACGATTTCCAAAGTCTCTGTTTCCTCTGGGTCTGAAACTTTCATTTATGAAATCAAATGTTTTTTTTTAATTAAAACCCTTTTAAGTGGATTTTAATTTATTATAAATGAATTAAAAATTAAATTAAATAGGAATTTCACAACCCTTCTAATAGCCACATACATTTGCAGGGAAATGTACTCCGAAGCTAAAATTATGCTTAAAATCGTTTGGATTTATCATAATTTTTATATTAATATTATAATGTAGATATTAGTAAGTCCATTCGGCACTGACAGAAGCGCATTCACATTAAAAATTGGGTCGGCTTTTAAAAGCTCAGTAGATAATTAGGAATCTGCAATTCATTCTATTATCAATACAGTGCCAGGTAATTTCTAATTATTATATTCATCGGCGCGATCGTGTCAGATGTTATACATGCAAGAGCGACTAACAGGGTCGCCCATTTTCATGTGAAAATAATGCAGACAAAAGCTGGCAACCATGCAATAGCCACGTACGAACGCACACGTCCATTGTCCGAATAATATACGTATGTATATATGATGGGATGACGAGACTTTAGCTAAAATTCGAACACGTATTGCGGACGTTTTTCGCGAACAACTTATATTAATGCACGACCGTCATATTGCACCGTTGTTTTGCAAGCTTGAAAAATAGAACCAACCTCCAGTACATAGTATTATCTGCAGTAAAAATTTCCGCTGCCATTGCCATAATGTATTCTTTTTCTTGTAGTAATAAAAAATTGAAGTTTAGGATATGATAGCCACGTTCGATTTTCGAGTTATAGCTTGCGCACAGCACACAGCTTATAACTCTACTAGCAGCAGTGAAATTCCCTGCTTACTGTCTGGCCATATATCCCAGAAATATATTCTCTCTTTCTCTCTCTCTCTCGTTCTGTCTTTGCTAAGTTAACAAAATGGCCGAGGCTGTTTATATATATACACACACTCACACATTTGCGAGTGCTGTACGCGCGGCCCGCGGCGACAGCTATGTATATACAGCAATATACACTTATATGTACAAGGCATCTCCCCGAGTCCCCTCACACAGATCCGCCTGCTGTAATATATGTTTAATCATCGCGGAATAGCAGCGGCTGCGAAAGCGGAGAGCTTGAATGTGTGTGCGTGTATGTGTGAGCGCGATTTTTTTTGTGTGCAGTGCTGCTGCTGCTACGCCGATGCTCAAAGAGTTGTCCCGGCTGGCAGCGATTCGAGCTTGTATACATGTATACATCGGCCCCACTATTTAAGCTCTGAAATGCAACGTCGAGAGGAGAGAGAGAGAAAGAGAGAAACGCATCGGCTAAAACTAGACTATAGGTTGGGGGCCAAACTCTACGAGAGGTGGAAACCCGACTAGTCTCGCACTAATACATAAACACATTCGCACACACAGTCACACACATGCGCGCGCCTTTCATAGTGTGTACATAACGCGAATATATACAAGCTACGTGCATGTATATAAAAGCCGCCATATTATCGATTTTCCAACGCTTGACCGCACATACACACGGACTCACATGCACAAGCCCGACCCGTTTTGGCTTTTGCGGGCGAAAATGAAAAAAAGGATAATCTCATGCACCACGCAAAATGAGAAAGACGAGGAAACGTTCTAACAAGAATTGTGTCGGTACTCACGAAGTCTGATTGGCGTAACCACCGCTGTACATTCTGATAATGGCAGCTGGTAATAGGCTAAATCACTGCAAGGATCTAGCAAATTTCTCGCCTCGTTTCTCGCTGCCTTTGCACGAGCTGTGTTCGTCTCACGACGCCTGACGACCCTTTATGATTTCTCCTACACACAGAGGCTCTGAGCTAGTCTCAACGGTTGAGTCACTCGCTTCGATGAACGATGCGTGTCGTGCTCGTACTGCCTGCCTAAATGCTTCTCTAATCTGGGACTGCCCTTCGCTGCTGCTGGTGCGATCGTAGAACGACCAAACCTTTGATGGACAGGCCAAAAGAACAGGTGTGTGTGACTTTGTCGAGTCTCGGACGAGGCGATCGTTCGCATGTGTGTACTGATACGATTTGAGGTGCTCGGAACTCGGGGGGAACGATGATGGCTCGAGAGGAAGATGGGGCAATGAAAATCGATTGCACGTTAAAAAAGAGACTTACCTTCGAGACCCGGTGCAGAGTGAGCGCGAATTGGCTTGCAGGCGCTCGAGGAGAGTACGGAGCGACGGAAACAAGCAGCTGACACGGACTTCCGTTGGAGCCTAGCTGAGATACAGGGAGGCTACGGCGAGCTCGAGAACCTTGCAAAACTCAGGCAAGAGTTGAACTTTACCCCCTCTGCAGAAAAACTAGCCCCTCCCTTTGTGCACTGCAGCTAAGCAGTAGCAGCAGCAGCAGCAGCATTTAGCAACAAGCTAGGCATAAACAGTGCGCGCAGACGCAAGGTGCGACGAGGCTCGAGAAACTGTAACTACGAATTTGCAATTTCCCGGAGCTTTAAACGCAGCAATTTCAACATTGATTCTCGCTCGTAGATTTCTACCAATGTGAGACACTTTTTTAATGCGGACAGGAGGGATGTCACAACGGAATAATACTGAAAGCGGCTCTTCGCAAGAGATATATGTTTAATTTTATTTTATTCTTGCCATCTGACAACATACAAATAATTTTATAGATTACATTTTCTTATTTCAAGTGTAATAGATAGATATTAAAGTTACAATAAAAAACTTTCTTAGTTCGTATTAATAGTAAATAATCGAGCTAAAAAATGTTAAATAATACAATTTTAAAAATTGAGTCATTGCTATACTAGAGTAATTGTGTACATCATTTTCCGGGTTCTATAAGCATAACGCGGTTTTTTCTAGTTTGATTAAAAAATTTATTCTGAGAGACATGAACTCGATTTCATAAACATAACGCCAATCGCTTGTTATCATGCAAAAAAAAATGAGTTATTGCTAATGTAATCAACATCTTTTGATCACTTAAAAATGCATAACAAAGATGTTATAATCTCTTCAAAATTCTTCGCAAAAAGCTACATAAATTGCAATCAATACATAATAATATGTAATATATTTATTATAAATATTATGTAATGTATTTACACAGTACAAGATCTTTTGTTTCCATGCAGGAAATGTATCATTTAAAATTATAGACAAAAATACAATTTTGGCCCAAGCACACAATTTCTAACAATGCCCTAAATTTTTCTGCATACAATTTTGTTGACAATGAACGAGAATGAAATCATTACATTGAAATAATAATTGTCTACATTTACATGATTGTTTATTCGATATAGATTTTCTTAACGCCTTAAAGGGCTACGGCTACGACTTCGGCTATAACTACGCGAATAACTTCGCGAATAGCTCCGCCGTGAGTTGCCATTGCGCTCACGACTCCGACTGCGAGATCTGCTCCTCGACAAGCTGCGCTCCTTCCTTCTGGCGGTTCTCGTTCTCCATCTGCTTCTGCCACCTAATTATTTTTCAGGGGGTTAAAATCGTTTCTTTTTCTCTCGTAATTCGCAGCTTGATATTCATTTGTTTTAATTTTACCTCTGTGACGGCCGCCGAAAGCGCCTCCTCTGTCAGCCAGTTCCAGGAGTTTCGGATTGATAACTTGGTTCGCTTCTTTCAGCACTTGGACGAGATCGTTAGCTTTGCTAGCGTTACTCGTCGTGAAAAAGGTGTACGCTGTACCGGTCTTTTGTCGGCGTCCAGTACGGCCAATTCTATGCACGTAGTCTTCCGAGCAGGACGGGTAGTCGAAATTAATAACAAATTTAACGTCCTCGACATCTGTAAATTGATAATAAAAGCATGATGAAGCAAAGCTTTGGTAATACCTGTGACTTTGGTTAATTATTATTGATGGATACACAGTAAGTTAAGATCGCTTAAATCAATTTGATGCATGTGATACGGGGATTTTTTTCAAACACGAAAGTTTCTTACATAAACGGAAGTTTACATGGTTTTTAAATTTTTTTTCAACTTTTCGTATACTAGAAATTTGAAATCAAGTGAAACAATGTTTCATACCGGATAATCAGAGAAATAAAAAATAATAATAAAAATTAAGACAGAAATGTATAAATACTGTAGATTCATTGTTTATAGGATAAAAATTTAAGATCGCGAATAGACATGTGTGCGTAACTGTTCATTTATCATTTACCAACGTTCACTGGTAAAAGCATGATTGTTTGAACTTTTAATATGACAAATTATTGCCAGTCGCATATAACAAAGAACAGATTATACACGACTCGAAGAAGAAGAAAATAAGGAAAAAAAATAAAATAAAAGATAATATTACGATGGACAAACTGTTGAGATTGTAATAATCATACTAAATGCAAGGCAGCACACACGCAGAACAATGTGCGCACTCTCTGCGGTGGTCGGCGAGGAGAGCGTGGGCCGGGCGGAGTGGGCGTCTCGCGCCACCCGGGCCTGGCTCGTCATCTCTCGCTCTCTGTCTCGGGGACGGCACACATAGAGAGCCAAGCCATCGATAAACGCAATTATCGAGACTATCAGGTCTCGCGTGTGCGAACTGCAGCCGGCCAACCTGCGATCGGGGGAGCCGCTTGCGTGCCCTGCCTGCGCCCGACATCTCTTCTCTCTTTCTCGGTCTCGGTCTCGATCTCTCGGCGATTGCGTCGCCTCCAGACGACGAGCCGCGCGAGGAAGAGAAGGAAGATGGAGGACGACGACGAGGAGGAGGAGGACGGTAGAGAGCTGCACTCTCCGCTCGTACATGAATCTGTGCCTCGGCAATAAAGTGTGCGGGCTATCGCAACACGCTGCGTGGCTGTGTTGCGTACGTCGCACAAGCGAAAACTGCCAGAGCCGTGTCGACGCCGTGTCATCGTCGTCGACGTCGTATCGACGTCTTCGTCAACGGGGAGTCGGCGATAATTATCGAGGCGGTCTTAAACACGTGTCGCCCTTCTCGCTCGCTGACTGCACCTACTGGAGAGGCTGTGCGCGCGTCCCGACTAGGACGACGACTACGCAGCAGGACGATCGACGAGGAGGCACCACGCGCGTGAGAGTAGGTAGTTATGTGTGTGCGGCCGAGTCACGTCTCAGCCCGATCGGTCGCAGCCCAAGGCACCTCAGCGCACAGACGACTGACGACGCCTAGACGCCCAGACAATGCAAATACACCATGAGATTAAGTGAGCAGCGCAGCGACGGAGCGTGAGTTGCAGTGAGAGACGCTAGCGCGTGGACGGATCAGGACTCCAGGTCTTCGGGATCCTGCCTGCGCTCGTCCTCTATCGCTCTATTTTTCTCTCTGACTCCTTCTCCGCCCGAAATCCACCTGTGAATTGGACAGCTCACCGATTTGAATATCGCACGCTCGACCGCTCGGTCGGTCGTCGCCGAGAGAGCAGCGATTCACTGCGATAACTGCCTGCACGTGTGAGCGACGACTCTACACGCTCGTATGCAGCTGCTGCTGCTGCTAATGTTGAGCCAAGGCGAGAGGTTTGAGGCATTTGCATTACCCGGCGTCGACGTCGACATGGGCCTGCGCGCGATGTGCCTCTGCAATGCATAAAAAATCATCCGGCCGATTTAATTTTTTTCTTCAAACAGACTTGATGATGCTTTTCTAGCGAGCCGTGCACACACGGACTCGCCGTTTCCCTTTCATTTTGATTTCACTATACATTTCATACTCATTTATGATTGACCCTTCAACTCGCTTACTCTCGCTCAACTTTACCATGCACTTATGTAACTGCAGTTTATATTTACAAGTTATGGTGCATTGAAAGACAAAATTTTATATACATTTAAATTCTACTGACTCGAAATTTTACACCACTTAACAATGTTTTTTTTCACAAAAGAAACAAATAAAAATTATTGTGATTGATGCATACTGGATTATTCATTCAGGTGTTTAAAAGCTTACCTAAACCTCGCGCTGCTACGTCTGTAGCTACTAGTATCGGAGCTTTGCCAGATCGGAAGTCTAAAATTCATAAAAAATTATTTCATTTTTGTGACAATTTGTGACAGATATAGGATAACGATTACGTGACGTACCTTGCAAAACCCAATCTCTCTCTTGTTGACTTTTATCGCCGTGGATACAAACTGCCGGCCAACCATCACGCTTCATTTTTCGAGCGATTTCATCAACCCTGCGCTTTGTTTCGATGAAAACAATTGTTTTATTTTCTTTTTCAGCCATGATTTCTTTCAATAAAGTACTCAACCTAATTAAAAAAGAAATTATTAGTATCTTTTCATTATGTTCATTTAATGCTACTTACTTAATTTCTTTTTCTGCTTCACTGCAAACATCAATAATTTGCAGAATATTATGATTCGCAGATAATTGTAGAGAACCAACATTAATTTGAGCATAATCTTTCAAAAATTCTTCAGCAAGATTTTTTACTTCTTTAGGCCAAGTAGCAGACCACATAAGGGTTTGTCTATCAGGTCTGATTTGCTCAATGATCTTTCGTATTTGAGGTTCAAAACCCATATCCAACATTCTGTCAGCTTCATCCAATACAAGGTAAGTGCATCGTCTCAAATTTGTTCTACCAGATTCTAAGAAATCCAGAAGTCGACCAGGAGTAGCAATTATAATTTCAACTCCATTGTCAAGATCACGTGCTTGAGATCCTTTTGGGGCTCCACCATAGAGGCAGGTATTACGAATACCTGAAGAATGACCAAAGTCATCAGCAACCTGCTGAATTTGCTGAGCAAGCTCACGAGTAGGAGCTAAAACTAGAGCAATTGGTCCATCACGGCGACATAATTTTGGCTGACTGTTAATATGAACAATAGCTGGCAATATATATGAGAGAGTTTTGCCAGATCCAGTTTGAGCAATGCCAACCATATCACGACCACTCAAGGCTATTGGCCAGCCCTGGGCTTGGATCGAGGTTGGTTCTTTGAAATTTTGCCGTCTAAAATATGTTTTAATTTTATACCAATGGTAAAAACAAAATAATAAAAACAAAAATAATTTGACAATTTTAAATTGTGTTACCTGATCTCTCTCATAACATAATCTGGGAAACCTGCTTCTTCAAAATATAAAACTGGATTGGGAACATTTTTACCTCTTAAGGTAATTTCTTTATCACTTCTGTATTGTTCTACAACTCTTGGATCTCTGTTTTTAACTGCCTCACATGGTTCATAGAAATCTTTCTTGAATGGTTCCAATCTGCTCAAGTCCCATCTTGGTTTCTTCAAGTTTGCTCCAGGTTGACCTCTACCATTGCGACCACCACCAACGGGTCCCCGATCTCTACCTCCACCCCATCCTCGTCGATCCCTTGATCGACTACGGGAACGAGAGCGTGATCTCCGTCTCCGGTCTCGGTCACGACTACGACTATGTTGAAAAAGAATCATGAATTGCTGATAAGGTCATAACAAAAATACTGAATAGCTCGCAAAATAAACACGAAACACCATATTAAAACAAGTATAGGAGTTACAAAACACGAATAATTAACCACCTTCAAAATGGTAAATCAGTATCTCCTTGTCAATTCAGCCATAATAATTACCTTCTATAACGACCCATTGCTCGGCTCGGAATTTTGTAGTAAACTTTGATGAGGCTTTGCCTCAGCTGCAAACTGACGTAGTACTTTTCCTTCGAGATAAGATGTACAGTTGGCTATTCACGAGGCAGTCAGCCGAAACTTAGTGCACTTTCGGAAACTGACACTTGATTTGGTGAGGTCTTGTGACTTGACTTGAAGTTCCCGATCAAGCTCATCAAGTTTTTTTTCTATGATAAAATAAATTGTCATCGACGTAGCGAGTTACACGCACACATACACGCACACAAGCGTCGATAGCAATGGCGTTTCTGCGAAGGACGCGGTCGCGCACTCTCACTACTCTCAGGCAAATGCTTTGCGCGAAAAGCTAATGGCGCCAAATTTTAATTTTCAAATGTACGCATAGTGTCGTGCTTCAATAAACTTTGTTTATGATTGTAATAATTTTTTTACAATCAACTAGATTGTTTTTATAAATAGTTTAAAAGTAGCACGTGTAAATGCAAATTAAATGGTAATTACTTTATTGCTGACTTGCTAATTATCTATTTGAAGTTGAATTACATACATTAAACGAATCACTACTAAATTATTTGATCTCAAATCAATATCGATCCTATTTAAGCTCAAACATTGTGTAATCGTTTGTATCATCAATTTATTTACGATTTTGGGGAAAAAGTCAATGAATGAATGAATGAAATACGCTCAATTTTAAAAAGTGTTTAAGTTTTTTATTCTTTTGCACCGATAGTTTAGGGAGTTTTTTTCATTCTCTCCAACAATTACGTCATGCTTATTATATATACTGTACAATTTTAACATAAATAACATCTTTTCTCACAGTTGACTTTTTGCACCACATGCCTTATTTTGTAAACAGACATGATATTCATATTTACAACAAGTTCTATTACAGACTTAGAATGTACATTTTCATAAAAAATAATATTCTTATTCCATGTGCACGAATGAAAATAAATATCTTCGCTGCGTAGTGACGGTCTACGCGGGCTGCGACTCTGCGTCGACCTGCGAGTCAGATAATTTTAATATTTCCTATAGTCAGTTCGAAACAGTCCAATGCACCTCGAACACGGTTTACAACACAAGAGGAGCTTGAGCTTTGTTTTGAGCCGATACATTAGATAAAATATATATTTTTCTCATAGTTCACTTTGTTCCAAGCTAAATAAGTTCGTGAGGAATGTATTAATTCGTCAATTTTCATAGTTATTTGGGTACTGTCGATTTCGCGGGTGCTTCTAAGCTTTTTTGTGCCATTTGATGTCTGCAACAACAGAAAAGATGAAAAATAAAAATATGTTCTTGTATTCTTGCTTATTTATATTGGGGATAATGTGTGTACCTCAGAGCTCGAGATATTTGGTAGATGGCCGTGAAAGCGACGAAAAGATTAACACTGAAAAGGCTCCAATTTTTCGGTGTGATCGCCAAGGAGTATCTTGTCCAGATGGTACCGGTCAAGCCAAGGGCGGCCGACTGGCTGATCGAGAGCTGTTCGGCTGGCCTCTGAAGATCGCTAAGACCTGCCAATACGAGGCCCTGTTAAACATAAAAAAGTTATTCGTAAATACACAATCGACAAAAGCTATAAGCAAAATGTTTGTGGAATTCGCGACAGAATCAAGGACGGAAAAGTCAAGTTGGCACGCCGTCAACAGACAATTTGCATGCAACACACGTGACTAACGTATTCGTAATAGCGATCCAACTGCTGCGAGGCAGGAAATACGAGACTTACCCACTTAAACGCTGGTGCCCAGAAAAAGATCGTCTGCGGACCTGCAAATCATTGCATAGAGATGATTAGTTGCGCATTACAGAGAGTATTGTATTAGCGATTGCAGAAAATCATTAGAATGTTTTATTTTTGCTGATAAGATATCGCGAGCGAGCGAGCGTCGAATAAACTCGTGATGAATTTATCAACGGACAGACAGACCAAGCTTTTCATCAAACTTTTCATTTGCCAAAAAAAATCAATGATCTATTGATCAATACGAATTCGTACACGAGCTATTGTATTATTTTCTTCGAAATGATGTATCTAAATAATAATATATAACACAAGTATATAACGGGTCACGTTGTAACTAAGTGGGGTCGAGAATTTCAATCGTATACGATCGTGGTTGTACAATATTTATTACACAATCGAGAGCTTCTAAATTTGTTTCATCAAATGCGAAACGAGAAATGCCTCGTCGTGCTAGTAGCGCGACTTCCGCTAATACGGTATTGATGCACGCGCAAAAAAAAGTTGTCAATCGCCGCAAGGTCGTTATGGATTAGCGTCAACGACATTCGTTTCATTATCTTTACTTTTTTTATAAACAATGCATTTTCAATGAGATGCGTCGCGCTGCAGAGTGCACATGAAATTTGGCTCTATCTATCGAGTGCGCGCAGTCAGTTAAAATGACGTGACCTTCGAACCCGATTGAAATGCCCCCTCTGCGCGCGTTCAAAGAATGCGTGCAATAAACGATGCGAAGCTTAAAGTGTCGAAAAAGCGAAAGAGAGAGAGAGAGAGAGAGAAAAAAAAAGGATTGCCGCATGTAAATCGAGTCGTGCGAGGCGCGCGACATGGATCATTTTGTCGAGGCGTAAAAGTATCGTCTTACAGCTTTGTAATTCTCATCATTCCGGGCGAGATCACTCCGTTCGCGTGCCGTACAGTCGGAGCTCCTATATGTGTATACGACGCTACGCACGGCGGTAGAAAGAAAAAAAGAAGAAGAAGATAGCAAGCGACGTTCCCACATATGTTGGTCGCAAGAGAGCAAAAGTAAAAAGGCCCGATGATCGCGTAAGAGTCTCGTACACACGCGGAAATCAGCATCATACAGCAGTATACACGAGGAGCGAGCGCATACGTCATTACGTACACAGTAGCGTACGACATACGTATATAGAATTTATACAGCTAAGGTCAAACGGCTAAACCTTGACCCAGTTAACCCCGCGGAGTCGAGCGAGCGAGCGCGTGGCACAAACGGAGCAGCGGAAAAAAAGAGCCTGGAATCGTCGTCTTACCTGCCGGATGTTTCCACAGTGGTTGCAACTTTTCGGGCACCTTCTTGCCGATAGCGGCCATGGCGGTCTGATAGAGCGCCGTTGACATTTTGCCGATTTTTGCACCCTTTTTCCTCCTTGTTTGGCTGTGAGCGCGCGCGCGCGAGGCTATATACAAAATCAATCGGAGCGAGTGTAGCGGGCGCGAGCGAGTCTCCTCTCTTGCTCGTGTACACGAAGGCACCCAACTCGCAACTGGCGATCATACACTGACAACGCTGAGGTTCTCGCGCGCGCACGACGTTGCTTGCTTGCTGGCTTGGCTGCGGGGCGATATGCGCGCGCGATACAGAGTGACGACGACTCTCTGACGATTCGAAGCCGCGAGGAGAACTCGAAAATTTCAGCTTCCCCACCCTCGCATGCTCGCTGCCGAGCATCATTTCTGTATCACAAAATATATATATGTGCGTCTCGCACGCACGCATGTATCTGCTTTTATACAAGCTGGACTTGTGTATATATCCCACACTGGCCAGTCACGTGGCTAAACGCTTGAATCTGGACATTGTCTTGTACATCCGACGAGCGAGCGATAGATTGTATCTTCGTGCCTATAGATCCATCAAGTACGGCTATAGACGCTCGAATTACCTAAACGCGGCACATATACTTTGTGAAGCGCCGATCTACCGAGCTGCTACTCGCGATCCAATGATTTTTCCTCTTAGCAACTCGTGCGGAATGCCAATAATCGTTAAAAACATCTCAATCACGCCTATGTACACGAGCAGTCGCTGTTTGACATTATCGCGCTAATATTTCTGCGCAACTTTAAAGAGATTTTACGTGTACTACACACGATGACGTGCTCAACAATTGACGTGTACTCGCGCGATCGCTGAAAAACCGCACGAGCCATGCAACTGCGGTAAATTCGAGTAATACAGGTGTACGCGCGTCGGGAGAGACTTAGTTGCATCGAATTACTTTGCGGATCGAGCGATGCGATAAGAAGAAAAAGGAGCTTCCAACCGATTATGTCACGGAGAAACACCAGGTTGACATTGGCCTTTAAACATCGTCAAGATTGCTTTCGACGACCTACAGATCGTGTGTATACATATAGCGAGACTTCCAAGCGGATATGCTTCGAGACACGCGCCAAGTCCCTCTCGTATACACGACACACTCGAGACGCGCAAATTCGCAAGATAATATATAAGCATACTTGCGGCACACATGTGTTCGCCACGCGTTGTATTCGCTAATTATAAGCTCGCGCGCTGACATAACGGCGTCATCGTGCAGCAAGTGAATTTTATATCTATAATACAATAACAACGCGCGTAGCTAGCAACTGACGCGCAGCGGCTCAGCTGTCAAGTTCAAATGCACTTCTTTCCGCGTGTCTAATTTTATATCGTAATACGCGTAAGACGTTCTTATGTCGCGCAATACACTAACGTACAAATATGTAATCGTAATCGATATAATTGTATACGCTTATCGAGAGAGGGTCGATGAACTTAATACAATACCATGTTTCGTTGTATGTAAATAGTTTATTACTTTTTTTGTCATTTCATTTTTTATTACTTAACGTTAAGTTATGTACAATTGTTTATACAAGAAGTAGTGTGCTACGCCTCAGGCTACATCATCGTTATAAATAACTCCATTTATCGAATAAAGTAAAGCTTTAAAAAGATGGACAAATTATAAACATTTCCAAAATTCATTGAATTGGCATCGAAGAATATTATATTGTTCGTGACAGCGGTTATTGAATAAATGCTATTTCCTAATTATTCATCACAAATTAATGAACAACATTTATCGTAAACAAATGAAATATTTTTATCCCATTTGAAACATATTTCCGGCATTTGAATGAACATGAAAAATATTTACTTATTATCAAGTTTAAATACACACCATGTTAAATATTATAAGATATATATTTAAAATAAAAAAACATTGATATAAAAAAGCTCTTTGAGAACAACCTTAAAAAGTAAAACTTCTTTCAGAAAGAAGTCTAAAAAAATTAAAATACACTTGAATGAATTCATGAAAAAATTCAAGTCCCAGTAAAATGTACATCGAAACGCGTGGAAGCGGATCTAATTTTATGAAGAAGTTTCACTTCATCATCGCACGAATCAAAATTTAGACACGTATTCCTACGTATTTGTAGCGTAAAAATGCGATTGAGATCAAGAGTTACATTGCATCAGATAACTATAATAAATTAATTATCAAATTTTTACAAGGCACCGATTTCTTATAGCTATTATTTTATTACAAGAAAATCTGAATCATTTTAAAAAATATTAAAATAAACAAAGATATCAATATTATATCTTTAAAGAATAAAAATATAATGGATCTAAATAAATTTTTTTAAAGCAAAATTCAAATTAAAAAAGTGTATAAGTATTACTTATTTAGATCAAAGTAGAAAAAAAATTATTGCATTCGATGTAAATTCATAATCATAAAATTCTGATTGTGCTTGTATACTTTTTCACAATTTATTGCCATAAAAACTCTCGTCTTGAAAATAAAATTATATTAAATGCAGCTGGCAGTGGCTTGATCATTACATGTACGTACGTATCGTAAACTTTTACGTACCATGCATACTTAAAACAGTAAAAAAGTATTTCACTTTTATAATATATATCGATACATACTAAGCCAAGCTAATTATCAGAAACGTCGCTTCTAATTTGTTTTATGTTTATACTAATAAAATCGATAAAAATGCACTATTGTAATATCACAATAGAATATTTCATGAATATAAGTATTCTATATTCTATAAAAAACCCACGATTCTCTTATCAATTACTTATTGCCAGTATTTTGTTACTTTAATCCATCAATTTACTCTTAATTCGTTTAATTTTCAAGTCCATATAAAAATGAACCATTAAGCACTTTTTATATACAATTTATCAAAATTTTAGAAACCATGAAAGACATATGGCACATACTAGTATATTTATCAAAGTAACAAAACACGTCAATCTATTCCAATCAATAGACTTTAGCTATGAATCAGAAACACTGAAAATTGTATAGTTACTTATTGTACCGTGGATATCAACTGTTAAAAATTGTGAGAAATCCGGAGCTACGCATATTCTCACGTTATCCGTGCACGTGCCAGGTAAGCATACACATCCGAGCAAGGCCGGTCTATCAACATCTACACCGAGTTTTCGACTCCAAAATTCCTCGAGGTTTAGTGTTACTGGTGGAGTTATTTGAAGTTTTATCGATTCTTGAGGTTTGGCTTGGTAGCTCGAGCGCGGACTAATGCCCTGTTGAATTTGACTACGGTCGAAGCCCATGCGACTTCGTCTATTCTGGGAACGATTTGGTCCACGCAAGTAATTAACATTCCACCAAGCTAATTCGTCTCCAGAGACAGTCAGTAAAATCGCTGAATTGATGCACACAGGTGACCAATGCAACTGACAAATTGGACTGCAGTGAAGATCCAATTTTCCTAGTTCTACCTGAGTTGGCACGTCTATTATCTATAAAAATAACAAAGTTTTGTATTGCTCATGCTATTTAAGCTAACCAGAAATCATCAAAAGTGTTAACTTACGGAAATGTCACCATTTTGAAGAGCAACGGCTAAAAACTTTTCATCGTTAGAAAATTCACACAAGGTCACACCCTGTTTATATTCTTTTTTGAAGTAAGCTTCTATTTTAAAACTATCTGATTGATCTATTTCGACATTTGGCAAATTATATACCATTATTGTAGTTCCATTTTTGAGTAAAGCCAACAAATTTTTGTTGCTACTTAAATGGCTACTGACAATTGTTTCTTCATCATCGATAAACTCGTACATAACACTCCACGAAAAATCTTCGATGTTCCAGTACTTCATTTTACCATGTTTAGATACCGTGAAAATGCAATTATTCGCTATCTGGTGTACAGATAGTACAAAATCCGAGCCATCGATTTTTTTTGATATTTTTGTATTACGCCACACCTATATAACAAAATAAAGAAAAATCAATCTTTAAATATAAAGATATTTAAAAATAACTATGCATACCTGCAAATTATTGTTCGCTTTGCACAGCACCATATAATCTCCTTTCATTTGTATAACATCAATGAAATCATTTAAAGAGTCGAGCTTAGCAATTAGTGATGATTGTTCGGTAGTCATATCGTATAATACTACGCACACCGTAGTCGTAACCGATCCTGATTCTGTCAGATAAATTAATTTAGATGAATCTTCAATTAACTTCATGCTGATGATTTTTCCGTGAACTGACTCAATTTTTTTCCCGTTGGAAGTCGTTATAGTTATTGGTGAAGTTTTCAAAACTACCATATTTTCTTCTCCAATTGTATTCATTTTTGCATCAAACAAGAGTTTTTTGACTGATTTTGGTTTTTCATCCGATCTAATTTTCCATCTATAAATCATCTTCTTATCGCTTCCACATATCTAAAAGGTCAAGTTGAAGAAAAAACAATTAATGAAACTGTGACATTTATGATTAATTCAATAGTAACTATGAAAAATTACCATATGAAAATCTTCAAAGTACATCCAATAAGGATCAAGAGAAGTAACATTGCCTTTAAAACAAGTAATTAAATCATCAGGGCAAAATGCTTTCATCACGTTGATTTTTCCTTTTGAATTGGCTATAATCAAATATCTTGCATCATATGTCAAAGTTGCACAGACATATGATACATCTTCATTCTCTTCTTCAGTTTTAGCAAATTTTTCAAAACTATGAATATGCCTATTTTTATAAAACCATTTGAAATATAAAGAATTTTTGTTGGTGACAATCACTAAACAATTGTGCTCTTCTGGATGACGCGAGAAATAAATAACTTTTGGATTGTTTAATTGTAAATTAAATTGTGATACATAGGTGTAACCATTTTCGCTCTTCTGATAAATTCTTACAGCTGAAGTACTTTCGTCCATGACGTGTAGTAAATTATCTTCACTTGTAAAAGAAATACCACCAAAACGATGACTGGAAAATAGTAAATTATTTTTTATCAAGTGCTTGATAGTAATAATTATTTGATTAAACAAAGTATATGTCAATACTCACGACTTGAGTTTATCCTGCCATTCAATATTTCCATTGGCATCCCAAAGCTGCAAATATTCAAATGAATTATGTATATTTTCGAATTGGTAAAAATTTTTAATTTATTTACATACCATAATGGTTCCATGATCAGTGCAAGCTGCGATTTTGTTACTTGTTTGTGCAAATTTCATATCAGTAATAATTTCTCCGTAAACTACAAGTGTTTTTTTACTATCATCATGGGGAGATTCAAAAAAACGTGTCCATGATGTTTGCTTATGTCTAGGACTTTGTGTTGGAATACTAAGCCCGTTGCATGTATACTCATTTTCACTCAATGCAAACAGTTTCAAAGAACCATCTGTACTCAAAGCTAGAAAATAATCTCCATTGATAATTGATAAAATAATCTTTTTAATGGCCGCTTTATGTCCAGAGAAAAACTTTGGTTTACGGTTTTCACAATCCCATAGAATAATTTCACCATCATAGGTTCCAACCAGTATATGATTAGGTTCATTCGTAAAAGCAACAGTGCTAGTATTCTTTATTACTTCTTCACAGAAGTTCAAATACTTTTTAGTTTTGGAGTTAATACTTCGAGACAAATATAAAGAATAAGATCTAGATGATGCTATTTTTTCAGCTGTATTTCTTATAAAGCTTTTGTCAGAATGATCTAAAGCAATTTGAACCAAGTCTAGACATTTCATTGAACGATGTTTAGCTAAAGTATTTGCTTGGTCTTCCAAAAAATGTTCAAGATCTATTAAATTTGACTCAATAATTGGATCACCATTTTTAGTAATGTACTTTCTATACTTCTTCAAATCTATAAACAGATCGCTTAAACCAGTGTAATTAATTTTTGCTTGAAGAAAGTCAAAATTAGTGTATAAACCATGGAATTCCTGATACATTTCAGCCTGTTCAAGATGATGACCAATATAAGAAAAACTATAATTATCATTTGGTAGTTTTGAGAAATCACCATTACAATATTTTCTATATTTTTCAATAAAAGCCACATGTTTATCTCGTAATTGTTCTAGTGTCAGTTTACTTCTGATATGACATAATAAAAGATCATGAATTCCATAAATGTAACATCTTAATTCGTCATTCCACTTTCTTGCTGCCAAGGATTTGTGACAAAATTTTAGCATTTGATCTTCAACAGAATATGGTTCTTCATCCCATAAAATTTCTAGTGTCTAAAACCAAAAATAAATATTATGAGTAATTGAATTTTAAACATTAATTTAATTTTTAATTTTTAATGAATATCAAACCTTTGGTGTTATATTCACATCTTCACTGAAAATAGCTAAATTTTCATATCGTTCTTTCATTTCATTTTCTAATTGCCCAATGCACATTTCAAATGTTGCTTTTTGTAACTCCATGAATTCTGAGATAATCCTGAAGTAATGATTCAATTAAAATATTGAACATATTTAAGAGTATTTATCATTTCAGAAATCAAGTACTACTTACATATTTTTTGCATTTTTTGTTTGAAGACAATTCAAGTAGTACTTCCATCTCCCTCTATGAGATCTCATTTCATGTTTGTAATATTCAAACTGAGCTGCAAACATCGCAATCAGTAAAGGCATTCCTTTACATTCTTCATGAATAAGTTTAGCTTCTTTTGGCAATTGATCCATGTTTATATCAAGAACTTTAGCAAACAATCCTAAAGTTTCATTTTCTGTAAATCCATGATTCATCTAAAAGAAACAAAAATATATTTGTTAAGTATCTACTGTAATATTTGAATTAGTTAAATATCAAAACGATCAATACCTTAACAACCATATGAGTTCGTTTATTTAAAACACCAAGATCAGGAGTAATGACCACAGTTTTACATGCAAAATCAAATTCATCTACAATTTCTTTATGACATACGTCATCAAGGATTAGTAAAGCCATTTGATGATTTTTTTTCCTGAAATGATTGTCTATAATTTGTTTCAGGGATTTCTCCAATGGTTCCGAATTAACAGTTTCAATTGAACCCAAATTTTTTATTTGATGATATAGATTATTAAGCTGAACTAATATTTCTTCATTTATATTGCGCTTGTACCCAAATTTAATCCAATAAATTTCATTCTATAATATAAAGAATAATAATGAAGTTTACATTTTTTAAATTTATATGTCCCTGAAAGAAATCGAATTTGCCTATAACTTTCATTAGTTTTAGGACAATTTTTGAAAAATAAACATGATTTTTTAAACATTAAAAAAAAAATTAAAAAGTTATTTTAAATTTTATAAACTTTCGAAAAATTTCAAAATTTTTATACAATTTTTTCGATTTAATAAAAAAAAAATAAATCGAAAATCGGATTTTGAACTTAATAAAGGTTTTTAAAAGTAATAATAAAAGTAATAAAACATTTATAGAGAAACTCAATTTCTGTAAGGGATTTATACAACAATAATTATTATGACTCACGTTAAATAATCTCAATGTAAAATTTTTGTCTTTCAAGGTGCTTGCTGTGAGACAAGATTTTCCAAATCCTTTCATACCATGAAGAGCTATGTATCCATTAGGCTCCAAATTTTCTAATGCATCTTTCAACTTTTGAACCTTGTGTACAGATAAGATTTTTCAAATTATTTTTTATTTTTGATAATACTAATATCTTTATAAAGACTTGATAATAATTTTAAAAAATAAGAAAAGAAATTATGAAGATCAAAATAATGTTAAATTGTATTTAAAACTGTGTAAAAAATATAAACTCATAAATGTGTTTTCATTTTTTTTACTCTAAAATATATTAATAAATAAAATAATAATTGCATGTCTCTATTATACTATAAATAAAAGTAATTTCAAAAATGTTACTAATATTCTCAAAAATATAAATTTTATAAAGCATATCATTTTGCATACAAAATGATACTTACATCCAAATCCAGTTGAATGGTCAAGACATAGGATTTAATAATTTCAATATTATCAAGATGAAAAGATTTCAAGAATTTTTGTTTCATGTGAAATTAATAACTAAATGACTAAGAAACTTACCATTTCTTCTCTGGTAACTGTTAATGGAGAAACAGGTGGTAAATTAGGATATACAATAGGTACATCCATGGCATTATTTCTAGATTGTGGTGGTTCATATTGGGCCAATAGTTTATCCATATCATCACTTAGCCAATCATATTGATGTCTAAGAGATTGATGAAATACTTCAAAAGCATAACATCCACGCCTAAAATCAAAAATTATTTATAATTTAATTAGAGATTAACACAGAACAAGCTTAATTCATTTGCAGCTTTAATTTTATACATACTCTGGCAATAAGTCCAATAATATGTTTGCTCTTTCCTCTTTGCTGACACCTTTCTTAATATCATTGGCATCTTCCTCCTTTAATACATATTCTGTCATCAAGGGTTGAATAATCCCATTGAAAACGTCTAAATCTTCGACGATCTTTTGACGCATACGCCTCAAAACTTCTTTATGTTTTTGCTCCATTTTTACGGGATTTTATTGTTTTCGACGATTAGTGGCAGTAGAAAGTGAGAATGAAAAATCTCCTTTATCTAAATTACTATCCTATTCGAATCAATGAATTCTGCAAGAACAAAAGAATCAGCATGTCATCGTCGTCCGAATCTCGTCCAAAAAATACACAATAGATTAACCGAACTAACGCGTATTTTTTGTTCTATTCGATTAAATGTGAGTTAAGTCACAATGCAGGTATAATAAGTTAACCGAGCGCGTAATTAAATGGTATCGCAAAACTTGCGAGAAAAGCGAACTCGCGTAAACGACTAATATAACGAGCGTGAGAAGCAAAAATCATCATCGTTCTTCTCCTCATCATCATCATTATCATCGTCATCGTCGGTGCATGCACAGACTTTATATATTACGCATATATATAAAATGAGAGGGGCGCACGCACAGGTGCCGTCCGCGCAACACGGCCGATACAGGTCCAAAAACAACAAGCCAATGCGCGTATACACCTATTTTATGAATATGTGTAGTATACTAACCACGTCGGATCATGCATCATTTCCAACTTTTTTCTTTCTTCTGTCTCGTCTCGCGGTCGAGCGAGTTGGTTGAAAAATTTCTATTGTTGCTTCATCATCGTCATTTTTCGTCGAGATGCAGCCGCGAGACGCACGTAAACACTTGTAACTACGTAGAAAAATTGGCTCGATGCACGAGCGGAGCAGCGCCTCGTTGGCTCTTTGTTGATAAAAATATTGAGAGAGAGCGAGAGAGAGAGAAATTCACTACACAAGACACTACGATGCTACTATGAACGCGCACACGCTACGACTGAAAAGTAAATGCATTGCTTGGTTTGTCCGTGTCGACTGCCAATTGCTTTACAGAAGCGAACGCGTCCCTCACTCCAGTTTGCGTATGTATATTCTCTCTCGCTCTCGACCATACGCTCTCGCGTATATATAATATGCACGCACAAACACACGCACACAGACGGAATCGAGCGTCGGTGTGTGCGTCTCCAATCCAACTCTTTTCTACAGTCCCACTCCTGACTCCTGGCTCTATACGGTCCCAGTGCGCCGTATTTACCGCGTCTTGTTGTATTGGTGTTTACAACGAGCGTATAATAGATGTGTCACGAGACTGCATTTCAGATGAAAGATGACGAGATAAATGGATGTTATTTTCGGAGTTTCGACTGTAAATAAATTGGACGGTAATCAACATTTCTATAAATGTTATTCCCGAGACGATTACAAAAAATAGCAATAGCGACGGTATTATTTGAAAAATAAAAGCATTCATCTTAATCTTGTATCTGCTTCTCGTGCAAATAAACTGTAAGAGATAGAAACTGACATAAGATATAAGGCGGCGCGCGTGGATAAAGTGCATTGACGCATTATGTAGTGGCCGCGCGTCAACACATACGCATGCATGTTTATGTATACATATATTGCATCTTACAGTACGTCAGGCATGTGTCGAACAGGCACATGCCTGTTCACATAAATCAGCTCGGCATGGGAATCGTCCATGTATACTTGAGTAATTCCATTTATACGGAGTTGGAGTAGTGTTGGCGCTTTTACCTCCACCTTTTCTATTCCACAATACCAATCGATCGGATGAATTAATAGAATTAAATGAGTCTCGTGCGTCGAGGGAGAACAAGAATAATGAATAAAAATAAACGAGAGTGCGTGAAATGCCTCGCGCCTTCTCGGAACGTAAGAACGGAGTCTTTAAATAATCGCATTGCGAAATCAAATAATGAGATGCAAATACAAAAAAATAAAAAAGTTTATTGTTGTTATATTTTTATACATCCTCGCTGTACGATTCATAATTACGTCGTCTTCTTTTTCTTCGTTCTCTTTCTCGGGGTCGCCGCCGCAGTGGCTGGTGCATCGTCCGATTCTTCTACATCGGCAGCATCGGTACGCGGCGTGCCCTTCTTTTTCTTCGGTTCTTTCTTGTCCTGCTGTCGCGTAATAACTTTTTTATTGGTATATAAGTTGTCTTCGGCGGATCTTAGGTGAGCGAACGGATCGACGAATGTATCGCCTAGCAGTTTATACGTGCAGCTTTCCGTTTTCATGCGTTCCTCGTTGACGAATCTTTCGTCGACGATGTCCTCGATATTGGTACACCTGCGAACATGAACATTAATGTGTTTTTAATCGAAATAAAAAGGAATGGAGAGTCTGTGTTAACTGATAAAATGTGCGCAGTAATTTAAAAAACCTTAACTTTACATTAAGGACAAAGACTAATGCCGATCAAAAATGTTAAAGGAGTATCTACATTCGCGTATAACAGTGTGAAATAACGTAGCTCGATTTCCAGCAGCTTTCGCGAAGTACACACATATAGATAAAGACGATTTATTTCGATCATTTTTCTCGGAATCGTAACTGATTCACGCCATTGTCGCATTGCAACAAGCGTATTTACGTGTAACGAAAAAAGGAACGAGTTGCATCTCTAAGAACACTCGACGTTTGCACCGATTTAGTCTTATTTTTTGGAACTCCAAATTCCACGGGATTGTAGTTAAAGAATTTCTATTGTTGATACGATCTTTTCTTCTCGTACAATGATAAATAAATCCAGAAAGAACAAAAACGACCGATGTTGCGTATACAAAAAAAGATTTTCTAACCTTTCACTTACCAATCAATTTTGAGAAAATCTTCCATGATGCTATATAGCCGCAACAATAGCTACTGTGCACACTGCAAAATGTTGTTTGTTTTGAGAAGACACGAGCCGACGATCAGCAACACGTGCGCCCGTGCTGGGTACTTCACGCTTTATCAGCTGGTGCAGTACGACCAACCTAAGTGCGAGGGAGCAATTCAAATTATTATTTTATATAAACCTGACATTTTAAAAAGTGCAAGATTTAAGTAATGTTATTTCAATAAATTTTGCGTCATTCTTAAGAAGATATCGATTGAAGCTTGTAACACTTGGACTTTTGATTCATAATTCTTATTACAATATAAGTAACGAAAAATTGTTCATTCAATTTTTTTGTCCACTTTGAACAATTATTTCTTTCGTGAAATTCTATACATTTAGTCGATCATTATGTTATATAATCTTATCCAACAAGGGAAATATTACGAATCAGATTATACAGCTTTCAAATGGGAGTGCACGATGGAAGAATACAAGATACCCGAAAGCGTGGCAAAATTCATATGATGCACACTGCTTAAGACGAAATGTACAATTACATAGATACATTTATCATCAAGTATAACAAAATAAAAAAATTATTTTCGAATAAATCGATTACTGAAAGCTCGAGCATCGAAATTGGATCTAAGTTCAGATGTACTCATTAGTCCATTTTTCTGTGCGTCATAAATATTTTGAATTAAAAATAGGCATTGCCTGACTGTCAAAGTAAGCAGTTTGCTGAAATCCACTGCTTATAAATACCATGAGGAACGAATTTCAACCTATTAAAAGTTCAATCGAGTATCAGACGAAGGAGATAACCGAGTTTGTCGCGATAAAGATCAGCAAGAACTTATCAAGAGCACACAAGTGCCAAACACCCACATACGTTACGTTGTCAACTAATTGAGTTTTTTTCTGCGTTATATACGAATCGCATATGTATCATGCATTGGACTTACACGGATTACCTGCGAGTAGCAAGTGGTAATTGTCAAATCACGAGTGAGATTGTCTGGCTGAACTCGTCGATCTATCTCTACGATTGTAATTGATGTTCTGTACGTGAGCTTATTGCGACCCAGTGCCAGTGGATAATGTGTATTTAATACATGTTTAATATCATACCTTCTCAAGCAATCGCGATGATTTGCCAGTTATAACCTCAAAATATGATCTTTTAAAAACGACCCCGTGGCAATTGCGCTCTTATTGAGCCCATGATCGCTTTGCGATCAGTCGATCAATTATCAGTCTCGCTCACAAACGGAATGTTGATTCGGAAATTATAGCAGCGGAGTCGGAATTTTTCTTTGCTGAAATTTCAACCTCGATTTTCATTGTGTTTAATAGTTAGAAAAATTTTATAATTTAAGATGGCTAAGCCTCCAGCTTGTGTAGGTCCTTGTTTATGTGTGACAGTATTAATTGTCTGCTTATTTATTGGCACGAGCACGGGAGAAAAAATGCCTACCGATGTTGAGAAAATTTATGACACCACACTGTCGAACGTAAGTCTTTAATATTATCGATATTTTTTAGTAACAATTGTTTAATGCGTAATATTCATTTCACAGAACATTGACACTAACACAGAGTCTAGTGATATATTGCCAGATTTAGGATTTATTCATGCATTTGTTGCATCCTTATCTGTGATTTTAGTTTCGGAATTAGGAGACAAGACATTTTTCATAGCTGCCATCATGGCTATGAAACATCCCAGATTGACTGTATTTGCTGGAGCTATAAGTGCCCTTGCACTAATGACTATTTTATCAGGTTTGATTTTTTAATAGTAAAAATATCAAGAGAACAAAAGTCCCAGGGCAGGAAAAATCAGATATTGAGTCTGAATAACCAGCACACTGGGACTTTCTTTTCAACTAGTTTAGTTATTATTAATTTGATTTTTTGAGAATGCTCCAAAAGAAAATAAAAATTGTAATATTTATTTATTTGTTTAGTTCTTTTTGGATGGGCTGCTAACATCATTCCAAAACAATATGTATATTACATATCAACTGCTTTATTTGCTTTATTTGGTCTGAAGATGTTAAAAGATGGATTTTCCATGTCTGCTAATGAAGGACAAGAGGAACTTGAAGAGGTCCAATCTGATCTTAGAAAAAAAGAAGAAGATGTAAGTCAATTATTTCATGAATACTACTATTATCATTTGAAAACATGAATTAAATTTGATTATTTTTACAAATTTAGTTTGAGAAACAAGTTGGTTCTACCCTTGTACAAGACCCAGAAACTGGTGCAATCAGAAAATGCCCTAAAAGAAGCGTTGTAATGATGATTTCAAGAATATTTTTACAAGCTTTTTCTCTTACTTTCTTAGCGGAATGGGGAGATAGATCTCAACTTACAACAATTATTCTTGGAGCGCGTGAGGTAATGTTTTTTTGTTAAATTTTCTTTAAAATTATAAATCTGTTATATTATTATTTATGTAAAAACATCAAATTTCATTGACACTGTTCATGACTTTGATTATCTATAGGATGTTTATGGAGTGGTGGTTGGTGGAATTTTGGGACATTCCATATGTACTGGTTTAGCTGTGCTGGGAGGACGTATGATTGCCCAGAGGATTTCCGTTAGAACTGGTATTGATTTACTTAGATTATCTGAATGATAATATGACATGATATGATTAGATTATAAAAGTTATTTTTTTGTTTTTCAGTCACTATCATTGGCGGAATTGTCTTCTTAATATTTGCAGTTACATCTTTATTTGTTAATCCCACTGAAGCATCTAAAGAATCAAAAGAAGCAAATATCTAACGAAATCATTAAATGATTTGAAATTATGTTAAATTCACGTTTCAGTATTATAAAATGATTCAAATATTTTGAATCACAATTCACACTGCTTCATTCACTGTTGGTGCTAAATAGTTGTTGAAATTACTTTTTTTTATTTTTGATAATGTTCACTGTAGTTATTATAATTGAAGTTATCAAAAAATTAATTTTTTTTATCAAACAATGGGTTGAAGTGTGGATTAATTAAATACTGATGAATTGTGACACTTACCATCAAGTTGGTTAGTTAGTTTCATATAATACATTTGTACTACAAGATGCGGAGTAGGTTACCACATAAATAGGAAAAAATTTACTTGGAATTTTTAAAATGATCATGCTAGAAAAAGAACAATTCAGCAATTTTTCAACGACGTTAGTTAATAAACTTACATATTTTCAACATGATTGTTTGACATATATTCCTTGGAGATTGATGCTCTGAATGCAAACTTTTGCCTTTTTTGCATATATTTTTGTATATAACATCATTTTGAAAATCAAAATTTATTTTTAAATTTTTGGAAGTAATATTTAATTAGCTTCTAGAAGATACTTTATATGTTTTGTAGTTAAAAAAGATTTTATCACTATGATACCATAGTAAATGTGTATTGTGTAAGTTTGTCACAATTTAGTGACTTGAAATATATGTACAGATTGTAATATAGAAAAAGCATTCAATTTTGTAAACTTTTAAAGAAACATTTCAATGTTTTCGTTTTCAGAGTGAATTTGAGTTTGTTCTTAAATTTGTAAAATAGTCTAATAAAATTTTGAAAAAAATGATTAATTTTTTAAAGGAAATTATTTATGTTTGAAATATTTAATTACTGTGATACTTGAAAATACAATTTTTAATGGTATGCACATAACATGAATCGTAAGTGTAATATAAAAATTCTGCATAAGTAATATACTGAAATAATTATTTATCACAGGAGGATTCAAATAAACTACTTCAACCAATTACTATTTTATTATGTATTTTCAATATTATCTATATTTTGGTTGACATTTTTATATTATTAATATTTAACTTATTACATTGGATGACTTATTAGTAAATTGTTAAAATTTAGTTGGCAAAATGTATACAAAATAATAATATTGCATAAAATTAAAAAAGTTTAATCTACATTTGAGCTTTTTAATGTAATCTGTATCATTTGACATTATATTTGCCCCTTCCACAACTGAACCAATAACAAGATCGTGAGATTATCATCAATAAAGATGTAACTAAGTTAAATGAATGTACAAGATTAACAGTATAAAAGTATAAAATATGTGAATATTTTGTAATTAAATAATTTTTCTGAGGATAATATTATGTGTAGCCCTCATAATAATTGTTCAATAAAGGTAAATTAATAACTGACTTCTCAAGAGCATAAACAAATGAACTTTAAATAGTTCAGTATTTTATATATGAAGTGACTATCCAGGCAAAAATGGAGTACAAAATCATTTTTATGTACATAATTTGAATAGCAATCAGTTTTCTTTAATTTTTTGAAACTTCAAAATGGAAAGATGAATTAATCAACCAAAATTGTGTTTTAAAATTAAAATTAAAATTTTTGTTCAAGTATTTTATCCTGAACAGCCAGATCCTAATGTACATTAGTAAAAAAATTAAAAATATATTGATTAAAATATTTATGCTGTTACATTTTGTTGAAATACATTCTTTGATTAAAAAATTGTAAGAAAAACTAACAATAATCATTTTTCACACTCTATAAATATTTAAAATAAGATATAAAATAAGATATCATTCAAGTAAATTTGTCGCCTAATTTTATTTACACAACAAATTTCTATAGTGAGAGATCAACTATTTTTAATACCACTTACTTAATGAACTATTTGTAAATGTAAAAATCAGAAATTCAATTTGATCCATTTAAAAAATATATAATCGAATAGTATGTACTGCATTCAAATACATAAGGTATAAAACATTCTGAAATCAAATCTGAGGCAGTTCTCTCTTATAGTAAGCATTTGATTAGTTTGCTTACACTGTGGGCACTTTTGATTAGTATAGCAAGAGACAAAATGTTATTTCACGCCAGTATGAGAGAAAATTTTTTAAAATTATTAACTTGATTTTGATTCTCTTCGGTTTTCTGTTTCTGTCATTGATTCAGAAGCATTTGTTATTGTGCTTTCTAAATTACTTGAATTAGAGATTAATATTCTTTCAGTCTCAGTTGAACGATCTATAGAATTACAAACATAGTCTCCACTAAGAGAAGGAGTAACATTATCATTGTGTACTTCAGAAGTTGATGCAACTGGATGTTTCTTGAAATGAGTTGATAAATTACCGCTGTGATAAAACTGTTTTCCACAAACCTTGCAGTGAAAAGGTTTGACACCAGAATGTATTCTCTCATGTATTGAAAGATTACCACTGTGACGAAATTCTTTGCCACAAATATTACACTTAAAAGGCTTAACTCCTGAATGTGTTCTTAAATGAGTTGATAAGTTTCCACTATGACTGAACATTTTACCACATACTTTGCATGCATATGGTCTTTCTCCTGAATGTGTTCTCATATGTATTGCTAAGTTACCACTGTGTGTAAAAGATTTATCGCACTCTTTGCACTTGTAAGGTCTTTCACCATTATGAGTCCTCATGTGAATGAATAAATTACTTTTATGTCCAAATTCTTTAAAACAAATTTCACATTGACATTTAGCAGGTTTCTTTGTAGTACCACTTGCATTATTGGATTTGGTTCCTCGATTACTTGTGTTTCGTTTGATCACAGCGGTATTTTGTTGAGCAGCTGCAGCAAGGGCAGGGTTCATTAAAATACCATTCGTAATTATAGCCGATGCTAATCCAGAATTGATAGTTCCACTCTCTGCATTTGAAGAATCCACGGCTTGATTTATGCTAGATTGTATGTTTGATAATTGCTGTTGATTTATAACAAAAGTATTGTTCTGATGCTGTTGCTGTTGTTGTTGGTGTTGATGCTGGTGTTGTTGTTGTTGTTGTTGTTGTTGTTGTTGTTGTAGCTGCTGCTGCAGTTGTAAATGTTGATTTAAATAACTGGCACTTACAGCAGGAATTTGTTGCTATAAAGAAATAAAATTAGGTTTGTTGAAATATTCATAATAAATAAACGAAAAATTAAATCATTGCTTATTATTTAGTTAAACTTACATTTACAGCTCTACTATCCATTTTACCAGGGTTATCGGATTTTTGAACCGAGTTCTTTGTATACGGTGTTTGTAAAGCTTGATCCCACAGATGAGGCAATTGGTGATAGGTGTACTGTGTATTTTGATTATCGAATACTGTGCAGTCCACGACCTCGTTCGCACCGACAGGCATATTTTGGAGGTTTCTGTCTTCGACACCACTATACTCTTGTTTTATTTGCACCGAGCTGAACATCTGTAAGACGAAAAGAACCACGTAAAAATATGCAATAATTGCAATCGAAAGAAGAACAATCAAGTTCCATTGTACCCTTTGAAAATAGCTTTGACAATATCCTTTTCTACCCTGCCGACTTTTGAATACTGACTCAATCGGAGCAACTAAAACAATAAAATGTTGGATTTATCAAGCTTCAGTTTATATCTCGCCTACGAGCAGAGCACTAGCAGTAAAGCGGTGCACGAACACAACGCAGCATTAAAGTGTATAGGTAAAATAGACGTTGCTCCGTTTTGCTCTCTCGGGCTGCTGCAAATGCCAAGTGCCTCGGCGCTCTCTATTTGCACCCACACAAACACGCACACAAACAAGCGCACATACTGATGTATACACAGTGGGCACTCACACAATTACCCACGTCACGCACACACGGCACACGCACTTTAGCAATACTGTGGTCCGTGACTCCTATATTTGACTCGAGATTGTGGTTCTCTACTACGTGTAAAATACACGTTAAAAAATATGCATTCGCTCAAAACTTATTTTTAATAATCATTGTTGAAAATGAATCCTAACGTCAATGGGAAAAAACGATATTGTAATAAACAACAATGGAAATCGAGAAATCATTCATTAAACAAATTATTACGTTGCCAGAGTAAAGTCAGCTTCGCCAACGCATTTTCATCATCTCGCGAGTCATTGCTGATGCGTACGATATAAGCTATATTAATAACATTATGCACGGACAGTCCAGCTACTGGCGATAAATTGACTCTCGGACGCATTTTTCAAAATTTGGTTATGTATTTGCATACACAGCAGTCAACGTGAGTAAAATACACACCTATAAATGTATATCATTCGGATGTATGCGGTCGATTGTGCTCAAAAAAAGCAACGTCCATCAAAATAATCAGTTGCAAGTAATCGCAGCGAGGCGACGTGTCTCGAGCCTAACGACGACCGTATTACATGCAACGGGGTCAAAATCAAATTGTAGACCGAGCGCCCAAGTCTGCTCCAAACTGCGACGACGACTATGATGATGATGATGATGATGATGAAGACGATGATGATGATGATGATTACTATGATCACTATTATGTATCTCGGATACACGATATAAACACGCACAAACACTTGTAGCCCGCGTACTTGTACTCCGCCTGCACATATATATAGTTGCGCCCGTATAGACTCAGTCAGCGAATATAAGGCATACACAAGCGAGCTGAGCGACGATCATAATGCGCTGGGCTAGGCCACTTATGGAATAGCTTGACTCGACTCGTCAGACCGACGGCGCAAACCACTGGCTATATACTCAAATGCGCAAGCCGAGAGCACCTAATACCTATCCTGCTATTACAATGCACGCACACACATTCGGGCATGCTGAAACATCAATTCACCGTTGCAGGTGCACTCCTCTTATAGGAAAGGATCTCGCGGACGAATATCTTTTGGATTTGACGTCAGACGAGATGGGTGGACTAACTTTTACCCGCAATGTTTTTCAATGCTAATAACTTCGTCCTTGGCTTTAGAAATTTTGCGCAATTTTTTCTTGAAATCACATATTTTATCGAGAGATCTTTAAAAACCTGTCTGGCCCATATATTTTTAATTTTCCCATGCAATAAACCTTGATCGAACAGATGACGAGTTCGTCGATAATTGCAGTTTTCTGCAAGGATCGATTCGTGAATGTTGTATACTACGCTCGATTGTGACGTGACAATGAATGAACAGTAAAAGATAGTCTCTGGGCCGCAGGCTCCATCAAAAAGTCGTATCGTGTGCAATATGTGTAGTACATAATAGTGGTCGAACAAACAGTGTATATATTTGCACTGCGAGTGGTTTGGCCAACTCGAGTAATTTTTTCTCCGAACTTTAAAACCCTTTATCAATCAGTCGGAGTCATGCATTTTCTGTGAACTTCATTTATCCTTAATTTGTCATCTCCTTAACTAAAAAATCCTTCGAATCTCTTAGGGTCATTAAGACAATTTTTTCATCAAAATGAACGTTTCCGAGATTATCAAAGTTCCCAAGGTCAGTGAAATAATTTTACTTTTTAGAGATTAAATTTAATTTATCCATTATTTAAACAGTTACATTTTTATTCAATTCTTTTTTGTAGGTTGACAATGTTTTGATGTTAGATAAATTTGGTGTCAAACCAACTTTAGGTACATTTTACTTGACAGAAACGCATTTTATATTCATGGAACCTAGTGGAAAGAAAAAAATTTGGGTTTGTTTAATGATTTAATAGTCTTAAGAAATAAATCATTTTTCTAATGAACAGTTTAATGTTCAGGTTCTAAATACACACATTGCAAGTGTTGAAAAGCAACCTCTATCAACAAGTGGATCTCCGTTGCATATAAAATGTAAAAACTTTTTTGTTGTTACATTTATTATTCCTAGAGAACGAGACTGTCATGAAGTATTTTTGGTACTTTCAAAATTATCATCACCATGTAATAATTTGATAAAATATTTTCATAAGTTTTCCTAAATATAAATAAATTCCATAATAATTTGTTTTTTTTTCAGTAAGAATTGATGACATTTACTGTTTCGACTATAAAGGCAATAATGAAGGTCTGTCCCAAGAATTTGGTTGGCATTTTTTTAGTACGCAAGATGAATTTCTTAGACAAGGTGTTCCTAATGAAGAGTGGTCTTTGTCTTACCTCAATGTTAATTATGAAGTAAGTTAATGTAAAAGTATCTCTATTAATTTAGTTGTGCATGACCATATCAATTAAAAAATATTTTTTAATCGATTGATTTTACAAAACTTATGTGCTAATGTAATTTATACAAATTTTTTATTATAAATTTATTTTTCAGCTCTGTGAAACATATCCAAAATATTTATATGTTCCTAGTTCTTGTAGTAACACTATTCTATCAGGTAGTGCTAAATTTCGGAGTAAAGGAAGGCTCCCTGTTTTGACTTATTTGTATAATAATAAGGTTAGTGATTTGAAATAAATTTAATTTTGAAATAAATTTCATTGTTTATTTATAAATGCATGTAACATGAGTCATTTTTAGGCCTCCATTTGTAGATGTAGTCAGCCTTTATCTGGATTTAATGCTCGCTGCTGTATGGACGAACAAATGATGTGTAATTTACTTGGTACAAACCCTAAAGCCAAATATCTTTATGTTGTAGATACAAGACCAAGAGTAAGTTCAAATGATAACTATGGAAAAGAATCTTGAATAATTGATCATTACCCCTAAACTATAATTTTAATTTTATCTAGATAAATGCAATGGCAAATCGAGCTGCAGGAAAGGGCTATGAAAACGAAAACTTTTATGAGAATATTAAATTTCAATTTTTTGGAATTGAAAATATACATGTCATGAGATCAAGTTTGTCAAAGTTAATAGAATGTATGTTTTTAGTTACTGATTTTAAATTTCACTGTAAATTTTGGTAACATCCCAATTTGTTGTAGTACAAAAGTGCACATCGATGAGCACTTTTTTAAATGGACTTGAAAGTAGTGGATGGTTAAAACACATCCGGGCCATTTTAGAAACTTCATGGTTTATAGCACGAAATGTAATAAATGGCATCAGTGTAGTTGTACATTGCAGTGATGGATGGGACAGAACTGCGCAAGTTTGCTCATTAGCTGCTCTGATGTTAGATCCTTTTTATAGAACTATTCATGGTTTCCAAGTAACATATTTTTTATGAACAACATTAAATCTAAATTAAATATGACTGAAAGTTAATATTGAATATTATTTAAAGGTATTAATAGAAAAAGATTGGCTATCTTTTGGGCATAAGTTTAGTGATCGCTGTGGTTTTACTACTGGTGATAACAAAGAGCTAGCCCCAGTGTTTACTCAATTTATTGATGCAACTTATCAGCTTTTTAAGCAATTCCCGTACATGTTTCAGTTTAATGAGCATTATTTAATAACACTGCATGATCATGTGCATAGCTGTCAGTACGGAACATTTATTGGTAATTGTGAAAAAGACAGACAAACATGGAAGTAAGTTTATAAACTTAAAAAATGAATTAAATGTATACCAATTGAAAATATGCTATTAGACTTTCAGAAAGAACATATTCACTTTGGGGTCATATAACTCAACACATTCATGAATACATAAATCCGTTATATTCAAGTAATCAATTGAAAGAAGAAGCTAGTCATATACTTAAACCAAAATTATTTCCTCAAAATATAGTGTAAGTATTTATGAATTGTAAATATACCTGAATATTAATTGTCTATCTTTTGCCAACAGATTATGGCGAAGCCTTTACTTTAGATTTGAGAATGGTGTTCATCCTAGAGAGTCTGTTGAAGATGTTTTAACTGTAGCTAGTAACCATATTACTTGTTTGGAAGACCATGTAAAAAGTTTAGTAAAGGTATGAAAGTAATATTCAAATAATGCAGAAAATAGATTATATTTATTATTATATACAAGAAACAAATGTATAATTTCAGAAAATTAATTCGGTAAATCAATTAAATTCAATAAATCATACAGAAGTAGCATCAAATAAAAATGAATCCGACATTGAAAATGTAAAAAGTAATCCAGTCGAAGATAAAATTAAACAATTAACAAGTGATACAATGAGCAAAAACAAGTTAGACATCAAGGAACTGGTTACTGAACTCAATGCAGTGGCCTTAGAATGGAAATCAATCAAAAGTATAAATGATTGTAAATGTGGAACTACTTTCGATGCTTTCAATAAAAAAGTAAGATTAAATTAAGATCGAGAGTAACGAAAATATTTCTTAACATTATTTTTTCAATTAATTGTGTTCTAGTATCATTGTTGGTGCTGTGGAAATGTTGTATGTCAAAGGTGCATGATCATGAATAGTGTTCAATCTGGGTATTCAAACCAAAAAATGATTCCAACTTGTAAATTTTGTTCTCCAGAATCAGCACCAAACACACCTTTATCTCCAAAAATTTAATAAAGAAATGATAGACGTTATATTAAAATTGATGTTAAATCATCTCTAATATTTATTAATTCTTATTTTTATACTGATCGAAAGGTAATCAAGATAAATTTATTAACACTAATTAAAATTGAGTTTTATTTTAGATATATCCTTTTTATCAAAAACCAAATAATGGATAGTTGATATTGGATGGTGAATATTTTGTAGAAATAAAAAATTATGAATATTTAGTCGAAAGTTTTATTAATAATTTCAAGTCTATAAATTACAGAAATATTTACCACATACACCTTTTATAATTTGTTCATCAAAAATATTTATGCACAAATCTAAATAAATGATGTTATGTTTATAGTTGAATGATTCATATAAGATTATATATAAAATGATAATATTTATTAAAATCTATGGATAAAAAAGCATTCAAAATCAAAATCAGTGTAGTACTAGTAAAATTCATCTGCAGCGTAAAGAATACATAAAAGTCAAATTAAGAAAAATACATTTTTCAAAATATTTACACACTTGGTCAAATAATCAATGTTTTTTATCAAAATTTTTTCCCACCACACAACTGTGATAATATACGAAAAAATGTTCAATATATGTAATCAATAACAATGGTTCTATCTGTATGAAACATTTAAAACAACACATACAAATTAATATCAAAATTGAATTTGAAAGTTATCTACGAAAAACCATTGTAAATTCTTAAAATTATTTCAGGCTTTATAAAAAAAATTCAAGGCCAGCTTGTATAAACCTCTAAATAAAGAGTAATTTTCGAAAAAGTTTTCGTACTTATTTTCATATAGGAAAGCTATAAAGAAAATTGATTGCAATATTTCATACTGAAATGAAATATTTTTCAAATAAGGGTTTACAATTTTAGATTCTACTTTGCTAATACTTAAGCTTTACGTAAACGTAACATGATTCAACCAAATTAACAATTTTTCAACGTACAACATGTCGTGCGGTACGTTCATATCATTTAACCAATAACATCACAATTCACAATTAAATTCATCCAAATATAATATTTATATAACCGTCGTAAAAAAATTCGATTACTGAAGTAATCAGTTAATATGCTTAAGGCAGTTCATTTTACATTTATACCCATTTATAAAACGATTCTCAGTATGAGATATAAAGAAAAGAAACCGACGAGTTTCAATAAATTTTTATAACACAAACGATCAGATCATTAATCAGTGACGATACGTCTGTATTTTCTATTCGGTGGGAAGACTTCTTCATCTTCTTCTTGTGTTTGGTTATATGAATTATCTTCAGTATATGATGGTACCCAAATTATCAATAGCTTCTCAAAAAAATCTTCAAGACTTCGTGCTTCCTGATAGACTTGAGATCCAACCTTTGAAGAATAAAACTTAAGATTATTTTAATATATTTGAATTGTAATGATCAACATAACTGCATATTAGAAAATATTATATTATAGAAAAATATTCTTATACGTACAAGATTAAATTTATAAGCATTTTTAAACATTAGTCTAACGTCAGATATGAGTTGTTTCAGATCGGTATAGTGATTTTCGTGTTCTCGATCAAGTTTGGCCTTAATGACTTCCAAAGCCATAGGCTTTTTAATAATACGATGGTATTCAGTTATCTGAAAAAGATTATTTGCTATTAAATACTTCTGAAAATTATAAACAATCATATAGCCTCAATAATAAATGTATTACCTCAGATGAAACGATTTCTCGGAACGGTAAGCTTTGTTCGTATTGGCAATACAGTTCCAAAACTAAACGTTGAGCAATTCTTAAATCGCGAGGGCTCAATTCATTTGGTTTTTCCTCTCCTGGTGGATCTTCTGAACAATCGTGTACATTTGTACAAAGCATACATTGCCAAGTCTCACTTTCACTGAAAATCAAGAATTAAACATCAAAGTAAAGTTTACTTTAAATTATATAAGGCATCGTAAATTAGGTTTACTTTGGAAAGTTTTTCAATTTTGGTATGTGGCAGTACAGATGGAAAACTTTTGGACACTTGTCACAACAAAGTACCATGTCACCACCGTCCATGCAAACAGCACACCAATCTTCGTTAGGATCATCTTTTTCCGTAGCCATAGCTGCAATTAACCATTTTTAAAATATATTTCATTAAAATTTGATGGCATGTTGATAAAAAAAAATAAAAAAATAATGAAAATAATACTAACGATCGGTAGGAGAGGTACTATCTAAAGCATTATTAGTTTCATCAGTGGAACTATCAACTTGCGAAGTCTGGGCATCACTTTGACCAGCTTGTGCTTCGGCTGTAACACTTATGCCATTACTATCGAGTTTTCTAATGACAACCATCAAATCATCTAAGGATTTACGACAAATGGTATCGATATTTTTTTCTGGTTCGTCATTGGCAACTTTTTCATTATTGAGCGCTGGGCTTGGAGTTTTTGGCATCGAAGAACTAACTGTATGACTCACATTGCTGTTTAAATTAGCAGGTGGTGTGACGGCAGGAGTTAATTCGGCAGGTTTCGGACTCGATGCATTATTTTTACTCTGCAATTATAAATTCATTTTAAATATTTTATGTTCGAAATTGAATAGATCAATAATGCATCATTAAATAGCTACTTACTGTTAAAGTATTATTATTGTTAACATTCGATTTTGGTATGGTTATTTTATACTCGCTGGGCAAAAGTTGAGACATATTTTTATTTGCAGTATGGGGACTGACCATGGGTTGATGGACATTTCCAGCCGAAGTTGTATTTTGAGGTGAATGCCATCGAGGCATTTGTGGTGGCTGTAGCTGCTGATGTTGCTGAGATTGCTTGTATGCAGCCATATAATTTTGTCTGTTTTGTAAGTTCATATTGTACGCTGGAGGTTGAGAATCATGCATTGAAACCATTGGCTGAGAAGAACGTTGATGCTGCTGGGACTGCTGCTGCTGCTGCTGCAGATTTGGGGAAGGGTAACGATTATAGTGAGGCATTCTGTATTGTTGTCCTGCGGCATTAGATACTGGCGTCCTGTGAAATTATAATCGTGAAATAAATTACAAAAATATGCTTAAAAAAGTTTATGTAAATCAGAAGTCAGAGAAATCATCCTATTTATCAATCAATTTAAAAGTTATTACCTGTAGGCTGGGGGGTTGTGTGCCAGTAAACCTCGAAGACTGGCATTTGGATTTAGAAGGCTCTCTTGCGGTGTCAAATGCGGCATTTGTTGCTGTGGATGCGTTGAGGATGTTACCTGTTATGCGTTTTGCAATATTCATTTTATCATGCTTTTAAGATGACCGATTATTATAAGTGATACGATTTAAAAAAAATTAATCGAATTTATTTGTCAAGTATTTTCAAAAGAGAGAGTGAGAAAGAAAGAGATAAAAAGATTCGTAAAAACATTCGTGTGTCAACAAAAGCTTTTCATGTTCAAATGACTAGGAAAAATAAAATTCGAATGTTTGATACTTTTACAGATATAATTTATTCACTTTTATACATAATACTGTGTATGAAAATTTAAATTGTTGCCAACTAATGTTCACTTGTCTTGAAAAACAAAATTTCGACGGTTTCTGATTGAGTCTTGAATATAAAAATATATTGATCTTTCATAGGATTAAGTAATTAATTCATCTTACTTTTTTTCTCTACTCTTGATTTTAGTTTCTTTTTGCTATTTTCATACTTCTCTTTGTCGTAAAGAAAAGAAACGAAGAAAAATATTTTAACTTGATTAAATCACTTTTAATTCATAGATTAAAATATACATTCACTCATGTAAAATCTCATTACAACGCGTTTCTCGAAGAAATACGGAAGCCAAGGTAAAAATGAAAATTTGTAAACACTTTAAAAGATTTGCACTAAATATTATTCAATGAAAACTGCGTAAATTTAGTTATTTTACTGTTTTCTAGTCATTCAAATAATTTATTGTTTTAAATTATAGGAAAATCTGGAGAAATATATTAGAAAAGTATCATTTTCATTTTGGCTTAGGTGACTTTGGAGTGAATTATTGTGAATAAAAATTAAAATGTAATAGAAATACTTAAAAAAAAAAAAAAAATTAAGACCAATGTACCTGTTGTTGATTTGGTCGCGGTGCCATCATCATTTGTGGTATATGTGGAGCATTTACTTGACGATTATTTATATTATATGCTCGAGCTTGAGATGATGCTCGTTGTTGTTGTTGTTGCTGCTGTTGTTGTTGTTGTTGTTGTTGTTGTTGTTGTTGTTGTGTCATAGAATACAAATAATTGTGTTGCAAATTTCCTTGATTTAGTAACATTGAATTTTGCATAGATATTTGAGGCTGTTGCTGCTGCAACCTCTGTTGTTGTTGTTGTTGTAATAGTATTTGTTGTTGTAGTTGTAGTTGTGGTTGCTGTTGTTGTTGTTGCTGTTGTTGTTGTTGGTGTTGTTGTTGTTGTTGTTGTTGTTGTGGTTGTTGTTGATGCTGCTGCTGCTGTTGTTGTTGCTGCTGCTGTTGAAGATGAAGCTGTGGCCCAAGTACGCATTGTAAAGGCTGAGCTATGTAACTTATACTTGACGCTCCTTGGTTACTGGCTGTTACGGGATGTATTGCAGTTATTGAGCCTTGTACACCGTCAACTATCAAATTATGAGAAATTGTATTTGGATCTCCTGATACTTCATTTGTTGGTGTCGTAGATTTACCAGGATAAAATGAAGCACCAGTTGCTGCTTGCATGGAGGCATTTTGTGTCTGCGCTGTTAAAGGAGGAGTGGCTACCTGAGTTGGTGGTGGAAAAACAACGCCGTCAACGATGACATTCCCAATGGTCTGTATTACTAATAAAAAACATCATAATTTGTAATTAATTAGAAGTAAATCATAGTAAAATTTTTAATTTTTTACGTGGATGCAATTTATACTGACAATTTTAATATGAATAACAAGTAAATCATTGTCAATTTTTACAGCAATTGAAACTCATTAAATAACTTGTAAAATTAAAATTTTTGGGAGAATTGTAATAGTTTTCTTGCATAATGCAGTTCTTTTATATTTACCTCTTATTAAATCATTCATCCTTTCCATACTAAGGTGTATTCTCACAGGCATATCTGGATTTGGAACTACATATGTTGTACTGTTTAGTCGATCTTTAAGATTATTTATGACTTTTTTACTATGCAATAAGTCTACGTCAGTTCCTTTTTCTAAAGTGTAAGAAATGTAAACAAGTAAATGATCATTCATAGTTGTGAGCCTTTGCAATTCTTGTTCTTTCGCATTAACAGTATTTTTTTTATTATCGCAAACTGTTTTCAATCTTTCTAGTAACTGTTTTCCTCTGGCTTTTATGGCTTCTGTTATCCTATAAAATGATAATATTGAAAGCTATTGATACTTGATAAAAATTATTCATTGCAAATTTAGATTAATGTAAAACATACTTTAAACATAATGTTGCAACTTCTTCACTTAGTTCTTTATATTTATCATTTATCATCTTCTTTCTCTCTGCACTGAGATATAAACCCCTTTTCAAGAGATTTTGTTTATTACTGTAAACCAATTTAAATTATTTTAGCATAACTTAGAATGCAAAAATATACAAACTAAAATTCATACCTTAAGTCTTCTAATAACTTGGTGACAGATGTACGAGTTTCATTTGCAATTTCATGAATAAATTTGTAGTCGTGTCCTCTGTGATCTGTCAGTTGGCAATTACGACATGTCAATGTATCGCATACAATGCAAAAAATTTCTTTCTGTTCATGTGGATGTACAGTGCAAAATATAAAATTTGGTTCTTCTTTTTTATCTTTTTCCGATTCCAATGTTATTTCATTTATTGGTTTTATTGTATGATCTTTCGTAACTTTGAGTTTTTGATGAGTCTATAACAACAGCAAATTTATAAGACTAGGACAATGGTGTAAAAAAAATATCTTATGACTGAAGAACATATGAATTACATACCAAAACACAACTATCGCAAATGAATTCTTCACATTCGACACACCAGCTGGAGGCAGGAACAATGTTACCTTCGTGAGGATTGCCACATTTTTTCTCTTCCTTTTCTGCAAGTTCATCTGCTATAGATGTATTGGAATCATCTTTTATAACTTTTGAAAACATCAGATTTTCAATGATATTTTTCGATGAGCTCTGCAATTGACAGATACTACACATAATTGTGACTGAAAAAAAAGTTTAATTAATCCCTGAAGGCTGCAGCAAGTTTAGCAATATTTTATAGAAAAATTACTAACCACCTGTGTCATTATCAGTTGCAGTTTTGGGGATAGTAGGCGACCTTAGCTCAGCCTGCACACAAGTCAAGCAAACAGAGTGTAGGCATTCCAGTAACTTGGTCGCATCCTCTTGAGTAAGTTGTTTCGAGCAAAGGCCACAGGTACGCATGATATTCTTGAACTCGGCACCGACGTAGTTTTCGAGGGCGTCGGCGGAGCTTTGCTCGGCTTGTTGCTCTGAAGGCCTCTCAGCCCGTTGTTCGGACTCAGAAGATTGCACTTGCATTGGTGCATCATTCATCTCCATCTCCATCTCTTCGTCTGCTGTATTCAATTCCACCTTCACATTTGACAATAAATGTGTTGGATCCATATTTATAGCCTATCTTTTCTCGTACACGATACTATACGAGCCAAGTACCACCTGAAATACTCGAGAAAAATGAGCTTATCACTAGAAGCATGAAGGATGGATGTTCCAAAAAAGAGCTCAAACCACTACCTACAGTGGTATGCACGGTTCAAAGTGCATAATGTATAAATGTATATACCTATGTATGTTTATGTCGTTATGTATACAGTTTGCATCAAGCCTCAAACTATCGTAAACGCTATCACAATTCGCACGGATCGCACTGCTACAACCTTACACAACTCATACAAACGTCACGCACACATACTCACTTTATTGGGACTTAACACGGAACTTAATATGATATAGTGTAGAGGAACAAGCGGTTATAATTTTCGTTTTAAATCACCATTCAATCCGTAAATAGGCCAACCCATTGTCAAAAATTATGTCTTTGCATCGCGGTATTTCAACTGGCGACCGAACTATTTAGTCGAATGGAAAATAAAAAGATGCATGGACTTACTTTGGTAGTCTTGACACTTGAAAGTACGAAGCAAACCACACTCATAAATACTCTCTATCACATCAAAGACAAGAGAGATCCACTGGCAAGTTGGATCTGATGCCGCTGTACGCCATGGAAGTGTATTACTGATACGCTACTATATACAGTTTTGGCCTTTAGCATAGAAATTACGCGCCTTCATCGCCAGTTGTCGCTCAAGTTTGCCAAATGTAGTCTTTAGGGGTCTTTTTGGTGATTCTTTGCGTTAACCATCAAATGAATGGATTTGAATTATGGAATAAATTTTAGTTATAAATGTACCGTTAAAAAAAGTATTTAGAGAGATCATCGCGAAAGTCTATGATGGTAATAATATTTTAACGAAGACTTAAATTATTTGAACATTTGATTTTTTAAATTATTTGAACATCGTTCGTGGATAAATTTTTGATTCTTAAAAATCAAAGCAACAGTCTTATAGAATGTTGAGATAAAATGTATGAATCTGCTTTTGTTCTTCAAATCAAACGTTAAAATTTAACATTATTTGCATAATTTCATTATTTTAATATATTAAATTGATCCTTTTCAAAAAATATGGAAAGGTATACGCCCCTATTTTCGATCAGTTACGCCCTATTTTCGGTCAACTTTGAATTCATTTTTTTATATAGGATTGAAACTTGATATCTGCATTTGATTAATATATTTCTGTTGCAGATGTTCTATTCATTCAACCAATTTTTTTTAAATATTTCTTACGTACAATTAAGTTGTCAATATTAATAATTGACCGGATATAGAGACATGACCGAAAATAGAGGCATATGTACCTTATTGTGAAAATTTTATTATATGCATACACATAATATATACCAGTAGCTTTATAATGTATTTTTTTAAATAAACATAAATAACATCTATAAAACTTGTTCAGTAAGGTATAAGAAGGTTAATCAATTTTAAACTTTCACTAACATTAAATATGTTTAGTTGGGTACTTCATTACTTCTACGTGGCATAAATAATCTACTATTATTTATTATGTGTTATAGATGATCATTTTTGTTTGAAGAATGGTTGTTACGGTGAATTACTTAAAAAGGCTCAATCATTTAATTAAGTTCTCAAAAATTTTATTCTCAGTTTTATAACAAATATAAAAAATGCTATTCAATAATCATTTTTTTTCATCTGTTTGTTCAATTCTGTCTGTTGCATAGTGTCAATTCATTTACTTAGTTACACAAATATTTGTGTACTCGACAGACATAATATTTACATTATTTCAATTTGTTATTTGCTTACAAATTACTGTACAATATTTGAATGACTAATTTTTTGTCATTTAATTCATTACTTAAATCAACTTGAAACTAAATAAGTAACTTAATATTATGTATTTTAAGCATTACTAAGAATTTCTTTCAGTTTTTATATTTATGTATGATGTTCCAGCTTGCACACCAAAAAATGGATGTCTGGTCTTAATCTCCTTTGGAAATGGAACACTATTTGATACTTCAGTGGGTACAACTTCTTTTCCCGGATTTGGTAATTTTCTTCTTATATTTAATGTTCCGGCTGGTTTTATATTGACTGCAAATAAAATAATAAATATTTAATACTTGTATTCTAAAATAGTTAAAGAAACTTCACGTAAAATGATCATATCATAAAAAAATTAATCAATTTGTCTAACATTAAAGAAAAACAAATCTTAAAAACTCTTAACAAATTATTAATCCAGTGTTCTGAAACTTCAACTGAGTATTTCTATAAAAGTCTCAATATGAACAAAGGTTCAACTAAAGAGTTTGAAGTTCTATATGGCTTTTTTAGCAGAATATTTAGTAATTAGATCAGTAATTAAGTAAGTAGTTTAAGAAAATGAAATGAAAAATTTGAAGTTCAGAGTGTCTTTGCTATTCCATTGTTTGTTAAGAAGTTGAAATATTTAGGTACAATAGAGTGAAAAAGTCCTTAATAATTTCTCACCAGCCATGTATTCATTTTCTTCTTTTCCAGTACTTAAAATAAATGTCATGTTGGATTTATTTTCCTTTTGTGTGGCATAATATTTATCTTCTCCAATTTTTAATTTGGATTTTTCCCCAAATCGTAGTGTCTGTCCTTTTAAAAGTTTTGGATCAAACTAGAAATAACACAAATAAAATTAGTTATTTCATGCCAAAGTTCGCGGATATGATTTATAAGACAAAATACATACTGTTTTAGGAACTTCCATTAAATATATTTCTTCGTCGTCATCAAAATCATCTAACACTAATGAATGTTGGAATGCCTTTGTTACTTGTTCGATAGACATGGTGATGATCAATAGTCTGCAAATATGCAAAAAAGAGCAGTGTCAAGCAAATCACCTCGTGGACGTCGACCTGTGTTCAAAAGTTATGTTTTTAATCGTCGTTAATAAATACAAGAATACACATACACACTATTGTAAAATTCAATGACTTATAACCTTAAACACGCACACGCTACACAACACAACGTTTTTGATCAGAAATTATATTTTAGTCGGCAAATTTAGATAACAATGATAGCATGCAGACAGCATGAAAATTGTTGTCTCTCGCAGACCTCGTGGGCTACTGCAACCCATAATTGAAACAACTCGTAGTAGCGCTGCAATCGTAAATCACGATTCGAGGCGCGGGAATAATTTAAAAATTTTTTATCTCATTTTCGATAATTCTAATACTTGTAAAACAGCCATGTCCATGAATTTTTTTATAGTTATCGATATTCGTAAATAAATAATAAACAATGAACTTAAATAAGTCTTCAGTATAATTTGTTGATAGATTTTAGTAACTAAATCGCTGATCTTCAAATTTCAATCATTGTTTCTAAGTGACGAGTAATTACTTTTCCAAAAATTTGAATTATTGCGAGATGAAGGTTTTTAAACGGTGATATACTGAAGTCATTTCACCGAAATGTTATATATTCTTGCATACCATACCCGAACTAGTTGTGAAAATGAACTGTCATCTGACGTTCCGATAACTTTTTCGGGTATTTTTTTTCTTTTTCTTTATTTTTTGTTTAAATCAACCAAGTATTTATATCTCAATAATGCAACGAAGGACGAAGTATTTATTTAATCAAAAATCTAGTCCTCTTGTTGATAGCCTGATAACATGTAATTTAAATTGTCTGTGACACCCATCCGACTACGATGAATAAACAATTTTAACTAAATAGTTTTTGAAAAATTCACTATAAACAAAATTATTTTTGAAGCGAGTAAAACTCGGCATAAACTCGAAGTGATTGCCAGTCCCCCTGCATTTTAATTTCAATGAAACATGTATCGACAAAAATGCATTTAATAACCTGATCGATTTTATTCGAAGGCAGTTTACCATGTGCATTTGGTGCTCGAGATGAACGGCGTGGGTGTATTAGAAACGGTAAGACGCGAGCATCGAACAATTTACCCATCTTCAAAAGAATCATTTTCGCATCTGGACGGAAAAGTTTGGGCCAAAGTCAATGATACTTTCTCAAAGGCATGCTAGTATACCGTTACAGTCTGACGAAATATCCCCAAAAAATCCGGAATGAACCAGAGTAAATATAGAAAAAATTACGTCTTACGAAAAGCACGTGGTATAGAATTGGAGTAGCACATGTATACGGTAGTGGCAAGCGAACGGCGAACGATGACTTGGAAGTTGAAAAGAACAACAAAAATTAAGAATTCAAGGAAACTTATAGAAAGTGGTTTCTGGAACGCGAGTGACGATGCCATTCATAATAACCCATCACTTAGTATGCTTTGTCTAGTCGGTGAAAATTCGTCGAAATTCGGACCAACGCGCATTAAATGAATGGTTAAAAATGCAACAGAAATATGCATATGTTTACTAGAGCCTAGTTAACGCTGACTTCAAAGAAATTTATATGGAGCCGAGATTTAAATTTTTTTAAAACCCATACTGACCATTAACCAATTCACCATTCAGCACCTAGAATCCGCACCTCGACGTGCATTTGAATTCTAATCGTCGATTTTGGACGTTTAAAGTAAAAGAAAAATGAGACGCATCGTATGTATTTTTTAAAGGAAAAAACTATTTTGATGATATGTCGCAAGGGTGGCAATTTCAAGTTAATAAGCGGTCCGGTACCGATTGCTCAATTAGCTTTAATTTGCTGGAAAAAGGAGAATAGCGCACCAACTGCGCGACAAGTTGGTCGGAGTCGCGTGGATAATGGAGAATGGAGAAGATGAACAAAGGATGAATCAATGCCTCTCTCTTTCTCTCTCTCTCTCGCTCTCCTCGTGTAATCTACTCGCTTAGATAATAATGAATGATGATATAAACACTACCATATGCGATACATTAACGTGTATAATGATTTATCGATATATCTGCATGTAATGGTATATGCCTGAGAGATACGTACGGTTTACGATTGTAACGAATGTATACTATACAGGCCATCGATGGGGTTTGCCCGACGATACGACGAGTAAATATAATACGTCAAGCGAGCGGACACGCACACTCCAGTATTCGCATGTTGGTGTGTGTATATGCGTGCTATTGCGTGCGATGGTTAGTGTATATAAACTCGACCACTCGTGTGCGGGCAAATCTGCACGGCTTATACATGCTGCGAATATATAGGATAGGTTATATAGGAGTACGGTGACGATCATAGGCAGTGGGAAAATGGGAAAGAAAGAGAGATGGAGCTTTGCCGCGACTACAACGCTCTCTTCGTGTACAGTGTACACCATGCACTCGCGTTTCACGAGGCAGCCGTTCGCCTCTCTATACGTATCTGTCTCTTTGTCTCTCTCTATAGTGCGCGTATGTATGTGCCTTTCCGCGACACTCTGTATATCGCTATATGCTCGTAGGTACCTACAGGCATTTTACAGGCCGTACGCAGTAACGAGTTGCTGCTCTCTACAGTCTTGCGATCGTCGATCGACCGTGCCGTAACAGTTGCCAGAAAGAGGAAGCGAGACGGCCATATAGGTTGTGCGCCAGAAAACTTCGGAGTGAGTGGCTGGCTGTACAGGCCTATTATATATACAGCGCGAGTGAAAGAAAGAGAGAGAGAGCGATCGAGCGAGAGAGAAAGAAGAGAGCCGAGCGTTCGTTTACGCCAGTGTATGTGAGAGTCGCATCGAAGACGGGCCAGCAGCAGCACTAGTGCTCGCGCGGCCATCGTGTGTGTGTAAAAGTAAGTAAACAAAGTATACCATCTTTTCCACGGCGGAATAAGCGACGTACATGAAGTATATTTGTCGCCAGCCGTGTGTTGTGTGCCACAACATTCCTACAACTGCGCCCGTAAAAGTAAATTGCGGATGGCGCATACACGTCTGTTGTAAATACATTCGATAAAAAATAGCTGTAAGAGAAAAAAAAGGCTAATTGAAGGAGAGAGAACGGGAGAGAGAGAGAGAACAGCTCTTCCGTCCTATCCTAGGTGTGTGTATGTCTCTGCGTATGTGTGCAAACGTTCATTTAGACCTTTTATTGCTCGCAGCAGCTCAACTTCGACTGGTTCGTGTCTGAGTTTTTATATTACATGAAATTATCCGTGTTCGTGCGCGTCTCTGCGAGACCACACGATAAAAAAAAGCGTCTCGCTCCAAAGTTTATCGCTTTCTCTGCGTGTCTTGTTTACGAGATGCAATATATGCAAAGGTAATCAGATATACAGTGTATGTGTATATATGTGCGAGCTGCAGCACAACAAATGCCGCCGCAGCCATCGTCGTTGTCGTCGTCGCCGAATGTCTTCTTCTCCTGCCTCTGCATTGAAAATTATGATTTGGTGTTTACTCAAGTGTTGATTTCGCGAGTTTCTCAGTAGCATCACTCCAAAAAAAAAGCTGTGAAAAAAAAAGAAATAGAGTTGCTTCAGTTGGTTGTTCTTTGAAACGGTGTGTTGTAGTTTGTCCACACAGCCCGTGTTCTCAGTGCATGCGTGTGCCTGGTATGTGAATTGAGTCAACCATCATCATCGTGGTCGTCGTCGTCGTCGTCATAGTCGCCGTCATAGTCGTCATCGTCTTATGGGCGATCGGTTGCTGCTCCGTCTTGTCTGTTTCGTAGTACCATATATACCATAATTTGTGAATCGCTGTCGTGAACGCAACTTACACTCGCACGCGCATACATGTACACCGAGTACGTCTCTCTTTCTCTCTCTCTCTCTCTCGTCGGACGCACACGTACTGTATACTTGCACAATCTAGGCATTTGTGCGCGTATAACACCACGACCCTAGAACCAGATATAGAGAGAGAGAAAGAAAGAGCGAAACAGCGAATGTCCGGAATTAAGGTTAGCGTAAAAAACGCGCCCGCGCTTACTTACTACTGAACATGTCGTGCGCATTTACACAGTACCCACTACACACGCCCGTCCTGTCTTTTTCTGCCTATAACATACAATCAGATATAGCATATGTAGCAGGCAAATATAGCGGAGCTAGCGAGCTAGCGCATATGCATGAACAGCAAATGCACTTATATGTATAAATTTATATGTGCTTACATTCGCGGTATTATGTATAGGTAACAGTGCGTACGGCTCACATCCTACAAAGCGTTTATCGTTATCGAATATCATTTGCTCGGTCAATGAGACCAGTGCCTCTATAACGCACTCTTTCATGTAGCAATAATACCTTACGGGTCAAATTATGATGTACATGGCCAGCACCATCCGTGTTGTATGCGCCTGTGAGTGTTGAGTTTTTCTACGTGTATCTCTCTCTCTCTCTCTTTCTCTCCGTCCTATCTCTTCGTTCGTGAGAACTGTGTGTAACTGCGTGTATGTGTGTGGGTATAAGATTTTTTTTGCATTAGTATCTCTTTCGCTTAGCGCGTGCTGTGCTGCTGCTGCTGCAGCTCGCTGCCTACACAAATGTATACAACACAACTATACTATGCCACTACCACTACTAGAGTGGCAAGTGAGCCAGCTCATCTTTCTCGCGATGCGAAAAATTCTCTTCGATGAACCATCTTCATCCTCGTCATTCACGTCGTAGCAGTTGGTGCTACTAGGCAAGGCTTCTTGGTCTCTCTCTCTCTCTCTTCGCCGATCGCCGTCTCGTACATATCGTATAGATATAAGTGAAGTGACTCGTGGCCGTGGTAGCCACCGCCACCGCTACGCCACCTTCTTCAGAATTTCCATTATCCTCCTCGTCGTCGTCGTTGAGATCGTCGTCGCCGTCGAGATTGTAGTAGGCCGTCGGCCGTTGACTATTATTTTGCACAGTTGCTTCAATTATTGAGTTTTCGGAGCAACGTAGGAGCGTTACAACAACACACGGCAAGCAGGCGAGTGTTATATGCTGTAGAGAGCAACAGCAGCGAGTTGTTTGCCCCATCCCATATGTGCGATTTGCGTGCTTGCCTGCGTGTTGTTTCTCATCCACACGTCGTGTCGTTGTACGCCCGTCTCTGTCCCTCTCTCTCTCTTACGTTGTACATAGCATAATCGCGAGTGTATATATCTGTGCGTGTGTGTGCATGCGTGTCCATATACGAATCTCTGACTCGCCAAGTGTGTGTGTGTGCGTGTAAATTATAATTCTTCAAAGTGTTGGTGCGCGTTTCTCTATATTTTACACACCGACACGCGCACCTATATAGCCTAGAGAGGCAGCAACGAGCAGTCGAGCACGATCTCAGTCGCAGAACGCAGCAGTCCACCGAGAGCTATATATATGTATATTACTATACGTGTTTGCAATTTTACTAATGATGAACTAGCCTCAGTTCATGACCGAACCTCTCTCGTGTAAAATACATCTTCGGAGTGCGCGACAGTGTGCAAGCCTTGATACATTATACGCATTATATACAGACGGTATAAAGGAAAAAGTCGAGAGCCGTAGGCAGAGAGTAGTAGTCGTAAGTCGCAGCGTGCCCAGCAACAGCAGACCAGTTGCGATAGATAGTAATTATTTTTACGTCGAGCTTTTTTATCGCCGCACACATACGAACACACTGGCATATTGCGTGCGCTCGTTTTTGCCTGTGTGCTCGAGTATATAAAAGCGTATGTGTTGGCTTGTGTGTGTGAGTGTGTGTCTTTCTCTCTCTTTCTCTTTCTCTCTTCGCGGGTTCGAGTGCGCTCGTTTATGTGTATCTATTATATATTAAATTTTATTATAGATATAAAACATATACGGGGAGTGAGCGAATTTCAAGAGTGTTTTTGAATAACTACGAAAATGCCAGAGATCATCGTCGTGCCGTCATCTTTACGTGCTGCTGCTACTACTGCTACTGTCTGTCTGTCTGTGAGCCATGTAGTGTGAGTGCTGTGGCTGCTTCTTCTGATACTCCTCGTCGGATATCGTGTAGTGATTCATCGCACATGTGCCATTATTATTCTTCCACTTCTCGTGTGCATCCACTTACCGTCGCCTCCGATGATTATTCCTATATTTAAAATCATCATCAAGGTTGCCTGCTGCAGCTACTCGCTTGTCTCTCTTTGCAAAGAGTAGCTAAAGCAGTATATCCGCGAGTCTAGAGAGCCGAGGGCATCGTATTCGTTTAGCAGCAGCGCATATGCACACGTTCTGCTGCTGCTGATATTTCTTTTCTGTACACACGTATACGCGCTCTACTCACGCGCTCGGTTTCTCGGTGTAAGTGAGTTTCTCTGTCTATGTGTATATATAACAAATACGTCTTGTGCTGCTCATGTCTGTGTTTGTGTGTGTCTGTGTGTGAGTATATGCGACGAGAGAGCATAATCACATTGCCACTTGGAAAGGGCGCAGTGCACTGATTAACGTGAAATGCACACAGCACTGAGAGTGAGAACGACGCGAGAATAAAAGATGTTAGGTAAAAGACAACGAACGGACAAAGGTGGAAAAATGCGTGTGATGAATCTACACGATAATCTTTTCTCTCTTTCTCTCTCACGCCAGCCATACATAGGCACACACTCATCTATAAATTATAGCTTTTCAGTGCATGGTATTCACGATCTGCATATGTAATTCTAATTTTGTGTCAGCTGCTAGTTCTGCTGCAGCTACTACTATTGATTCTCGTATTGTATGATTCTTACAAACATCGAGGAAAAGATCGATATTGAGCATATGACAAGTGTTTGGAAAGAAATGTCAAATTTTCATGTGCAAAAAAACAGCGATGAATATGTTTATCCTCTGCTCGGTTATCGTCATCATCATCCTCCACAGCCAGCACTCATTCCACCACCTTTCCTTTTCTCTCTCTCCTCTATTGTATGTATATCCTTATATATATTGAATTCTTTAGCACACAGAATACACGCTATGTCGTATGTGTACAAGAGTCCTATCGTGAAAGGCTTTTGACGATGGTGGTAGTGGCGGTGGTGGTGGTGCTGCTGCTGCTGCTGCTGCAACATGCCTCTCTCTCTCTCTTTCTTTCCTCCTCGCCTCCGAACAATTTTGCTGTGTACGTTCGCGAGCTCTCTCGAGAGTTATATTGCCAAGAGCGAGTGAGAGAGAGAGAGAGGAGGCGATTATTGCGGGAATTCAGCACGGTAGAGAGATGCAATATACGTGCCTATGTATACGTTGTACGTACGTCCAAAGAGAGAAAGAGAGATACTGTATGCACACTTTTATATGTGTATGTTCGTAGGTGTTCGTAGGTGTTCGTATGTGTCTGTCCGTCTGTTGGTTAATGTAACTCTCGTATGTGTAATGACGTTTCTCTCTCTCTCTCTTTCTCTCTTGCTCGCTCGCTGTGTCTTTAGTCCGTCGGTTCTCTCAGTGCAAAAAACACTCAGCAACGCCAACAGCTGTTTCGTTTGCAAATCTTTCTTATTGTCCTTTGTTGAACTTCTCAAATTATTTTGACAAGTCGTTGCTGTTTAGTATGTAGTGATCGATTACATGTTACGAGTTTACTTTTTGCAAATCAGCTCGTAACATCGTATGTAACATAGCTGCCGCAGACGCCTGTTTACAAACATTGCTTCTGACTATCTGAAAATGATATCCTTCGTTCTTTGCTCTTTTTATTCTTTTCTTCTGCCCGATCTCGATTATTTCCGTAACTCATTTGTGCATGTATCAACGATGATCAAAACTATTAATTTTTTTTTCCGAGCCTCAACGTGTCTTAATTGATAAATTAAACTCTGAATAATTGGGATATTAAGAAATATATATTAAAAAATACTTGAGCTCTACAATAAATAAAATATAAATTAATGTCTATACAAATTGAAAAACTTGAATTCTATGAAATTAATCCAATTTATTTTATTCTTGTTTTAGGTAGCTGACATAGTCAATACAGATAGTCGGTTGAGTTTTTGGGAAATTTGTAGATAGTTCAATGTAAGTATTGTGCATTTATCTTTGATTTCCATTACTCTTTTATTATCATGCAAAATTTTGTAATTAAAAATTATTTATTATTTGTGTACAAACAGAAATTGTTTGCAATACTACTTGCAGAACCCAAGACAAAAAAAAATTATTTCAGCAAACGCAATGTCAGTATTGAATCAATGTGGGGACGATGTTGTGGAGTGTCCACTTTGTATGGAACCTTTTGAAGTGGATGATTTGAATTTTTTCCCATGCACTTGTGGCTATCAAATATGTCGCTTCTGTTGGCATAGAATTCGAACTGATGAAAATGGTTTATGTCCTGCATGCCGCAAGGCCTATTCTGAAAATCCTGCAGACTTCAAACCGTTGTCTAAGGAAGAAATAGCCAAATTAAAGGCAGATAAACGGGCAAAAGATCAACAACGAAAACAGCGTGTTACTGAAAACCGTAAACATCTGGCAAATGTTAGAGTAGTGCAGAAAAATTTGGTTTTTGTTGTTGGTTTACCTGTGCGTCTAGCTGAAGCAGATGTGAGTGATGAAAAAATTTGAGTTCAAATTTATTGTATTAAAATTATTAAGTGCCATATGTGGTTTTTATTAATAGATTCTGAAAAAGCATGAGTTTTTTGGGAAATACGGTAAAATTCACAAAGTTGTGATAAATCAAAGCACATCCTATGCTGGTTCGCAGGGCCCTAGTGCATCTGCTTATGTCACTTATCAAGTAAGGCGAATCAATTTATAACAATTGATAACAAAATTATCATGTATCAAGTACTCATTGGAAATATTTTTGCAGAGACACGAAGATGCATTGAGAGCTATAGAGGCTATAAACAACATAGTTGTGGATGGTCGACCTGTGAAAACTTCATTAGGTACTACAAAGTATTGTTCACACTTTATGAGGAACCAGAGTTGTCCAAAGCCTGACTGCATGTATTTGCATGAACTAGGAGATCAAGAAGCATCCTTCACTAAAGAAGAAATGCATCAAGGTAAACATCAGGAATATGAGCGGAAACTTGTGCAATCTTTACACATTAATACTACACAAAGGTAATTTATTTCTAATGTCATTAATTATCAAAAGGTAAAGATTTTAAATTTACTCTCAAATTGGCTTTTAGAAAACCTACTCCTTCTCCACCTGTAACAGGAAGCGGAACTATAGCCCCAAATACACAAGCCAAAGAAGCTTGGCCTTCGTTACAACCAGGCCTCACAAAAGGTTATTTATTTATTAATTAAAATTATTAATAATTTGTCAATTATCATGGTGATGATATTTTTACAGATGTCAATAATAAAGATACACTAACTGTGCAAGCACATAACACTTCAACTAATGTGCAAGAGAATGGAGTTGCAGTAGTGCCTACAAATCCCTCTGTACCTCAAAAACAGCCTCAGCAACAACAGTTGCCACAGCAGCAGACACAGAACAATGTAAACAATAAAACAGACAGTGCTGCTAGTACACGCAGAGGAAAAAGTAGTAGTAGCGAAAGTAAAGCTCAAGCAGCACGAAATAAGCACAAGAACTCTCAAAACAAGGAAAAACATGGCAGTTCCACAACACGGCGATCCGATTCAAATAGTAATATCAGTCAAAATGGTCAGAAAGAAAATTCAGAATCAATGATACAAACTGTGACAGCAGCTACATCTTCAGCAGTGACAACAACGACGTTATCGGCATCTGGAGAAGTTTCACAGCAAACTCAAAAATCAGCCAGCGTTAAACTAAAAACTGAAAATAATGTGCAACAACAGAACACAGTCACTAGTGCCAGTAGCAGTAAAATGACTAAATTAGTGCAGCAGGTGCAAGAAATAAAAATTAACGGTGGTGCCACAAATCAAAATGGAAGTGATACACAAATGTTACAGCAACAAATGCAACAGATGATGCTACAGCAGCAACAACAGCAACATCAGCAGCAACATAATAATCATTCCGAAATTGACGTGGATATACAAAGAGAAAGAAGTACTCCTGCGAGTACTGTATCATCAAGTACAGAGGACTCGTACCTCGTTAACCACGCGGTTGAGCGTTTGCCTGAATCGACTGAAGATATGAGCCTTATCAGTACCCTGAATATATTAGGTGAGTCAATGATAATAGTTGTTATTATACTGATTATTGCTGCCATTTGTATTGCTGCTGGTGCTGGTAAACTTGAATTATCTTTGCAACCAAAAACGCGCTTTTTCCTGTAGACTTTTCTACGATTGACTATTTATTTTTTGATGAAACATTTTTGTTTTGCGCTTTTTTTTCATCTGATATTATTGATGTAAACATGGGTCGGAGAAAAATATAACTGATTGTCTGACCTTTTGATAAAGATTAAATGTGTGATGCTCATTAATAGTTGATGCGACCAATCATTGTTTTATTTTATTAACGTGATTTATTACAAAATACACCGTAGCTTGTAAAACTCAATATTTCAAATGCCAAAATAAAGAGATATTCTCACAATAGCTATTATTGTTTTGATCATTTTTTTTAAATCTCGATTTAACGCATATTATTTGTCATTCTCTTGCTAAGGTAAGTATTAGCACAACTACACCTCTGTTTATTCTGGCATTTGCCGAGCTTCCAAAATTGCTTTAATCTAAATTTAGACAAAATTTAAATCGAACAATTGCATTAATTAGAACATCAACTTGTCTCAGGTACACCAACAAGTAAGTCAAGTTCGGTGCATATGCAACTTCAAGCACAGCAGCAGCAAACTGCACCCCCAGGGCTACATTCCACGGAGAACAACAGCAGTTCAGTGCATAGATCGCTCTTTCAGTCGGACAATAACAGTTTCTTCAGCTCCAATAGTTTTCAAAATGTATCTGCGAGTTCTGTACAGTCGTCATCTACTTCACAAACTCTTGGTAAGACTAACAATGATCTGATTAAATGTTTTTTTGTACCGCCGAATTTCATATTCTGTTTATGAAAATTGAAAGATTAAGAGTTACTCCGAATCATCACTTACGGTTCACACTAAGTTGTTATGAATCAAAACACTTTATTTCACTCTTACATATACTACATTGAGTAAAAATAGTTACCTTTCTCCATGAAGCGTTGCAATGAGTATACAATAATGTATACAACAAAGATCCATAACTTATCGTCAAAGCGTAATAATAGTCCTGTACCATCAAAGTATTGATCGATTTATTATATTCCTTTGAAGCTTACTTTTTACGATATTCATATAAGACTCGTATGACAATTATTTGCCGCTGAAACGTGCTTGATTTACACGGTTTTTACTTAATAATAATTTTAGATAACACAGATATAATATAATATGTTAAAAAAATCACGAATAGTATCAAGAGTTACAAGTATTTTTTCTGTCGCTGCAATCAACGATTATTACGAAATTATGGTGAAAGGTCAAAAGCCAGAGAGGTTTTCGTTTCACGCTTGACCATTTTATACTATCTTTCTCTCCCTCTCTTTCTTTCTAGTTCTATCATGAATGTAGATTCATTTAGATAGCTTTGTGTATTAGTGTTCTACTTTTAATTTTTTCCGCTCTTTTGCACATGTCGCTTAGCTAGCGTTACAATTTGAATAAATATGCATTGGTGCACACATAACTCCACATACACGCCAAATAATATGATTTCGTAATTTTATTGAATTTTCGTAACACAGTGAGTTCAGGGAAAAAATTAGTGTATTTTTTCGTTTTTTATCACCAGCACTCAGTAATTTCAAGGCAATCTCCCATATCATCGTTACTATAATTATTATTATTATTATTATTTATTTTTCAAATTCTTATTGAAATAAATTCATTATCGTAATCATTAATACATTTTTCAGGCAATGGAAACAATTCCCTTACCCATGACTGGACGACGGGTGTTATTGCGCCGATTCCAGACTCTTTACCGACAGTGTATTCCAGTGAAGACTGGCAAGCAGCGTTCGGATTTCAGACTTCAGCTTCTGCGACGACTACATCGGTAGATCAACGCACGTCTGTATCAAAAATATCTTCACTTTCTGGGGTGCCTCAATCGGCGTCAAAAACAAATTCACCTACCCCACCTACGGTCAGTCGTATGCCATTTACTACCGAAGACTTCACATTGGATTCAGATCCGTCAACACAGTCTCATGTAAACAATAGCAATGGTGGTCTTGTTAATGGTGTTGCATCAAGTTTACTCAACAATTCACAATCTCTTAATTTGAGATCTTACTTTGTGTCAGAATTAAGACAAGAAGCAGCAATGCATCAGCAACATAGATTAAATTTACAGGTAAAATTTTAATTAAAAATTTATAATCTCGGATTAGACAAACAAAAATTTTCATCGTATATTTTTGGGGTAATTGATAAAACTTAGACAACATCCGAGAACAGTACTGATTTCTCGAAACTTAATGGTCATGCGTCGTCGGCGACCAATGAGATGCTAATGCAGCAACAGCAAGTACCCACAATGAAGAAAGCAATGAAACCAGATGACGATTTGGGTTTTGATCCGTTCCATGAAACACAAAAAGCTCTTGCTGAATTAATGGAAAATGAAATACTGCAACAGCAACAGACTCTCTTCCCACACCACCTGACGGAACGTGATGAGCAGACGAGGTTACATTCACATAGCGGTGGTATGAATCTTGGTCATCATCCGTTCTCACAGGTATGTAATTTTAAATTTGGCATTAGTATTAGTACACATGTGGTCAGTGTTTACAGTTAATAAATTCGTGATTTTATATAGCTTTAATCTATGAAACCTTTGTTCTTAAACGTCCCTTTTGAATATATTTTTGTAGTTCCAATTTGCGGATTTATGAAAAATTTGTTACTCAAATTTTTTTTAGTTTGCACCATACAATGAGTTATTATAAAGCAGTACAAAAATTAATTTCAGGTGAACCATTTGGCACATTTACAACAAACACAACAGCTGCAGAACCTGCAAGTGCTTCAACAGCAGTCACAACAACAACAACAGCAACAACAACAACAGCAACAACAACAGCAACATCCTATACTCTCACGCCTGCCAACATTGCTTCAACAGCAACAAGTACAACAGCAGCAAAATAATGGTGCCCAAAGTCCAGTTACAGTTGCAACACTTGGTCAGCGTAGTCGGTTGCCACCTCCAGGCTTTCCTAGTTCCACACCCAATCACATGAATTCGTTTGGGCTTGGTATACCAAGGGGAGCACCAAATAGCAATAATATAGCAGGTAAATATTTTACGAAACTTGAACAAGGCTCCTTCTAATCAATTAAATTTTTAGTTTTGTTATTGGTTTGAAAACTACTTGGAGTAAATTTTAGGTTTATTTGCGAACTTAATATTTTTAATGTTAAATTATTTATAATTTAAAAAAAAACTGTAAAAATTTCGGAAATGCAAATACATGAGTATTAAAATATAGAAAAGTAGATATAAAATAATTTGTATTTTCAGGAAGTAAAATATTGCCCTTCGTAAATCATTCTTCAGGAGTATTATTCAATGGAGGACAGCAGACACAACAAACTTCATTTTTACAAAATCAAAATCCTTTGTTGAGTGCTCAAGGTACTTTGTTAAATTATATATATTGAGTGATGCAACAATAAAATATGAGTAGAATCGCTGTAAAAGAAAGTTAATTAATTATATTATTGATTATAAAATGTGCTATCAATTTGACAGGTGTGGCTAAATGCACCAATGACGCAATGTACTCCCTAAAAGATTGGTGCGATTTCAATAGCCAACCACAGCAGCAGCAACAACAACAACAACAACAACAACAACAGCAGCAGCAGCAACAGCAACAGCAACAGCAACAACAGTTCCACCATCAGACGCTCTATCCCAAAAATAACTGGAATAGCTTTAATACAATTTCGGATTTGAATACAGTAGATCCAGCCATTGTTAGCTCTCGATTGCTTCCATTCCAGAGCACAAACACTACTTGGCAAATTCCACATCCATACTCAGCACCCCATAATGTGGCACATAGTTCCCAACAGGTACAACTTTTTCGGCAATCAATAATTCTTTTTAATGAAGCAAATAAAGTACCGAATAATAACTAAATTTTTACAAAAGCATTACGCATCACAGGAACAACAGGCAACACCAGCACAACATTGGGCAATGCAACCTCCCCCAGGTTTTAGCGCTCCAACATCAAATGTACCTCTTGGCGTTCAATCAGCCAGCACAGCTGTTCAAACGCACAAGTTCATAGCTACGGCATCCGAAATTGAAAGTATGTTACAAAATCGTACGTAACTTAATTGATTTATCATCAAACATTAATTTTCATCTTGACTAAATGTCTTGCTTTTTTTAGATGTATAGGTGTGTCGAAGTCTGTTGGGAAAAAGTACTAGCACGGCGAGGAGTGCAGCTTTTTGATATACATAAAAAGTATAACAATGACGATACCGGAGTCTGGAAAGCAGCAAAGCGAAACTTAACAGAAATTAAAAGAAAATGATAAAGTATATAAGTCAATAGCATATGTTTTCCCTGACTTGAAATGTCTATACATATATCCCTTCTCATTCCGTATATTTTATTCATTCAATACTATCTACTTATAGAGAAAAAAGAGAATATATGAGTTAATCGGGTAAAATGATCTTTTACTTTTATCTTGCTATTATATAAATATATATACTGTTTCAATTTTCATACTGTTATCACAATTAATCAACACATTGCTTCTTTTTGAATATTTACTACTGGATTTTAGAGTTACTAGGCTAAATTTGCATCTCCAATCTTTTTATTTCCAGGATTATATGTTTATTTATTGTTCATGTTCAAATCAATGATATTAATGGAAGCTATTGTATTTTGAATATAAATTCCATTAAAATTTCCATTGATTTGAAAATAATATTTCTATATTTTGATAAAGTTTGATACTGCGAGTTCGGTACGTTGAATAGTACTCATACAAGTACTCGGAAAATGATATTAAATTGGCTACGCGATAAAAATATAATAGCTGTTGTTTTAAATTAAACAGATTAATGCAGAAAGGTTTAAAGGCTCATTGTAAATGTCATGTAGCTTTTTAAAAAATTTGTACATATAAAAAGTATTGGTTTTTGAAATGTCAATCATGAAGTCACAAAGAAAATATTAAATATCTTTGTGCTATTCAACTATTTTATCTTGTAGTTGGATAATAACGAGTTATATGTAAAAAAAATTGTAAAATTATCAAGTTGTAGTAAAAAAATTGAAATATTAAACATGTGTATTCGCTTGGTCGTCTGCACTTGACAATGTAAAATTATAAAATTCTTACAGTAAAGAAAAAATGCCACATTATTGCATTTGAGCCTTTGACTTCAATTATTCTATTCAAATAGATGAGATATTGTTATTTTATCCGTATAAAAAAATTAGAACGCAAGATACGAACTATTTATCAAAATTGTGAAAATAACGGTAAAATTTTTAGACTTCATAATTAATCAAAGATACATCTACTTACTATTACTTCAAATCACTGCTAAACTCCGGAAAGACAGAGAGATAATTGTTGACTAAAAATACCTGTATGTAGTGAGTCTGTTAAAAGCTGCTGACTTACCAGATGCTCATTCCATCAAAGTGTTTTGTGAATTTTCTACGTTGTTTACTTGAATATAACAAAGATCGGTTTGTAGATTTTGCACAGATAATATTAAAAAAATATTGTACCATCGGTGTGTTACTGAAAAAATGTCAAGCTAAAGATCGATTGCACGAGATTTATATTTACTATACAATGTGAAGATCAAATATATACAAATTAAGCGGTGAGATTTTTAAATTTCCCGTGACGATGTTTTATACGAATACATTGAAAATTACTTGAGACAGAATGGATGCAAAGATTATTATGAATATCTACTGTTTAACTGAATTGCTGCTGACTGTGAAAATTCTTGTGAATTTCAATTTGCACTCATCGACACGAATTAAACATAAAATTTAAGAGAAAAAATTTTCAACAATTGCCTGAGATTTCGCGAATAGAGGGAATTTCTTACGCGAGGTTTAGATGTGTAAAAATATTAGCTGGATGGAGACACAAAGATTAGTTGACATGAAATTTTATGCTCCACCGCGAGTTATTGATAAAATAAATAAGAACAACTAATGAACGCCGATTAGTATTACTTTTACGGATTGCACGTAAAAGACATGATCGTCCGATATATAATGCTGAAATGATTTTAGGAAAGTACGATAAACATCGGAGAAATGAAATAAAAACAAGTGTGAGAGTACATCGCAAATTTAAGCGATTGAGGTAAATAATGAACATATGATTATATTATATAGATACATTGATTTAAGGTAATCGAAAAATATATAATATGCGAAATGAAATATTAAAGATATTTAAGTCATTTTTATTCTCAAACCCTATAACTTTTTGTTTGCTATATTTACATGAATTATTATAAAAAAAGTTTGAAAAATTATTTTAGTAACAAATACACAAGCAGTATATGTTTTCATTAAAGAGAATTTTTTTAACATCTATATCATACAGTTTTTACATATAAATCTCGTTTTTACATATAATAAGATTGCTACAAAATTTATCAATATCTAAGTATAGATTAAACTTAACATGTTGGCCTAAAAAGTAAAAAATCAAGAAATTGTAACTTAGTCACTCATGATTCAGTCTATTTTTTAATGTCGTAACAATGTATCAAGAAGTGAAGGAACTACTAGGCCTGGGTCTAATTCATACAGATCTTCAATTAGATCTCCTTTGATAGATTTCAATCCTCTACGCGTTAAGCCCCAGAATGACTGAGGCCTTAAACTTTTATCATTATGTGCTTCAAAACACCATCCTTTGTGATCATTGCATCGTTCGCAATAAGCTATGGTCCATGCATATCTGAACATTGTAAATAGACAATATTTTAGCTCAAGATTAGTTCCAACCTTTTTTTAAGTATTCAAATATTTACCCAGGAAACCAAGAATATTCTGTTGAAGGCTGTTCTCCACTAAGAATTATATTACTAACATCATAGAGAGTAATGGTATCATGTACAAATCCTCCAGAGTTACAAAATGTATTCTGTGGGCCTTCTTTACTCATTGGAAATACATCTGATTGTTTTCCAATTTGTATTCCACAATTGGAACATGCCAAATAACGGTCCTATTAATTAGTAATTTGGAAATTGGTTATTGAATTAAATAGAAAATGAATGCAGTGGAATAATCTATGTGACACAATAATTTACTTACTTTTGTCAAATATTTCAATTCCCATTGTAGTCTTGAAATGGCGCAATCAAATTTTAAAAGCAGTACCCTCTCATCATCGGTAAGGGGCAAGTTCTGAGCTACCCAATATGATAATTCAATTGGATCATCCGGTGCATGACTTCCTCCTAGTAATTATAAGTTTTATTTGTAATTTATGGAAAAAAGTAAAACATTTGACTGTACAAATTTAATTCAAATTACTTGTTTCAATATGAGTTAAATGATGTTTTATATGACTTGCTAATGATTGAGGATCAAACTGTTTGTAAACCCAAGAAGGCCAATGAGTTAACATTGCTTCTACTTTCTCAATCTTTTCTTTTTTATGATTATTTATTTTGTCGAATTGACCTCTTTGAAAATCCAAAGAAAAAGATCTATAATCAGCAAATGGCGATGGCAAAACAATTTCTGGTAGAATTTTAACATTTGCTGAAACTTTTTGAAAACCCTGTAACAATTAAGAATAAATGTTAAGACATTTAAGAAAATCAGTTGAGTGAGTTTAAGTTTATCTAATTTACATGTATGATTCTTAAGACTTCAAATTTCTGTCTTCCAATAGCTTTTATACAAAATCCTTCTGGAGAATTTTCTTCATTATACTGATATATTTCAGCAGTAGTACCTATGGTTTGCAACTTATCATCTCGATAGCAAAGCACACCAAATGTTCGATTGTCGCTGATACATTTCAAGAGCATCTCCACAACACTTCGTCCAAATTTAGCCAAAGGTAAAATTTGGCCAGGAAAAAGGACGACAGATTCTCTAATAAGTAATGGGAGGTTCATATATATCCCTTCATCTAGTAGAGTACGTCCTCTTAACTCTTGTAAATTACTTCCTAAATACTACAAAAAAGTAATTATGAGTTAAGTTTTAGTCAAGATGTATTTGTCAACTGTTTAAAATGTGTTAAAACGTACAGAATGAGAAGAAGGTAGGGTCATGTCAAATTCATGAATTGCAGATGATTCAGGACTATCAGGTGCACTACTGGTCTCTATGTTTTCATTGATATTTACATCATTATCAATTTGTGATTCATCCTGCTCTTCTTCATCTTCAATGACATGATATTCTTCTACATCTTCGTTTCCTGAATAAAACGACGCAAAAGAAGTTCAAATAGGTTATTTCAAACGTAACCAAATTAAAATAACAAGTAGCATTTAGCATTAAAAATTGCCCACCAGTTGAAGGATCTACTCCTCGATGGACTGCAACAAGTCCGAGATCTCGAGGGCCAGCTACGTTGGACTCAGGGGAAGCTTCAATGTCGTCGTCTATGTTCATGTTTACGATTTTAGGATTGCATGAATGACAGTTGACGTTGTCCTTAACGCAAAATTAGTGGCAAAGAGTTTTGGCACTTGTTGGTAAATTGGAAAACGATAAAGAAGACTTATTTAAAACGAATGCTTCGTTTCAAAGCAACATTTTCATTCTTAGCGTGCTGCTGGTAGACGATGTGAAAATAAGTTTTCACTATATAAACGCGTAATATGCGAACGGATTACGGCTGCAAAAATTGGCTGCTGTGACACCGTGAATGAAGCCGCACTCTCGCACGTCTATTTTAACACGCGCTCGAGTTGATGTCGAGGGGAGATCGTATTGAAGAATGCAAACACCTTTGTGTTATATTTGTAAACATACTTCGCATCCAGACGATCTATCGAGAAGTTATCTTCGACAGGGAAAATGACATGACGAACTTCATTGTGGGCTTTCTCCCCGCCCGCCCGCTACTCCACTTCTGAGTTTTGTACTGACACGACACGGGACGACTCGATTCTGCAATCAGGACTAACTTCAGCTTATTTCAAGCCTCGCTTTGAATATCAAAATTGTGAAATGTTTGTCGATACTGAGGAATCGTGTTAACAATATCTGGGTATACAAAATAAGTGGAAAAATGGCACAGAGCTATCGAAAGAATCGGGATTGACATGTATTTTGTATATCTATATTTTAAACATCATCTGCTCATAATACGCATTATTTAGGAACCAAAAGTTATGCGTTCAGGTGCGTTATTACAAGATTTACATTAAAATTAATCCAAAAGCATCGTATTGAAGCAATTAGAATTCATTATAATTTCTTCTAAACGAAGGATAATTTTTTCCTCTGATTTACCTAAATTTTCAAGCAATTTTTGTTGAAATTTTCCGCTAGTTTACTTTGACCGATTCCAAACAAGATCTTGATATGATTTGAATGATCTATGTATTTTGATTTATACAATTATTTCCACTTTGCCACTTGCAGATTTATAGACATAAAGGTACTCGTCTTCTAGCGGTAGAAATTAGATTTCGTTATGATCAAGTTTTTATACACTTTTTGTGAAGTTCTCGACAATAATAAATCTGTAGTAAAACATCAATTTTTAATCGAAATGTTTAAATTTGAGTATAGAATCAAATCTTTTTTTGCTGTTCATGTAAAAAAATCAGTTCTCATTCATGAATTTTCAAAAAAAGTTCATTTTAAAGTACCTTAGATAAAATATTTGAAAATATTAATTGAACTAAGAACTGAAAAATTGAATTAAACCAAATGATGTATTTTAAAACGATTAATAGTATTTAATTCCTATCTAAGTAAATCTAATTTAAATTAATTTCGTATATTTATTATGCTGGTGCCTAATATAATTAATTTATATCTATATTATTCAAGTTTTGATGAAGATTTTAAACCATCTTAATACCAGAGGATAATAATGAATAACATGGTTGATACGTATTTATTTCCAAAGTCAAAAATATATCAAATGGTTAATCAAATATTTGAGCTGTAGTTTTAATCTTGACACTTTACTTCGATATTATCTGATAATACAGCTGGTAATTTAAATAATTGGTTTAATATCATCTTATGAATAGAACGAATTTTTTTTCTCCGAGACGAGGGATTGTTTTCGTCGGCGATCAATCGATCATTTCTACACACGAGTGCGATTAATCTGCTCCATTATCTAAATGGAGCCAAGATATATAGTAAAGTTAATAATTTTTCGTTGACCTAGGCCGCGTCCGCTCGAATTAAAACCGTAAAATGAGAGACTCGAAAATGCGTGCTATGAAGTAATACGAGACTCGAAACGCGGTGATGAAAAAAATCATTATCTGCATTTGCCGCTCGAGTCGACGTTTTGTCTCGACAAAAAGTTCCAATTTCTCAAATGAACTTTATAGCGGAGCACAATTATAATAAACAAACTGATGTAATAAGGATAAATGTTTCAATATAAGATGAGCTGGCCGAGACGGCGTGAACTTGTTGATTTTCTCGGCACGACACATACTTATTTTATATAGTAGCAGCTGTATAACTCATCGATCTCTGCCACTGCCTGATTTTCGCTGTTATAATTATAGCGATGCAATGCGCGTGATTTAAGCTCAATGTGTGTGTACGATTCGAACAACAATGAGCGACATTAGCAAAATATTGACGGGCCAACGCGCTCTGGAAATTGTGGCGCTTCGGATGCGTCACTTGAGCAAATTCGGCAATTAAGCCGGTACTCGAGCACGTAGTACAAGAGTGTACTAATTTAACTCGAGCGCGTTTCTCGAAAGCGCAAATCGAGCCGCGTAATCTCGCGGCAGATAGTGCAGTAGCGCGCGCGCGCTCGAGTGTAACCACTCCAAAATAGAGCCTTATCGAGATCGTTGCATTAAAAATGGCAATTTTTTTCTTTTTTTTTTCGTCGTGCCGCTGCTTCTGTGCCGAGTGACTTTTTTCGGGGGGAAACAGCGCGAGTTTACGGTGTGGTGCACGTCGATCGCGTGCGAGTGATGAAACTTTAGCGATCGCTCCATCATTCGTTTTCGAGTGCTCGGATCTCCCCGCAGCAGCAGCGATGATGAATGTGCGACAGATTTAATTGGGTGTCTCGTTAATAATTGCCGCGTACTTTTTCGGATATCGATACGTACGTCGAACGTAGAATGACAATAAAAAAAAAGGTCCCCTCGGTGGCCACACCGCTACCGAACGCGCTCGGATCGTCGATGCACAAACGTACGCAAACGATTCCCAGTTCCATCTCCGTCTGATTATGAAAAAAATACAAGAGAAGCGACTGTAGTTAATTGACTGTACTCGTAGCGGCTTGTAAATATAAATAATTATACGTACGAGTCGCGATGGGAAGTCGGCCATCGGCTCCCTGTATCGCTATTATATATTATTATTAAACTCGTTCGCGATTTCGCGGCGCTGCGACTTGAAAGGCAGGAGAGGGAAGAACGATTCTCGAGAAAAAGCGTGTTTGCGAGAGAGAGAGAGAGAACGAGAGAGATACAAGCAGAAGTTGATTGTCGGTAAACGGTCAAGGATATTTTCTCTCTCGCGGCGCTGCTGCTGCGGCTCGAACCGGCCCCGCGAAGCGAAGCGCACGACGATCAGTCTTGTTTCGAGCGCGACCGACCGCCAAGCTCCCATAATTATATACCGCAGCTTTTAATTTAGCGCGAGTGACGATGAGGTGTTGCTGCTGCTGCCGCAAGTGCACTCGGCTCGCGCAATCCTACTTTTAAAAACCATCGCGCAGAGTCGCATTTTTATAGCTTAGTTGTGAACCATATAGCGTGGTACACGTTTGACGCAACACAGACGTTTTTATAATTATGGATAAAAGTGCGAGGAAGGGCCAGTCGAAGCGGGAGGGCCTGAACTACAGCAACTCGGAGAGCACACCCCTGCTGCTGTCGTCCAGCGGCTCGTCGGGCAGCCAGGCCAATGTCCAGTTGGACGAAACTGATCGGAATCATCGGATTCTCCGGCATTCGGAAACGAGCGATTTTGACTCGAGCTCGGTCACCAGCTCCATCAAGTAACGTTCATTTGCCCACGCATTGTATTATACATTTACACACATATTAGTTGCCTGTCAAATGTACCATCGTCACGATCTCGAAACGCACTTGCAGCGCCTCGGGCAAATCGTCCAAGCCGACCACTCGCTACGAGGCGTTGAATCGGCCCAAAACAGTCGGTACCTACGGGAGCAACAAATTTCCCGGCCTGCTGACGAAGGACGGCCGGGTGGCGCCCCTGAAGCTGCCGCCTCATGCCCTGCACGCCGATTTGGGCCGCGAGGCCAAGTACTATTACGACATCGAGAGCGACGATCCTGCCACGGTGAGTAGTCGATCGTCCTGCAGAGATGCAGATTTTTTAATCGACAATGCGTGTGCGCGCGCGTATACGCAATTCTTTTTATGGCCATTTTAATGGCTACTGGCGAGAAAAATGTCAACTTACATAAGCCAATGTTCGCGTGCACTCGCGCCTCGAGCCTTGTGTGTACATTCATATGCTAATCAGCGTGAAACTACTAACCGGTCGTTGCACGGGAATTTCAAGTTTGCAGCGCGTCTCCGTATACGTGCAGTCTTTTAATATTATTATATAGGTGCAGCCGCGCGCGGCAATCGCATATAAAAGCTATACTGCACCTTTCGATCGGAGCTACTACCCGACTCGAGCGACTACATTAAAATGTGCTTCGTTAAAAAAATTTACACTCGACTCTGTCCCTTTCTTCACAGGACGATCAGGGCGACTACGGAAAAAATGAAAATTTCGTCGGTGGCTTCTTCATGCAGTCGTTGCAGAGCCAGGAGCACGAGGACGGCGACGGCGACGATCTGGACGACCTCAAGCCCAAGCAGAGCTCTCTAGTCACCATGTGCGTCCGTAATACGTTTGCTTGTACAATACGCGCTTATATCGTCCCCTATGCATACGACGGCCAATGGATTTTCCCCAGGCCATTTCTATTCGTAAATAAATGTCTCGTTATAATGTGCTCGGGCGCGCATGGAAAAAATATCATAACACGCGAACGATGACGCACGCGCCTCTTACTTTGCTTTACAAGTAAACGCTATGTAATATCATCGGAAAATGGCAAAAAGACAATTATCGAGGAGAGAGAAAGAGAAAAGATCCACAACGCGCGAGGGCATGTGAGCTCTCTTTTGTGCTTTTCTTCGTAATTATAAAATTAACTTGCAATATATTCCACATGACCTTCTTGATAATAATTTGGTCGATGCTCGCAGTGTGGTGCATACAATGTTTATGCACATTTTACTCCCTCTCTCTTTCTCTTTCTTTCTCTTCCGCGAGCGATCGAGCGATCGAGCATGTAAGAGCTCCCCATTATCAACGCCTTTTTTCCCCGGTTTTTAAATCGATGCATTTTTATTCGTAAATAAACTAATCGCCGCGCACACGAAACGCATGCGAACGCACGCGGATTCCGTCGGCGCACGCCACACGCTCATTATCTCCGAGAGTCGTATATTAAACTTCTCGCGCTCGCGCGGAGAGAAACGTCAAATTGTGTAACTGCGCTGCTTCGATCGAAATATACTTATTTGTCGTCTTTTCTCTTTTGTCCTTTTCCTCGATGCAGTTTTTCCGTCTGGAACACGATACTCGGCTCGTCGATGCTGACGATGCCCTGGGGCATCTACATGGCCGGCTTCGTGCCCGCCATCATCCTCATCCTCACCATGAGCGCCCTGTGCCTCTTCACGGCCTACAAGCTGCTTCAGGTCCACAAGTATCACGGTACGTTCCTTCCAATTATCAATCGCAATTATTGAGATTCGGCTGCAGTTCTCTCTCTCATGCCTCTCTCGTTTCCTCTCGCTCCCCCCGATCAATCGAGCTCTTGATTAAAATCCGGCGAAAACACGCTGAGATCGTTCCGTTGGCCAATTCGACGCAACCGCCCATTGCGCGAGTCGTGAAAAGCGATAAAACATCTCTTTTCCCGTAACTCGACATTCCTCAACTTTTCTCAACTTTATTCGAGGCGATTGATGTGATTTTCGTAAAATAATCCAACGAATTTGGCTTATCCGATGATTGTAATTTTCCAATTGCAAAAATTAATTCGGTTTATTGTAATTTTTCAAAGGAGGTGGGACGAAAACCGGAGTGATGGAGCTCAGCAAAGCGCTGCTCGGTGGATGGGCAGCGACTACCGCCAAGATCTTCAGCGTGACCGTATTGCTCGGAGCCAACATCGCTTATTGGATCCTTATGTCAAATTTTCTGTATAATTCCGTCAATTTCCTCTACGACACGATTCTCAACTTGCCGCTCATGAACGCCGTGACGTTCAACAATTCCGAGTTCAATCGTAAGTGCGACTACCTTCGAAACCATAATCAAGTATTACTCTTGCACGCTCGCATGTTTTTACGTGTACTTAATTATTCGTGATCGGTGCGCAGTGCTCTGCCCAAAGGACGATATGCTCAACGGCACGGACATGTACGAGAACTCGTTTGACAACTTGGGACCGGTCTGGGATTTGTACAAGACAGTCCCGATATTTTTGGCTCTCCTGGTCTTTCCCTTTTTAAATTTCAACACGACGACTTTTTTCACGAAATTCAACTCGCTAGGTAATTTTTTACTTTTTCCTTTTTTTTTTGGAGAAAATCATTATTTTATTTGTCGAATTTGTAACGCAGGTACCGTGGCCATCGTTTACTTGATCGTTTTCGTCGCTGTGAAATCGGCATCTTGGGGAGTCAACATGAACAAAATCGAGTGGGAAGATAGTTGGATACTCCGGCCGACTTTTCCAGTATTAGCTGGTATGCTGTCGCTATCGTTCTTCATACACAACATTATCATAACAATTATGCAGAGCAATCGCAACCAGAGTAAAAATGTACGTAGCGCATGCCGATCTAGGCAGCTTATTATTACTTATAGCCACTACATTAACGCATAATATGTCGTAATGAAAACATGATTGTCGGCGGCAGCATTGACCGAGCTAATTGTCTTGATGCTTCACAGGGTCGAGATTTAACGATTGCCTACGCGCTCGTCACCATTACTTACATCATAGTCGGCATTGTCTTTTATATTTGCTTTCCTCTGGCCAAGAGATGCATCGAAGATGTGAGTTGAGGCAGAGATTGCCCATTTTTATTGCACCATTCTCTTGCTCAATCGAATTGACTAATTTTTATTATTTTTCAGAATCTCTTGAACAATTTTCATAAAAATGACGGTTTAACCGTTGGAGCCAGAGTCGTGCTGTTATTTCAACTATTCACAGTCTACCCATTGATCGCTTACATGCTGAGAACTCAACTGCTCACATCCGTTTTCAAAGCGAACAATTACAATCGCGGCATGATCATCCTCGTCAATCTTGTCATTGTGACGATTTGCGTACTCTTTGCCATATTTCTGCCACACGTCGGCACCATCATCCGCTATACCGGTGCTATCAGCGGTCTGATTTACGTTTTCACACTGCCGAGTTTGCTACATCTCGTCGTGTCCTATCGTAGAGGAACCATAACGGTCTACAAGGTGCTATTGTACTTGTGCGTTCCTCTCATAGGTGTGATAAATCTAATAAGTCAATTTTTCATTCAAGCTTATTAAGTTTGTAATTTGTTTTTTTATCTTATAATTCTCTTTGTACATAGTAATTAATGATCTCTTATAGAGATGTTGTAAATATTGAACGCATTTCTCTCTGTTACGATAGTATTATAATTTTACCACATATACTGTTTTAAATAATGTGATAAAAAAATGAATAACTCTTATTTTTTGTAAAATTATCTACAATTTTATATTATATATTTACAATAATATAACAATTTGACTCAATTGATACCATTTGGATGTTTTTTTACTGCTTCTGCAATGGTGTTTCATATAGCCAAACTGTATCAACATCTGTTCCAATTGTCTTGATTGGCTTACAATTAGGTAACGGAAAACGACAAGCTACTATTGAACTATTTGGTTTCAATTCTTTTTTAAATTTAGCCTCAATTTCATGCATCTGTAATTTTTTAATTCTAATAAGTCAACTATTATATGATTTCTGAATAACTCTGAAAAACACTACTTACCATTTCATCCACCCCAAAAATAACAACATTGTTATATTTTTGCATATTAAATTGAAATAAATCTTTTCTAAAGAAGTTTGTTTTGGACGATACACCATTAAATAAGGCAGAAAGTTTTGAGTAGCGGATTAACCATTGATTGAGTTCTACACCATCAGCTATGAAACCTGCTTTAGCTGCAGCAATAACCTGAAAGAGATTTATTTTGTAATTATTATTTGATATAAAACGCTGTTATTAAAATAGAAATACTTTAATGAAATCTTACTATTCGTCCATCTCCACTTCCTATGTCTAGAAGAGTTCCTTGCTTTCCTTTCAATGCTTTCATGACATTTTGTACTTGTTCATTTGATGCTGGACAGAATGGTAAACAAATACGTCTGAATGCTGGACTGCAAAATGGCAAACTTATTGCAGTAATTGCAATTCCAACTCCCCCTAAAAAAATGTTACATTAGTTAAAAAGTTGTATTCAAATTTTCTATTATATTTGAGTCTAACTCCAACCTTAAAAAATACAAACTCGAGTAAATTACTAACACTTTCAGAACTAGAATTTTGTAATAGTATTCATTTAATTATAAAAAAAATTCAACATCTATTCTTCTTAAAATTTTGATTTCACTTACAATGTGACAATTAACGCATACCTAACAATTAATAATAAAAATTGAAATAAAAGCATTACCAAAAATCCCGGCAAGTATCATACTAAAGCGCTTCGATTCCGGTGTCATTCCGGGTGTATTCCACCCAATTTCATCCAAAACTTTTTGCTCCATTTTATTATTTACAATTACAAAAGCTATATGAAATATCACAGTCAAAACAAGTCTTGAAAAAGCAGCAGAAGACAGGCGACGATTGTTGAAATTGGGAGTCTGCTGGGATGTCGCTACTGCTGCAGACGACTGTTGTTCGCGCAGGCTTTTCTGCTTTGTAACATAACAGAGATCCGCTGCTCGAAGTAAAGCTCCTTTCTCGCCCCCCTGAAGTCGCAAATCGCGCGACGCTTTCGCGCAAATCCGACCAATCGTCATCGCAGCCACATCGGAATAATATAGAGCTCGTTTAACGAGGGTTGCTCACTCGCACACGTCTTTGTGAAATATATAACATGACGCGTGAACGAGGGCAAACCTATAGGACATTATAACTATCGTACAACATATGGGTCAGATTCAGAATTTTTCAAATAAACCTGCGGGCGAGGTTCACGGATTTTCCTGAAATTTTGGTATGTTATAGTACATGATAAAAAAGTGCCAAAACCAAAATTTTGGACCCCCTCCCCCCTCCTACCCCCCTCCTCCCCTATAGACGTCCATTTTCTATCTATATTTTTTCTGAAGGCCTGAAGCTATTAAAAAATCTGAAAAAATTCATGAAGGTACTTTTCAACAATCCAAACAATCTTGAATTTTTTCAGATTTTTCGAGTGCTTCAGGCCTTCAGAAAAAATCATTGAAAATTTAAATTATTTTATTTTCGGTGAAATGGTTCGATGTACCAGACCGGAGTATTTTTTTCTGAATTCTGACGTCAAAAAACGATTCCTTGAATTTTTTCAGAATTTTTCATTCATGTCCATTCAGCCTAGAGCTGAAAAACCGCTTTTTTTCACGAAAATAATTTTTTTAAGGCGCTACGGAGCCTCAAAAAATCTGGAAAAATTTTTTTCTCATTTTGTTCATCAAAATACATAATCTCAAATTTTTTCAGATTTTTTAATTGAAGGCGATAGCGTCTGGAGCCGAAAAACGTTATTTTTAACAAAAAAGGTTCCTGGAACCCGATGGTTCCGGTAAAAAAATTTGAAAAAATTTTTTTTGAATTCCTTGTCAAATTTTAATAAATTTTGACCGTCGCAAAATTTCGATTGGAGCTTCCTAGCTCATTCTAGAGCATAACAAAGATTAATGCGAAATTCTGAAGACATCTGAAAAAAATTTAAATATGATGAATGTCTTCAGAATTTCGCTCTAATCTTTGTTATGCTCTAGAATGAGCTAGGAAGCTCCAATCGAAATTTTGCGACGGTCAAAATTTATTAAAATTTGACAAGGAATTCAAAAAAAATTTTTTCAAATTTTTTTACCGGAACCATCGGGTTCCAGGAACCTTTTTTGTTAAAAATAACGTTTTTCGGCTCCAGACGCTATCGCCTTCAATTAAAAAATCTGAAAAAATTTGAGATTATGTATTTTGATGAACAAAATGAGAAAAAAATTTTTCCAGATTTTTTGAGGCTCCGTAGCGCCTTAAAAAAATTATTTTCGTGAAAAAAAGCGGTTTTTCAGCTCTAGGCTGAATGGACATGAATGAAAAATTCTGAAAAAATTCAAGGAATCGTTTTTTGACGTCAGAATTCAGAAAAAAATACTCCGGTCTGGTACATCGAACCATTTCACCGAAAATAAAATAATTTAAATTTTCAATGATTTTTTCTGAAGGCCTGAAGCACTCGAAAAATCTGAAAAAATTCAAGATTGTTTGGATTGTTGAAAAGTACCTTCATGAATTTTTTCAGATTTTTTAATAGCTTCAGGCCTTCAGAAAAAATATAGATAGAAAATGGACGTCTATAGGGGAGGAGGGGGGTAGGAGGGGGGAGGGGGTCCAAAATTTTGGTTTTGGCACTTTTTTATCATGTACTATAACATACCAAAATTTCAGGAAAATCCGTGAACCTCGCCCGCAGGTTTATTTGAAAAATTCTGAATCTGACCCATATATATGTAGGTGTAGGACGTGCGCGATAAACAGGGTCGAGTACATTTTGCTCTCTGGAAATATCAGTCTGCGCGCGCCTTTGTATACACACAACAAAGTGACTCCACTTCAATCGTCTTAACTCTTAAACTCGCGTTAATTTCTTTTGTGTCAACAATTATCGTGCCAAAAATGTATAGTTCGTCAAATTTTAAGAAAAAATTCAGTTTTCGCGACCGAGCACACAGTGATTGTTTGGTAGTTGATTCGGTGAGCCTGTCTGTTGTTCAGTGTAATTTAGTAGACTCTTTGCACTGATTGCCGATTGTATATGGTGAGGTGTATAGCTCGCGAGTAAAAAGTTAGTCATCAATGTGACCATTGGTGCTTTTGACCCAAAGCAGATGATGCATTTGTTGTCCCTTTTCCTCTACCTCATGACTGTACTATTTTGCTAATGTCTTTCTCCTCATCTATACGTGAACTCGTGTAACTCTTCCGACTGGATATCCTTTACACTGTCTTGACTGCATTTATTGATAGTAAATGACGATATTCGCGATCGTGTAAGTAATATTCCTTTTAATGCAGCTTGAGTATTTTCGAACAAGATAAAGTTTTCCCAATTGTCTTCCATTCAACTAAAATATTGAAAGCTGTTTAGTACTGGAATTGAGGAATTTATAACCATTTGTTGACACATAATTGATTTACAAATATGGATAACATAAGTGAGTTTGACATTAAATTGGAAAAAGATATTTATTATGCTGGAGAAATGATCAGGGGTCATGTTGTGTTACACACAACTGAAAACTTCAAACTAAGATGTATGTAAAAGACACATTTTAATAGTCGTTTAGTTTTGACAACCATCTGTTATGTTTATTTATAGCAAACATTTTGCATGTATTTTATTAATTTGAATATTGATGCTGTATATAGATTTGAAGTTTATTACTTTTTTGTGTGCATGTAAAATTATTATGTATAGTATAAGTTGGAGTTGAAAAATAAAAATTTACTATTCTGTATCAATATGTTGAGTTTTTATTTCTTTACAATATTCATCGCTTTGTCCATTCATTGATGTGAATCATAAAAAAGTTCTTTACCTTGAGTTACCGGAGTTTACTTTTGTCAACTATTTTTGCAAACAATACCAACAACTTATTTTTGCTATACAACTTTCATAGCGATGAGACTGTCTCTACGAAGTCAAGCACACGTTGAATGGAAAATTTTAGTCAGTGGAGATAGAAGAAATGTAAAGGATGATCAATACTTTGTTGATGAGCGAATTGTAGTCTGGGGTCATGGTAAATTCAATGTTGTATTCAAATGCTTGTTGAATTGCTCATTTAAAGCATTAATTGTTAAAAAATTACAGATACTTCAGACGGTCCTATTCCAATTTTACCTCGTGGGAAACATCAGTTTCCATTTACTTTTAAATTACCAGAGAGCTCTTTACCATGCAGCTTTGAATCTCGCACTGGCTATATTCGTTACTATGTTAAAGCAACAGTTGATCGTCCATATGCAAGTCCTCCTCAGGGCTTGAAGTATTTTACATTAATTGGGCCCCATATAGACTGCATGGATGAACAATACTTGGTAATGATTATTTTTTTTTATTAAAAAAACAAAAAAAAATCAACTTTAATTGATAATTTTTATAGAAACCAATGATTGGTACTGAAGTAAGAACATCTTGTTGCTTTTGTTGCCGTCGAAATCCAGTAGAATTAAGTGCTCAATTAGAACGAAGCGCTTACGTCTGTGGTGAAAGTATAAAATTACGAGCTTCTATCGATAACAAGGGTGTAGAAAAAGCTTGGCTAAGTGTCAAATTAACTCAGGTATAGTTCATTGAACTGATTTATTGAAAAATAAACGCACAATGTAGGCTCCTAAATAATTCTTAATATCATTTAGTACCTCGAATTTTTTATTGAACGAGGTGTTCTTGGAACAAGTAGAGAACTTCAAAAAGTAGTTATGGAATATAAAGGAGAACCGGTACCTCCTGGTACAGCAATAAAATGGGACTCATCGAAAAAAATGATTCTTCCTGTGTGCCCACCAACACTCGTTGGTGTGTGTCGCTTAATACAGATTTACTATGTTTTGAAGGTGGGTAAACATTATCATTTATTCATACAAAAATAAAAAAACAAATTTTTCATATTTTTATAATTCGTTCGGTGCAGGTCAGTGTACAATTGGAAAAATCTGGAGAGGATATGCAAATGCACTTTCCCTTGACTGTGGCAACGGTGCCATTCAGGATACCGAACTTGACGCAACAACCACAAATTAAATATGGTTCGTAATGTAGCGATGAAAAAAAAATTAATTTAATACTATCTGTACTAATTGAAATTTACACAATTTCACCTTTAAACAGAAAATGCAATGGAGCACGTAGAAGGAGGTTGCTATATCGGCCCGGAATTTCTCTTGGGACAAGTTTATGATGGCACTGAACCCCTTGGGTCTCAAGCTCCATTAGTTTTGTACAGGCCAGTGTATGTTTGCATTGCCAATGAAAAGAAAACGCAGAGTCGTTAGAGTTCAAGTATGTCTCCCGGAAAAGTATGTTACAATAAATTATTCTATAAGATTTTTGCAGCTTTCATTTTTGTCCCAACAGGATGGAAATTATGTAAATCTAATAAGTATGTACTTGTGACTATGTGTACTGTTGGAATTTGAAAAAATATATATTTTAAGACCCAGATAATACCTTGCCAAAAAAGAAATGACAGAAATTTTTTCATTTGGAAAATTTTTGACAAAATCGCAACATGTATTGTTACATGTCTTGTATAATAATTAGAGAGATACCAAAACTAACGTAAAAATAAACATTTTCAAAAACATTTTTCGAAATTTCTTCTAAATATTTTTGTAAAAAAATGACAGGCGATTAAAGAGCAACAAAACAAAAATATTAAAGTAGCTTTTTATAAAAATATTTGGTAGATAATTAAAAAAACGCGTTTGAATTTTTTTACCTTATTCTTGGTATCTCCTTAATTAAAATAATAAAAATTATAAAGCCTAATTAATTATTTTATGAGCGCATAAAATTTAAGCATTTTTCTACAATAACTTTTTATCGTTTACAAAGCTTTTTTATTAAATATTAATAGCAACATAATATTTAAAATAATTAAAATTGTTTTTAAAGACCTTCCACCTGGTGCTCAAAACCTTTATAAAAAAAAGAAAAAAGCTAAATAGTCTTGACAGTCATAAAAAATTTTAGATGGACCAATCAATGTTCAAATTGTTAAACGTTATAATTCTGAGCTGCAATTATATTCAAATAAAGTTGTTCAAATGTGCCATAATAATTTGAATGTTCAATCTAAGCTTAGAATAAATTATATTCAAATGTTTATGAAAATAATATTTTTTAACGATTTAATCATCTTATATTAATATAATTTGAGCCTATACGTTTATTTTTTTTTTCTTATAACTTTTTTTTTATTTATGCGTTTATTTTTATGAATTTTAGTAAGGGATTTGATATAACTTTAAGATGATGGTGGGGAAATTACATTTTATATAAAATATAAGAATGCTGAATTCATAAAAAAAATTTTCGTTGTAATAACATTTTTGCTTAATATAGATGATTGATAATTGCAAATTACTACTAATTTATCTTTGTTACAATTAATGAACAGTAAAAAATTTTTTTAAATCTGTGGAAGTAACATATTAAATGATACATTCAAAGCAATATGGAAAATATTACTCCGATGGCAAATAATTAAATATTGTAATGAATATAATTACTTAAAGAGGGTAATACACTCGGCGATTAACCACTTTTTATCAGTGAATGACTACTTTGGGATATACAATAATTATACTGTTTCCTTGTCTTTAGGTAACTGGACACGGAAAATAGACAAAATTATTCCCTGGATAATTGTATGAGATTCATACAAATACTTTGCTGATATTTTTTTGTTAAATTTAAAAAATACGATCATTTACTGGAAACCGGTCAATCACTGGGTCGATTACCCTTGATAATTTCATGAATATTGCTTAACGACAATATAGAATATAATCAATACACCTGTACCATAATCATCAAACTCAAAATACATGCTATGAATATATCGATATGATTTTCTTGTATTTAAGTTCAATGTAATTTTCTTTTTTAAGATTATAAACGCGATGAAGATATTAACAATCAGTTTTTCAAGTGATCTTTTTACAAGTATTTATATAAAGTGCCAACTAAAAGAAATGAATTTAAACAATAATTTTTCCTCCTAGCGTGCACAAAAAATTGTTGTAGCGCCAAAAGTATATGAAAGTGCCTCCCAAAAATGATAGTTATCCATTTTTTTGCGTTGAAAAATAATTTCCGCAGATAGTAAATAAACGGTATACCGATAAAATCACGAATCTAAAAGTAATTAATCGCTTCTAAACGTCAAATTTTTGAGCAATAAATTTAATTTTTCTACGAATTGTTAATGTGTTTGAAAAGATAAATATCCAGTCAATTATTGACGTACTGAAAAAGTATCGAACAATCTTAGCATGGTACAGGTGCCGCATATGATACATCATAACATATGAAGATTGGAAAAAAGTAAATCACAATGAATTTTTAATTAAACAAGAATAATAAGATTAAACATCGTAAATTAAAAAATAAGAAGTTACTGGAGATTTCAGAATGGTATAGACTGTGTAGGAGTGCTTGTAAAATTATACTCATAAAAATACGTATAAACTTGTTAAATTTAGAACCAAATTGTAGTCACTGTTATTCATGATTACTATGTATAGTCAATGAGCGTTAACAACTTGACTAATTCTGCACAAAGGTTCAATTATAAATTTTAAGAAACGATGTTGTAAAGTTAAATATACCTCACTATAATATGTTGAAAAATTAAACATTGATATAACTATTTGTTTAGAATAATAATGAAATCATTAAGAATACATAATAAATTATACTGAAATATTGTTATAATTTTTCCATTCAGTTCATTTGTAAAATTAGTATTAACAAAACAAAGAATTATCATTGAAAAGTACTCCTCAGCGAGGTCAAGTTTGAGAAAATTTTAATATTTAAATTTCATGTAACATATACCTATATCCATAAACTAATAATCAAATTAATGAAAAATAATTTCATGACATAAATTATATGTTAACTTTAAAGTCATGTATAATAAAGTAAAAAATACTCAAATTGGTCTGTTTAAGATTAAAAGAGTTGAAATGTTGTTAATGCAGTTGCAAGCCTTTCAATACCTTTGTATAAGTATAAAATGCCTGTATAATAAATGTTTGTATATGAATAATTAAAATATTGTTTCATTTGATTAATATGGAGAAAAAATGACCCAGAATTCTATATGTAAGTAGAAAATACTATTTAATATGTATATATTTACAGGGATTGTTTAAGTAGTAGCTTATTTTATGGGAATTTATAAAAATTGATCTAGGGGCAATGAACAAGTGAACCTAAAAGTAACATGAAATGGTATTGATCATGTTTTGACATGTTATAATTTTTCAACAGATAAAATAAAATCTTGAAATCAAGTATTAAATAGTTAAAATTGCCATTGCCTTGTAACATTTGAAAACTATCTTTGATAGAATAATTAGCTTTCAATTTTTTGCAGATAGCGCAGTACACAAGTAGATTAGTTTTAAATTTAATCTAAGACTATATACTTGACATCAATGAAAAATATTGGTTTTAAACTTAACCCATATCAAGTCATTAATTTTTAAATTAAAAAAAAATAATAAATAAATGAAGAAATTAATAATTGTATGACTATGATGGCGACAATCAAAATAAAAATCAAGTTTCACTTGCAAACGTGTCTCTATGAAATTACAAATAGATTAGCTTGAATACCACCTCAAGTCTGGGTATTCAAGTAAAATATAATACATTAACTATAATATTTTACATTACTTCCATACTGTTTTGCGTATTTTCTGTAAAACTCAGAGAATTATTCGCAACATCTGTCATACTGTCATCTGCAGCTGCATTTTGAACATCCATTCCATCATTCATAGTATTGGATTGCGCATTTGTGCCATCATCCCAATTAATTTTAAACCTAGTAACACGTGGTTTGTCAGCTAAGATATTCCTTTGCACTTTATCAAACTGAGGTTGTTGTGGAGGATTTTCCTTTAGCTCTGGATCCGTGTATTCATTGTTAATGAAATAACCAACTCGTACAAATTCTTGATTTCTATAGGAACAAGTCAGTAGAACTACTGTGACACCCAATGCATCATTGACAGGGATTTTTGTTACATCTGGGGGATCAGCCTTAAATAGTAAAAAAAAAACATATTAGTTACATATTGCTACATTATAGTAAAAGTTGATATTTCATAGGAGAATGACTCATTACCTGGAAAACAAACATGTGCCTTCCCTCAGGGATTGGGCCAACGTATATTGTGTCCAAGATCTGATCATACTCTTCAGATTCAGCACAACCAACATAAATCATTTTCCACTCCAAATCTGCAACATTAATAGAATCTGATTATTATTCATTCATCAGGCTTTATTTTACGGGTCCGCTTAGTACTACCGATGTTTTTCGAGTTTCAAATACATCGCGACTCGCGGACAAATCAAGCGTATGAGTCATTATAGAGAAGTACAGGTTAACTTCACAGTTAGAAAATAAACATGCTATTGTAATTTGCGTACGAAGCTCGCTGATAGGAACTCGATGAATTCCTGTCGAGACCTGCGCGCTCAAAAGAAGCGTCTCGAATCTCTCATTACTCAAGCTCAATAGTTGTAACCTTAAATCGTTGAAGAGAGAAAAAAAACGATCGATCCCATATCCAGAATTCATGCGCTAACGACGCAGATACTCAACCCATCGTCGTCGCGTCACTCGATTGTGTGCGTCGGAAAAGCTGAGCGGGGTGCTCGAGAAAACCTACCTTCTTTGAGTTCCTCGATGCATTCGAAGGTGATTTCGAATTGCATGGGATTGTAAAAGGGCGACGGATTGTCGAGAACGGCGACGTTTACGACTTGCACCTTGGCCATGGCTTCGCACAATTATAACTGACGAAGAGCTAGCCTATGGAAGTATGCAACGTATCTATGCAATCGTCGAACGGTCGAGTTGTGCGTCGACGATGTTGTTGCTCCGCAATCGTTCCCAACGATTCAACGATAGTCCGTACAACCGCTCGAGTCACGACAGAATAGCTCTAGGTCGAATAATTGAACGTGTAAACAATTGTTGAGAGTCGGCCGAGGAGGAAGCGAGACGTGTGGCACTGCGGCGGCTCGCGAGAGCTGCTTAGAGCTACACTGTATGAATGAGCAGCCGAAGCAAAATAAGTGCGAGAGTCAAGACGTGATTCTTGTGTGCCGCGCGGCTAGCTATCCAAGCAATCTCTCGTGGATTGTGTATATCTATCGAGAGAAAAGCGCGCGAGTACGAGCGAGCTTTGGCGCGCAAAGTCTTGGTCGCGCGCAGCCCGATCGGCGCAGCAATGTTCGCGACCGATAATACCGGAGATTAGCCGTTCCCGCGACTTGGAATTTGACGCCGGGAGACCATCGGATATTTAAGCCCGAGCCGTGTTCCGTTGGCTGAATCGGGTGTGTTGGGCTCGTGGCAGTGACTCGGGTCTGTTACTCTGACGTTTGCAGATGTATACGCGAACAATACTATTGGATGATTGCACAAAGTTCCGTTACGAGCGCTAATTTTGAATCTTCGTTTTTCTTCCACGTTGTTTTTCCAATATTTTACCTTCTCTGTTGTCGATCGATGCTTTTATCGATCGACTTTGATTTCATTCGTAACTTGTCGTCTGCAAATATAATGTAACGCGGGAAAAATCATATATTGGCTGAGAAAAGCGAGACTCGTGTCGATCATCACCATGACAACTCGCCAAGTGGTCGGGTAGTCAGGAAGTTTGATCGACAAAGCTACGTTGTTGATCGGGCCGGTGAATTATTCGACGACTCTTCGCTCCAAGTTGCCTTTTAATAATTTCCACGAGTAAATAATAACATAAATCGACGGCAAAATGACGGACGGCAAAGCCAAGGGGGTGGGCTTCGCGCTCATCGGCAACGACTTGCTGCAGCGCGACGAATTGAGCAGCAGAACTCTGGACGAGCTGCAGCAGGGCAGATCCCACCACAGTTCCCCTCTGCACTCGGTCTTTTACGACGAGAAGCAATGGATGGACCAATTCAACGAGGACACCTTCAAGATCCTCGACCCGGACGATCCGTTGATGAAGAGATTCCAGGATGCCCTGAAATCTCACTTGCAGCGCATCGACGGTAAACTCGAAGAGGAGATTCGCGAGTTGGTGAGCGTTCGGCAAAGCGCGTGAAAAATGTCCACTCGCCAAGCGTCCTTTCCTTCAATTCGTTTTTTCTATTTGCGAGTACAGGAAGCGGCTCTGAAGGATGCCAACAAGACGCGCGAGGACGAGGGCCTCGCCCTGTACGAGGTGCAGCAGGAGGCCGCCCGCCAGGAGCAGGCCATCGACCAGTACAAGGACATGCTCGCCGAGGTGGTGAACCTGCGCGGCGACATCAGCGAGCGCCTGGAGAAGATCAAGTCGGCCCACAAGAGGCTGCAGGACGAGCTCCAGGCGAAAAAGTCCAAGGAGAAGCTGCTGCAGCAGAGCGTCGAGAGCCTCGACGCGCTCCAGAGGCAGTTCGCCAAGTGGGAGCAGGACCTCGCCGCGAACCTCAGCATATCCCAGAGGATATCGGAGAAGGACGCGGCCACCGAGCGCGAGCTCATCTACCAGAAGCAGCAGAAGGACTTTGTCCTGCTGAAGCTCGAGGACGAGGTCTGGAAGCTGCAGAGCGAGATCAAGGACCTCGACGAGCAGCTGCAGATCAAGGACGAGGAGAAGATGGCCCTCGGCCAGACTCTGGCCGACGCCGCGGCCGACCTGGAGGCTCTCGAGAAGGAGCACAAGACCCTTTACAGCGCTTGGAACAGCGTGCTCGTGCTCATCAGCCAGAGGGACAAGATCAACGAGGAAATAGGCGCCGAGCAAAGGTTGGCACTCGACGAAATATATTAAAAAGCTAGCGAGCTTGCGCAAGCCGAGCAATCAATCAAATTTTCCGTGTTCGCAGGAGAATAAAGGAGTCGCTGCAAAATCTACAAGCGCAAGTGGAAAATCTGAAGAAGAACTCGAACAAAGAGATGGAAAACAACGAGAGGCTGACCGCGCTGCAAACGAGAATCAAGGACGAGATCAATCTCGTGAAAAAGCTCTACGACACGGACAAGGAAAAGTACTCGAGCCTGGAGAAGAACTTCAACAAGATATCGAAGCTGATCGATCAGAACGAGCGAGAGCTGGCGGCGGCCACGATGGAGCACGATGCCGCGAGCAACGCCGACGAGCAGCTCGGCCGAGATCTCGTCAAGCTCGAGAAGCTGAAACGCTCCCTGGAGGAGGACCTGCTGGCCAGGCTCGACGACAAGGTCATGCACGACAAGGCCCTGAAGAATCTCAACCGGATGCTGCACGAGACCAAGGACGGCAACCTCGAGAGCGAGGTGAATCTCAACCGGGCCGAGAACGCCTACGGCAAGTCCCTGCTCGAGATCGAGAAGCTCAACTCGCTGCTGGCCGGCGAGCGCTTCGACCTGGACGCGATCGAGCAGAAGAACGAGGACAAGCGCCGGGACCTGGAGAAGATTCAGGCCGACATCAAGAATCACGAGCTGCTGCAGAAGCAGAAGGAGCGCAAGGTCGCCCAGCTCAACAAGAAGATCGAGGAGCTGTCGCGCGGCAAGGAGGAGATCGACCCCTACGACGCCAAGATCCAGTCGATGGAGAAGAACATCGACGAGACCGAGCAGAAGATCAAGAAGGCCCAGCAGTTCTGGCTGCGTCAGCAGGGCTACATGTACAGCATGAGCGAGCAGCGTGACAGGCAGATACAGGAGCTCAGCTGCATCTGCCGCGAGATCATGCTCATGGAGCAGAGGAACTACAAGCTCGAGGTCCAGCTCGACAAGCAGAGAAAGGAGGAGGCCAACGTCAATCGCAGCATGAACGGCCTCCAGCACCGACTGCTCCAGATCAACGTTAAGCTCGCCTCCCAGAAGGAGCTGAAGAACGAGCTCGAGGACAAGAACAACTCCGTGAGGAACGAGTACATACAGTCTCTCAAGAACGCCGAGCTCCATCTCATACAGCTTCAGGCCGACATCAAGAGGCTCTGCGAGGACAAGTGCAACTTGAAGGAGCAATTGACCGCTGCTCAGCAGGATAATTTGTCCTGGGAAAAGAAGGTGATCCCGTGAACGGCTGCCTATTACTGCAATCTGGAATGATTTTTCAACGTTTTTTTCTTCGAATCCTTTTTCCAGGTTCAATTGATTACCGAAACGAATAAATCATTCAAGGAAGAGCGTAATTCGGGCGGCGACATTGCCCTCATGAAGAGCGAGATACATAAGATGGAGATACGTTTGTCGTATTTGAGAAAAGCTCAGGAGAAGCTCGTGCAGGATATGGAATTTTGCATCTCCAGAAGGGACAATATCGTTGACGAAGCAATGGCTAGAGAAAAGAAAAATCCCAAGAATCAGCATAATCAGAGAATCATAATGAAGAAACGATTGGACGATCAGAAAACAAAAATTAAACAAGTTATCAAGGTACGTGATTTTGGGGTTCAGTGTTAATTTTTTCTCACTCAGCAAGCTTTTCTTTTAGGAGACTAAACAAATAGAGAATAAAATTGCTAGCATAGGAGATCAGCAAAAAACTTTGTTGGAATACCTCAACGAGGGACAAAAGCTTTTGAGGCAAAATGAAGATATAGTGCCCGATATAGAAAAGCAGATCGTAGAAGCCGAGCTCATAAAGCATCATGTAAATCTAACTCTTAATCAAACCTTTAACTATTGCGAAAGCATTGATCGTAAATGATTTTTGACAACATTTTCAGAACTTGGAAGTTTTGGTGAGAAAACAACGCAGAGTCAATATGCTACGAGAATTAAAGGATGGCTGTTATAAATCGGTTATCAAGAGCGAAATGGTTTTAGACGAGGAATGGCGGAATCAGTTAAATTTGAATAAGAATTTAAACGAAATAATGGAACAAACGCAACATGATTTTCCTCTGCTGAAAAATCAAGTTAGAAAAATATTACTCACACTGGAAACTTGAGTAAATTAATTTATAATTATAAAATGTCTTTGAGAGGTCTTATACCGTTTTCATGGATCTACTCTATTCGAGGCAAATATAATAAAACATATTAACAATTTGAGAAATATTTTGAGTGATTTGATGTTATGATACATCGATATTAACTGATTTTCACGACCATATAACAAAACTAGACGATAGTGCTGGTTTATTTATCAAATGAATTTAAAAAATAATTAAATATTTTCTTATTTATTCATGAGAAAAAATGTGAGTTTATCTGATCATTTGTGTTTATTTGTTACTAATTTTAGAGAGAGCTTAATTGTATAATTTTCTCTCAAGCACATATGCAAAAAAATATCACAAAATATTTTTCGACTTCGATCGTAAAGGTAAGAAAGAAATGTTGATTAAGAAAATTTATATTTATTTTTATATCTTACAACAATCATTTTCAGTATTGACACTTTGAATAAATATACTTTTTTATATTATGATTTTTTCTCGTAAACAGTCATTATATTTGTAGTATAAAACATAATCATCAAGTAGCATTGTAAAATCATCGGAATGTTTGTAAAGATAGTCAAAAAGTAACAGACTATAAAAAATTGCGATTAACGCTAATAAAATGCATCATCACAATATTTTATAAAGTATCATTATTTTGTTTGTTTTTTCGTTAAAATGAAATAACGATTAAACTTTGTACCGATCAACGATTAAAAGCTATTTTTTTTTCATTAACTTATGTATTGAGTAAAAACGTACATGAAAATGAAGTATAAATACAAATGAAAAAAATTAAATAAAAAACTGAGCGCTCAGTTTTGATAAATCAAGAATTAAGTTAATACTGTAACATATTTTGCAATCATCAAAGTTAGGTGCAAAATTTCATAGCCAGCTCACCAACTAAATTATATATCAATGATATAAACATCGAGTGAGTCGACGGGTGATTTTGTTGACAAGAGCAAAGTATAAACAATGTACAATTGAATGTCCTGCGCATGAGTTACGACGTAAGCTTGGTTAAGCTATCAAAATATGACATACACTTAATTTATGCCTCATGTGCGGTGACAAATAAAATGAATAATTTACAATAGACATTATTGAACTCATCCAGCCACACTGATTCATTGCTAAAGATAAATTCAAAGAACTTATTAAGAGCTTTGACACTTTCATTACAAAATCATAATACGTTTTCGCAGTGACGATCCGACGCCTGGATCTTGAATAATATTTTGGTCCCTATTCGTAGCTAAATATGAAAATGATTTTTTAAGTTGCTGAAACTTAATGCGCTAGTGGTTTTGGCGTCGAACGAATTTGGGAAATAAGATAAAAATTGGAATAATCACGCAGGTGACAACGTCGACGAGCCATTGTGGTCGGACGTTGCTTTTTCGTCGGGATTCTTCTGACCGATGCGTTCGGCTTCCTCCAAAGTGTCGGGCAGTTTTGTACCAAGGGTTTCGGGGAAGCTCAGCGTCAGCATACCCGCTGTCAGACTCATGGCGCCGAATAGCAGCAGTGGCAGGCCGTCGTAGATGTACTTGGCCTGGGAGAAAAAAAAATTCGAGTAGACCGTTTTTCGTAATTTCGAGTTCAAGCTAAAATGGCAAAATTACCAGTAGAGGAGTTTGAGGCGCCAAAATCGAGCCGACCCTGCCGGTCATGCTGCAAATGCCGAGGAGCGAGTGCCTCAAGGTCGTGGGGAAGAGCTCGGTCGTGTAGACGTAGGACGTCGAGAAGGCCATGGTGATGCAGCCCTTGCCGCAGACGTAGAGGGCCAGGGCGACCCAGTGCCACATTCCGTAGCTGGGCACGAACTGAATGAGCAGACAGAAGACGCCGCTGAAGACGAAGGCCCCGCAGAGGGTCGCTTTGCGGCCGATCGAGTTGAGCAGCGGATAGACGAAGATGTTGCCGGGAATCTCGATGGCGACCACGAGGATGAAGTTGATGTACTTGTCGCCCTGGCCGAACTCAGTCGAGTTGAGGGACAGGCCGTAATAGACGAAGGTGTTGGTGAGCCAGCAGAACGAGCAGATGAGCAGCCGAGTCAAGATCTTGGGGCTGTGACGGATCTGGGTTATGTTGGGCTCGGCCTTTTTAGCGGGACTCGAATCCGCCGCCACCGACTCGTCCTCGCTCTTGCTCGTGTCCTTCTTCGTGTCTCCGTTTTCCTTCTCTTTTTCGTCGTTTATATTTTTCAATTCGATGAACGCCTCCTCGCTTATGTCGAGCTTATTGACTTTGGCCATTTTTCGGTAAACTTTTTCGGCCCTGTCGCGCTTGTCGTTAGCGAGGAGCCACCTGACAAAAGAAGAAAGGAAAAATGTAGTGAAAGTAGAAGGATTAAATTAGTCGAGCATCATAGAGTTTGACAATTACCTGACCGATTCTGGCAGCAGATACATGAGTGCGATGACGAGCAGGCCAGGCCCGTAAATGACTCTCATGAGCACTCGCCAATTACGCGTCCACTTGGCTACCAGGCCAAGCCATATTTCACCGACGGCATAGATACACGATATGAAGGTGCTACCTACTACCCTCTGCTCGACGCCGGTCATTTCCATAGCTGCGATAAAAAAAGGAGCATGAGATATTCCGCGTAAACAACATAATTAGAGCTCACGTCACATATATCACGAAAATCTCATTTCATGAGGTATGATTTTTTTTCTATGAATTGAATTTTTCCTGATATATTTAAGTAGTTTGGTTTCTTGTATTTCATGTATGAAAAGAAAAGTTACCGTAAATGAAGCAAGCGCTGTAAATGCCGGCAGCGAAACACGCGTCGATGAATTCAAAGGCAACGAACATCCAGTAATTGACGGAGAAAGAATGTATGAGGCCGCTTATACCGGTCAGGAATGTTATGCTCGTCAATACAGTCCGTCTGCCGTACCTGCGGCGCAACAAATCGACAATTGCAATTATTGTATAATATTGGAATCGTAAAGAAATGTAATGAGCCATTACTTGTCCGAGAGGGTCGAGGCGAAGGTCAAACCGACCAGTTGGCCCAAGTTGTTGATGGTCCCGATGAGCGTGAGCTTCCAGCGATTCGAGTCGCAGCTGATGTCCCACTGCGGACGGCGCAAAATAAAATTTCGTTAAAAAAGTGAAAATGATCCGAGCTTGCCGCGCAGACGAGCTCGAGGTAATACTTATATTACCTCGTTGTGAATGGTGACCTCGTCGGGGTCGTAGACCCACTCGTTGCATATCTCGGTCTTGTTGTGATCGAAGAAGCCCGGCGCCGAGCAGTTGGTCTCGCTCTTGAAGCTGCTCACCGAGTAGCGCTTGCAGTTCTCGGTCAAGGACTGCGAGTTGTTGAGCCAGCTCATGCCTCGGAGCTGCGTCGCGCTGCCCAAGTCCTCGCATTCCGGGATCTTGCACCTGATGGGCCGAAACACGTATACAACTCGAGCGCATTAACTCTCGAGGCCGCGAGAGAAAAAAAAAGAAGGAGAAAGATAGACAAAAAAAAAGAACGATTTTTCCGCTACGCCTATTTGCCGTCCGTCAACAATCGAGTGCATTATTTAATCGCGTCGATAATCGTTCAAGAAAAATATGTTTTCAGTAAATAAAAAGCGTCGTTATGGCAAATACCGCGCGATGTCCGTTTAGTTCGAGCGAGTAAGGAAAAAAAAAGTCAGCGATGTTCCGCTTCGTCGAACTCGTAAATGCACACAATAAAGAGCCGAGCCAACGTCGTCGATTATGCACGTAAGCCAAGAAGTGTATGTGCATGTTAACGCGTTATTATGTCGTTGTTGTTATTAAACGTCTACGCACCTGTACTTGACTTCTCCAGCGGTAAACACATAGTCGAGCGTAAAGCCCGCCGAGAGTATGAGCGGCAAGGTGATGAGGGTGTAGATGTAGAATTGATACTTTCCGAAGCTGTCGATGTCCTTCTTCATTTTGGTCTCTCTGTGGTTCGGTCGATGTCGGGAAATTGGATCCGGTCCACTTGGAGCTTGCGAGCTTTTTCTTTCTTCCCCTCTTATCTCAGCGAGATTATCTGTTTCGCGACAATTAAATGCACATAATCAATATTATCGGGAGCAGCATGGCAATTATTGGGCGAAGAAGTCTATATAGCGAGCGAGCGAGCGTCAGCGGCAAACGAGAATCCAATGTTTACTTGGTCGATCGACGAGTCGACGAAAATTGCTCGAATTTGCGCGAGACATGCGTGCCGCGAACATAAAGTAGTAGCAGCAGTAGTAGCTCTGCTCGATGTGGGTTATCGACCTGATACGTAAACGCCCCCGCCCCCCACGCAACAGCTCGACGGCCGAACGACGGAACGCGAGCTATTGTTGCACACTATATATACCTTCGAGCATTATATTCTCGCGCTCGACGACGGATCAGCTGAGAGCTGAGCGAGCGACGACGGGGCGCCCCCCGCGACACACTCTGACCCGCCGTCTGTGTATACTGTACACGGTGCACTCTGCACTCTGCACTACTGCGCTCCGCCACCGACCGACCGACCGACTGACAGGCAGACTGCAGCGCGCAGAATCGGGAACAGGGAATTTGCGAGGAAAGACGGGTAGCCCCGAAGGTGGTTGAAGGCGCTACACCGCAGCTCGCGAGCTTATCCCCGTAGCGCGTCTCTGTCTGCATGGATCTAGTTCATTGGGTCGAGCTCCGTAGAGTCGATGTGCAACTGCACATGTATCGACGGACGATTACTGCTCGATTCGTTTCTAATCGCTCACTTGAGGTTTTTTTATAGCTCGCGCGACTCGAGAGCGATTTCCTATAATGAACATGCCGTAGTAGACGGGAGACTCTTTCGTTCTCTCGCGCACGTGTGTTTGCACACTTCTTCTCAGCTGATTTTTACGTGTGCACATGCAAATTTTCTATATCGACCATCGTGCGCACGATTGCACTTTTTTTGTTGTCAGCGACGAACACGCGACATGCGTTCGCATTCGAGCACGTCCAATTTATATTTCCTACACATAATGACTCCACTGTGTATGTGTGTGTGTGTATAGTCGTCGATATGATATAGCCGCGATGTTTTCGGAGCGATGCGCGTATACATGTCTGTTAGCCCCGAAGCCGCCGACGCGTGGGTTTTTTTGCTTTTAGCGCGCCAATTCTCTGCATTCTCCGAATCAATTAAATACTAACGAACGGTTTTACAAAAATATACTCTACGCTCGATTGATTTCCCTGCTAAATACATATCAATTTCTTATTTTTTTTCTCTCTCTCTCGTCTTTCATTCACATGATGTACGAATAAACGGGGAGAACACGTGATGAGACTCGAGACTCGAGCGTGAACGAGCACGAAATATTCAAACCCGTTTTTTTAAGCTACATTAATCTAACATTATTGGCGAATCTTCGCTATGATGTTTTCGTCCGAAAGTAAAGTGTGACCGCAAAACGAGCGACTCGTACGCGCGGCAACTGTCAACGGTCAACGGTAACTATATACTATTTTTCGCGTGTTTACCGAGAGTCAACTGAACTCGCGGACTAGCTGCAAATTAGCATAAAGTTGAAACGCGCCAAAGTTTTTTCTTCGTATGCACGATGTAAAACGTCAGCGTGTAGCAAAAATGAAATTACAAGTATTATAATATCGCACCGAGTCACGATAAGATTAAAGAATTTATTCAAAAATGATTGTGCGAATGAATGAAAAACATTTAGAAAACCAATATAGTGCGTGAAAAAAAGTACGTAATCGGGCCGAAGCGGCGAGTGTCGAGTCAATCGCATCGTGTATATATTATCAGACAGTTTTGCGTTATTAAAAAAAAAAAAAAAGAGCGACGAGGCCGGGCGCGTAGGATTTCAAATTTAGATCGAGTCGCGCCTGTACACTTGCATGTCAGCATGGAGCTTGAAAGCAGAAACTGAATTTTTTTTGCCGGGCACACTCTCACACGCGTCGAATGCGGAAAATCGAGAGGGTAAAAAAAATTTGGCGTCGGACTTACCAGTTGACAAGCTGCGGCGGTGAAAAAGGCGCAGCCGCGAGGGCGTCTTTCTTCTCGTCAAGCTCTACTCATGATCTCCGGCGCGGGAAAAAGCGATGCCAAGCGCGCGCTGCACGGACGCAGAAAGGAAAAGCGAGTCTGCCCGTCGCCGTGCGTACGTAATTCTCCTCAGCAGTCGCGACTTAGCCGAGTAGCGAAAGACGAGTGCTGCGATCGGCGGCGGCGGCGCCTCGTGCCGTAGTATAACGTATTATACGACGATCGGAGAATTGCGTTGCTCTCGGACTTTTTCTCTCTCTCTCTCTCTCTCTGCTCCGCTCCGTCTCTCTTTCTCGGTTCTCTTTACTATACTACTCCCCGCCAATATTCACAATGTGTACACCTACTCCTCGCAGAAACGAACGCACGAGAGACTTTGCTGCTCGCGCGCGTTTTGTTACAAAACTCGGCGTTTCGCCGAGATATTCCTCTTTCACGGCTCTTTTCTTTCTTTCTTTCTTTTTTGCTCTCTTTCTTTGCTCTCGTCTCAACCGACGCGTCTCCTGCCACTCGACGGCTCCTTCCTGCGTACACGTTTTCATTTCGTTGCGCATCTCGTTCTCCCAGTCCATTGCTCCTTTTTTGACTTTGTTGGCGATCGGTCGCCTCGTACCTAATGGCAAAGGGCGGCTCCTGATACATCGAGTCGAAAAATAGTACGCGTTTGTGCGAAAAGACGTAACACAGAGGCACGAGCTATTAACACGAGAAGTTCATCGCAAGCTGCAGGAATGCGCGCATGGCCGGCGGCGTCGAGGATCGCGCGAAAAAACAACGCCAGCTCCGCTCGATATCAACGATCTGCATTGTTTTCCACGTTCTATAAATCGCTCTCATTTTCCCGGAACGACGAGAGATACATATTTCCATTCGAAAACTCGGCGCTTATTAATAGTTTCCGCGAGTATATCGACCTCCACTCCGCGCTGAAGGCAAAAATGCGCTTCTAATCCATGCGTCGAACAAACAAACGATTTTTTCTCTCTCGGTCGACTGTAGGCTCGGTATTTTTCAAAAAAAACACTGTTCTGTTCCAAACGCGACAGTTCGAGCCTTTCGTAGTGACATGCGGGTACCATGATAAAAACTCGGGTTACTCTACGCATGAAATTGCATCATCGCTGAATGAAGCTAAATACGTCAAAAGAAAATGCGCTTATGAAATTGAGTCGATTGAGTCGAAGATGTCGATAGTAGTTCGTGGATAGTAATTGATATAGTTTCGACTCGGATGGAAAAGTGACATTCGATTAGTTGCTCATCGGTCGAGTCGTCGCTACAGGCCGATCGGTTGTTGTAGATCATCGATAAATGCCGTTCTCACCCTTGCGATCGATGCAATAACGTCAACAAGATCGGTCCGATTACCTTGTTTTAATGGCACATATTGCAAAATATGTAGAATAATAGGTTGAGTTGGGTGGCCGATATTCGAGCGTCAATAAGTAATTGAAAGATAGAAAAAAGTGGAGAAGAACGCGAGGTAGGAGGCGAAGAAGAATCAACGAGCGCGTAACACAGAGACAGTGCAGTGATATATCAATGTAAACAAGTCAAAGGCACGCGCAACTATATCAGATAGGCGCACTTGTTAAAACACGAGAGAGAGAGAGAGAGAGAGAGAGAGAGAGAGAGAGAGAGAGAGAGCGAGGAATTAATGACGCTTTTTTTCGCATCTTGGATCGCAGCGCGTTTTATGCTAAATAGCATCTGGCGCAGACTCGATTGAGCTCTCGTCGTCTGCGTTATAGAGATGAGTGGCGCAGACATGCGTGGGTGTAATTGCGGCGTTAATTGGCTGCTGCTTTTGCTGCAGTCAGCGAAGAGAGTAAAAACGAGAATGAGATTGCTCTCGTCGTCGGCTCCCCATTTGACGGCATTTCGGCTCGTCGAGTGCGTCCCTGCACAAATACAAATTAGACGCGCGATCGTCCGTTGTTAAAGTGTCGATGCGCCTCGCCGAATCAAGTATCACGATATGCTACTCGCTGAGACGTTCCGCAGCCGCAACTAGTTGGCAAGGCTATATACGTCGCGATGAAAATTTCGTTGCATCGTCTCTCTTTTACAGAGACGTCGCGCGTCGATCATCGAGTATAATTACTGGCGGCGATGCGTGCACACGAGGCGTCGTCGTACATCGAGGCAATAGAGGCGCGCGCGAATCGAGCCAATACGTATAGCACAACATTGCACGCAGCCACCGTCGATGCACGAGACGCGCAGTACGACGCATAGACTATAATATCGCCAAACGAAACTGGTAGCAACCGGTTAAGCAAAAGTATCGGTATCTCTGGCTCCATATAGAGCCATGAATCTGCATCGTGTAAGTCGCGCATCGCTGCTGCTCTCTAAGCTACATACATATAGGACTAATTTTTTTTCTCTCGCGCCGAACTCGCGCGAGTCGTCGTCGACGATAGACCATCGAGTATAATTTCCACTCGCTGACAAATATAATGAGGCATTGCGCAATCGTACGAATATAATAGACCCGATTTCCAACCATTACGAATTAATTCGACGGAATTTTTACTTCTATCGATTACATATTTACCTTTTCTCGTCGTCGACCAGCTGAGCTCACAATTATTGACACATTGACAAAGCGATCGATCGAGTGTTTACACGCGACGTAACGAAGCCCGCGTGAACGATAAAACTATCTACGATTTTCATTTTCTCCGCTCATCTACATATAACCGAGTTTGTTTGTTTGTACACCTTACAACGTGTAGAATTACAAACGCGCGTGTACGCACCGAGCGAGCGCGAGCACGAGTCGTTACGAAGCGCAGTTTTCACGTAATCCCGATCTCGAGGCTTATTATTTACGCGCGCATCGATTTCTTCTTCTTTGTCGTCGTCGTCGTCGTCGCCTTCGATGACGGCGGTCTGATGCAGTTCGAATCGGTTAATTGCCTTCCAGCACACGCTTTCGTCCTCAATATAGAAAACTCGCTACACGTGTTTACTGCGACTATTCGAAGTTTCAGAAATCTCATTACTTAAAAAAGACAACGACTCATTTTCGACGATCATCGTTCAAGCATGCGAGTAAAATGTCAAACGATCGAGAATGGCGCGACCGCGTCGAACCCATGACTGCAATCACTAATTAAAAAAAAAAATCATCAACGACAATTTTTTTTCAAACTTATCGTACACCGCACGTGGCGAGAAATTAATTTAAATCTCGAGATTACGCGAAACGTAAAATGTTGATTTGCGGTAAAACGCACAGATATACAAGCGAGACGAGACGCAAACTCACGTATATACATACACTCATGCATGTAGAAGCGGAGAAGTTGTCTTAATAGCATAAAATTGGAACGATAGAAACAGAGAATCGTCAAAGAACAATTATATTATATTCGTGCTGGGCACTTGAATTGAATCAACAGAACCAAATAAGACGTTGCAAGTTTTTTTTTAATTTCAATCTATAAGCGTACTGCAGAGTATATAAATAAAAGCCATTGGAGCTCGTTTCGATTAAAATGTTATGTACATGAATCGTTTAAAATAATAATACATATTTTTATGTCATAAAATAATTAATACATTCGATTAATCGTTAAAACTGTCGAATTTGTAAGCCGATAAACAGCTGCAAATGTCATGTACGCGCGGATAGATGAAATCCGCGCTCTTGGGTCATGGGTGTATACTCGTATACACGATTGCACGGTAGATAAGGAGTCGTCGTTACGTCCCATCAATTCAGCTGAACGTAGTTCTCGGCGTCGATGATGCGATAACGATCCTCGCGATAGTGCACGAGGTCCTCGAGGAATCGATTGCTGCTCTCGTTGTGGAGCTTGGTCAGGACCGGGGGCAGTGGCTCGAGCTTCGCCGCCAGAGCCAGCTCGTTGTAGTAGTCGCCCTGGAGCGGGCCCATCATGTGGAACTGACGCTTCTGGAAGCCCTTGGCCTCGAAGCGCTCCCTCTTCTCGGCCTCGAGCTCCTGGAGCATGGCCTGGCGACTCGGCAGCTCGCACTCCTTGGTCCAGAACTTGAGGACGAAGCGCGCCTGCAGGTCGAACATGCTGAAGGCGCACACGTAGAAGGGCAGGCCGATGAAGGCGAGGCTCGGCTTCTCCACGGCGATCACGTGCTTGTACAGCGGCTGGACCATGTTCGAGTCGACGCTCACCCCGGCCTTGGGCGACAGGAACGGGAAGCTGTACTTGTAGCCGGTGCAGTAGAACACGATGTCGATATCCTCCTCGCTTCCGTCCTTGAACACGGCTGAGTTTTCCTTCAACTCGGCCACATCCACTTTCTGTCGATTCAATCAGTCGATCGGTTTAAAAAACTTGCGATGCGAAAGCAAAAAGTCACTGCCTAAAATTACTCACTTGCACGACATTGTCGGGGAACTTGGTCAAGATCGTCTCCTTCAAGTGATGACTGAGAATGACGCGCTTAGCCTTCTTCGAGATTTCCAGGGCCAAGTCCATGCCTGTACAAACGAATGCGTCGCATTGTAATAAATACGTACGTATAGATATAAATTGAAGAGAAATATTGAATGGGGCCGCAATTGGCGAAGCTGTAAATTACCAGAAGGACCGGCGCCGATCACGACGACTCGCTTGTCGGCGAACGGCTCGGGCTTGCGATAATCGTGGCTGTGCAATTGCTGGCCTTTGAACACGTCCTTGCCGGCTAGATTGGCCAGCGAGGGGGCAAAGTAGTGCCCGTTGCAGATCATCACCGCGTCGAATTCTTCGGAGCTGGTCTCGTTCGTCTGCAAATTGCGCAGATTCAGGCGCCACTTGTTGTTCTCCAGGGGCTCGACCAGCTCGACGTTGTGCAGGAACTAAGGTATAAAAGATCGGTAGAGTTGAAAATTGCATCGATTGCGTACGAGCAAAGCCAGGAAAACTTACCCTGATCTTTTCTCGCAGTTTGAAGTGGTCGCAGTAGTTGTTCAAGAATTCCAAAATCTCGGTACGGTGCAGGTAGCTTTTGTCGTTTTCGGGAATCGGGAAATCAGGATAGCCCATCACTTCCTTTGGCAGATTGGTCCTTGGAGAAAGGACAGCGATCGTTCGTTATTGGTCTTTCTTTCTTTTTTTTTTGTCGATCAAATTTTTTTTCATACGTTGCCTCAATGGCCGACGACAAGGCGCGGTCAAGGCTGCTCTCGCGCGGGGCCAATTCGACGAGATCGTGACGCGACTTTCGATCGAATTCGCGACGGATCAATTTTGTACGGCATGTAAAAACGGCCGTGAACTCGTGGGCTCGGCGATCGAGCTGCGTTACATCGCTCGTGGCTCGTAGCCACGCGATTCGACGCGACTCAGACAGAATAAGAAAAAAGCGAAAAAAGGACTGGTGACTCGTGAAAGCGACTTACCTCAGGCTGTCGTACATGCTCGAGTGTATCGGCAGGCCGTAGGAGTCCTTGCCGGTCTCGGGCACGTAGACCCAGGTGCCGCCGACTTTGTCGGTTTTTTCGTAGCCGACGACCTCGACGGGATGCTCGGCCGTGTTGGCCAGGTCGCACTGGTGCAGCGCCGCCAAACCGGCCGATCCGGCTCCAATGACAGCTACTCTCATCTTGTTGGATTCGGAAGTCTAGTTGAAACTGAAAAACGTACGACGGAGAGCAGTTGGAAGTGAGTATGTATTATGAGTCGCGACCACGTCCCACCAACGGCCGACTACACAGAGAAAGCGAGAAAGATGCTTTTTTAATTGATAAGCTGCTCGATAGGCCAAGATGATCGTCTCTCTCTCGAGCTGGCGACAACGACGACACACGTATATAATGCGAATAATTCACAACGAGCCTTATCTTCGATTGCCGTATAGGCCTTTTCTCGGCTATTTACGATGTTTAACCGTATGTGTATTTGTGATGAATTCGATTCTCCAGTGAGACCAGCTGTGCGATCTGATCCTTGGGCCCTTTAACTAATTTCTCTAATGCTAACTCTATCGATCGGTCAATTTTATCAACTCGCGGCTATTGCGATTTGATTTTTTGGCCTCCACTGACTGTAATCGTGCGATACGCGCAACTGCGTGACGAGCAACTGCCTACCATCTCGATCCATCCGCGTGTATTTTATCGGCTATTTACAATTCGGTAGGAGAAAGTCAAAAATTCGATTGGTCGCAGCTCCTCCCGATAAGACGTTAGAAAGTTTCAAATGTAAAATCAATTACGTATGTTACAAAAAAAAAGTTATTCGAAATCATTGACTCTTTGGACATCGGCCACTTCGCAATGACAACCGTAGCATTTTAATGAACTCTCTTACTTAATTTACCAAGGCCCATTTACATTTATTCCAGAATTACTTCAAAAACTTGGCACTTCTTTCAAAAATCCAAAAAATGTTTCCAATTTTTTTCAATTTTCATAATATTTAAATTTTTTAATTTCAGTAATGATGAATGCAAAAGCACGGCTTAACGAACTTTTATAATTCTGTTTTAAAAGACACTTTGTAACGTTCAAAGTAATGCGATTTTTAAACGACTACAACATTTTATGGTTTTTACTTTTATAATAAAAGGCTCAAATCTTATAATTTACTGAGCACAACAATGACTTGGCAGAGAGGTAAAAATATCGCATATTAAGTACATTATTAAGTTTGATGTATGAATGCTGAGACTGACGCTTGAAGAATACACAAAGTTCAAATTCATTGCATCAGAAAAAAATGTTAACAATTCAATCTATTACGGATATTATATCAATATTTATGATGAAATGTATTTTCAAGAAAATAAAAGACTCGAAAGAATGCTTACAGAGATATTTTAATTAATCAAAGAAACGAGTTGAAACAAAAAAATTTCTGTTACAATTAATCCTGAATTTTAAAGAAAAGAAATGTAATCAAAAGCACCTTTTTTTTTATCTAGTTCAGAGCAAAAAATAAGCAGTAATAGAAACAACTTGCGTAAACGATCGTATATTTGCCTTCTGCAACACTACTAGATCAATTAGCGAAACGAGCTGAGAATTTATATGTTCAATACATACTCATTGACCGCAAGTGAATTTCATGTTATTTTGCTGTCTTGGTGCGTGCGAGGCTGTATCGGCACTGATAACAAGGCCATTGCACTTACTTTTGACTCGTTTGTTCGTCGCGGCTAACCACTGGATAAACTTTTATCTCGCATTCAACAAAGGATTTCCGGAATTTGGTCAACAGTGTCGAAAATTTTTTCTGTAAGTAGTTGGTCTAAAATGAGTTTACTATGGATCTAGCGTTAAAATTGTACATTTTATTTATAAAACTATATATACATTTTACAATGTATGTCACAAATGCAAAGTTTTTTTTGTCACATCTCACTTTTTGGCACGCTTTGTCACAATGTCAATAAAATAAATTTCATTTTCTTTTTTTCTTAAGTGAAGCTTCCCACTCTTTTTTGTGCATTTGATATATTTGCATAGCTGCTCTTGCATCTTCAACAGAACTGTGTTCTCCAGATTGAATACTGATTCCTAATAGCGCAGCGGCTAGTTTTTTTAAACTAGGTGTATTGCCATTGGTAACTTTTCGAAATGGTTTGTACCTTGCAGTATCTCTTAGCATTTTTCTTGGATGTGAAATAAATAGAACTGCCAAATCATTGTGTAAAGCATGACCCACAAGAATTCGTCCTTTAAAAAGTTCATAGACTTTTTTTTGTACAGTTTCAAAATCTTGTCCATTTCTTAAATCTTGAGGCCTCACTCCACTTACTTCAGTTCTGAAATCTGCAATTGGTTCTCTAGGCTTTACAAAGGTATCGTACAAGCAGTGCCCATAACGATTTACAATTGACACCCTTGCCAACATACTTTCCTTTCCGTCACCGATACCAACCATTTCACAGTCAATAGCAATAGCTTTAGTTAGACCAGTAGTATCCTGATCTTTATTTGAATTATTTGATGAACTACTGGATCCTTTGCTTGTATTCAGTAACTTCAATAAAAAATAATTATAAGTATAAAACGTAAACGTGAAATATAAGTAATTAAGTCTGATTACCTCTCTGTTATTTGTTTTCAAATAGGGTGCACTGTTTTTTGGATCTGTTCCCATTGAGGTCTTGTTGTGCCTATGATCCATTGTTGCGATTCCAAATTTATTGGAAGCTGTTTGACCCTGTGGAATATTTCCCTTTGTACTTAAATTAGTTGTCTGTTGCTTGTTTCCAAAATTATTTGTTACGAATAAGCACAATAAATTAATTAGACGAATAAGGTAATAAATGAATTTTTTTATTACCTGAACATTAGACTTATTTTGTGATTGCATATTTCTATTATTTTGTGGCTGCATGTTTCCGTTATTACGCGGAAGCATATTTCTGTTATTTTGTGAATTCTTTTTTTTTACACTTGAATTATTTGTGCTTCCTTTATCACTTTCTGCGAGCATTGCCTTAAACTTTTCCCAATTGGAACCAGGTACTTTTAATCCAGGATTATTATTTTGATTATTTACAGGAACATTCTTTTTCTTCTTATTTACATTTTTATTTTCAGATGACTGCTTCGATGGGCTACTTGGCCTTTTAGGTGGCATAATGTTTTTATGTGAACACTTGGTTTTATGAAAGCACTACTGTACAAGTAAATAAAAACAAACCCCAGTCAAAAAATAAAACAACGAATAAAAGAACTTCAAAATGCACATGAATCGAGTTTGCAGAAGCATACACTGTTCGAAATTTGACATAACCTAAGCCGACAAAGTGACTTCGGATAACGGAATAAACGCGTGTGTGCGCACAGTGTCGAGTGCGCGATGTGCTTGACTGGGATAAAACGCCCTCTTGTATTATAAACATAAAAATTGAATTCGTATTGAGATTGGTAAGTTCATTTCATTTTTTCATGATTAATAAGTGAAATTCTTCGCGAATTTTTAAATAAAATAATATTCATCAAATATTTACAAAGTTGTGAAGTTTCTGTCATTTTCAGTTTAAAATTTAGATCCACTAAATTTAAATTTTTTTTCTATATCAGCAGGTAAATTGAACTTGGAAATATTTGGGAGGATAGTTCGCCTAAAGTTGTTGTGCATGGACTCTACTGATCTATGCTTCATGTACTAAAAAAATGCTCGATTAATTTAGTAAATTGTTAACGCTAATATTGAAGTAGGCGCGAAAACTTACCCCGTTCCAATGCATTTCCAGAAAAGGCGCTCGGCTCTTCACGTGCCGTATTTTGTCATTAACCACCAAATATGCTATCATCGTGCGTTTCTCTTCGAGCGAGTAATCCGAGCTTAAGAGTTGAAATTAATACAAAAATTATAATTTCGATATATTATCATCTTAGTTGGTACGTTAAAATCATTTAAAATAAGACTCACCCACGTCTGGATCTACTTTTTGTTTCAGGACATTTTTCGATTTTTATCAAGTCTGGTTCTGGTAAATTAAGCCACCATTTCTCACTATCGCTGTTGATTTGAAGCAAATTTTAATGTACGCAAGTAACAACATTTGATAGAGAGCGAATCGGAGCAATATAAATTGATCTCGCGCAAGTAGATAAAAGTAAAAACAAAAAATATAGATTCGAGGACGAAATGATGTGCCGAAAAATTTAATTAATTTGAATATAACTCACTCTAATGTAGCATCGCTTTCAAACCGCCAAGAATTTTCTGAGAAATTTCCTACAGAATTTTCTGAAAAATTTCCTATAGAATTTTCTGATGATTGAGAAAATTCAATAATAGGTTCTAATATCATTTTATCGTCTGATTCAATTATCTGAACTTCGGAACTAATTGATTTGTTTCTGATCTGATTTGTTACTATTCTTCCGAGTCTGAAATATCGAAAAATAAAATTAAAAACAGAAGAAAATAAAGTATGTTTATAAGAATTCGAACTATTGTTAATATCTTACCTATATTTATCGATGTCGAGCGCTTCACTAGCCTCAATCGAATCGAGGATATACTTTAGTGAATAGTAATTTTCACCATCGAATAGATTTTCATACTGTTTTTCTACTAAAGTATATTTTGCATCCTCACAAACTTTAGCGCCTAATTTCTAGAAAACAAAAAACGATGGTAAAATTAATATTTTAGGAAGCTTCAGAAGAGAACGTGTCGAATACTTCATGGTTTTTTTCAAGAATACACAAAATATTTTTGTAACAGTTAAAGAATTAAAAAATGATCATTTTTTTCTTCATACCTTAACTATTATTTCAAATCTCACCCTCGTATCTTCTTTCAGGCCTTTGAAACGAAACGAGAAATTTTTAAATAAATATAAGTTTCTTTCCACGTATCCCTCTGTTCTCCCAAAATTCATATTTCTGTAGTTTTAATTATGACGATGAAAAAAAAGATAAGCTTGAGTAGTCGACACTGAAATTAAAAATGCGTTCAACAACATGCGTTATTAAAATCGTTGTTATTTAAATATTTAAAAGCGAGTATCTATATTTTGGGTTATTTAAGATTATTAACTATACAATTATATTTACTTTACTATTAGCGGATTTACAAAGAAAGGTATTCGTGTGGTAGAAAGAAAATTAGTGGTGGAAACTGGGATTAATTATGATTGAATTTTCTAGATTTGTTAGGCACTTAACGCAGAAAACCAATCAGTCAAAATTTGTTGATTGTTAAAGAAAATATCAACATTTGAGAGTCGATTTAAATTTTTTGGTTTATCTTTGTATTAAAATTAATTTATGTGATTGTATATCTATGCATTTTCCGTGCAATTCACGTACAAAAATAAATCAACATCGATACCATATATTGTATCTACTAGTCACTTCAAAAAAAGAAAATGATCGTACGAAGGCTTTGCAGAATTCTTTAATTTGACATCTGCAAAAATTCGAAATACAACACGATAAATAAATTTACGTTTCGAACATTTGACGGAATGGAGCGAGAACATATCGGGTACTTTTCGTTTCTACATTCTCAATAGAAACCTTTTAAGCACGATGTAATAAGGGGAAAATATTCTTTTCATGAAGAGAAAAGCATACAAGTTGTCAATGTGCCTCCTTTTGCGTAAAAAGTGAGCCCAAGGCCTCGGACGTGTAAAATCCACCTACATGCGGTATCAACTATATATGTATTAATAGAAAGAGAGAGAAAAATCTAAATTTAGAAAGAAGTTTAGGCACCAGGTCGCTGCCGTGTTATTTAGTCGAGTCGAGAACGCGCGCATGACTGCTCATAAGTAAACGAGGTAATCTACGATTGTTTTTTTCTTCGTTGTAGGCTTGATCCTTATACACCATAGTTTTCTCAACGATTGAAAAGTTCGGCGAAAGCGAGTCAGGATGAGCAGTCAATCCTCGAATTGCAGGTAAATGTTGTGCAGTTTTTTTACGAGGCCCGGGGAGCCATCGACGATTTTTTGATACTTCCAAAGTTTTAGTTCTTTTCGTTTATTTACACGTGAGTGCAATTCACACCCTCGTGTATTTGCGTGTAGCAAACTTTGATTTTGACCGACGCACAAATACGACTACCTCACGTATACAATTCAAAAGAAAGAAAGAAAAAAGCAGTGATAAATTGACGATCGAATTCACTCGGCAGAACTGGCTTTAAGAGTAATCATTGGTGCATAAATTCTCCGAACATCGAATGTTTATTTGTGACACGCGAGTGGAGAAGCGCTCGTGCGCGTTTGCAACGGACGCGTTGATTAACTCGTTTTGAATCCGTTCCAAGTTTTCGGGATTCGAACTGTGCGATTGCAGTACGCGGCGGTATGTCTGTAATTGCCAGAGCAGTGATGTCGGCGACCGCACGATTTATTAACGCTACTTTATGGGAATAGATTATAGATTATAAATTCTATATCATTGAGTTCTACATACCTAGGACAGCTTCGTGAAAACTCGCGTTGATTTGGCTCTTGCGTCTCGACTTTGTGAAGTGCACCATGTGACTAATAAGATCAGACGTGGCGAAATGGAACAATGAACGTTGTGCGCTGCGAGTTCGATCCGGTATACTTGGGCTGAGACAGAACACGTGCGAGGGTGACCGTTGAACAATTAGGATAATTCTGTCTGCTCAAAAAATGCCGTTTGTAGATGATAGTCTAACAATAGAATGCGCAGTTGTTTTGGCGGTATCATAACTGAACTGATCAAGTTACTAATAGGTAATGTCTGCAAAAATTATGTCTCAACAGCTCCTACAGAAATTTCGAATCACGAGTTCGAGGCTCGAGCTCGTCTCTCGAATTCCGCAAGAAATTCGATGATTCGAGCAGAAAGAACAACCGACGAGCCATGATCGATCACATCCTAACGGCTCTTGGTCCTGCACCGATAGCAGTAGAAATGGAATTCGACGGCAAAGACGTCGAATCAGCCGAACGACTCATGCAGCAAGCGGACGAACTGACTCGCGAGCACAACGACAAACTCACCGGGGCTGTGGCGGCCGCGCTCCCGGATTCAGAACTATTTTTCAAGTGCCTGATGCGTCGAGCTCGCCAGGCCTACGCGACCGGCAGATTCCAGAGTTGCGCGCGGGACTGTCGACTGTATCTCGACAGGAGAGCCTCGATAACGAGGGGGGACGAGAGCGACGACGCGGTGGACGTCTTGTTTCTGCTGTCCGATGCCTGCAAGGGGATGCGCAAAGACGTAGAGGCCCGGAATCACGTCAACGAAGCCATGAAGCTGATCAGTCGATTCGCGGCGACGAGCTGCGGAACTGACCGGGCGGATAGTCAGCGGTTTAAAGACGAAAAAGCAGAGCTGTTCAAACGCTTTTTGAGCAGGAGGCAGAAACCCACCGTGGCGTCCTCGACTCGCTTGAAAAATTCACAGGTACGGATGTTGCAGGTGCAACGGGCCTTTAACACTTACCTTTCGAAGACCAGAATAAAAAAAAATAATAATTTCAGGAAGACAAAGAGGTACCAGCGGTGCTAGGCAAGAATCATGAATATTTGTCTTGCGCCTCCGACGCCGTAGATCTCGTCTACGATCCGAGCAAAGGAAGGTGTCTTTACGCCAGGAGAAACATCCCAGCCGGCAGCGTTGTCATCGTCGATCGGCCTTTCGCTTGGTGCACCGATACGGCTGCTCTCGCTCGTAACTGTCTCCATTGTCACGCGTCGCTGAGACTGGACCACAGCGCTCCGGTGCCTTGCCGTAACTGCCGATCGGTAATCGACGGCATTTCATGCTCTCTACTAATGCACACCACAAATAATTAAATGGTTAATGCTTACAGGTTTTATTTTGTTCGGAAAACTGCAGGGCTGTGTCGTGGAATAAATATCACAGATTTGAGTGCAGGATCTTTAATTATTTTCACATCAACAAACTTCAGAGGACCAGTTCACTTTTGGCATACAGAACAGTGATTACCGCTGCTTTGAGCGGCATCAACGGTGACGCTGATTTATCCTCGACGCGGGGTATCAATCGGGACTTTCTCAAACTACACGAGGACGAGGACGCGACGCCGATCGACGCAGTGGCTCCGGACCCGGAAAAGTACAAGCCCGACGATTACAAGACGGTGTTCGCTTTGAAAACCCACGGCGGTGATTTTACGCCGGAGGATAATTTCGAGCGGGCGGTCCAGTCGATATTTTTGGCCAGATGCTTCATCGACGCGTTGTCGCTTTCGGCCGAAGAGACGGAGAAATCGAGCACGGATAAGGATTTACTACGTACTTTGGCAGTGGCCATGTTGCACAGTATGCACGCAATTAACTGCAACGCCTATGAAATTGTCGAGAACGTACGTGACGAATCGTCCAAAATTTTTGAGCCAAGAAACGTTGGTGGTGCGATTTACAGTACGGTCAGCTTAACGAATCATAGTTGTTATCCGAACGTTGTTAGGCATTCTTATCCTTGTGGTACGTACGCTTCGTAAAAAAGTGAGCTTTTTTATAAATTCATGACATTTGTATGTTTACATAGGTGCAGTCGTGGTAAGATCGATACGTTTCATACCACAAGGTGCTGAAGTCCTCGATTGCTACGGACAACATTTTCTCGAGAGCGATCGAGACACCAGACGTAAATTTACCGCCGCAAAGTATCACTTTGATTGTCAGTGTGACGCGTGTGTCAACGACTGGCCCATGCAATTACCCACCGATAAGTTCGACTTTAAATGCAAAAAATGCTTCGGCAAGTGCCGGAAAACGACGCGCAGTTACGCAGAGTGCACATCGTGTGGTCAAAAAACCGACATCAACAAGTATTACATTATGCTTCAAAATTCGGTGAAAAAGAGACTCTCGGCTTTGACGAAAATGTACGATGGTAATTATAGTGAGGCACTGCCACTTTTGCTCGAGCACTCGGACTGTATCGATAAAATTTTGTCGGAACCGAGTCTCGAGACTGTTAAAACACAACAATCTATCATTCAATGCTTGAACGCTTTATCGTCTACATCGGTTTAAGTATCATAATATCGTAGTTTTATTCAATTAGTACGTATGTCACATACGTTTGTGAGTATGGCAATTATCATGGTTTTACAATATCTTTCGATATACAACATCATATTTTTCGACAGTGTGAATAGCATAATTTAACAAATTTTTTGCATAGAAATCAAACATTTTTTTTGCGAATATACTTTTCGCCACAAATGTATAATAAAAATTGATTGTAAATCAGACTGGCACAATTTTTTTTTTTGCTCGCGTGGAAAGTAAAAATATGTTACGTATTTACAAATAACCAATATACATAGATGCGAGAAGTGTTCGTAACACAGAAACGACTTAACAGTTAAAAAAATTCATGTTTTCACACTGTTAATACGCTAAGTTGAAAACTATTCTATATAAATCAAACGGTGAAAACGTTGCTTTTTGGTGCATGTTACCACATATGCGTTTCGCGAATCTCGCTGATGATATGACCCGCTTGAGTGAGCGCCTGTAGAAAAATTAAATTCATCAAGTATGTTCAAATGATCATAATGCAAATCGTCAAATTAGGAGATAAAAGGCTTACTTTGAGCATATCAGCAGCTTCTCGGCGTCGAACCGCAATGTGTTCACTTTCATTTAGTAAAGATTCCGCTTGGTCGGATTTGTATAAATGCGTGACAAGCTCGCTCTGAAGATTGTCTTTCACAAAATTTACTAAGAAATGCATGACAGCTTTGGGTACGCTATCTTGAATAGACTTACGAACAATGTAGAAGTAAGACTTAATGAGCCTCTCTGAATAAATTAATTGTGCATTATAAATAAAAATAGTATATAATGATTCAACATTTAAAACGTGATTACTCACCAATAACTTCACAATCTCTTTGCTCTCTGTCGCTGAGCTTACGCGATGTTTGCATAGGTACTTCGGGCAACAAATTTACTGGTTTTTGTTGAGGCGAACTCACAGCTAGTACCATGGAATCGGGGCTATGATTAGAGGCCGGCGAAATGGCGCCATCACGATTTTTCGTTGGTGATCCATCCGTAGAATTAACTGACTCTGTTTTGCCCTGTGGTAGCAAATTACTGAGCAGCCAGTGATTTTGTTGATTATTGTCTTTGTTATTCTGCTCCGAAAATGCATTGTAGTCATCTCGATTGTAAGATCTCTGATTGGTTAGTAGTAAACGAGGAAAGCATTTAGGATTGAATAAAAATTAGTAAGGCAGTTTTTGACAATAGAAGCAAAAAGTTCAGGAAAATGGAATGTAATTAAATGTATGGGAAGTACTCGAAATGGCACAAAAGGAAACAACCAATGATTTTCGTAAAGCAGTCATCAAACCAAGACAATGTACTTTTATATTAGTATGTGATATTTGCTTATATGATGATTAATTTCAATCAGGTAAAAGCACTCACATCAGATTGTCAACAATTACTTACGTTTTCTATTGGAGCTACAGCATTGCTTACTGCTTGAGTGGAAGTAGGAAGATTTCTTCTACTTTTCGGTTGGTTCAATTCTGCATTTTTTAATAAAGATGAGACAAGAGCGGCGTCTTTGTGGAAATCCGGATGTTTGGTGTTGATATAAGCCAATTCAATAGCAACAATATTTTCAACCTGCAAGCTCATACAATTCAATATTGAAGAATTCAATTTTTAATTTGAATTTTTGATAAAGTTTATCTTACCATTTGATTAGTTGTAGGCAAACGTCGGCGTAAAAGTTGAGTGACAACATCGACGATTCTTTCGTGAAGCTTTGGGAACCGTAGCATTTCTTGTTGAACTTCAGTACCACAATGTTGAATTATCCGTTGCATTTCTTCGTGGACCAATTCAACGCAACGTAATGAAGGCTCTTCTAGCCTTCGTATTTGCCTTTTAACCAGCAACTCAAAAGAAACTTCGGGCACAAACAAAGCAGGCCTAGGGCCAGTAGCATTACGAATGGCAGTTAAAATATCCATTTTAGTTAATCCAGCCAATGGATGAATGGAGTCCAATGTTTTGCCAAAAGTTTCATGAAATATATAACAAATTCTAGCACCTCCACACAGCTCTGTTGTCTCTATATTCCTTGCTGTTCCTTCTATAGTTGAACAATAACTGCTTGCAAATTTAGTAATTATTTGAAGTAATGTTTGACTTTTATCTCCTACATCTTCACCATAAGAATTGAGTAATGTTTGAAATTGAGAAACCATAACATTGACTCTGGTCTAAAGCAAAAAAAAAAGGGTATTTTAACAATAGTTCATGGGTTCATTTTTTATCATCCTAAAATTTTCCTACCTTCAATTCTGGTAAGCAGTCCCTAATATGATGCATTAACAAACGATTCAATGTTTTTGCCAAATAAGGTGTTCCGTTTCTGTTAGCTAATGTAGGATATTTGCGCTGTAAAAATGCAGCTTCATCTTTTAAAGCATCTTGAATAGTTTTTTTATTCATGATATCTTGCTGAGATCGATTTACTACACCAATGATTCCTAATTTAACAGGAATAACTCTGCCACACAAAATATCAATGGCATCAGTACCTGAAATGATCAATATATCAATACAGTCTCAAGTTATTTATTAGTCATCAGAATAATAATATTTTTTAAAATTATTACTCACCAGCATCCATAAGATCTAATTTGGTTACTACAGCCAATGTTCGTCTGCCATCTGGATCAACATCTTTACTTAATTTTAAACTTTCACTTGTAGCCATATCAGTGTTAGCTGTTGTGACAGCTAGAATAATCGAATTTGGATTGCATATGTATTTCAATAACAACTGTCTGATTTGACCTTCAATATCTTCAGGTTGATCTCCTACAGGAACTTTGGTAATTCCAGGCAAGTCAATTAATGTCAAATTAACAACTGATTTTGAAAAAATTTTCAAATTAATCGGTTCAGGGCAAATGCCTTTGTTAGCACCAGCCATCCGATCAGTTTCAATTTCAATTTCTTTACGAATTTCGTCAAAATCCTTATAGATTCTCCCTTTTTGATGGAGAAAAACTCCCCATTCGTCTGCATCAAGAGTTCCATCTTCGGCATTTCTGTACTCTCTATCATCTTTTGGAGTATACACCAGTTGTAGCACCAATGGTCTACGAGTTACAATACCAGTGCCTCTGGGTAAAAATGTTCGTCCCACAAGACTTTCAATAACAGATGATTTGCCAGAGCTCTGAAATTATGCAAAACAATAAGAATAATACTTTAGGAGCAATTTGAAAAAAACACTTTTATCTCTGAACAAGTTCAATAATAAAGTGGTTGGAAAACGTTTTGTCAATTTAGTTAATGACAATAATAATAATAATAATAACGATTGGTATGTATGACAAAGCATTGAATAAAGAAAAGAAAAACATTTCCATGACGAACGATTACGCAAAGGAAAAAATTGTGGAATAAACGTTACAAAGGATAGATGCGCAAAATTGGAAAAAAAAGTACGTTACACAGAGTAAAATAAAAGTAAGACGAACGTGCATATACGTAGGGGTAGAAACAAAGGTATGTATAGGTACATAGGTGTGAGAGAGTGTGTGTATACCTGCGTGCCAAGTACGACGATTTGAGGCAGTTGAATAGCATCAGCACCGACGGCGTTGAAGACATCCTGAAGCTTGTTGATGACCGGTATGAGGGCCTCCATGATCGATGAGATTTCTCAAAATGCGAGAAAAAGAGAGGGCGAGTCGCCGGCTTGATGCTCAACAGTCGACGATCTTGCTCGTAGGCTCTTGTGTTGTGCTGCGTGCAGTACTCCAGTAAACTCGAGACTCACGGGGGCAGCTCGAGGGGGGCTTAGACAGATGTGTCAATGGTTAAATCGCGTGACACGATGAACCTCGTCTCTGCGTCGCAGCGAATAGATGAGTAACGACTGTTACTTATTATTGTAAACTCGTTGTAGCTAGCTGTGGATCAGCCAGTCGGGGCACGCACACGTTATGGCACTTGGACTTGGAGAAGCAGCTCGCAGCAGAGCAGAGGAGTCGTGATACCTCGCGCACTCAGCTTTCGCAACGATTCTCCATATAGACGGTGACCCCCTCCATTGTAAAACAGCAACATTTCTGCTGGCAAAACGCGCGCGCAGATTCGCGCGAATTTGGAGCAACGGCAATTTGCGAGTTGCTCCGGCCACCGCCACCAGTGCGAGGGCCGAGGATTCGCTCGTCAGTCGTCGGCTGCATATCCGCCGAATACGAAATCTGACCGCGAAAAACAAAGAGTTCTTTTCTCAGAAATACTGTTCATGTCTTATACTATTCGTAGAACGCATTTTCCTCTGCATTAGAAATGCGCAGTTATTGCTAGTTATCTAGCCAAAGATATGAATGCTCGAAGTAAGTATCGATCTATGGTTACGGTCGTTTGCAAAGTTTGTTGTCACTTCGAGTACCAGATGTCGCGACTAGTAGCGAATATCGCCACTCGTCCAATCGCGTCGCTTACACATACTTTTTATCGCTGATTAAATCGTGCGATCTCTGCAGACTCGTTTCGATGGATATCTCGCGTAGAGCATTGGAAATTAAAAGCTAGAGTAGACAACGAGTGCAGGGCTTTTTAATTTTGTTTTTTTTTTAGCCAGGCTCCGAGACAAGCATTTGTTTATTTTCGGTCGTGAAAGTTTCATTCTAATTCGATACTCACTCACATTTTGCTTATACACTTAAATTTGAGTGGTAGCATACGATCAGGTGTAATTGATATTCAAGCAAATTGCCGACAGTGACAAACACGTAATCCGATAATTGAATTAAACGTTAGTCGAGCAAACGATGACGAGCTTCATTATGTAGCTGTTTGAGTTACAAGCTCGACTCTGGAATTATCGTGGTCAATCGGATAATTAAAGATATATCATTTAGCTTCTACGGTGGCTCGTTTAATATATCACAGCTCGTATTCAACGTTACGTAAGATGCTCCTTTTCGTCGATTTTATTCAATTTTGCCGTCCTTATTATGAATAAACTATATCGTTTTAATGGAGCAGCTCCCCTGATGATAATCGCGCGTTGACCCACAAGTCAAGTTTCTTTAACTTTTTCAGTCCAACAAGTGAAAATTAAACATGAAACACATGACACGTGTTTTTTTCTCGGAGCTCATGCGAAACGATCTTTATGGGTGTTTTTTCCTCGTCTATAGGCGTAATTTTCAATACGCAGCATGAGACACGCACGTAGGCCATTGGGGACAGTAATAGCAGGAGCGTCAATACTCGCAATCTCTCTGTGGAACGCGAACCAATGCGACTTTCGTAATAGATATAGCGCGCGACAAGCTCGGAGTCGTCGAGACTCGTCGATATTAATGCACACATTGCCGATGTGGTATTTTTTTTATTTTAATTTTTCTTTTCGAGCAACAAAATGAGCATCCGTAACGATTATGTGCGTGAAAATTGATTGTCTATACAAGGCAATGAGTCGAGTACCTTCAACGACCGTTTTCGGGCGCATAAAAATTAACACTAATACGCCGTAATCTCGCTTGATGGGGGTTACACACGATTTGCATCGATATCGATGCTCAAGGATTTTTTCACCACCTTTTGGCGAATTCCATTAGGCTTAAGAATAGACGAAAGAATGCTCTGCTAGCCACGAATGGTCGACGAAAAAATAGGTCAGGTGTCAATTTATTGGTATAATTTGTTGTGACTCAAAGCAAAGTGTGCAATCGCAGGCTTATCTCGGAAAAATCCAATTAAACGAATCTTTTCTTTTTTTAAACAAACGTATATTTACACAAAAGCTCGAGCTATTAGTAGGTTAATTATCCGCAGTGATTTTAGTCCCTCGTCGTCGTAGCATTTTAAAAGGTAAATATTACAGGCTTTTCTTTTATTTTTTCCATTGGCCTTCTTCGTCTCGAGAGCTCGTCGAGCGTTTCATTAAGGCTTTAATGAAGTGAGAAAATCCTGCGATTTTCATTCGCATTATATATCAGCCACTCGCGCAGGGGCAGTAGCTACTCGGATTTTTTTCGTCATCGAAGATTAATCGATCGACTACTCCCGAGTTCTCGCTTGCTTGTGCGTATTATATACATCGCGACGGAACAAAAAGGCAGTATTTATATCGTAAACATATCGGCGCGAGATGTACGCGGGTAATTACCATCAACTGGTCATTAAAATACATGTGATACAACACAGCAGCAGATATATATTTTATATAAAACTAGTTAGTTAGCGCTCGTCGCGGATAAGAGAAAAAGACGAGAAAAATAAATAAACACAAGGAAGATATTGCGTGCGGAGGATGTCTCGAGCCGAGTCTCTCCGTATATAATATCGAGGAGCCGTGTAAAAGTCGAGCGCGATTCTCTCGGGCAAGTCCGGAGCGATGCCCAAAGTAAAGTTGCAGGGATATAGGAAAACGCGAGTCTCGAGACGCGGAGATTAATTAATGGCCACGTCGTCGCGCTTCCTAAGGTAGGAGACTCCGCCACGAGATCAGTGCACTCACACTTGCGCAGCACGTTATATTTATATACACGGAGCTGCACTGCAGCGATATGGAATTTTCGCGCTCGCGAGTACATAAACGCCCAGAGCGAGCAATAGGACAACGAATCCAGCTGCGTATGTGTTATATAGCTGCAGTCTCGGTCGCGGCTAGCTTAAGGAGCGGCCCGAGTTGTTGCTGCTGCCTTTCCCTCACCTGCACCTCGGTCATACGCACGTGTATATTATGTGCGTGCAGTCAGGAGAGGCGAAAAGGCCTCGGACGAGAGAAACAGGTTGGCCGCACGGGTAGAAACAGTGCGCGGGACGAAGCAGCGCAGCGAGCCGGACTTTATGCATCGCGATATTTTATCCCGCAACGATTTTCCAATTGTCGATTGGCGATCGCCGTGACTCCGCTCTGAAAAATGCAAGTTTTTAAGGACTCAAGGGAGGGGCGGCATAATCAGCGAAAATCGTTTTTTTTTCAAGGATGTTTCGTTTTTTCTCTCTTCTTCACTCCAAAACTTCAACTTTTTCATTGCTTAGTAAATCACAAAAATTACCATAAGATAATTTCCTACAATTTAGTATTAATTTACTTTTTCTGACTCTTGATGCAAGCGTGCGTAAACAACTTATCTCCAGACGAGTGCTGTTACCACCGAACCGTAACTGCATGCGAGTGATCGTTGTCACGTATTATAAGAGGAATAAAAATCAACATTATAAGATGAAACGCAAACTCAATTACTGTTTTTTAGATTCATTTATTTCAATTATTCAAAACTTTGAGCCGAACTTCGGCCTGCAATCGCCAAACAAATATTGTATAAATCTTCGTTCGGTAGCTCCTCGATGATCATTTCACAGCAGAGAATCGGCAGCCGTTGACACGTCAGTTCCAAGAAAAAATCCAGCGCCCATCTTCGGAAATAGATCCTTTGTAATTTCTCGCACAAATTTGCAGCACAAGCTTGTCTACATCTTTCGGGGACCCGAGAAAACTCGTACGAGTTAGCAAACTCCACGTAGTCTGCATATGTTAATCGTTTTTCAGCCTCTTTGGATCGTAACTGAACCAGGTCATGGAGCGACAGACTCGAATTCATCATCAACGCTTTCGCACGGGTCGCGAACTTCTCGTCGTCAAACCAACATTCGTTTAGATTCGCCGACTTCTCAAAAAAGCCGTGCTTAGCAAAATATGCCATGATCGTCAGAGCGTCACTTCGGTCCAGCTCGTATCCTCTTTTCTGTAAATGCTCGACGACGGCCCGAGCCCCAGATGTTAATCTCAACTTAAAATTCTGTTCGCTTTCACAAAACAAATATTTAAATCCCGCATTAAAGTGACTCTCAGTGGGAAAAACGAAACTAGCCAAATTTGCCCCATTGTCCAAAAGTACATCGAAAGTTTTGGGCATAAGATTCGCCACGGCCCATTGAAGCGGTGTACGGCCCTCCTTGTCCCGGGCGTCAACCTGCACTGGTTGCTTCATTTCTTTGTTTATGTTGAAAAATAGCTCCATAAATTCATATTCATCGTCTTCACTCATGCAAATAATGTGCAGAGGGGTCGATCCTTCTACGTTTGCTATATTCGGATTAGCGCCTCTTCGAAGCAGCACCTCGGTCGAGTTTCTGTGTTTGCACTCCACTGCCAAAATTAATGGTGTGTTACCCCATTGGTCCCGAGCGTCGATCTGAACTGTTTGATGTTTTTCGTCGATGATCTTGAAGAATAGCTCCGCCATGTCGTCGTCTCCGTCGCCGTTTAGGGGTCTTTTGCAAATCACGTGCAGAGGTGTAAACCCCTCTGTAGTGGTTAAACTTGGATCGGCGCCTCTGTCCAGCAGCAGCTCGACCACTTCTTTGCGACTCGAGTCCAGAGCTACGTGCAGCGGTGGATCAATATCGCCTGATTGCCCAAGGCAGTTGGGGTCTTGACCGAACTCGAGGAATTTTTCGACGATGTCTTTCAAGCCAAGATCACAGGCNACTATAATAATTAGATTAAGCTGTGCTCGTGATTTATCCCCAACTAAAACTGTCGACCAGCTGTGCACAGTGTTGACCAACAATTATTTTAGCTCGATTCGTACGCGAGTATAGGCGAGGTTATGTTTATACTACCCTCCGGGCAAGGTCCGGGCCGGATGAGACTGTGATTACCCCCGCTCTACGGGCCGGATCGCTATTTTGATACGGGCCGGATGATCAGATCAGGCTTGAATCAGGCTTTTTCCGATCGGGTTCTGAAAAAGTCACGGGCTATGTTATCCCAATTAGATAACCACCATGCGTCATCGCGTGCAAGATGCAGTGCAGTGGTGCGACGCAACAATGGCTTGCCGTCTTGGTCAATATCGGGCTCATCTTTGTAACCGCAGCTGATCACAAAGCTGAGTACGGTTCGAGATTTTGCACACTTTGCGAGAAGCCATTCTATTTCTTTGCGACTAAACATTTTTCGAAGATCTGGATATTGACCCTCCCAATTTCTGATCAAGGGACGAAGTTTAGGGAGAAAATTACCTTGGTTTTCTTCCATATTTGTAATGACTATTTTACGTATTTTCT